CGAGTCCCGCAAGCGCGTCACACGTATCTCCAGTCCGGAGCGTTGGGAGATTAAGCAAATGATTAGCTCCGGTGTTCTGGATCGCAGCGAAATGCCCGACTTTGATGAAGAGACGGGCCTGCTGCCCAAGGACGAGGACGACGAGGCGGACATTGAAATAGAAATTGTAGAAGAGGAGCCACCGTTCCTTTCCGGTCATGGACGTGCACTGCACGATCTGTCGCCCGTGCGCATAGTCAAAAATCCGGATGGCTCTCTTGCCCAGGCAGCCATGATGCAGTCAGCGTTGTCCAAGGAGCGGCGCGAGCAGAAAATGCTGCAGCGAGAACAGGAAATGGAAGCTCTGCCCAGCAATCTCAACAAGAACTGGATCGATCCACTGCCAGAGGATGACAGCTCACGCCATCTGGCGGCCAATATGCGCGGCATGGGCGCCGCACCCCAGGAGGTGCCCGAATGGAAGAAGCATGTGATTGGTGGCAAGAAGTCCTCCTTTGGCAAGAAAACGGATCTGACGCTCGTCGAGCAGCGCCAATCGCTGCCCATTTACAAGCTGCGCGACGATCTCATAAAGGCCGTCACGGACAACCAGATACTGATTGTCATTGGCGAAACGGGTTCCGGCAAGACCACACAGATTACCCAGTATTTGGGCGAATGCGGCTTCACGGCACGAGGCAAAATTGGCTGCACGCAGCCGCGTCGTGTGGCCGCCATGTCCGTGGCAAAGCGTGTGGCCGAGGAGTACGGCTGTCGCCTTGGCCAGGAGGTGGGCTATACGATACGTTTCGAGGATTGCACCAGTCCCGAGACGGTCATCAAGTACATGACAGACGGCATGTTGTTGCGCGAGTGCCTCATGGAGGCGGAGCTGAAAACCTACTCGGTCATCATGTTGGACGAGGCGCACGAGCGCACAATACACACGGATGTGCTCTTCGGTCTGCTAAAGACCGCCGTGCAGAAGCGGCCGGAATTGAAGCTAATTGTCACCTCGGCAACGCTGGATGCGGTCAAGTTTTCGCAGTACTTCTTCGAGGCGCCTATTTTTACAATACCCGGACGCACGTTTCCTGTGGAGGTGCTGTACACCAAGGAGCCGGAGACGGACTACTTGGATGCTTCGCTAATAACTGTCATGCAAATCCATTTGCGTGAACCACCAGGGGACATACTGCTCTTCTTAACGGGTCAGGAGGAGATTGACACAGCCTGCGAAATACTCTACGAGCGCATGAAGAGCCTGGGACCAGATGTGCCGGAGCTGATCATATTGCCCGTGTACTCGGCGCTGCCCTCTGAGATGCAGACTCGCATCTTTGATCCAGCGCCCGCCGGCAGTCGCAAAGTGGTGATTGCCACAAATATAGCGGAAACATCGCTCACAATCGATGGCATCTTCTATGTTGTTGATCCCGGCTTTGTAAAACAAAAGGTCTACAACTCCAAGACGGGCATGGACTCGCTGGTGGTCACGCCCATTTCGCAGGCAGCCGCCAAGCAGCGTGCCGGCCGTGCGGGCCGCACTGGACCCGGCAAATGCTATCGCCTCTACACGGAGCGTGCGTATCGGGATGAGATGCTGCCAACGCCAGTGCCGGAGATCCAGCGCACCAATCTGGCTACCACAGTACTCCAGTTGAAGACGATGGGCATCAACGATTTGCTGCACTTTGATTTCATGGATGCGCCGCCAGTGGAGTCGCTGGTCATGGCCTTGGAGCAGCTGCACTCGCTCTCCGCGCTAGATGATGAGGGTTTGTTGACGCGTCTCGGTCGCCGGATGGCCGAGTTTCCGCTGGAGCCAAATCTTTCCAAAATGCTCATCATGTCCGTGGCGCTACAATGCTCTGACGAGATCCTAACAATTGTGTCCATGCTCAGCGTACAGAACGTGTTCTACAGGCCCAAGGACAAGCAGGCGCTGGCCGATCAAAAGAAGGCCAAGTTCAACCAGGCGGAAGGTAAGCTCTTACGTTCAACAAATTTGGGTGAATTTGACAATAAGTGAATGAACTTTCAAAGAGGATAAAGAACAATTTTCTACCCTACTCCATTACAATAATTTTTACTAATTTAATTATTATTCCTGCAGGTGACCATCTGACGCTGCTGGCCGTTTACAACAGCTGGAAGAACAACAAGTTCTCGAATGCCTGGTGCTATGAAAACTTTGTGCAAATCCGTACGCTGAAACGTTCGCAAGATGTGCGCAAACAGCTGCTGGGCATCATGGATCGCCACAAGCTGGACGTGGTGTCTGCGGGCAAGAACTCGGTGCGCATACAGAAGGCCGTCTGCTCGGGCTTCTTTCGGAATGCGGCCAAAAAGGATCCGCAAGAGGGCTATCGCACCCTGGTCGATTCTCAAGTGGTCTATATACATCCATCGAGCGCGCTTTTCAATCGTCAGCCCGAGTGGGTCATCTACCATGAGCTGGTGCAGACGACGAAGGAGTATATGCGCGAGGTGACCACAATTGATCCCAAATGGCTGGTAGAATTTGCGCCATCGTTCTTCCGCTTCTCGGATCCCACCAAGCTCAGCAAATTCAAGAAAAACCAACGGCTAGAGCCGCTCTACAACAAATACGAAGAGCCAAATGCTTGGCGTATTTCGCGCGTGCGGCGACGCCGCAATTAAGTTGGACAGTTTGTGTCTAATTCGTGTTGTATTTAGTAAACGCTAATTAACAAATAAAATAAGTTTAAAGTTTCCAGAGACACGATGTGGCCGTTGTTAATAGCCCTTGTGGCCGCGAAAGCGTTGCCGATTATCGAGCTGGAACGATTTATATTACTTTGAGTTACATATGCGGCTGCTGGCCACTCACCAGCGAACGTTTGCACTCATAAAAGGTGTTTCGCAGCACCTGACACTCGGGCGGCACATTGTTGTCCTGCAGGCATTGTCGGGGCGTTTTGCGATCCAAGCGACAACAGTCGCTCTCCAGCAGGCACATTTTCAGATCTGCACGGACGCCAGCACAGGCTGTTTCATCCGCCAGCTTTTCGTTGCCCTCGTAGCGCATCATTTTATAAGAACTTTGAGTATTACAAGTGGTTGTTTTGAATTTCTATGCACAAAACAAAATTTGTTATAAAATCAGCCAAATCAGCTGTTTATTGCGGCTGGTTGCAGTGTTGCCAGACATCCGATTGGGCACAGAAATGGAAAATAATGTATTCATAGATTGTACAACACAGTTTTCTTGCTTTGCTGTTTCCCAACATTGATTACCAAAAACAATCGAAATAGTGATTTATCGATATTTTATACAGAAGTTATTCGTGCAGCCAACTGCGATTCCGGCAATTTGTTTAAATGTAGTTTCCAATTGGTTGAGAATGCACCAAAATAAAATGGTTTATGATGAACGCAGCGATGGCAGCAGCTCGAGCGATGCACAGGAATGTTTTCAGCGCAGCATGTCAACCAAAATGGGCACACAGCAGGTGACAATGCCCAAACATATACCCTTTCCGGAGCACGCAACCACATCCGAATGGCTAAGTGAGCTTATTATGTGCGCCTTTACCATGGGCGCAGCCATTGTGCAATTCATAAACATTTATCGCACAAATTGGTGGATGCCACAGTTCCAAACGCGGCACATGGTGGTAAGTGTATGTTAATCATAATTTGCCGCAGTCCTCAAATAACATTGTCCACTTGCAGAACATTGAGCTTATCGATCCATATTTACGCTATCTCATTCTCATACTGAATACTCGACGGTTCCTGTACTGCATGCTGCTGGCCAAGTGGAAGAGCCACGAGCGTCGTCTAGTCCGTTTGGGCATCAAGTATGGCTTTGGTGGCCTCGTCCAGCTGGGTCTGTGCTACTGCGCCTTCAGGCTCTATCAGCAGCACACCTACATGTTGCTCTTCTATCTCAGTTATCCGTAAGCAGCTGCGTACTTGGCCCACTTCCTGCTATATGTAGCTTTTTCCTTTTCAGTGTGGTCGTGTATCTAATCATCTTTGGCTTTCAATTGGAACCGTTTCTGCGCACTAGATTCGAGGTGCCCGGCGTCTATATCAACGACATGCCCGTGCACAGCTGCACCACAAATGCTGTCCAAATTCGCGACGAGATTGAAATCCTGCGGCATGACTTCAATAAGCGCTTCAAGCAGTTAATTTTCACCTGCATGCTGAATGCCTATCTTGTGCTGATACCCTGTCTCCTGGCACTCAGCGTGCAGTATAATGTAATGCGCGCCGCCCAGCATTGCATTATTGTGTGCCTGGGTGCGTTTAGCTTGTCTGCGGTCTTCCTGTACCCAGCCAAATACAGCGATACTCTGCATCGTGCCACGCTTCATCTAGGCAGCTGGCAGCGTATGGACCGCGATACACCGGGAGTGCCGTCGCAGCTTATCGTGGCAGCCAATGCTCAGATCTGGGCAAAGTACACAGTCTACGGTCATGGCACCGTGGTGAAGCACAATGGAGCTCTCTACCGCAGCCATGGGCTGGTGACGGTGGCCACGCCGGGCAACGCCAGTCATCTGCGTTTCTATGTAAGTAAAAATATGTAAGCAGGAACTCCATTAGTTCACATGTGCATTTACAGAAACTGTTTCACAATCCCACTGTCATCTACTCCACGTTGGCCACGCTGCAGGCAGCCGTGCTGCTGGTGGAGATTGCTTCGTTAAGCGCGGCTAGCATTGAATGGCATTTTGTGCTGTCCATTAGCTTTGTGGCCTTTACCAGTATGGTTGCTTTCTTTAAACTGGTGCGAGATTATCTCATCACCAAACATCTCTACAAGGCAGAGTGCTCCACCATCTACAATTAAGCCATCTACAAGCAGCTAAGTGTAATCAAAGAACTCCTAGCAAAGTGTCATGCCAAAAAGCCACGTTATCAATGTATATCGAATATACGCTAGACTTCAATATCAATCTATATAAAACATTTCATTCAGATTTACTTATTAAAGCTATATTTTCCATAGCTTATGCACTCGAACCAGTAAAAATATATCGGGCTGAAGAAATAAAGATTTTTATATAACCTATAAGTTACAAACTATTCTGGCTTATTTCAAATGACAGCTAATGTTATACTCCAATTCGACAACTATACAATTACTAATTTAGTTTCTGCTACTGGAGGCGCTCTTTTGCGGGTTGTAAACCCAGGAGCTGCCCTTCTTGTGATCGCGAACACTGAAGCCATGTCGTTGCAGGAGATTACGTAGCCTATCACATAGGGCCAACAATTCAACGTTCTTGACATTGCCATTCACAGCCTGCTCCCGCAGCTGGCAACGTATGGCCAGGACGTCCGCAATCAGCGCATTGATGTCGACGCGAGCTGTGGCATCTGCTGGTTGTAACTGTTGCTGCTTAAGCGCAGCCAGCGGACTGATGCCAAAGTTAAGCATGGCTACGCTGATAAAGTTGCCCGCCGCCAGCAGCAGGTCTAGACAGTGGGCCGGATCCTGTTGTGCATCTGCCTGTTGCTCGTTGATGCAGCGACTAATGCTGCTCATCTGATCTAACAGCACGGCAATGCAACGTGCCGTATCAAAATCATCGCGCAGGCTATTATCGAACTCCTGAACCATGTGCTTTAGCTGGGCCTGCAGCGCGCCCTGGTCGAGTAACTTGAGCGGCTTCTGGAACTGCATGTAAGCACTGAGATCGGCGTGGAAGTTCTTGAATTTGCGCAGCGTTTGCCGTGCTGTCAGCATCAGCTGGTCACTATACTGCATGGCGTTGCGATAGTTGGACAACAGGCAGGCCATGCGAAACTCATCCGCTGTGTATTTTTGCAGCAGCTGCTCTACGGTTACGGTGTTGCCCAAAGATTTGGACATTTTCTGCTCCTCACCTTGCAAATGCAGTTGACCGGTATGCAGCCAGTAGTTGACCCATTGATCGGTCTTAAAGTGTGCACAACATTGTGCCTCCTCGTTCTCGTGATGGGGAAAGCGCAAATCAAGGCCACCCGCATGGAAATCCACTTTGTTGCCGAAAAACATGCTGGCAATAGCACTACATTCAATATGCCAGCCAGGTCGTCCGGCGCCACCCCAGGACGCAGGCCAGCTGGGCTCGTGCTCCTCCTTTTGCGCTTTCCAAAGCGCAAAGTCCGCAGCATTACGCTTGCCCATCTCCGCTACCGCATGCGCCTCTTTACTAATCTTCTCCAACTTGCCGTAGTTCGCATATTTGGATACATCAAAGTATACAGAATTATCCTGGGCCACGTAAGCCTGTTTATTAACTAGCAGTTGATCGATGAAGCGCTGGATGACAGGAATATTTGCGGATACGTGCGCGCGCAAATTGGGCGGCTTCACGTTCAGCCACGTCATGTTCTCCTTGAACTCTGCATCGTAGGCGTGTGCTAGCTCTAGCCAATTGCGACCTGTCTCCCGGCTACGCTTGATGATCTTGTCATCCACGTCCGTAATATTCATGGCCGTCACCAGATTGTACTTAAAGTGGTCTCGCAGTATGCGCTGTATTATATCCACCTTGACATAGGTGCTAGCATGCCCCACATGCGTCTTGTCGTACACCGTCGGACCACAGGTGTACCAAGTGACCATCTGGGGATTGCGCAGCACCAGCGGCACTTTGCCGCGCACACTATGATTGTAAATGCGAATGCCGGTATCCTCCCCGCAGGGCCTTTGCCAACCGCCAAAGGCAGATGCAGGCGGTGCCGGTTCGGCGCCGCTGCTGAGCTTACGAGGCCACCATTGGGAGCTGCGCAGCTGCATGCATTCTTCTAGGCGGCAGCTGATGAAAATGGTATTATCAGCGTCTGGAACGGATCGGCATTGGTCTAGCAATCTACTTACAGTTTCAACATATTCTCTGTTTCTGAACAATAATTTTAAAATGTTTGATCTACATACGAACAAAGTGTCTTGCTTAAATTTATAATAACAGCTGATAAACGATTGACAATTGTTGCGCAGCGGCGAAACTATCGATACTTTTCATGCTTAGCGCGTTTAGCTACAATCGAAAACTATCGATATAAAAAGCGCCCACGCCCAATTTTTTACCGCGATTCGTTTGCTGCAGCCCCTGGTTTTTAAAAATTGGTGCTGATAAATTTGTATCGCCTACTTCTTTGATGTTGATTATAATTAACAATGAAACTGACTCTTACGTTACGAATTGATTTCCCAAAATAGCTTTCCATCAAGATAAGAATAGTTTCCTTTTACCTGGTCAAAAGTTATAAAGAGTTATCTATATTATGTGTTTCTATTCCTTCCTATCCATCGCATTGCACGGACTTTAGTCCTTCCTAAACTTTAACCCTTTATAGTTCTAACAAAACTAAATACCTTTTGGTTGCTTTGGTTTGGCACAAAGTTTAGAAAAGTATGTTCTTCAAATACTTACTGCGATATGCGTCCATGGGAGCTGAGCGTCAAACAAGCGGACATTGCCCAAACACAAAATACCTATTGGGCGTAGAGAATAAAAAGAAATTATTGCTTAATAAATCATTTAGTTCCACAAGTAAAAAGAAGTTAAATTATGCCAGTACAGTTCTGTATTAGGTGCCAAATCAATAAGAGAACGCATTGTTTGGAAAATGGCAAAAATCATACGCACCATGGTCCAAGCGTTTGCCAAAGCTTCAATGCGTAAGCAAAAATAAAACGAGTATTGGGGTCAAGGATATTAGGCACAAGGCACAGGTGGGAGGTCAAAGGGAAAAGTAGCGTAGTATTTTCGGCAACTAAATTAAATGTGATTTAGGCATTTGCTTTTGACCAACAAGCTAAAAAGGAGGTTAAGTTAAATTGCCAACAAATTAAAAAGGAGTCACAATGCGCCACTGGAAATTCCCATGGAGCTTGTGCCAATAGAAAACAGCGCATTCTGCCCGTAATAGGAATTTCACAGATTTCCGACATGGGCTTGGTCAAACACATTGCTCGCTTCTGAGCAATTGATATTAATTTATTGGCCGTGCTTTAAATCGGCATCGCGTGAAAACATTTGTGCGCCCAGAAATTAGCATGAATAGCTATCAGCTTGTTGCAAGTCGCACCCAGTGCAAGGTGCAGTTTTGAATAATAGAAATTAGTTTGAAAGCCTGGCCAGGCCAAATATGATTCTGGGTTTGGTACCGCTGATTAAGGTCAGCGCAGCGATTACGCTAAGAGTGTGTGGCCCGAGCAAGGAAACCCAGCCCCAAAACGCTTTCAAGCCGTAACGAGTGCCTAAAAGCTTAAACTATTTGCGAATTCTAATTCCCAACTATTTTGTTTTTGTCTAAAAAGAAGGAGCTACCCGGCTTCGCCCGGTCAACCTGACCGTTCGATACAACTTTAAATCATTTTGCATTCATCTTGAGTAAATTAAGTTCTTTCGAATGTTTCAATTAGAAACAAATTAGCAAATACTCGACTAAGTACATCCTTCTGTTCTTGGAAACTGCGGCTGTTTAAGATAAGTTCTTGTATTAAGACGTTCGTGCTTAGCTTAAGCACTTCGACCTTGGCCGAATTTTGACAACGTCTCAGATTTGGACAAAAGATCCGGTATATATTTTTCAGGCTGATATTCTGCAACAGAAAAAGAGAAGAAAGAAGAGGGAGAGGGAGAGGGCGAGGGAGGGAGAGCAGAAAAACAAAAATTAAATAAAAAAAACTAAATTCATATCTATAGCCATAGAATGTCAGTCTAAGAACAACAACAACAACAACAACAACAACTGGTGGGCCGCAACGCCAGTGGCAAGTTTTCATGTCCAAGGCGTATTTATGTCAACCGGAAGTAGGTTTACTGACCCACGTATACGTTTCAGCGACGGGCTGCCGACCGACTCCGGTGGCCACTTCGGCTGCCTAATAACATTCAGAGGCACAGCAACTGGACACATCAAAGAAACGCTGCCTTAGCTTGGCTGGCCAGGAGGACGACGACGACGTCGACGACGACGACAACACGTAGTATAAGAAGGCATTTTCTTTCAGCGGTTTAGTTTTCCAACGAACGGCAAGTGCATCGGATCGATGCGAAAAGCGCGTTGTGCTCTGCCTCTTAATACGATTTAAATAATTGTATGTACACACACACCTGCCACACTTTAAATAAGCATTGCTCCACATTTAAGTGTAGCCTAAGGTGTAAAATTTAACAAAGGAAACCCAACTGAAATTCAAATGCGTCAATTGAAAAGTCCTGAATTAAAGTCTGCATAAATTAAATGCTCAATAAGTCGGAAGGAAATTTAAAAAAAATAAACAACTTATGTTGCAATTCGCAATTGAATATAACAAAACTTTAATCCCAATACTACAGTATTTAAATCTTAAAGAACGTGAACTTTTAAGTTGAGTGAAAACTTGTAATCGAAATTCGAATCGAAATAAAGAAGCAAACCTTATATAAAACTGTTGAATTCCGTTTAAAGAAATCTTCAATTCTTCTGCCAATTTATTTTTATGATTTCTCAACAAAAGGCAACATAAATAAAAATTGCTTGAGGAGAAAAACTTAAACTTGAAATAACGATTTCCTAAAGCGAAAACAAAAAAAAAAAGAATGTAAATTCGGGAATAAAGTTATATATAAAATATAATGCCCTCTTTACCCATTTTCAATGGGTTCAGTGTATAAAATAACAATTTCAATTTCTCAAGTTTAAAGCTTGAAATAAGCTAAAAATCGAATATTCCGAATTTAATTGAAAGTAACGAAATTTTTCAATTCTTAAAGCAAAAGAAAATTGCCAAGTCTTAAGCTGAATGGAAATTTGCCATCACGACACTAACCAAGGATTTTCTTTTAGCCAAAACGCCTAACGGAAAACTCCTCTATGACTGTGTGTGTGGCACATTAATAGATGTTGTTGTTGTTGTTGTGGTTGTTGGCACTGTGTGTGCTGCTTTCATGTTGCAACAGTGCGGCGCCAGGAGCGTGGCAAGTCGTTGGTCATTCAAGTGCTGCCTGGTTGTTGACTTGTCGGCGCAGGGCACAAGGCAAATGTGTGTAAAATTGTTGCTATTTTGACCCCCTGAGCCAAAGCCAAGGAGAAGGCAACCGAAGGTGTACCCACTCGTGTGCGCGCGACTGTAAAGTCCCATGCCTCAGCACACACACACACACACACACAAGTGCAAACACGTGTGTATGTGTGTGTGTGTGCTTGTATTGAAAATAGATTTCACGTCATTTTTAAGCCAAAAGTTTAGTTCGCCTGTGCGTAAAGCCTTTTAATATAGGTTAATCAAATTGTTTTCTGGCTTATAACGCATGCAAAAATTGTAACTGTAACAGTGCTCCACATATACAGACACACACGCATACATGTGCATATGCACACACACATCGAATGCATATCGCGTGTCATACCAACAGGTGCCCACGCGGCAAGTGAACAAACAAACACACACACACACACATATACATACATACACGAAACTAGCATGCGACGGCAGCGATTCTTTGCGGCGAAATTCGACGGCGAATTCGCGCTTGCTACTTGACGTAGCCAATTTGCCAACTCGAGTGTCTTTCAAAGCAATTACAAATTTCGCTTTGATTTCGCCTTGGCGAGCGGTTGACACTTTAGTCGATTCTAATTGGATTTAACCTAAAAACGAAATAACTTATTTTTAAGTGATTTTCTTTTTGTTTATGGCAAATGTTTGCTGCGTTCTCATGTAATTGACTTCACAAGTTAAAAACATTTTATTATATGCAATGATATATTTATTCTTACAATGCTTATTGTGGGGTTTTAGTCGAAACAAATGGGAAATATCCTTTTGTCTTATAATGACACTTTAAGCCGCAGTCAGTGATATTTAAGCTGAAAATATATTTATCTCCAGCTTTAAGAGAGTTCCACCCACAAGCAGACCTTTTGACTTTTAAAAAGCAACTGCCTGAAAACTTTAATGATTTCCATAAATATTACTGTTTAGTTTCGGGCAAAACACTTTCACTAATTAATTTAAGACAGGTACGAAAGATAAGAGAGGAGATTGCTTAACTACAGTTAAAGTCATTGCAAAGTTTTGCTGGGAATTCGGTGGCATTCGGTGCAGCTTTAAAGTGCAACATTATTCAGCAATTTGCAACATGCAACGCGGGGCACAGCCATAATCTAGACACGCACAAGTTATGCTCTCGTTAGCGAACATCATTTGAAGGCAAATAAATAATAAGTGAAAAGTAGCATATGGCACGACATTGAAATACCCTGTAAACATGCAACTGTTTAGATGTATTCAAGAAGTTTCAACATTCACTAAATATTAAGAGTCTTTGTACTTGAGCTGAGTGTGAAATTGAAGACATTTGAACGTACCATCTATACCCAACACAGCCCTAGTACAGGGTATAAGCACTCGCTGGACTGTTAACTGCAACCTGAGGGTACATTGAGCTGTCTGTTGCTTTATCAGCTCAAGCAGCGCTCAATGGCAATGGCAGTGAAATACTAGATATTAGAAAACCCAGTAGATATAATATATTGTTGTAAATAATAATTACTATTTTTCGCAACTATTTTTTTATTTTTTTTATGCTCCGCATATCGGCTTTTCCGTTGCACATTTGCCCGGGCTGGGGCCCGTCTTCAGTCGGCCTGCGGAGCTTCGCGTGTTTGGTGCACTGACATTGCATTGGCCAGAAGGTCTTACTGACAGTCTATGGCTGTAAAATTGGATACGTAAGTGCGCCGATTTAGTTTTAGTTGCCTCGCGTCACTTGCTTTACTTGTGCAGCCGAAGGACTTGAGTTTTTTATTAAGGCTCTCAAGCGTACATTTATAAATAAACAACAATTGTTTTCTGATGAGTTTGGTAAATCAAAGGAACAAGAAAAGTTGTGCTGAACAATAAGCTCAGGCGAAAAATTGAGGGTTCGAACCGGCAATTTCTCATTTAACAGAAGAACGCCTACTGGCAGCACGCACTCGCAGGAAATTAGAGAGGAAGGGAGCGAGAGAGAGACAGAGTATTCAAATTAAGATTTCTTATGCTTTGAAATTGTGTGAAACCAATTTAGATCGAAATTTGGCCTTCATTTAGGAAAAAAATTGAAATTAATGCCTTAAATTGAACTGAATTGAATTGAATAACCCAAGGCACATATGTATGTTGACCCTTCATACTAAACGCATTCTTCATTCTTGTTACAGAGTTAAGAACAATGGCACTTCTTCCAGGCAACAACAATTGCAGCTCACGTTGAAAGAACGGCGTGCTCCCACTGTAGACCTCTGCATTTGCCCTCAAGGAGTTTTTCGCTTAGCATCAGTGTAGCATCGGGTGGAGAGAGCAGCACAAATGAAAAATCATGCAGCAAACATTGTCCTATTCATCATCGCCATCACCAACACTCATCTCGACAATAGCCCAGCCAATAAGAACGCCCACGGACGCAGACACAGACACAGCCGCAGCTACGCCAGCCATAATATCCGTCGACTTTAGCTACGATCCCGGTCGTCTAATGTCCCCATCTGCACAGAGCAATGGCAGCTATAAGCGCAGCTCAGAGATCGTCTCAGAGACGCTCTACATGGAGAAGACGTCCGCGAGCAATCAGCCGTACAGCAGCCTATTTGGTGATCCAGTGCCCCCACCGCAGCCCGAGGATTATTTCGGCACGGCCGCCTTTGAGACGATACGTGCCGGATCTATGGACATGCCCAGTTCCGAGGAGGATACACTTGTGGCTGCCGTTGCCCTCAACACCCTCATGGGCCACCGCGAGAGTGGACGCCGGCTCTTCTCCAATGTGCCCTACAGCAGAGCTCAGACTCAATCCATACCGCGCCTGCAACCGCCCGACATTCAGATACTGCCCAATTCGAGTGGTGGCTCCAGCTCCGAGCAGCTTGACTCGCCGAATTTTATGCTGCTCGCACCGCAGGACATTGTCAATAAGCCGGATGTTTATGAATGTGAATATGAGCAAGCAGCCCAGGCAGCCCAGGCAGCTCCGGAAAATACATTCGACGAGCTGGAATCACAGACCGAGCATAGGTAAGTGGAGCAAGACCAAGAGCAAAGAGTATAAACTAATAAATTTCCAAATTTCTAGGCCCATATCAGGCTCCTATGCGAGCAGTGGCTTGGATTGGTATCGTCCAACAGCTCAGCACTTCGCAGAGTTCAGTCGCATACCAAAGCTGCGGCCAAGCTCCAAAATGGTGATGTCCATGAAGCACGAGGAGATGCCGTTGTCGCCCCTGGCCACAATGCTGCAGGACTCGAACGGTTCGAGCAGCGGCGGCGAGGACCAATTGCTAAACAATCAAGGGCAGCAAATGCGCGAATCTTCACAAGCGATGACAAGCACAACACCCACCATGGACAGGAATCTCATATTATCGCCAAAGCAATATCTGCAGCAACAGCAACAGGAGCTGCTGCTCCATGAACGACAGCTGCTGGAGACCATGCGTGCATACGGCCTGGACACGCCACGAACACCCAGTCAGCCGCCTCCAGCTGAATCCAGCCTTGATATCACGCCTACGCAGGAGCAGCCGCCATCGCAGACCATGTCTCCAGTGGTTATCAAGGACTCGGTCTCAACGGGCGGTGAATATCGGTAAGGTTGGCGGTGAATAGCCTTAGCTCTCATTTCTCATTCCTGCTTTTCTTTCTTCAAAGCGTGGGAGATACTCGCCTGCACAAGAAGTCCGCCTTCACCATACTCTCGTTGCGCTCACCCAAAACCTCGCTTGGCCACAGTCCCAGCGCCACGCCTGTGTCGCCGCGTCGTACACGAGTGCCCGCAGCTCGACATCCCTCCCTACAGTCAACCACTACCTCTTCCAATACAGCCCAGCCGCAGGTGAGGCCGCGGCGCAAGTCGCTGACTGCATCTCGTTTGCCGCAACTGCCGACAAGCGCTCACGCGCCCGGCAGCCAGCTGGCCAATGATGACTCGCCACGCCCCTCTGTGCAATTTAACATGAGCGGGCGCTATAGTCCAAGCAAATTGGCCATGCCCACCAAGGGCATACTGCAGCAAAGAGATTCGCTAACCTCATCGGTGGACACGTATACGCCACGTGTGCAGCGTCGTGGTTCCATGAATATGGGCTACTCTCCGTTTGGCCAGCGAATCAAGAGTCTGGAGGCGTTGCCCTTGATAACGGATCCATATCGCAGCGCTATACCCCGACTACATAGATCTTCCATGGAACTGGACAAAGAACCTTCGATTATACCACCGGGTACACTGCCGCGTCCTTTGAAGCCAAACCCGAATCCAACACGCAAGCAGCGTGGACTGCTTGGAGTCATAAACAGGGCAGACGACTTCCCTCGCAACCCACCCAGCTCGAACTGGTTAAGTTTGGATGACCTGACGATTGGTACGCATCTTGCGAAGTCTGCGTTTGATCCAATGCGCATCCAGGCGAGACGACGTTCGAGTTCCACATCGCCCGAGCGGCGCAGCTCCACGCAAACCGCTTCCGATCGTCGCAGCTCCAATCTGAGCAGTATTACCACCTCCGACTTCAGTTTTCGTCGACCATCGGCGCTATCCACACTGCCAACCACTACACAACGTCGCAGTTCCGTTTATCAACCGCCGCGCAAGGAGCGGAGCCCAAGGCGTCCGCCCTTTGCCAGCAAGGATACAAAGCGTGCCAAGATTGCCAAGCCAAGCACTCTATCGCCCATTATAGGTACGCCAAACAAGGATAGCGGCAAGGATAGTCCACTGCATGGGGATGCCTATGAGGCTGCTCACCGCGATACACCTTCTGAGTTGTCGATGCGTCGCGATTCCATATCACGCATACCAGTGCGCAGTCGCCAGGATTCCTATCCAAACAGTCGCTCCAATTCACCACTTAAGGACTTTGCCAATTTGTCCAGCTTGTCCGGCCGTAACTCCCAGGCGAGCAACAGTCGTTCACCCTCACAGGCCACGATCCGCAGTAGCATTGACAACCAGGGTGCGCTGCTTGCCGACAGCAGATTGACGCCCACTCGCTTCAATGTCAGTCGTCCAGTTTCCCGAGGACCACCTTCCAGGCCCTCCTCACGCATAGCCCAAGCTAAGGATACATCTCAGGCTAACTCTCGGGCCAACTCGCGGGCCAACTCTCGGGCTAACTCACGGGCAGATTCCCAGGCCAACTCTCGGGCTAACTCTCGCGCAGATTCTCAGGCTAACTCGCGGGCTAACTCTAGACTGAGCGTGCGTTCATCCCTACGTGCAACAAGCATTTCACCGGCGACTTCAGTCCGCAACGATCGTCAAGCGGATACTGCTCCTAATCGCAGAAAATCCATTTCCACGAGTCCTAAACGCCAAACAATAAAGAGTATGGCTGCGCGCCGCATGTCACTGAGTCCAGCGGCCAAGCAGGCAAAACCTTCGCCAAGACGTGATGGCAATAAGACGCCCTTGAGTAGTCAACGCAGAAGCTCACGCTCCCGCATACCAACCAGCACGAGCATTAGTCGGAATGCGTCCAAGTCCAGTTCGCCATCCAAGAAACAGGCAGACAAACCCTCTGATAAATCAGGAACGTCAAAGGGCAAAAAGCCAGTACAAGTACTGTCCAAAAGCAGCCCCAAGGCAAAGACAAACAAAGCTGAAAGTGCCAAAAAGAAGACCTCGTCAATAAGTAAGCCGGAGCTGAGTGTCAAGCGCAGCGGCGGTAAAGTCCTGGCGAAAGCCACACCCAAAAACCAAGCAACCAAGCCAAAAACTCCAACTGCAAGGCCGCAGAAACAGGAACCAGGACAAAATGGCGGTAAGGCAGAGAAACTTGCGACCAAAACTAATGGAGCTAGCGGCTTACCCAAGCCCCTAGCCCGCACTGGATCCCAGCAGAACAATAAGAAACCTAACGAAAGTCCACCCACGAAATCGAAGCAAAAAGAGTCACCGGAAAAGGTGGAGGCTGCTGCTGCTGCTGCTGCTAAGGATGTCCCGGGGGACAGCATGAAGCCGCTAGCAATGCATGTGGGCAACGCAGTAAATGCGGCGGCAGACGCACTGCCCGCTGTCCGCAGCGAGGTGAATGCGACTCCAGCCAAAAGCGGCGCCGTCAAGCGACAAGGCTCAAACATGTCCACGCTGATCCGCATGAGCTCGCGACTCAGCATGATAAGCAACAAGAAGCGAGTCGATTCTGCGCAGAATCGCAAAGTGGCAACGGTGCCGGAGCAGACTCCGGAAGTCGAGGGTATGTCCATTTTACTAAGCCCTAAGAGCAGATGCCTTGGCTGTCTGTTGTTTCCTCTTGTAACAGTTCAACTCTCTCTCTCTCTCTGCATTTTATACACAGGATCTAACAGCCAGGCGGATCCACTGGCCGGCAGTGATAGCTTGGGTCCGACTGCAACAAGTTCGGAGGCTTTGGAGGCCACACAGAAGTCCAACGCAGCGGCCACCACCGAGGCACACAAAACAGTTAATGAACATTTAATTGACCATAAAACGCACGAAAACGAATCAGGACTTGCCCCAGTTACTGGTGCCTCGCCCACCCCAAGTGGAGTCACAATGCTGGCCAAGCCCCACGACGCCGCCCCGCGCCTGGACACGGCCGATGGCAGCAATGCCCAGCGCAGCTCCCCCGCCGAGACACAAAAGTCCCCCCTGCCACCGACGCAGCCCATTGAAGCGTCTATATCCGTGCTGAATCCAGTCGATGCGGACGCGGCCAGCGCTCAGATCAGTGCACATGGCGTATCGGCCAAGCCAGAGGCCGACTGTGATATAGCCAACATGCAGGAGGAACGCGCTGTCAACCTTGAACACGCAACATCTGCGCCCGGTCTCGGCGACGATTTCCCAGTGGATGACAAAAGACTTTCGCCCGACGGACAGGGTGGCTCGACGGCAGGCAGCGGGGGAATTGCCAAGTAAGTAGACTGACCCATTACCGATTAACCCAAAGCGTTACACAGCAATTTGTCAATGTATGTAGAGCTGATTGAAGGACTGATCTCCTAAACTACTTCTCGACAGACTAACTGCTAGTTGGACTGATTTACTAATCATTAGCTCGCAAAGCTTTAGAGGAAGATAGCTAAATTTGTATATCAATTGTTTAAGTAAAGGGTTAAGGTTTCATTTGATTCGCTTCAAAATAATCACTGGATAAATGTTTTACATGTTTAGGAAAATAAATGCCTCCAAGCTAGAAGGTTTTGTTTGTAAAAGTTGTATCATGATCCAATGGAAGTCAAATTATTTTACCCGAGGTCCAATAAAAAACAATTTGATGGCAACTGCTTAGTATAATATCTTAACCGATTACGAAAAATCTACTTGTCTACGATTAAAATTTAATTTTCCCACGGTCGGGAAATGTGAATAAAAACGCTTGGCCCTGCTAGTTGGACGCGTCCTCTAGGGTGCAACAATTTGTATACCCTGAGCCCATTTAAAATGGGTATATTGTATTCGTGCAAAATCCAAATGTATATAACAGGCAGAAGGAAGCATCTCCGACCCCATAAAGTATATATATATTCTTGATCAGCACCAATAGCCGAGTCGATCTAGTCATGTCCGTCCGTCCGTCTGTCCGTATGTATGAACGGAAGGATCTCAGAACCTATAAGAGCTAGAGACTTAGATGTAGGTGCTCCCAGTGCCTGCGCAGATCGAGTTTGTTTCCGATAATCGATAACTTACTCCGTTTCCAAGCAATCGATAAAAATATCGATATCGATATCTTGTTTTTTGGGCAATTTTGGTAAATAATAAAAGCTAGAGTCACCAAACTTGACATATAGCTTCTAAAATAGAATATATATATGCATATGAAGGAAGAAGAGGGTTTAGAGTATTCCCTAGTCGGGAGCTTCCGACTGGAACCTCTTACTTGTTACTATATAGTAAATAGAAAAACGAGCCGCAATTTGCCATAGTTTTTTCTTTATTTGTGAAGTCTACTAACTTTTTGCCACGTCCTTAAAGTCTCCAAGTAAAAACAATTGCCAGCCATACACCCCCTGGCCAGGAAATTTACATAGCCGGAAACTCGCCGAACAAGAACCGTGCGGGCAAAACTTTAGACCACCAAACCACGTAGCTCCACACACAACATTTATATGTATATAGGAGTATGAGTATATTTATATACATATATATATATAAAGGGGCTAGGGGCCGCCAAGCCACTCATAAATGCGTCAATAAATTTACGAGCTAGTTGAGGGTTTGGGGCCCGGGCGACCATACGAAACGCCTTTAAGGATATCCGTTCGCTGGCTTGTCGTCCCCAACGTTGGTCGTGAGCGGCGGCGTCCTTCAATGCATATACATACAGGCCTACATACGTGCGGGTATATGGTATTGCAGGTCCACCTGGCGAAAGGTGTGCACACACTAGCTACATAACAATCCGCCAGCTTAGTTAGTTTTCGTGGCATGTCCAAAGTTTCATGCCGCAATAACAAATCAGTTACAGCCGGACAATCGCACCAAGCGCAGCACAAAACTTACGCCCAAAAATATTCAAACGCAAACGAGTGATTCGTAACGTTTAAGTATATTCAAAATGTTGACTAAGAAGAAAAAGAACTCGGTCATCTTTCACATAGATCTACCGCAGAATTCGTTGATTGATGCGGATAAATATCTATTTAGGTAAACCACAAAAAAAAAAAAAAACCAAACAAAATATCATGTTAGTTATTTGGGTGTAAACCAAAAACGTGCTAAATCAAACTGTGTTTTATATATATCTATATAACTGATTGATCCGTTTGGATGAAAAGGGCTCCTCTAGCAAAGTTTGTTTATTTCCCTTATATACTACATTTACGCCAGATTAATTAAGTAGTTAATGCGTCAAAAGTTGGGGGAAAGTACAAAACTTGTGATTTCTTTCACTGGCGTCAAGTTCTCGACCTCCAAAATAAGTTTGGTCGTTGGCTCGTGCGGTCGTTGGAATCTTATTTATTGGCGTGTAGGTTTTCTCTCTGTGGCACGTGGTCGACTGCAAAATTGTGTAAGTTTGGACTAATTTATGTTAAATTAAACTGGCCGAGTTGGCCTTGAACTTAAAGTGGGTTTAATAACCCAGGCAATGCGTGTGTGCGTAACAGTATAACAATCGGTTCCATGAATGAAGTATTTATTATATGTATATGCTCTAGGGCCAACTTTTGACCTATTAGCTGAAATATGTGCATACATATGCTAATCCAAGTGCTCTCGTGCAGTTCATCTTTATCGTATTGAATGCAAAAGTCATTAAATATGCTAAAATGCAAATGATGGGCGAATGCATCGCAGCCGCAGGGCACGAAATCGATTTGCATAATAAATGTGGCCCATGCAAATTGTGTGCAAATTATTTCCATGATATTACAAAAAGGACAAGGTCTACGGTTATGACCCACAATGATTATACTCCGGCAATTTCCGATAGACAGCGAATATCTATTATAGATCAAGGTTCGGTTCAAATTCCCTTTCGCAGTTGCCCATTTTGTTCTTAAGCCTTGCCAAGCAGCTGTCTAAGATGGCTTTTCTAAGCCGTCTTCTTTTGATTATCTTGTAGAACCAGCAGTCAGGAGTTCCTCAAGGACGATGTGGGCAAAGGTGGCTGCTGCCGCTGCTGCACCACGCTCTGCATGCGATTCCGTCGCTCCCGCTGCATGCGCTGCTGCGGTGTGCGAAAGGAGCGTCTGCATGACGCCACTGAAGAGCAGCAGCCTGTACTCTCGAGTGCCCGGAGCAGCGCCTCGACCACAACCACACAGCTGGAGATAATTGATGAGTCCAAAAACGCTAAGAAGTCGCGCTGTTGGCCAACATCCAATTGCTGCAAGAGCTGCCGCAAAAAGCCAAAACCAACTGCGAGTCCTGAACACAAAGCGACCAAAATGAGCGTGGAGCCAATGCATCAATCCACTTCCATGCGACCAAAGCAGCAGCAGCAGCAGCAGCAGAGCAAGTGCGGCCTGTGCCTGAGAAAGATTTTCTGCTGTCGCTCCGTTAACAAAGTCGATCCCGTAACGGGCGACGAGACGGAGCTAAGGAAATGCTGCTTTTGCATACCCTGCCGGCGGCAAAGAGCGGCCGCCACAGAGCCCAAAGTGGCCTGGCGCGATCAGGATCCGGAGCTGGGCATAGCTGCCACAGATGCGGCTGTACTGGAGGGCACATCAGTGGCGCCATCGACAGCGACTGTGGCCGAGGACGTGACCAAGATGTAAGTCGAAGCGAGTATATGCGTAGCATATATTTAGATATATCATTTGTGCGATTTCAGGAGCTGCTGCAGGCGTTTTTGGCTGATGCTGCTCTGCTGCCGCAAGAAACCGCGACGCGGCTCCGATGCACGCCGACAGAGTATTAAAGCGCCACCAGCCAGTGAAGTAAGTCCTGATTGATTGACTGACTGACTGATGATCGGCGCGCAGCCTAAACCGTAAGAGCTTCAAAGCTTTACTTATTACAGTAGCCTTTTATGACTTAAGACTAAGACAGCGTTTCTGGAAATTTCACTTAAAAGGGTGGAATACCTATGAAAAACAGTTGCATGAAGTTTTTCGTGTTTCCCCCGCCCCAATTCGATTCAAAGTTATTTTTATTAGAAACGAGTTTTCAAATCGTTTTCAAATCCAGTCCAAATAGTCGGGAAATGGAAGAGAAACTTTTGTATAACAATTTTTTGAATTTCATCCAATTGATTTTACCTAGAGATCTTTTTAAATCGATCAACCAATCGACTCACCTAGGTGAAAAGCTAGCTAGCTTCTGCGCCAGGAACTAATCCTAATACTACTAAGTATATATATATATGTATCTGACTGTTTTCCATATTTGTTTGCTTTCAAACTTTAGGAAACGCGTCGCAAGCTGCATAATGATCTGGTGGAGTATACTTCCAAAATGAAGGGTGCCATACCCGTGCTGCCGCTTTACCTCGCCTGGTTTTGCGCCTTTTGCAATGTCATCTTTCCGGGCTTAGGTTAGTTTTTTTCCTATATCAAATCCTTATACCCATTTGAAAGCGGACAATTTCTGTAGGCACCCTGCTCTCTGGACTATTCTGCTTGTGTGTGGGAATTCCCCGTTTCTCGCAGTTCGACAGCGCGCGCGCCCGCATTGGATCCTTTATCATAAATATTATTGTCGCAGTCTCACAATTCTTCTGTGTGCTCTTCTGCTTTGTCGGTTGGGGCTGGTCGATCTGGTGGGGCACCATTATGCTCAAGTGTGCAAGTGAGTTCAGCTAATAGGGTTATTTGCATGTGTGGATCGCATTGACCCTGGTATTTTCAGGAAAACTGAGCAAAATCAAAAAGGTGGAGCGTCTCGAACTGGAGGAGGAACAGCGCCAGGCTGAACTGGCGGCCGCTGCGACCGTTGCGGTACGTGGCGAGACGGAGCCGGCAAAGACTTAAAGGCCTTGAAATACCAAAACCCAAATGCTGCCATTTGGGTATAAATAAAAAGTAGCTTCCACATACTACGTACACACACTTCCAATTAAACTTCCTAGACAAAGTGAGATGGATGTGGATAATCCTTTTGGGAATTAACAAAAATCGTCAAACTTCCAGTGAAAAGTGGCGTACGGTACAGGGGAGATAAACAAAATTCACTTCCATATGTACATATATACATATATGTATAAATAAGTATTTATATAAACTTTTCCAAATAAGTGACCTTAAACATAGTCATTTAAAAAACTTGAGCCCAACAACAAATCGGGATTAATAAGAAATATAAAAAAAAAAATAAAACATTTTATTTACTAATATAAAAATTGCATTTTTACTGGATATTAAAAGGCTTTACTTAAATACCTTTCAACTGGAAGCCTGCTGGATCGCCATGTTTACAGTTAGTTGTGACCTGCTTGCCGCGCAAAAAGTACCGTTTCTACTCAATGTGGTTTCATTTGCTATTACTATTATTTTTTCATGCAGTCTTATCTCCATTGTATGCTTTAACATATGCGCAACTAACTTTCAACTACTTATTACTGCATACACACAATTCCGCAGCGTATTTCATTCATTATTTTCAATACAAACAAATTGAATTTTTCACTACACCAAAATAGAAGTAACGGCAGCTTTCTCTAACTGAACACTGCTTGCTGTAAACAACAGTGCCAGGGCAGCAGTAAAGTTTGCTGGCTAATGTGAGTCAGTCGTTCGATTGAACGTGTTCCGAACAATTCAATACAGCTCTGTGTGGAAAATAACTTTAGCATCGCCACGCGAATATTGTTTCGTTTATTTTTTTGCATATAAATTATACATCTACTACTCAAAATCGCACATAAACCAATATGGCACACTTGGTGAAAATGGAAAACGGCCAAAGCCAGACCATACAAGAAATGTTGGGCTGCATTGAGCGGTAAATTGTTCACCATTAATCACCGCAGTCAAAAAATACACACAAACATAACCTATATTTTTATGTGTCCAGCTACAATCCGGATCATTTAAAAATACTGGAATCTTACGTCCAGGACCAGGCCAAGAACAATACCTACGATCTGGAAGCAAATCTCGCTGTACTCAAGCTATATCAGTTCAATCCGCACATGCTCAACTTTGACATCACCTACACGATTCTGCTGAAGTGCCTGACGAACTTGCCCCACACTGATTTCGTTATGGCCAAGTGCCTGTTGCTGCCGCAGCAGATGAAGGATGAGAATGTCCAGACCATTATCGATTTGGCAGACATACTGGAGCGCGCTGACTTCACTTTGTTCTGGCAACGCGCCGAAGTCAATCGTACCATGTTCCGCCATATAACCGGCTTCCATGATTCCATACGCAAATTTGTCTCGCATGTGGTGGGAACCACGTTCCAGACGATCAAGAAGGATTTGCTGAAGGAGCTGTTGGGCGGCATCGAGGACTCGACACTGGAGAACTGGATTAAACGCAATGGTTGGAAGCATCAGGGACACGATCTCGTCGTCGTCGCAACGCAGGACGATAAAATCAAGACCAAGAACATTACGGAGAAGATCGAGTTCGAGAATGTGGGTGCACTGATGGCACAATGTATCTAAGCTTAAATAAGGTTTAAATTTTATACGGTTAAGTGACGCTCTATATATGCCAATAAAATCCAGGCACACCTTACAACATATATATATACAAACTAAATACAGTTTTATTTGGCGCTCACACAGAGACATCTTAACTTAATACAAATTACAATTAGTCAACTTTAAGAGTTAATACCCTAGAAAACTACATGTGCTTAGCGATGATGAAGTAGGCCTTATGATTGCTTCTTGAACTTTTTCAAAATTGGAAATATCTTGTCGAAGGCATCGTATATCTCCTGTCGCACTTTGGCGCCCGTCAGCACTACCTTACCTGAGACGAAGATGAGAAGCACAATGCGTGGTCGCACCATGCGATAGATAAGACCCGGAAATAGTTCCGGCTCATAGCTGCTGAAGTTGCAATGCGTCAGGACTAGACCCTCGAGGCGTATGGGGAATTTGACATCGCATGAGCCGACCATATTTTGTATCTTAAAGTCAAGGAATTTGGCCTGAAAGCGAAACAATTCAATATCAAAAGTCCTCTAAGATACCCTCTACTCAGCTACGAGCTGCCGCCTACAGGGTATACACTTACCGGAAAGCCCAACTTCTGTATGATGCGCGCATACTTTCGAGCTGCCAGCCTAGAGTCATCTTCACTCTTGGCCCCGGTGCAGACCATTTTTCCAGAACTGAAGATCAATGCGGTGGTACGTGGCTCACGAATACGCATAATTACGGCCGCGAAACGCTTGGGATTATATTCAGCGTTGCGCGCATGTAGAGCAATTTTCTTTAAATCCAATTTACAGCACAAGTTGACGGTGGACACAATATTTTGCAGTTGTGGCACAATGCCCGGATCCGCCGAGCCGGGCGTGGCAGGCGTCATCGGTGTAGATGGACCCATGGTCTGATGTATGTTGCTGAGGGATGCATCCCCGATGGAGCTGCGCTCCGTCATTGGCATCATGTGCGACATCATGCTCTGCGGCGTCTGTGGCTGCATCAGAGATTGGGGAGTGGTGCCGCCCGTGTTGCTGCTCTGGTTCTGCTGCTGCTGCTGCTGCTGGTACGAGGCAGACGGCTGATAGCTTTGCATTTGTTTGTGGGCCAAGGGTATTGACGGCTCATGGCCAAACAAGCCGCTGCCACCGCTTCCATCGGCAGCACTTACTCCATTGTTGCCGTCGGGCTGCTGTTGCTGCTGCACTGTTGTGGCAGCTGTTGGCGTTGGATCCAGTGCGGCTGGGTGATAGACCTGATGTGGTAATGCTTCAATTTGTTGATCGGCGTCGAGGCTGTGGTGTATCGGCGTTGGTGCATGCCCAATGCTGGGTATGGAAAAGTTCGGGCTCATAATGTCATCCATTGTGACGTTGTTTTATTTAATTCTTGGAGCCGCAAATTCGTATTAATGCAAAGCTGGGTGAAAATTCAACAAAAATATGTGAGCGTAAATGGAAAGCCGCGTCGCTCCTCAGGGTTGCATTCACACTAAATGAATTTCATGTGTGTGTGTAGTACCAAATAACACTGAATTAGTTCCGTTGTTCCCATATGTTCGTTCATTTGATTATTAGTTCGTTTAGGTATTTTTATCGATATACACAAATATCATTAGTTTCGATAGTTCTATTTTCAAAATTTATCAAGAAATCGAAAAAACTTCGACGCATAACGGTCAACACCTTTGAAAAGTAAGGCAATAAACACAGTTGATTTAGATATGTACAAAGAATGAAATGCTTCTAACGGCTTTATTTAAGTGTTTCTGACTTAATAAATAATTAACAGTTAGGATACACATACACATTTAAGTTATCATATGCAGCATATATAAAAAAATAGTAATGTAAGACACATGTAGAATATATATATTGATGCAATAATACCAGAAAAAGAGTGTGTGGTTTCACAAAAGTTTCAGTTAACATTGTTTTTTCTTGTTTTTTGTTTATTTAGTATGCTTAAAATATGTGTTTAAATGATTTTATTCTTTGGCCCTTTTACATACATAAGCTTTCATAGGTTTCAGGTGTTGCTTTAACTAATGCATAGCCATAAATACAATAGCTGCCGTTATCTCTCGATTTATTTAACTCTCGAGAGGTTTTCAATTGCCCTCTGGTTTGGGTAAGTTCGTGTCATAGGCGCGTATGACTATAGATTGCGGCACAGCACCGCCTTCCTCTTGGGAAAATGCATAGCCATCTGAGGAAAAATATGTATATTTTGATATCAGATACAATAATTATACGTTGCACATGTTGGAGTTGGGTGGGGTTTGCTTTTTAATGAACATGTGGATGAAATGTGTTTTTGCTATGAAAACAATAGTTACTGACACACCCCCCCCCCACCTCCCACCGCCCGCGCAGTACGTTTGAAAAATATAAAATCAAAAGCCATTTCTTTAATTAACCGATACGCTACAGCTGATAACCGTGGCTATAAGCGTGTGTATACATATACTCAACTAGCCCATTAAAAAATGAAATGCTGCCACCAAATGTTGGCCATTTGACCAAACTGTACTAAAAACAAACGCCCTTGGGGGCACACTGTACCGTGCAGACTGTACACATTGGAACTGATTGATATATGGGTAGTACTCACGCGATAATTCTAGATCCGTTTCGACTCTTGTGTTGGCACGACGGGTGAAAACATTGCGTAGCAATCTCGCAGTTTCAGTGAATCTGTAGAATTAATTGTTTATGGTTTTTGGAGATTCGCAGGACGTTTAGTATATAAATATAAGAGTGGATGGTTCTTTGGTTCTTCAACACTTTTCGTGGCAGATCTTAAATTTTCAATTTAAATTGTTAGCACTCTACGGCCATTAAAAAAAAATAAAATGATAATTAAGCACAGGTCGCTACATTTAATCGAAGTTGACCAAATTAATGGAGCATGCAAATTTTTGGCATTATTAGTTAAAACTAAAGACTGTTATTCGACAAACGGCAAACATAAAAGAAATGGCAAAATCTTGAGAAAAATATAGAACATGCAATGCGTACAAACTTGATAATCTGAGGGATAAAAAAAAAAATAACGAAAGAAGTAAACCTTAAATATATTTATTTATTTATAAACTCGGTGCTGTTTACCTTTGCCCTTTTATACAGAAACTACGAGTACCTAATAGATATCCTTGAATTGCAAATAAATTCGTGACCTATTTTAATATCGTGGATGTTTGTGACTGTATATGATTATGAGTTGGACTTTATGTATATATAGTATTATTATTTTTTTGTTTTTGGTTTTGATTTACACATTTGATCTATGAATTACTTACATCGAATAATTGATCCCAAGGCATACATAGTACTGCGCACACACATACAAGTTACGCAAAGAAAATATTGATGAGAATTTTAAAATACATATTTGAAAAAATTGCTTTGAGTTTTATTTTATAAAGGAAATTAATTTGCGTTTTTAATTGTTGCTTTGTGTTAGAATTAAAATTAAAACAATAATTAAAGTGCATTGCATTCAGCCAAATGTCAAATGTGCGCCGAACTGTTCTGTTAGTGGACTTCATTGCTTTTTTTTTCTTTTTGTTAGGGTATTAAATTGCATGCGAATGATGAAAACTAATACATAACTTATATAGTTAATAACATATTTTATTCAGTTTTCACATAGATACATAAAATTAAGATTCTCGTTAACTTTTGCTCAGCTTCTTGAATCACTTTCTTTCAGGCTGTATAAAATATTTGCCATATATATTCACGATGCTCTTTTTAAAACGCAGTGTATTTTGAGTTTAAATATTCATTGAACTGGTTGGGTATACAGGAAGGTTTGAGGATGGGTTATACGCCGGCTTAAGCTAGTGACTATGTTTATTCAGTTAATTGACTATATACAAATATATATGTATATTTCACAAAAAATAACAATAACATAAAAGCACAACGCTCTCTTAAATTATAGTTCTTGTTAACTGGATTCCATACAAGTTTTTGTACATATACTATAGACGTTGGTATAGTTCATTGTAGAAAAGGAAACAACTGTTTGTTGGCATATTAAGTTTTAAGTAAAAGAATGCTTAATAGTAGTAGAACAATCAGCTTAGAATATAAACAACGCGTTATTTAAAGTTTAAAACATTTTCATAATTGCACACAATTCATTTGCTACAGTAATCAGTATCACAGTTGGATCAATTTTAAGAGTTACACCTGTACATTTATGTATAATGCAGATTTCTAGCATGAATACTACAAGTTTTGCTTGGAATGGATATGGCTTTGTACGCCCTGAGCACATACAATAAATATGTATATAATATATATTAAATGAGCCCTAATTTATATAATTTATTTATGTATATCAAGACACAAAACAATAGATTCTCTGTTAATATATATTACACATACAAGCACCTGACTTATTTTATAGATTCTGTTCCAACAGCCTGGCTACATATGCAGAGTCGCACTGTCCACGCTGTCCGCATGATGGGAACCACCCGCCAGTCGGTGACTTCGACGTTGATATTGCCGCTGCTGTTCCCGGCTATCCAGCTCATCATCATCGATATCCCAGTTTTCGACGCGCAAGTGACGAGGCGCGATATTCCTGTCGGTTATGCTCCGCCTGCCTGAAGCCTTACTCCGATTCAACATATTCTCCATACGTCCGTGCTTAAAACGAAAGTCCCTTTTATTTGCCATTCATCATGGAAGGAGTCGGCGGAAATACGTAGTTTTTGACAATTATCGTGGATTAGGCATGAGGAGTTGGGATTGATTACAATGAGTTTATGCGATTTCATATTTCGGATCGAGCATTATGTTTTATGTGTTCGAAATGTGTGTGTCGATTGTTAATAAAGGATAGAGGATAGAGAAAATTACATTTGTTGTTGGGTGTTTTGTTGGTTTTTGGTTTCAAAATTATTGTTTGCTAATAAGTAAATAATATTACCAATTTCGGTATTTGATACTCAATATTTCATTTCAAATTTTGCCTCCTAATTTAATGCAATTGTGTTTATTTGCTACTAAAAAACGCACATTTTTGCTAATCAACTCAATTTCAATTCATGACTAAATAAATACGTAATTTAATCCAAGCATTTGTTGCTAAAAATATATATTTATAATACAAATATGCAATGTTTTGTGTTTTTGCTAACAAAAAAAAAACAACTTTCGTCGACTATTTAATACCCTGTGCTGTGTTCGTTTTTCTTTGTTTGTGTATAATTAATGCTTAACAATAAACTTTTGAGTATTCCCTGTAAACAGGCGAAAGACTCAGAGTCGGGCAATTGAGCCTGGGAAAATATCAAGGAGCGTCCAGTGTTGGACAACGCGCATTTTTCGACTGAACAGTTCTTTAGCTTAGATATATGTTTTTACTTGATACAAGTAAAAAAAAACTTATTCGAGTCCATTAATATACATTTTTTTCTTCAAATATATATAGAGCTGCTTTACGATTTGATATGAATCCACGTATATATATATATATATATATATATTTAAGTGATAAGTATTAGTTTTCGTTCGTTATTTTTGCCGCTAATTGCAACTAGTTTTCTAAAGGCTCGTGTTCTTTGTGAGTACAAATTGCAATAGATTTGCTGACTAACAGTTAGGCAATCAATAAAAGTTCAATAAAAAATGGCAGATACATAAGCAGTTACACACATGAGTGTCTGAACAGTTGGACAAGTGACTAACAGATTAATTAAATTAGGTGATTAGTTAAATGCAAAATGATCTAATAGGTAATAGCTTTAGCTATTTGATAAAAAGACGTCTCACAAAATGGTGCAGACAACTACAAAACGAAAAAATGCATACATAAAAGCAGGGACCGAAAGGAATACTATATATATATATATATATAGTATGACATTCACAGAGATATTATATCTCGTACGATTTCCAAACGGTCCGTGCCAAAAATAAATAAAAATAACTACTAAATAATAGAGAAATGCACAACAATTCAAATTGAAAATGTAGAGTAGCATATTTTTGGTTTTGCTCAGTTGATGCCAAATAGTTAACCAATTGATAGGAAAATAAATCCAGAAATATTGCAAATACGTAGTGTATATCAATAGATTCTCTCTGTCAACTGAATACTTACGAGGAGCGCGACTCTTCCATCACCTGCGAGGGATCGTGACGCTGTATTTCCGACTCACGCACAGCCTCGGTGAGCGACTTAAAAACGGTATTATGTATTCTACAAGCAATCGAACAATAATTAATAGCTGCATATACACCCAGATTTGTTTGGTGTCGCGCAACTTACAGCTTACAGATGACATCGATCAACAGGCTGGCGATGGGCACCAGCACCAGACCAAACCAAAAGACGGGCGTCGACAGCAGTTGAGTGTCCATGCCCGCAAAGTTGCTGGCAAAGCTCAATCCCGGCCAAATGTGGCTATATATCAGAACAAACACAAACCAGAGCAGAATGGAGCCCCAAATGGCGGCATGCGTTAGCCAGGTCCAGGAGCTAGTGATGAGGCCAGCTTTCAAGCAAACAGTTACAATAACATACTGCAAATATACAAACATGTTATTCCTACATTTGAATAAATTCGTGTATTAACTCACCGTGTAGACCATATTGCCCAGCAGCAGATAGTCACTTGTTTTGCCATCCCCCCAAATGGCTTCCTCTTGGAATGCGAAGAGCGGCAGCCAGAAGAGAAAGACCGAGTGCAGCAAAGCATTGAAAATCCAAATCCAAAAGACTCGCACATTGAAGAGTTTGGCATTCTGCGAGGGTTTATACAGCAGCGGATACTTAAGCATTGTCTCGGCCGTGCAGAACTTCTCAAAGAGGCCAATTGCAAATGGGGGCATGGCGGTGAATAGAACGTTATACAGGCCAATGGTCCAGCGCTCAAACAGAATTTGTCCCGACCAGCCCGAGTAGAGGGCGAACCAGAGCTCAATGACATATAAGCAGACATTTTTGTAGAAACTATAGAGGATCAGCTTGCTGATGCGTGCATAATTCCAGGCGCCATGGACGAGAATCAAGCGACGCAAATATCGAAACTGGGCAATCGAGTAGTCTGAGGCGCAGGATGCCTGCAGACCTTCCACACCCGAAATGCCAATGCCAACGCTTGCCTTTTGTATCATGGCCACATCGTTGGCACCGTCGCCAATGGCCAGTGTAACTGCCTTGGTGCTTTGCGTAACCATCTCGACCACCTCGGCCTTTTGGATGGGCGAAACGCGACAACAGATGACGACGCGGCAAATTAGGCACAACTCCTGGAAATCGCCGCGCAGGTCACAGGTCAATGCATACTTTAAGGTCTTGCCATCGATGACGAGCGCCACATTCGCATCCCTGGCCGAGGTGCTCTTGAACTCGCCAATGTGCCGCAGAATGACATCACGAGTGGCCTGCAAAGCAAATTGAAATAATTGACAAATTTTTATTGCTGCACACAATGCAACTTACGTCCAGACTGCCTTCGTTGAGTATGATAATGTCCATGGTGTGTGTAATCAGTTTGCACGAGTAACCAATGTTGATGGCCGTTTCCTGCTTGTCACCGGTCAAAACCCAAATGTATATGCCCGCTTCGAGCAGGGCGGATATGGTCTCTGGCACGCCGTCCTGTAATTTGTCCTCAATTGCCGTTGCGCCTAGCAGACGTAGATTGGTCTCGATTAAATTTGCGGAATCTTCCAGCTTGCTGTGGCGGTACTGCAATGATATCGACGCCTTGTGGTGTGTCTCGTTCCATTCCTGGTACACTTCTTCATCAATGTCGGCCACGGCCAAGCACAGCGTTCGCAAGCCCTCGGATGCAAACTCCTCTAAATGCTGCAAAGTTGCCTCCCGGTATGACTGATCTCGCGGCGCTAGACGCTCGTATATGACTGAATCGGCGCCCTTGGTGAATAGCTTTATTTTACCCTCTGGCGTACGCACAATGACCGACATTCGTTTTCGTGTTGACGTAAATTCGAGTACATTCAGTACCTGGAAGCGCATACGCTTCCCCAATGCATTTATTTCCACGTAGTCAGGCGTGCGTGTGTCGAAAATGTAGCCAAACTTTCGTGCACCATCGACCAGAGCACGCTCATCAGGACTGGCGGCATGGTAGATAATGCTGCCATCTTCCTTTTTCTCCGGTATCACCGTATGGCACACGGACAACAGCACTAGAAAGTCCTCAATGTCCTTGTAGGAGTTCTGCCTCCTAAGTATATTCTGGACCAGGTCCGATTCCTCGGGCGTGCGTTCGGGCTGATAAATGCGCCTAGCTATGGAGCACTTCTTGAACACCATCACGTTTCGTGTCAGTGTGCCCGTTTTGTCCGAAAAGATATACTTAATCAGGCCAAGCTCTTCGTTGAGATTAGAGGTGCGTGCACTTGCCGGCATATTGGACTCCTCGTGATACATCTCAATGTCATAGTTAATGAAGATAGCCTGTAGAAAACGCACCAATTCGAGGGTGACCTGCAGCGATATGGGTATCAGATTGTTGTACAGAATGAAGAACGTCAGCAGATTATAGCCGAGGCTCATGCTCTTAAAGTCTCCAATGGCCAAATACCAGTCCGTTTGGGAATGTTTTTGCGTCCAAAACAAATTGCACAGCCCGCTCGTTATGCAGAGAGAGATCAGTATCATGAACAACATCAGGATCTGTGTGTTCGTCAGTTTGTCGACAGTGGATCGCTTAAGTGGCGCCGAGGTCGAGTTCTTCATCAGCTTTGTTTCGTGTCCCGAGTAAACAACAATGCCGAATATCCAGGCCGTATTCCTTAACATAGCGCCACGCTGTAGCACCTGATCGCTGCCAAGTGAACAGGCACTGCAAAAGGATAAATCTTTGTTTTTAAATCGGAATCAATCAGCCATAGCAGAGATGCACTTACGGTTTACCATACTCCTTCAGCACGCCATTAAACTCGTACAATAGCCGGTTCGGCAATTCACATTCGAGCTTGCCCTCCAATTGCAACAAGTCTTTTGTTTCCAGTAATTTGGCTGTCGACGGCAAACCCTGTCGAATCTTCAAGTTCGTCTCGCCATCTAAATTTGCCGTTTCAATGAAACACATGGCCTGCGGCTCGCTGCAAAGATAAATATGGTGTGTAATCATATAGATATGTGTATATAGTGGCTGCTCACCTTGACGACAACAATATTAAATCGGCAGGAAAGAATGTATCGATGACCACCTTGATAATATCCCCGACTGTCAGCTCAGACCAGCGCACCGTGGTCCAAGTGTCATTTTCTAAGCGTTCAATCAATCGATGATTGATTTCATTATCTGCGCGATGTCGTTTCTGCAAATAAATATATAAAAATATATACCTCTCTGAGATGTTGCTGTCAACACATTTACTCACCAAATCCTCGATGATTTCCTTGATGGCGCTTACAGAGAGTATAAAGAGGAGTGGCACCAATGTGGTGTAGCGACCCGTTGGCGACACATCCGGAATTTGTTGTAATAATGCAATTAGTAAGAAAAATATATTGGAATAACGCCGGAATTGCTCAAAGAGGAACGACGGTATAAAGGTGAGGACACTGTGTGATAAATACAAAAGCATTTATTAATCAATTAGTATTACAAATGGAGGTCATATCTTATCAGCGCAAGCCGCGACCCTTAAATAGATCATAGCGAATAAATGCGTCGACTACTCTGCTGATAATCGTTGCCCATTCGCATTACTCACTTATATTTAGCCGTGGATATACGGTTATTGCAATATTTTGTGGGCTGTGGCCCGTTCAGCGTAATGACGCGCTTTTCCGAGTCATTCGGCTCGTAACCATTGAAGTGCGGAACGTCATCCTCATCATCTGGAACAATAAAACAGCAAATATGTTAAGAAAAAGGTGGATATTCGAAGTTGCCCGATCAATGGACAGGATTATTTAAAATCAGCTAAGCAACTACACATTATTTTTGGAAATTAAGTTTAAAGTCAATCGGTGAATACCCAAAATCAGTGAATAGTCCCCTTCAATCAATCAATCAGTCATTATGGATAACAATTTGACAGAGCCTTGCCTTTATTATCGATTTTTATTAAAACCAAAAGCAGCAGCCAATGCTTACTTTAGTACAAATCATCGTCCTCCCAGTTGGCAAAGAAGAAATTGATAGCGATGGGGTTGCCCAGCGCATACTTTTTGGCAAATCGCTTGATGCTGAAACAGGGCCGCCCCTCGTAGCTACTGCTGGGTATGTATGGCTCGTCAAAGTCCAGCTCGCAGTGCTGCCTGAAGGCCAGGAAGACGTAACGATGCCGGCCGGTCTTGGCGGGCGGACGGCTGCCAATGTAGCCCACCAGCCGCTGGCCAAGCGCCACATCGCAGCCGTGTATGTTGCCCACCAGCCAGTGAAGCCACTCCCGTTTGGTGGGCGAGGCACGACTTGGCGCATCCGGGTCAATCATGGCCAGCGTGTGCAGCTTGGTAGGATCTGCCAACCACCTAATGATTGGCTCGTGTCTCACACTCAGTGGGGTTAGGTGACAGCCCGGCTTGACACCGGTATCGCAAGGATAGAGCACATCGATGATTATATGCGGCCTGCAGGTCACAACGTCTGGTATGATCCTGTGCTTCTTCATCAAGCGGCCCAGTTCAAGGACTGGATCCACCTCGACACAGGTTACAAACATGATGTTCGTTGAATTTTGAAAATTCTAAAGTTTTGAGCTAATTTTAACTAGCCTAAAAATGTGACTTTAAATACGTAGCTACTAGAACACATATTACATTGGCAACGCTCTTCCTCTACTTCCACCCATTCTGGTGAATTTACCGAATATTCACAGGGATCTGTAATAGCAAGTGGATAGACTACCGACTCCAACGAAAATGACTAAATGCATTTACGACTCCAACTTATACGGAGCGCTCTGTAAACTTTGCGAAATACTTAGGCACTGCATTTGAAGCGCACTTTCCCCCACTTCCACCCATTCTGGTGGATTTACAGAATTGATCTGTGAAAAAAAACTAGGCGGACTTACGACTCCAACGAATACGCAAAGCTCTGTAAACATTGCGAAAGTTCATTCTGGTCCAGCGACGACCGCACTGCCTCACGGATGGTCTCCGTCGTCGGCTTGGACGCTTTGTCACGTTCAAGATACGATTCGAATCGTCGTTGATGTCGCCAATTAGCTCCGTTGCGGCCGTCTCAATCGATTCCAGATCCGCTGCGTCCGTCACGTCCCTCTCCTCAATGCCCGAGCCGACGGCCTGAAAAGCAATGCTCTCCCTGCTGCCTGCCTTCGTTTTCAGTATGCCCTCCAGGTTGACTGTGTTTGTGACCGAATGCTCTACTGCCTGCTCGAGTAAGCCACAAGTGGGCGTGCCAGTGGGCGTTTAAGGTGCTTCACAGAGCCAGCGCTTGCGCTCTTAATTTTGGCCACATTTCGTTCAAATGCCGTTTGCTCGGGCGGAATAATTTCTTCAACTCGCATCAACTTTGACATTTTGCCAGGTACATCAGGAGTTTAAATTGTTGTATATTCAGGTGTATATATGTTGCAAGAATTGGAGTTTTTGGCTAGGTAGACTTGAAGGAACTCGCGAGAGATTCAACACTTGGCTGCAACTCACTCGGCCAAGTGCGTGAAAAGTGCGCACTATCGATTTGTCGCACGTTGAACGCAGCGACTGCCACGTGATGCGCTCGACAATTGTGCCACAAGCCGTTGCAACTAACACTAAATCTTCACAAACAAACGACAATTGCCAAATATTGCAAAATATGTATTTGCATACACACAATTTAGCTGCACACACACACACACACACACACAGAGATGTTTTCAACCGAATTGTTGGCCCAGTTTGTTGCGTGCTGCGTGTTGTGCTCTCTTGCAGCTTAACGTTGCGACTGAAACCAACACGAGAGAGCCGAGCCGGACTTGGCCACGGTAGGTAATAATGAGCTAAATGTTCTAGGCACTCGGGGTCGGCCCAGGCGGAGGCGATTTGCGTCGTTCTGATTTGTATCCTTTGGGGTGTCTCTCAAACCCTTGAAGCAGTCAATAGCATGGGCATAAACGAGGGGCATAGCGCAGCTGTGCAAATGCATGTAACAGCTTGTGGAAGGCAGCATCATCAACAGTTGTGCGTCTCGGTTCACGTTGAATTAATTTTGCAACACATTTCAAGAATATTTCACACTTCGAATAGCCACAGTTGAGAGAAACTGATTTGTGGCATATTCACGCATTTGAATTTTATCTTTTCTGCAATATTTTTTTAAAGTTGAGACCATAAGGACTGTAGTTATTGAGGCATAAGATTAGATTTTCGTGGCCAGAATAATTATACCATATGCTACGGCAACTCATCAGTGAGTACAGGGTATCTCAGAGTTGGGCATTCGAGAGAGCTTCTTTGTATTTGGATATCTGGCAAATGTAACTCGCCATCGTCCCTGGACGGTATTTACAAAGCGAGTGCAATTCTTAGCCGCATTGGGCCAATAACGATTGAAATCTATAAAATTGACTAGACGTGCGTGCTAGACTAGGAGCTACCCTGCACTTATCTTCTCTGACTGATGTCTGACTGATTGACTCAAAAATTGATTGACGGACTGACTGAAAGCTGAAATTTTCACTGCAGTTACCTTAAGACGGGGTTTCGACAAATTCCACCCGCATGTGTGGAAAATTCGCGAAAAACTTTGCATGTTTACAATTTGATCGGATTCAAACTCACTTTCAAAGATTCACACTATTCGAAGTGTTTCACACTGTTCGCAGTATCAAGCTTCCCTGATGAAAAGTGCTATTCTAAGATTTGAAACTTATTTTGTTAAGCTCTCTCTTGGTAAATAAGTTTTTCAGCGATTCGGCAAATTCCACCCGCAACTGTGGTAAATTGGCGGAAACCGTCCGATCGGCTTTAAAAGCGTTTTGAAAGATCTTTATATGAACTGATTCCAACACTAGGTTCTTTATTCGATGCACTTAAAAAATATATGTTTAAATAGAAAACAAGATGGGTAGATGTCAATTTACCACTGAAGTGTAGCTAGTGGAAAGCTAATATCTATCTATATATCCATATATCTATAGCTACATCAAGGTTGGGCAATACCCGCATGTTGTACGTCTGTACACAATTATCAACTCTACACTATTTAACTGCCTTATTTGACTTTAGATTGTTGTCTCTGGCTTAACGATAAGATTACAAAAAAGATAAACAAAAATATATAACAAATAATACTAATACAACTGCAGTACTCAGTAGATGTAAGTTGACCAAGTGACTCAGACTTTCGGCCAACTGAACAAGGAGGTAACTTGTTCAAGGGAGTGCCATTTAAAGTATACCTGAACTGTTGGTAATAATAATAAAATAGATAGATATACACCTTCACATTTGCGCTTCCTCAGGCCCGTTCTTTCCAGGAACTTTCGCCGGGTGGTCGAGAACCAGCTCGGCTGCGGCTTGGGCTGCGTCCGTTCGTTTTGGAGGCGCTGCGCCGCTATGGAGGCATCCACTTCGGTTGTGCCCGCACTGCTGGCATCGGAGGACTCCTCGTCTGGGCGTCGTGTATTGGTTCCCGCATCTGGGGCGAAGCTTGTGGGTCCCGTTGTTGCCGTGTGTCGCAAGGCTTCGCCCCTCAGCCGGCGCAGGCAGTCCTTGCACCACAGGCGCAGCTGTGCCGGCACAGTTGCCAAAGCCCGCGGGTTGTGGAATACGTAGCCGGTGCCGGGTGGATTCATTGCAGTGGAGCTCGGATCTCCAGCCGCTTGTGGCTTGTTGTTGCCATTTGTATTATTCCTATTGGGATCTGTCATGTTGACATGATTCTTCTATATGCTATTTTGTGTTTCTCTCCAAAATCAAAGATGGGTTCGATGGGTTTAGTTTAGCTCGCACACACGAAATTTGACTGTACTTCCGATTTGACATTTAATTATCATTTTGAATACCCTTTCGGGGCGTGCCTTTACTTAAACTTTTGTTCCTTTCAATGCCTACTTTGGTTTGACGACTAATTATTCACACATTGAGTATTGATTTTGGGCAAGATTCATTAAAGCAATACGACATTCACCCTGGTTAAAGAGTCAACGACCTTCCACATAATATTAGGGAACTACTCAACACTGTTAACCTGTCTGTCGACCATTCACAAATCATAAGTAAACACTCACATTTGCGCGTGTCCCAAAAAACATGCATGGAATGGGTTGGCTTGTATGTGCTTTGGTATGGTCTATCAGGGGCTGTCCTTTGGCGTGTTTACGTTAGCTACAGTAAACACTCAAATATAATTATGCCCTTTCAGTGCTGCTAACTTTAATGCATTGCTTAAATATTTAAAATTAATAATTAGTGAAAACGTGGCGGCAACAAGTGTTTGGGCATTGCACAAATAAATCACAAGCAGAAATTGGCTAGAGCAAAAGGTGCATTCATTTAAAGGGAGAAACATATGTGTGATATATTTCTATATTTAGTTAACCGACGATTTGTGAGAGTTTATTGGATGTTTATTGGGGGGACAAATAAATCACAAACAATCAGCCAACTTAATTATTTAACAGACTTTCAGAGCAATTGGATAAAGTAAAAGGTATTCACTTTGAAAGAACTAAAAGTGTTATTTTGACTTGGTCAAAGATTAAATACTCTCCTATATATATATCTATATTTAGTCAGCCGACGATTTGACGGACTTTAATGGGGCTCGTTCCGGAAACCGTGTACTAAATTACAGGGAATATATCAATACTAGAGCAGCTAAGCAGGTAGGGGCCCCAATTGGGATTGCATGTGGAGGGGCCCACTGGGTCGAAATTGATCATAAATATTAAAAAAGGCGCCGCGCTAGCCTGGTCTGGTCTGGCCTGGCCTGGCCTGGTCGGAACGTTGTGAATTTTCGTAATTACAGATGACATTTGTGCTTGTACAAGGCCGCGCGTATGTTTACAGAAAGTAAGCCCAATTAATAGTAATTTCTTTTCATTGTTAACTTTCAAAGGAAACCAAAAATAACAGCAAAAAAATAAAATAAAATAAAAGCGGATGGAGTCTGATCAGAACTGGCAACGTTTGGACTGACATATAAATCGGTCGCTCGTCTTTATTCCGCTTCTATAAATAACAGCATAAAATAATACATATTCTCTATGTATATTTGCGTATATTTTGGATACATTCCAAACAGCTTTACTTGCATATTTGTGTTCGCTATTCAAGCGTGTCCACTAAAAATACGCATTCAAATTGCAATTACTGGTTTCTGATGAGTAAAAATGGGCTAATACAAAATTAGCAACAACTCAACTGGCTCGAAACAGTTGCAAAGTTGCTGCAAAAGCTACAACCTGATGTTGATTCACCAATCAGTTAACGCTAAATGACATATTTCACAGCAGCACAGCACTCATTGTATATACACATACCTACATACCTTTGTATATACATACATGTATATACAGTATATACACATGTACCGGTACAGTCAACACTTGCGCAAACATTTAACACTAAGAAAAGGCAAGGCAATGACAACACCAATCTACAACTCATGTAAATTTGAGTGGGAATTTTTCAAGTCCGTTTTCGATGAACTAGTTCATTGAGTCGTGAACCAAATTAAACGTTTTATGCTCTTCCTAAAGGAATCAGTTAGTTAAAAATAATGTATTTTATTAACTGTTTACTGTTATTCGAAGCAGCTTTAAAGTTGTAAATTTCTTATTATATGTTGTGATATGCAAAAATACACAACAGCAGCTTTTTAGCTTGAAAAATGTTTCGGTTCACGAGCAGAAACTTCACTATTTTGCTTGATTGGATACGCGCATTTGTTTTTAAAAACTAAAAGTACAATGGAACTTAACGAACTTTAATCAAAATATTTGCCTTGAATGCTCTCTCGCTCCCTCTCTCTCTCTCTGTTTTTCTCTCCCTATTCTCTCTATATGTACTACTTGTCCCCAATCAAGAAATTTAGTATGGAATATACCGATGCCATTTATGGCAAGCCCACAGCACTTTTTAAGGTTTTTCGAATACGGGTACTACACACAAGTAAAGGAAATTTGTCATCAGTTCGAAAATTACCTATTTGCATACACATACACATGCATATGGCCCACATAGGTGCACGCGTGTGTGTGTGTGCATTATATCATTGTGAACAAAGCTTGGTTGATTGCAAGGTCCGTAACAGTGTTGCCAAACGCCATTTAAAAAAAAAAGTAGCTAAATCCAATGTTGAAAAAACTTCCAGTAACTTTCTTTCCTCTGAAAAGAGTCCAATTTAGCTTGAAAATTGCAAAATTGCCAATATACATATATATATATATATATATATATATATACAACAACAGTAGTTGTTACTGTGGACAATTGTAAAAAACGAATCAATAGCAAATTATTGTCAATCGAACAATAATTGCCTAGCCGCAGCCGGGCACATTGTTTGAGAAGTGAACGGAAACGACTGATCCAAAACAAAATAAAATATAAAATATAATTTGGAAACGATCAACAATGAACATAGTTGGGATTCTTATTTATGATAAAGCATATGTAGATCAGGCAAAAATTTCAGATTCAAGCGAATTTTAACATGCTTGATTTGGGATATTTTACAAATATTTCTCGCTGCTGCTTACATAAAAATGTACACACATTTATTATTTATATTTATTTTGCCACTTCTATAATATATGTACATATGATGACGTTTTTCTTTTATTTTTATTTATTTGTTTTTTTGTGAAACAGCATTATAATTATTTTGAAATTCAAACGTAACCGATGTATAAATAAATTGGAAAAAAAATAATATACACAGCATTTGGCAAGCATTAAATGTATAAAAATACGAATATAACAAGAACTTATATATTCCATGACATTTCGTGAACCTTTATTATTTAATGATATGCAACAGTTTTAGGCAATTTACCTTCCGCACGTAGTTTATGTTTACTTTCTGCACAATAAATATTCAACATATTTGCTTCATTGAAATAGTGGGAAATTAATTTAACCCTTTTCAACATTTATCAAACATCAACTGAAATGTGCAACACAAGGCTTGCATTGAATTTACAGAAAAAACAAACTGCAAATAGCATGCGAAAACAAAACGCTGATAAACAGGGGGAGGCAAAATCATTTAAAACAAAACCCGAAAAAAAAAACAAAAACAAAAACACGAGGAAACTAGTTTGAACGACATTTGTGTACACACACACATAGCCAATATTTATGTATGTATGTATATTTTATACATATACACATGAGAAAACTACAATTACGATAATGCAACAATGGAAAAGAAATAAACGGCGAGAAATGCTAAACAAAATATAAAACAAGACAATCGCCGCTGACATTTTCGCGCGAGAGAGGGAAAAAGGTGTTGGATAGAGTAAAACAGAATTAATAGAGAAGGCGCCAACCCACACAATCTTGGATATATGTAAACACACAATTTGCATGCATGTGTGTGATTGTGCGTCTGATTCTATCAACATTAGATTGGTCATCGATTTAACTTATCTACACACACGCACACACACACACACAACTATATAAAACGTGGCGCATAAGAAACCAACGTTAAGCCGCAACTAGTATTACCAATACCATTGCAAATGTATTGCATGTAGAAGTCATGTGTGAATAACTGTTGTCGTCAAAAGCTCTGTAATTTACATTTATCTTTCAATGCCGATTCACTGGGTATAGAAAATCAAAGTATTTAAGGGGGGGCATGCTTAAAGGCATTGTTCCAAAACAGGATTTTATCGCTTATCCAAATACGTTTCTACGAAACACAATGTATTTATTATTCACACCAATTAAGCACGACGAGTTTGTTTAGCAAGAAGAACGCGGTTCACGTACTTAACGCTCGCGAGTTTAGAAAGCAACTGAACAAATGCCGCCATTGACTAACCTGTGAGCGCTCAAGAGAGAGAAACACACATGGATATTGCTGAAGAGCGCTAAAACACCGCAGATTTCACCAGCTGAGCGGTGAATTCACCACTAACAAAACTGGCGCGAAAATGTCAATGCATTCAAACTCACAAGGCCACCAGACTAGAGTATACTAACAACAGCTGCTGCTCTTATTGCACTGTTAAAGCTCAAATGATTCTGTTGTTAGCCCTTGGTGTAGTACTTGCAATCAAACATATTTATTATTGCTAATTTCGTTCACATAAGATTTAAGTGCGACAAATTTTCTAGGTAAAAAAAATATATTTTTATTGCTAGTAACGAAAAATAAAATATTTGCTGCCGCCCCCGGGTGGACTCGAACCACCAACCTTTCGGTTAACAGCCGAACGCGCTAACCGATTGCGCCACGGAGGCACTTGTTGAACTGTTCGATACAATAGCATTTAGTACGTCTGTTGAAAAAGTCTTACATTTTTATCCCTTCTGAATTAAATGTCCTGGAGTGATTCAATATTGTTATGCGAAATTCTGGGTTAATACATCAGGTTATAATTTGTTATAATATTTGTTTAAATTATTTTATTCTTAAATCCACATTATAGATAGAAAAAAATTACTGAAGTTAACTTTATCTACTGTTTACAATTTTTGTATATTTATTAACCCTTAATACTTAAAAAAAAATAAAAAAAACTATTGTCAGAAGTGGGATTCGAACCCACGCCCTCAGAGAGGACCAGAACGCTCATACGAACCCCTGTTTGAGAGGCAAGATTTACAACCTTGAGTCTGGCGCCTTAGACCGCTCGGCCATCCTGACACTTGCTAACAGTCTGTCGCAAATCAAACTTATATGATACGAGCGAGTGTGGAAACAGTAAACTGTTATAATGCGCAGCAGATGTCGCTGCCGCTGTAATGTTATTGTGTTTTGCTGTACCCGTATCATGCGATTTGTTACTGTTACCTGCTCAACGTCAAAAATAAACATATCACAAATAAATAAAATTGCACACCTTAATGTTTGAAAATATATTTTTTGTTTCTTTAGAATTACATAGAAATGCATCTATGTATAGGATACAGCAAAGCGAATAATAGCTTTTCATTTTTGAATGTAAAGTCAGTTTTTTGCTGCCTGTGCCCGACATACGTATTGGCCCATTAGCTCAGTTGGTTAGAGCGTCGTGCTAATAACGCGAAGGTCGCGGGTTCGATCCCCTCATGGGCCAAGTTTACATTTTTTTTTTTATAATTTTCCACAACAGTTTAAAGGTATCTCAGAGCATATTAAATAGTTTTTTTATTGCTCGTATGTGTACTCAAAGGAACCGGAGTACACGGTCACATGTTAAGGCATTTTCATTGATTTTTTTTTAAGCAGCGGAAAACCTGAAGCAGCCTCAAACACCACAGGAAATCGAGTCGTTAACTACCTCTATCTAGCAGTATATTATATGGACATGAAAAATAGAGTCTGAAAAGCTTTTTGCAATGACTGGAAAATGTCAACGTATCCGGCACAATCACAGCAAGTAATATACTTTCATGTCGGGCACATTAGGCCATTATAAGGTCGGTCCCAACCCCCACGACGGTGATGTCATGAGAATGAAGTAAGAGAAATCCAAGCAAGTACGTTAATGCTGAGACATTGATGATCTCAGAGGCGCAGCCCAGGTCAAATGTCATTTAATTTCTTATCTAAAAAGATTGCTGCACTAAAAGGTTTTGCCACCAAACGCTTTTAATTACATTTCCAAGCCGGGCCCCAGTAAAGTGCAACAGTTGGGGAATATACAAAAAATTATACTTGGAAAGACGTTTTCTGGTTGAACAAATAGAAGTATTTAGCAAGCAGCTGTTTTTATATCACAAGTAAAAAACCCTTTTCACAATTCAAATCAAATAAAATGAATACAAGCACTTCGAAACTGGGAACTGGAACAAAGACGATGGGCTGTCCAAAGTCGATACTCATCCTCAAGGATGCGGCTGTGGACGAAGTCAAGGTAAATGGACCGAAACAGTCCAAAAAGCACGTTACCTTCGATCGTTTTACCAAATATTACTCATATACGGAGAATTGGCAAGTGAAACTGGAGAAAACGTGCCCGCTCTCGAATGATGATTGGGTAGCTCTTAAATATTTATGCTTTACATTTGACTAACAAGCTGCCTTTTAGGATCTGAATGAGGAACAGCTTAATGCAGTATCAGCCAGGGGAAAGCGAGAGCAACGTTTATGAAGTTTATATTTTATATTAGTTGATTACGTAATAAATTATAGAGACAGCCCAGTCTACAAAGCGTGGCCGGAACCAGAAAATGTTTTTATGTATGCTACGTGACAGTTGACGAACCCTCTTCAATAAACCACTTTCAATTAGGCTCAATTGGCGCCTTTTTCTAAGGAACAAGCTCTAAAGTCACAAAAATAGTATATTGTAGTTGTTATTTGAAAAACCTATTTTGATTTTCGAGTTGTTAACGAAACTCTATTAGTTCTTCCATGCTAGCAACATGAGTTCATATTTAATCAACATCTTATATAAAGCTGCCATGGGATGAGACTATAGGAAATTCTTTTTGTCCATGAGAAACTTTCTTGCTTTTGTGATATTTGAGCCAAACTCTAAAGCTGAATGGATACAGAACTTTGGGCGTACTATGAAAGATTGCTGTCGTGGGAACAGTTGACAATTCTGTGGCTGGGAATAGAAATAAATCGCTCAAGGGATGTTCGATTTTTAACCAATTACTATTTTTATATCTCTATATATAAAACTGTTTGTCCTGACTGACTGACTGACTGACTGATTGGTGATCAACGCACAGGGCAAACCGTAAGAGATGGGAAGCTATCTATGTGATGAAGGTGCACGTTAAGACGGGGTTTCGGGAAATTCCACCCGCAAAAATCGCTAAAAACGTTTTTATGAAACTTTTTTGTTTACCATCCGATTGGCCTCAAATTCAATTTCAAAGTTCTTTGTTCAAATTTATTTGTGGGGTATTTCACACTCTTCCAAAAATGTATTTCTCCTTGATGGAAATGGGGGTCAAGGATTTGGCGGCTGGCCTTTTGCCTTCAAATTCATTTGCAAGGAAATACATAAAAATCATTTGAGACGTGTTTCACATTTTTGGTCAAAATCTAAGCTCCTTCGGTGGAAAGTGCATTTTAAAGTAAACTAATTTTCACAAGTTCTATATAAGAATATAAGGAATACGTGTTTCAAGGATTTAGGAAATTCCACTCGAAATATTGGTAAAATATTGGTTGGTTTCAAAATCATTTTCAAAGCTATTCGAGAACATTGATTTTATAACATAAGTGACACGGGCAAGGCCGGGCTATGCCCGCTAGTACGTTATATAGAACAAGCAACAGGTTTTTTCTGCATGTCTTGGCATTTACGACAGGCAAAACCCAAGCACAACAGGATGAGAGCTTGTTAATTTTGATTACATTACCATAAAATCAAAAGATAATGACACTAAATAATTGTCAGTATAATAGAAATTAGAGCTTGAATGAATAAGTTCCTTTAAGAGATCCTGAGCCAATATATCATTTTGGTAAGATATTGCTTGTGAAAGACGACTGGAAATATCAACGCAGGTGGGCCTAAAGATTATCAGTCTGAAGTGAAAGACCTACGGCTGTAACTGATGATTATTTACAGGGGATTGTAAATCTAGTTGGGAGTGTGCGTCAATAACAATATCGATAGGGTTAATCAGCTGCAACATATATATAGAGTAGACCAGCGAACTAAATGCCATTGGCAGATTCAAGTTTGGACAGTAAAAATGTATTGCCAGACCTTAATGGTGCTGCTCGGCCTGCTGGCCGCGGCCAGTGGGGCCATCATGCCGCTGGGACTCAGTCCACAGCCGGATGGACGCATTGTGGGCGGCTCGCCGGCTGCAATTGGCGCGCATCCTTGGCAAGTTTCGCTGCAACGTTCGGGCGCCCATTTCTGTGGCGGCAGCTTGATCAGCCGGAATCTGGTGGTCTCCGCCGCCCACTGTCTGATCAAGTCGACCGTGACAGTGTCCAATTTGCGTGTACGCGCTGGCTCCAATTATAGATTCTTTGGCGGCACACTGAGCGCCGTGTCCGCCTACAAGGTACACGAGGCCTACAACAGCAGCACAAAGATGTACGACATTGCGCTGGTGCGGCTGAAGACCAAGCTCAAGCTGGGCACCAATATCAACACCATTCCATTGGCCAGCAGCACGCCGCAACACGGCGCAGCGGCCACCTGCACCGGCTGGGGCTCGACTAGCTACCAGGCATCCTCCTCCTCCACGCTGCTGTACATCAACACACGCATAGTGGGTCGCGCGGAATGCGCCAGCTCCAGCTATGGCTATGGCGGCACGATCAGGGCGACCATGTTGTGTGCGGCGTCTAGCAATAAGGATGCCTGCCAGGGTGACTCCGGCGGACCGCTTGTATCGGGCGGCAAGCTGGTCGGCATCGTGTCCTGGGGCAGAAACTGCGCCCTGCCCAACTATCCGGGCGTCTATGCCAATGTGGCCGAGCTAAGCGCTTGGGTCGCCCAAGCACAGAAAACAATTTAATAGCATTAAGGAAAAATGTAAGTCGTGACCAATTTAAGGTCTTAAACGACAGCCAAGTAATATTAAAAGGTCGGATATATAGTTAATAACTATTTCGTATACTAATAATAATAAAATTTAAGAGAATGCAGAAATTAGAGCTCTACAATGAAATAGACAAAACTCTTACAGCATCTCCAGCATGAGGCAAAGAAATTCTCAATCGCACTAGATTCGCTTAGCTCAGAGCTAATCCAGAGTTACTTTAAGATTTCTTTGAACCCACATCTTGAACAGTTCATTCTGACTCATATAGAGCATGTAAGAGGTTCTAGTCGGGAGCTGCCGACTAGGAGATACCCTGAACCCTCTACTTCCAACATCAAATGCAAATATATATATTATTACTTGTCAAATTTGGTGACTCTAGCTCTTATTATTTACCAATATTGCCCAAAAAACAGGATATCGATATCGATTTTTATCGATTGCTTGGAAACTGAGTAAGTTATCGATTCTTGGAAACAGACTCGATTTGCGCAGGCACTAGGAACATCTACATCTAAAGTCTCTAGCTCTTATAGGTTCTGAGATCCTTGAGTTCATACATACATTCATACATTGCTCAAATACAGTATACCCTTATACTCATTTTTAATGGGTTCAGGTTATAAAAACAGCACAAAACTAGATTTTCCATAGATTTGAAAATGTTCCATACGGGCATAAATGTGATTCATCCGGCTTTACTCATAGAAATATCAATAGAAAGAGCAATAGACAAACGACTCGTTTTCTAAAGGACTTATTTTAAACAAATTGTTACATTTTAAATAAAAAAAAGTTTTGATATGGTATTTTTTTTATTTTTTTTTACTTTGAAGTTCGTCAATTTTTTTCCATAAATATTTAAGTCTAGAAAGCTTCATTAGAAAAGAATATTTGTTGGAAAAAACTCTTTTATTATTTAAAGATATATTGAAAAAAAAAACTTCTTCCATGTATGATAAATCTTTTTTCAACTTCGGATTACTATATATATATATATATATATATACATATATAGCTTCGATAGGAACAATTGGCTAATTGAATCTGATAAATATCTGCAAAGGTCTTCAAACTAAATCAACTTAAAGACACCTTTTCTTTATTGTTTTCATCCTGATTCGTGGCAATCGACTCACCTTCGTATTCCTTGCGTTTTCTGCGTAGGAATGATGTGGTCATGCGCAGGCCGCGTGCTGCATTGGATAAGATAGAGGCTCTGGAGTCCTTGCGATGTCGCGACTTGTGCCTGGAGCCATTGTCGCCGCCAGCTCCGGAACCGGTTCCGGCTGCAGCCGCTTGACAGGAGGAGAGTGTGCCCGCCACCGAATTGGACAGCGGCGTGATGGGCGTATTTGGTGTGTCGGAGTCGATGAAGCCGAGATTGCTATTGGCACTGTTTAGGTGTATGCTGGTGTGGCTCAGAACGGGCAGCTTGCCGCTCAATGAGGCCGCCAGCTGCTCATCCAGGCCGTTGGTCGTCTCCTGCGCCTGCAGATGCTCCAACGATTCAAAGTCCCGATTAATTGCCGGCGGCATCGAATGACGAAACCAGGACTCCTGCCGATGCTGGGCTGCCCGCTGTTGCCGCCGTCGCTGGCTGGGATTGCAGCTGGAGGTGGTGTTCGTTCGGTTCAGCTCCACTGAAATGGTGCGCGTATTACGGCTGTCCTGTGGAGCCTGCAGCTCCAGACTCTGGCGCTGATAACAGCCGGACATGTTGTGTAGGGTTTTGGGGGGAAAGGGGTCAGAACCCAAGGCACTTAATAAATAGCACAAGTAAAGCGTCGTTCAAGGCACCTTTAAAGCAGTTTGTTGTTTATTAGATCATATTTCAGTTACATAAGGTCTTTAACCTCTGCGGGTGGGCACTGTGTGTGGGACGACTTTAAAAGACGGCTAACAATAGCCTTGAACTTAAGCTCTGACATGTGTTTGAGAACCAAAACAACTGACAGCCACAGCCAATGCCAAGAACTGGCGCCCTTTCGGGCCGCCGTCGCTGCCGCCTTTACTGACTAATTTTTAAAACGAAAGCAATGTCAGCTTTCGACCAAAATGTATCTACTTGCTTGCAGTCAAAACATCAAAAATTTATAATATTCGAAAAACATATATGTAGTTTATTCCCGTCACGCACATGCATTCGCTGACAGCGAATGCTATATATGGCGGTACGGGGCGGGGCGGGGCGGTGCGGTACGTGTTATATGCAGTAACAATCAGAATTGTTGATTTTCCAAAAGGCACTTTACACATCTCTTTTTCTTCTTCAGACAGTTGGTTTGTTCATTTCATTTGTAATTCGTAAATGCACAAGTTAAAATTAGCGAAAGCCTTCAAATTATCGAACTGAGTGCAGTTGGCGGTTTAGTTAGTACAACCCACTTTTCTTTCATTTCGCACTGTCTACCGATAAAGCTGTATGCTATATCTATATTACTTCAGATCAGCTCTGATTTTCGCGTTTTTAAGGGGCGGCACAATTAATATTTATTTATTCCATATTGCTTGGGCATACGCCCTGCCAAATGCGACCGCTGCGTGCAAGAGCCGAAAGCCAACTGCGGGCAAGCCACAAAAAAAGGACACTCAATATTTCGTCCTTCGTGTGGGGGTCGCCTGCACGAAGCCGAAGCGTAAGTTGTCAACTACGAAACGGCAGCAGGTCGTGACATATAAAACATATAACCGAAAATCAAAACAAAATTGTATTAACGAGTACAATATATTTCTTAAAATATGCAAAAAAAAAAAAAAAGAAAAATAAATAAATAAGCAAATGAAACGTTTTATTGATTTCCATTGAATGTTAAGTCAATAAAAAGAAACCTCTATTTCAATACAACGTCAAGTATTTATGTTATATGCCGCCTTGGATCTAACATAGACAATGTGGCCCATTAGCTCAGCTGGTTAGAGCGTCGTGCTAATAACGCGAAGGTCGCGGGTTCGATCCCCCCATGGGCCAGTTCTTCTTTTTTATATTTTTATAAATGAAAATTTTAGTGACCATACCCTTAGTATATATTCTTAAGTCTAGCACACATATTTGCACTTCACATGACAACAATCTTATCAAAAGTACCGCAAATACAAAATGTTTAACAGAAAGACTGTTCATTAGTTCATTATTAGATATCTATCATGTTTACCTATGAATGAATCACTTTGAGACTATGATTTTCACACACACACATAACAGTATTTTTAGATAACTGAGAAATGTTTACTTACGTGGTTGCAAAAGACCGGCAGACTCAGGCCTAGAGTATCGACTTTGTCTAGGTGCGGGTGCTGGTGTGGCATCCGCATCTTCCTCGTGTAGCTTGTAACGGGACACCATGTGTGTGTAGGGCTTCCGGCAGAGGGCCGCAAAGATTGGAGCAACTGGTGTGAACAAAAATTACACACAAGCGCACGCACATAAAATCACGCGCGAACGAACGTAATAATACGAAACTACACCAATTCTGCGTAACTAATGCACTTTTAGCTGTTCTATTATCTTAAACCCATTTTGTTATTGTTTTAATTATTGATAAGCCGAAACAAAAGAAAATAAAAACAAACACATACGCGCAGGAATGAGATGTAAACAGACTGGCAAATAAATAACAGATGCAGAACATTACGCCAAACTGTTAATAACATTGGGCCAAATGTAAGGGGGCCGTAAAACTGCCGATAGCTGTTGCTTAATAAATACTTAAAATATCTTCTAATAGACTAGAATTTTAAATTGTAAGAGAAAGCTTTATTAAAAACAATGTAGCTTATATAAACAAATTTAAAACAATTAATAAGCAGAAAATCATTGTTTTTAATACTGTTAACAGAGCTCTTACCGAAACAGCTGTTTCTAACATAATTGATTACGCTACTTAACAGAAGCCCTACAAGTGCTAAAATCATTTTAGATTCAGGGCCGCAAAGACAAACATCTGGCAACGCCAAATAGAAATACATAAATGTTTTCATTTAAACGACCGACCCGCGAATGCAATAAATACCCATTACGAACCAATTTTTAAAACGAACTACAAATGTATTTTATTCTATTGCATAATGGTACAAAACGCTTAGGTCTATTATCTTTACAGATTATACAAATTGTACAGCAGAAAAATTAATTCAAAACAAATAAATCATAACATTATTTCAATATCCGTTCCAAGTGTTAACTGAAAACGAAAATTCATAGCAAAATTTGGGATAAAAAGAGATTAATATTAATTCAAGCAAAATATTATGTTTAGTCTTTTATTTGTTACAGAACATTTAGATTGATATGGCAAGAAATGGCATTCGGCATCAGGGTTATCCAAGGGTTATTTCTAGCGAGCTATAGGTGTTTATGATACTGTTCAGAATCGGTTAGTAATGCTCTTAATTAACTATGTATTTTAAGGTCATTCAATATGAACGAATGTGTGTATGTGTGACTGGTTAACTTAATACCAGTTAGGTGCAGTTGGTGGAAACTTGCATTTTGTTACATATACATTATATATATTTTTATTATACACAGTCTTTTTTTAAAAAAATGCAAGTATTAATAACTCGTTGCTTTCGTGCCTTATATACAGACATTTACAAGAACATTTAAAAGAAACAAGAAAATTGGTAAAAATGAAAGAGGAAATTGTAAGAAATGAATGGTATTTGTGAGTCCACCTGATGATGATAATCAAATCAAATCAAATCAATTGTTATAACACATTCTCCATATTTGAGCGAACATTTCGCAGTACATTGTGCGTCTTAAGTATTTGATTTTTAATGTCCTTTTCGACTTGCGCTTTAGCTTTGTTAACCACACGTAACTTTTCATAGGTGTCTTCAAATGCGCGCTTGGTGCGTATTAGTTTACGCCGTAAATCGGCATTTTCTTGCTCTACCTTGGCGCAGTCGTGGATGGGCGGCAACTCCCCAGCGCTCGATGCAACAGCCTCTGTGTCGGGTGAAAGGTCTGCTGTCACAGAGAAATCTTCTTTATTTTTGTACAGCATTGCGCGCTTCACACACTTACCCTCCTTCTCGTCCAAAATATCAGCAACTTGGTTCGAATTATGCCCACCTAGCTCCACCGTTTTAAGCAAGGTGCGCTGCGCATTGGATAGCTCGACGCTCAGGACACGACCAGTATCACTCTCTATGCCCAGATCCGGCGAGGGATTATTAATGCGGCCAGCTCTCTGGTGAGCCACACGCAGCGGCACCTCCTCGGACGTGTAGCCGGACTGGTAGACATCGCTGGGCTGTGGGCACTGATGCTGTCGTTGCTCCTCCTGCAGCTGTGCTAGTTGCACTTTAAGCTCTTCCAGCCGTTTCTCCAGCTGCAATTTGTCATTGTAGGCCTTGGTACGCTCCATGATAGCCTTGGAAGCCTGCAGCGTGCTTTCATCCAATTCTTTTTTAAGCGAACGCGCCGCCAACTCATTCTCAACGAGCGTCTGCTTCAGCTCTTTTTCGTTGTCCTGATAGAACTCTAGCGAACGTTGCACGTCGACCAGCTGGCTCTTAAGCTCCTCATGCTTGGACACCGCAATCCAGTCGCGTTCCAATGCCTCCTGCTGCAGACGCTGCTGTGCCTCGAAACGTTGTGACGCCTCCAACTTGAATTGCGCCAGCTCGTTGCGTGCTTCAGCGAGCGCTGTCTTATGTTCATTTTCCATTTCCAGTATTTTCTTTTGGGCTTCCTGCAGCTCAAGCTCTGAGATTTGTGCATCCGCCTGCAGCGTATTGTGCAACATTTGCAGCTGTTCCAACTGCTGCGTCTTGAGTTCAATACGAGATTGCAACTCGGCAATTTCCTGATCATCTTGGCTGCCGATCGCACGCAGATCCGCGTGCAGCGCCTCGTTTTGTGCACGGAGCTGTTCCAGCTGTTGGGTTAACTCAATGACACGCAGCTGCTCCTGCTTGAAGCGGTTATCCGCGTCCACCAGTTGACATTGGGCCTGCAGTATGCGCTCGTCCCGCTGGGCTATTAGAGCCTCCAGCTGGCTGATACGCTCGCTGTGGCGACTGCGCTCCTGCTTAAGCGTATTGGCCGAACATGCGTGACCCTCACTATCCGATTCGCTCAGATGTTGCTCGCCCACCATGCTGTTCGAGGTGTCTTCCAGACCGATACGCGCCAAAGATACCTTACGATCGGGCTCGGACCAGGCTTCCGATTCGCTTTGATTGTCTGGCTGTTGTTGCGGCAGGGGCAGTGAGCGTCGCTCTTTTCGCTCTGATTTCAACGCCTTGTTCTCCGTCTTTGCTCCCTGCAGGTCTTCGTGCGAATTGTACGTATGATTGCACTCATCCGCCTCGGTGTACAATATTTCCGAGAGTTTGCTAAGTTGCGCGAGACTCTGATCAGCAAGGGAAACGCCAGTTATAGACAGTGTCATGTTTAAGCTCTTGGACAAGTCTAAGCTGCGATCCACCGCGCGGCGCATAGCATGCCGACGATCCGCTGCCAACACGCCCAGCACGTCCTTGTGCTTGAGCAGCGAATTGAGGAAGCCAGCTAGCTCTTCCAAACGATTGGTCAGCACGCTGCATACATCCGCGCACTCCAGACGCCACTTGTTGGCATTCTCCACATCCAACTCCATGGTTTGTACCTCCTGACGCAGTTGTGCAATAAGTTCGCTGTCCTGCTGCGCACCATCCAGACGCTGCAGCAGCACATCAACCTTGCGCTGAAGCAATTTGTTGCGTTTGAGAGCTTTAGCGAATTCTGCCTCCGAAAAGGATTGCTGGGAATCGGCGCCAACTGTGGAATCCTCGCCAGAATGTTCCACGGACTGTTGCTGCTGCTGATGACTGCTGCTGACCAACTTAGTTAGGCGCTCAACTTCGCGATTCTTCTCCCACAGCTCCTTGTTGACGAGATTCTGCAAATTGGCCGTCTTCTTTTTAACATCCGCCTGCAGCTGCTTGATTAGCTCATCCTGATCCGCAATTTGTTTTTCATAGCGCTGCTTTAGGCTGCGCGAAATATCCACGGCACAGGACTCGCTGTCGCTCAGCGAATGCAACCGTTTGCCAGGCGAGGACTCTGCGCCTGATTTACTCTGTAGAAAAATACATGTTATTTATTTATGGCCTTTAAGGCATCTAGTTGGCATTTCTATTTACCGTCTGCGCCTGCTGCTGCTGCTGTTTCATTCGGTTGATTTCCTTCTCTTGGCTGCTCAGTTTCTGCATCAGCTTCTGAATGGTGCGACAGGCCTGTTCGTGTACTCGCTCCCTTTCAGCCAGTTTCTCCTCGGCGTCCTGCAGCTCACAGATCTTGTCGGCCAATTGTGTGCGCAGCTCTTGATGGGGCTGAAAGTATATTTAATTATAAAGATTATAAGCCGACTGACTCATTGTAAAAGCTGCTGCTTAAGCACACACTCAAATTGAAAGGTTGACATGTTTCCACCTATGGTAGAAAATCGTTGGAACTGATTTTCAAATATAAACGCTTAAAAACCATCTGATATCGATCTCTGCACATCTCAAATTATGCCCACTATTTTTTGTTATTTTTATTTTAATTACATTTGTAAGTATTTAATAACGAGAAATTTTTGCATAACTACCAGCGAATATGTTGACACTCTATGCTAACAATGTTGAACTCGACATAAATAGAAACAAAATTGCGACGGCCGGCGTATGGTGTGTATATTCTCATCAGATCATCAGAGCGAATAGTGCACTGTCCAGTTGAGCCATGCTGCATTTCAGAGACAAGGTAGACATCAGCACGGTGGCCGGAGCAGGCAGACACAGTGATGCGCGCCTCTGTCTGGAAACACAGAATGTCGCATTGCAGTACAGTGCAGCTATTTGGCAAGGTAGGAACATCAGTTTGGATGGTGCGTGGAGCACCAGCACCATCGGCACAGCAGCTCACGCAATCCATTGAACGGCGGCAACGAATAGTTGTAAAAGGCCGTGCTAGGTGCGGCAACGGATAATGGCATTGGTACTGCCCTGCAATGCTGCGGATCGGGGAGGGGATTGAGTTGATATACACCACAGAATTTTTGGTCAAATGGTTCACCTCTGGCATTGAGAAATATAAACGCCTGACGTGACTGGCGCCGGAGAGATCCTGATTGCCAAGCAATACGCTGATCGCTGAAAAGTTGGAACGATGCGAACAACTGCTGGCACAACTTTGAAAACAACTTTGAAATTTATCAAAACGCATCGGCTGTACAATGGCAATCCGCTCCAAGCAATGCAGTCTATCCGTATATTGCAATTTATTGCTCAGATCCTGATAGAATTGCTTTTCGCGTCGCACCATATCAACCTCGCAGCTCTGTTTTCTAATGACGCTCTCGTATTCAAGAAGCCGTAGATATAGACGCCTGTGCGCAAGGTCCTTATCACTGATCAGGTCCTTGTTTGCGGAAAGTTTCGATTAGGTATCACACCGTTTTCCTGCTCGTCGCACATACTACTTACTTCCATCACATTTATTGTCTTGCGCTGAACGTTCAATATGGTCACCGCCTCGACTACCCACATATTCTTGCGCTGGATTTCTTGCTCGGCGTCTTTTAGCTCCCTGAGTAGACGTTCACTTCCCGCTAGGGAGGCGCTTAAATCGAGCTTCTGGCGACTTATCGTTTGCTAAGAGTTCAAACCACTTATCAATCCTCATCTCACGTGGCTTCCACCAGGTCCGAAAACCAATTCACCCACACACTATGATTTATATACACTACAATCTAATTTACTTACATTTGCTAGCTGCTCGATTTCCGTCTGCTTTTCAAGCTGCTCAACCAATTTGGCATTTTTAATTGCCAGCTCCTCAATCTTGGCTTCGCATGCCACCAGCGTCTCCTGGCGTTCGGCTAGATCATTTGTCAAGAGCTCCTGCTGACGCCTAGACTCCGTCTCCCGCAAATCGGCCTCGAGCAGTTCGTTCTCCAACTTAAGCACCTGTTAAGGGCGAAATTCACATTAATATAATTATATACAATTGAATTTTTAGCTAACATCAAGGCGCAACGTGACTAAGACTAACCTCTGCTTCCAAAGTCTTCAATTTTTCAGCATTCAGCGTATCAATCGACTTTTTGGTTGCCTTCTGCGTGGCGGCTGCCTGCTCCAAGAGAAATCGTGAATTCCCTTTCAATTTATAATGGAAAATTATAAGACTTACCTCTAACTGATTTATGTATTGCTGCATTTGCTCAATCATCGCCTGACTTTCCATGTCTGCCTTCTTTTGCATCTCCTCGTGCTGTGATATAGCTCGAGCCGCATCCTTTAAGAGTTCGGTCTTCTCTTCCACTCGCTTCCGTAGTATTTCGATTTCAATTTTGGAATCTATGAGCTGCTTGGAGGGGGACTCGGCGACATTTTTGCCGCCACGTGCGCCATGCTGACCCTCCTCCATAAAGTAAATTCGCAGCTTCAAATTGAAGTTCTCCTTGCGCAATGTCGACATCTGCTCCTCTAGCTCGCGCACGGACCGACCCTGCATCGGCGAATGAATACCTCCCGGTGCACGCGCTGCATCGAAGCTGGTATCTACAAAAAGACAGAGAAATATCGTTAATTGAATCTAGCAACTTGTCTCAAACCCATGAATCGTTTGTATAACCATCAAACATGCGTAAGCCATTTGTCGTGGATGTCCGTGGCGAGACCGCTGATAGTATGCCGTTTTTGCCCATTCCGGCAATAAATAAAAAAATATATAAAAGGAAACTGAGTGACTGACTTGCATATAGTATTTACGGGTGTGTTTCCAAACTAAACTCTAATAAAATAGATGTGTGTGTTGACATAATACACACGGACAAGTAGCTTAGACAAGCCCAATAAATAGTTGCCCCAAAATGTCAAAAGAAAAGTTGGACAGAAAATCCAGAACGAAAACATGATACCCTCAAAACATAGTCTAGTCGATACGCTTGTAAAACTAACTTGATAGTCTCTGCTGGAATTGTGATTGTGTGCCAGGGTATTTCACATTCGGCAGCTAAAAAAGAAATGTTATTTTTTCTTCTATACTTACATGAATTTTCCATGGTTACATCGTGAATACCGCCGGGACTTGTGCTGCAAATAAGAAACCATCAAACCAAATTAGAACTAGAAAACACGTAGCAGGAGGTATTACAAGAGGAATAAAAATAAATTCAACTTTATTCAATCAAATGAATTCAATACGAATATCAAAAAACCGACTGGATCGGTTAACAAGTGAAAGCGTCGTGATGATTGTTAGAAAAACAATTGGCTCGGGCAACGCCGGGTAACACCAGCTAGTACTTTAATATATATCGTCTAGAACTTTACAATAAATGTTGTCTATTGGCAGTGATCAATCGACACGAAATAGGTGCTTAATCCATTTCCGTTACGACAGTCGTGATTTCTATTTCCGGATCAGGCGTCAGAGTCGTTTCTGTGGTTTCCGGTTGGAAACAGTTTTCGGCGTCCGAGAGGGTTCCATTGCAGAACTCCTCGTAGACAGACCAGGCCGTCCAACCCTGCTGCTTCTTGATAAGCCGGGCACAGTGCACAGCCGTTGTGATATTATCGCTCAAGAGCTCTGTGCAGTTCACATTGCAGCCATTGAAGGCGTGGTAGGGCGTTGCCTTTGGGGGCGCACACCAGAAGCGATCGCTGATCTGAAAGAGACCATAGTCCCTCGAGCCATCCGAGTTGCCCTGTCCGACAACGTGTGTGTTGAAGCGACTCTCGAACTCGGCTATGCACAGCCATTGGCCAAGTTCCGTCTTGGGCACGTCCAATATATAAAGCTGTCCGGCCAAATCGCAAGGCGTCAGACGTATCGCCAATATGGGCGATAGCACCAGCAGGCACATCCACATGCCCAGGGCGAACTTATCCATTTTAACTATTTTTACTACTATGAGCGACAGTTATCCGGCCAGCTTTCAAGCACGATTTAACTGAGCAACCAGCTGGATAAGTCACAACACCTGTATTCCACGGCGTGCAGTAGAGGTGGTCGGTCAAGCCGTGACGGTCTAAATCAACACGAAACAAACATATTTCGGCCGATTCCATGCAATTCATGATATCTTATGTTCTATTGCCACAATACAAGTTCCTACACTTTACGGCTCTGCGCCCTAAACACAATTTCAAATATTTTCTAGCCCTTTAGGGCTTACACATTTGCATTCACTTTTAAATCACGCAACCATCTCTAGTCTGGAGGTCAATTTAAACAGGTTTGAATTGTTTTAATGCTGCCTCAAGCACCTATTATTAACTGCTAGTTTATCAACATGGCTTGTACATACAAACAAACATATTTGATAAGTCTTATAATAAATCGTATAATATTATAGCTGCTCGACGAAAAGATACCGATTACTAAGCTCTGTACTCGATCATAGGCGGGCTTATATCGCACCTTATGAGATATTGATAAGTGAACAACGAAAAAGTGCAAATGTAAGAGAAGACAACGTGCGAAATTCTGTGAAAGAGAGTGTTAGAGCGACATACGAGTGAGTTTAAGTAGGAGAGAGTAAAAGAGAGTTTGTGCTTGTGGAATGTATCTTTACAAAAGAGCGGACACATCGCCGTTCTATGCGATTTTCATGAACTTAAGCCATTCGTGCAGTTCGAAATGGGTCTCTACGTGCTTTTAAAGCAAAACCCAGCGACATACGCGGGTTTATATCGCACCTTATGAGATATTGATAAGTGAACAACGAAAGAGTGCAAATGTAAGAGAAGACAACGTGCGAAATTCTGTGAAAGAGAGTGTTAGAGCGACATACGAGTGAGTTTAAGTAGAAGAGAGTTAGAGAGAGTTTGTGAAAGATATATTTACAAGAGAGGAATAAGAGACGGGGATGTAAAATTGTGAGTTTAAATGTGCTTGTGGAATATATATTTACAAAAGAGCGGACACATCGCCGTTCTATGCGATTTTCATGAACTTAAGCCATTCGTGCAGTTCGAAATGGGTCTCAACGTGCTTTTAAAGCAAAACCCAGCGACAGATGGTTTCAAATATGCATACATATGACATGCAAATAAGTATCTAGTACATTTATACGAACAGCCGAAAATTTGGACTAGAGTTAAGTGAAGCGTGTAAATTCTGTAGTAGAATAGAAATGGCACACCTAGATGTTTTTTGTTTTTAAACAAATGGAACTTCTGATGTCATTCAAGTCAATTAATGTAAAATGACGACAATCTTTTGAATTCAATAAGCAAATAATTTTTTTAAATAACCCGTCTTGGCATGGCAAGAGGATAGAATTGTTATTAAGGTTTCAAATGCGTAGAAGCAAGCAGAAGCAAGCGCGCTATCTAAACTTGATACAAATGCAGTTTACTTTAGCAAACTGAAAGAAATTCAAAACCCGCGCAATCTAATCTTTAAACATACTACTATATATATTTATTTGACTTAAGGAAACTTACCAAAAAGTGGCCCCAGCTCCAGCACAAACTGAGAACCGTTTAAATGGCGATCTTGGCGATTCATTTGTGTTGATCATAGAGCTTGTGCGATATAGGCCTGCCATTATAATGTTTTTTGATTCTTGGCATTAATATGCAGCTTCAGTTTTAGGTATTCTTCACTCCAGTACATTGAACATACTGACGGTACAAATATGACTTTGATTTAGTTAAAGTCGAAACGAATGCGTCACCTCGTTGTTTGTTTTTACTTTTGCTGTTGTTGTTGTTGTTGTGCTTATCCTAAATAACTTGCGGCACACCAGTCTATAAATGCAACTTCAGTGCAGGTATATAATTACTCTGGGGTTACACACACACACACACACACACACACACTTAGATGTGTATGTGCCACGTCCTATGCGTCGATGAGTCATTGGCGCGCCAACTTTCCGCTGCCAGCCATGGCGCATGTTTTGGGTAGGCAAATGTCCCCGAAATGATGGCGCATCACATCACTCAGGAGCGCCACATAGCTGCACACATGCGTATATATTTATCTGGGAAGGGTATATTTTTGGGGCATCTGCTGCATCCAAGACTACGCTAGATGTGTATCTTGTTTCTTGTTTTTTTTTTGTTTGCTTGCAAATTTGCGAACCGGACCGGACGCAGCACCGGCGACACATGTGGGCCAAGCATTTCACGTGAGGGCCTCTTCAATATGAATTATTTTGGGAATTGAGCAAAAACACAAATACCAAATGCAACTTATGCTGTGAAATAATATTGTTGGCCTGAAACTGTTGCTGTTACGCTTTGTTTTGACCCGACATAGCTATGGTTACAATGGTTTCCAGTGGTAATCAATGGGCACACACAGCTGCCGAACATATGTGCAGATTTTGGAGGAGTAGCCAAGTTCCACTTTTAGCACACAACAGGTGTTCAAATTGTGACCCACATAAGGATGCACATGTGTCTGCAGTTGAAATTTGCAATATAGAACGATTTAGTTACACGGGCTACTGATAAAGGGGCTTAGATAAAGATAAAGTTGCAATTATCCTTCCACACGTGCGTCTGGTGAGAGCGATAAATTGATAGGCATATATATATATAATGGGATCTATGTTGCCTTCTGGTAATGAGTGCTATGTGTTTGCGAGAGAATACTGTAGTTGCAACAGCTGTTGCACGTGCTGTGTCCATGTGCCACATGTGTCCTGTTCGGGAGGCTCACTACCTGAACAATTAGCAAACAGCCGTCAGTGGAACGTATCATATGTCTAACATTTTAAGGTTCTGGAAATAATTAACAACAATTGGCGCCAAAAGACTATGAAAATGCAGTCTAAAAACAATTCCCCGCCCGGGTCCCCCTCCCTATTAGATGGGGCTTGAGGCTAGAGCGTAAACAAGATACTTGATTGTGACGCTTGCCCATAAATGAATGCATCTTCGTGTACAAAACTGAACTCATTTTGAAAAGCCGTGCACTGTGAAAAAACGGATGTACATTTGTGTAACTAAATATGCACATATCGATGTACAGACATTAGAGGGATAAAACTAGCATTAATAAAGAAAACTGTACTCTCAGCTGAATCGTGGTGGTGGTGCAAAGCGCAACTTGAGGGTATTATAACGGCGCACTGCAAGCGGGGTGAGGGGTTCAAACAAAGGTCAAACAGCCGCAAACGTGTGCATATAAACTGAACAACTTGCCACTTAAGTACAAGTACATATATCCTGCTTGTATATACAGTGAAAGCTCCACTAACGGACAGCTTACCTGGGTGAACATCTACAAAAGACGTTTACATTTTGTAAATATTTTTTTTTAAACTCTTTTTGTAATGGAAAAATCCCTAACAAAAAATGAAATTTAAGCGAAAATACTTTAAAATTTGATTTTTTGAATACATAACTAGTTTAGTTTATAATATTAGTTTCAATTTTCAATTTTTTGTGATGTTTTTTTATGTTCAGGACTGAACATCTAGAAGTACGTTCCCTGTAAACATATTTGCTCGATTTATCGAGCATGATAATACGCAGTTATAAATATTATATGTTTGTACATATATCCATAAGATGCTGTGCTATATTTTTCCACTACTAAATTTAGATGCAGCAACAACAACAACAACGACAAAGGAAATCAACAACAAGATGAGGCGCGCACCCGTAATTGCACACACACACACACACACATGCTCATACACACAGTCATGTACATGCATATAGAGACACGTCTGTAATTTATATAAGAATATTGTCTTTTTACACTGTTCGAGAGCATTCATCGAGCATATTCGACAATTTTTATCTACACATATAGCACACAGTGATTAAAAAATAAACATATATATTATTCTCACTTTTGTTGCTGCATACTTGCACATACATATACGCATGTATGTGTACGCGCGGATGTATATATTTATTTGAACGCGAGCCGCAGTGTATGTTTATTTGTTTGCTTGTATGTATTGCGCAAAAAGAAAGACTGATAGGCGTTAAGCGAATCACAATCACAACAAACGAACAAAAATACAATTGAAAATACTAGAATTATGGTTCTCTTCATATACATATGTCTAATTGAACCGAAAGCCAGAATAGTACTGAAAATGCGCATCAAGATAACGTGAGAGAAAACCCCCAAACGGCAAGCATCATCCGTTCATCTCATCCAACCGTATGTTTGTTCGCTCCGCAAGGAAAATGCGCTCAGCAAAACTCACACAAATGCACGGCAGATGTTGCTACTTTTTTCCGGAGCGCGCTCGCCGCTCACCCACCATATGACCAATGCGGCTGTGTTGGGTTTGGCTCTCCCACAAAATGGGGTGGGTAATGTACATACATCATGTGTACATATATTCTCACCAGCGAGTGAGGGGAGTTTATCTGGGACCTGCCGCTGAGCGCGTACGCACAGCATTTGATCTTCTGATGCAGTTTTGCTCACTTTGTGCTCAGATGCGGATGGTTGAATATTGTCATTAGTAAAAAGATATGTGCTGCTTTCATTTTTATGAATCCAAATATAGTTTTGGATCGAAGCCAAAGTGTGCGTTGCACTTGCAAAATTGCACTGCCAAACAGAACTTCAAAGGCGCAACTACAACACACACATAGACACAATAACCGCAAATGTACGCACAATAAGAACATATTTAATTAGTACTCACTCGTCTATGCTGATGCGTTTCGAAAGCGCCTCGGCCAAGTCTTTTAAAACCCTTGGATCGACGTCGGCAGCACCGTTTTCTTCTAGGAAACTGGTCACAGTTTCTATCAATGAAATTTCCTTTAAGGAGGAGGTACAAACGGCGTCACTGTCACAAAAGTCACGCGGCGTTTGTTTGGAATAATCCTGCTCCATTTTTGTTAGCTCGTCTTAATATTCCCAGGCTGTAAATTAATAGAGCTGCTTGAAACTTAACTATTCAAATATTATATTAAACAATTATAAGAATTTAGCGCGCTCGACTCAGATGTTTTTTGGCGTCTGTTTTTTATTGTTATCGATAAATCGCGAAGTACGCCACATAGGTGGCAACTTTCAATTACTGTGCTGCCAGACTTGAGAACATAACAAAGTGGCAAGCTCCACTTGCACGTAGTGCTATAAAAAGAAGAAGCAACATATATAGACTGCAAATTTAAATAGATTTACATTTACATTTCATTGATAAGCACATGCACAAGAAATACCCTAATTGGAGCAATGATATAAAAACAACTAGCCGTAACGCTGGTGTGCCGCATCGCGATAAACTGAATACGCTTAGTTGAGTCAATAATTACAATAGCCAACGGCACGCAGGCAACCAAAAATGTTTGCAACGCTTAAAAACAAAATTAAGGAGGAAACTGGAGAAGATGTGTCCACGTCGGCAACCCAGACGCATCAACGACACAACAACAACAACAACAACAATAATAATTATCGCATACGCAGTCGACGTGTGAGCATTAATTCCAACGTAGCTGATGATGTGGGCGGTGGCGGAGTCTACAGCGAGGTGGGGTCAAAGCAAACACAACATTTATATATTTATAATAATACTGAGAAACATCTGTTTATATTCTAGTCCGAACAACTGTGCCAGCTACGAAGCCAATGCAACGAGCTTGCGTCCAGAGTTAGCTGCCTGAGTCAAAATTTACAAAAATTGCAGGAGGAGAAGACACGAGTGGACAAGACAAATGAGATTCTATTGGAAAGCGTTCGAGTTGCTCAGACCCAAAAGGACATCTATTGCGAGGAACAGGAAAAGATACAAAATCTGCAACAAATTGAAATTGATAAGCTGAAAAGTTTGCTCGGCTTTCGCGAGCAGGAAGCCGTTGATCATATGAATGCCATACGCCAGTATCAGCAGCAGATTGAGAATTTTAACCAGGAGCTGGAACGATTGCGCTCCATTGAGCCCATTGCTGAGGATTTGCGCGATGAACTGGAGCAGTTGCGCCATGCCACACAGCAGGAGAAGAACCATTTAACTACAACTCTGGCTGCCGTGCAGGAGGATAATCGCAACATGAAAATGCGTATGAGAATTATTGAGGAGGCGCGTCTGGAAGCTTTGCCCCAACTAAATACCGAACAGCAAGTGCAGGCACTTGTGCAGGAGCACAAATTGTTAGAACAGCATCTCGAGGAGGCGCATTTGCAGTTGGCCGACATCAAGAGCTCTTGGAGTGGCCAGAACTTTGCGCTAGAGAAACAAGTGAGTCGCCTGTCCCAACAGGTGGCCGAGGAGACCACCGAAAAGCGAAAGGCGCTCAAAGCACGTGACGATGCTATAGAAAATCGAAAGCAAGTCGCATTCGAGCTAGAAAAAGCCAACAGTGAGATCAAACAACGAGACGATAAGGTAAACACACCATACTTAACTAGCTAGAGATGTTTAATTCAACTGTTTGCATATAGATTAAACTATTGGAAGACGAACTCAATGAGCTGAACATTGCATTAAAAGAATGTCGCGAAGAGAATGAGCAGCAAATTCTATTTGAGCGCAACAAATCCGTGAGTATCCCTTCTGACGTTGGCGGTTAGCAGTGGCACACACAACCATACATACACACACATAATACACATTTATTAATGGCATGAATAATTATTTATATAACTAACAAATTCTATTAGCAAGTAAATTAACACTTTCCTCGCAATTGTTTCATACAATGATAATATGTATTTTATACTTTGTTGCATTTCTTCTTATTTAACAATCTGTATTATAATCCAAGAAACTATTCTTTTTCTATTAAATTGCTTTTATGGTTTACAACCAAAAACAAATGTTACAACTTATTTCAACTAAACTTAAACTTAGGAAACGCTGGCAGCTGAAACAAAAGATCTCAAAATGCGACTTGATACCGCTGACGAAAGATTCAGTGAATATGTGAAAAATACTGAGCAAGTCGCTCAAAAGCTGCGCACACAACTTACCGAGAAACAAGATCTTTTAGGCGATACACAAATGAAATTGGAAGTTGAGCGCGAGGAGAAACTGACTGCCTTGCTACGCAACGCGGAGATCTCGCAGAGCGAAGAGCTGCTGAAGAAGGAGCTGCGCATGGAGCAAACCGAATCCAATGATTTGCACGACAAGAACAAGCAACTGGAGAAGGATGTGCAAGAGGCACGCCAAGCATTGCAGTTACTCAACGATGCGGCCCAACAGAATGCAATAGAGCAGGCAAAATACGAGCTGACACAACGAGAAATTGCTGAAAAGAATAAGGTGAGCGTATCCAAGGGATTTATCCTTTTGTGTTGATTATAATTCTAAGTTAAAGCATTGAAATAAGAACTCATCTATAAAGGTAGCCTGTGCATTCTGTGCTGTTTGTATCTTTATATTACAAAGTTCACTACAAATATTGTCATATCTCTTATGCAGACAATAAAAACGTTAAATCAGCGCTTGGGAGACCTCAAAAAGACCTTGCAAAAAGAATTTCGAAGTTCGCAAACAGCTACCATCGATGTTGACACGGACCAAGTTATACCCGCCTTTAGAATTTCCAATGCACCAATTGAGAGCTTTCAATCGGACAACAAACCCAATTGCATAATTATGGATGAAGTAAATTTTAAGTATCTAAAACATGTCATCGTCAAGTTCTTGACAAGCAGAGAGGTATGGATTGATTTAAATATCGATAAGAGTACTTTAAAGTAAACCCTTCTTGCAGGTCGAGGCGCGTCATCTGGTGCGAGCCGTTTCCACGCTGTTGCAGCTATCCCCGGAGGAAGAAAAACTGCTGCACGATACGCTTAATTGGAAAATGAGTTGGTTTGGCGTGAAACCCAGTTAAACTCGATCGATGACAAGTGATAAATGCATGCATTTTCATGTGCAATAATTAGGTACATTCATATGTACATATACACATACATTCCTACATTCATATATAATTTAGTTTTTCATTGTGAACCATTTGTACTATGTACATATTACATTGAATTACATTGTGATTTTAAAATTTCTGTATACATCTAACATCTTACCAAAAAAAAAAAATTACAAATGTATTGCTTCGAAAAATGACGACGTTCTCTACGCGTCAGTTATACTGTGGTAATTATATTGTTGATTTAATTATTATTTTGTTTATTAATCTTATTATTTGTTAAAAATTTATAGTAACATTTTTACACATAACCATAAACATATTCGTACATACATACAATTAGAACGGTTTGTGATGCACTGTCAATAAAAGCCTATTCTTAATGCAATTTTCATAAACATTTTCAATATTAACAACAAACTAAGAACACTTACCAGTTGATATAAATAAATTTAGCTTACAATTAATTTGAAGCTAAAATACAACAGCACGCTAGCACGAATTTGGCCGCGCAAATTAAATATCGATAACTCTTGTTATCGTAAAACTTCACAGTAATGGTATTTTCTGAACTTGGTATTTTTGTGAGGAAATTTAGGTATTTCCACATGTGTCAATAGGCACAGTCACACTGTGTCTATTGACAATGCCGCTTGGAGACGCTGGGCGAATTGCTGTTTGTTGGTTTGTAAAATACGTGCATTAAAAAAACACGTTGTTACGTTGTTAAATTAAAATTGTGTGTTCATTAGGGCATTTTTAACCGTTGGTGGAGTGTATGCATTTGTATTGTCAAAAAGATCAGTAGAAGGCCGCAGATTCGAGACATTACGTGTGCGAGAGCGCATGAAAAAGGCAAACCACGGTGAATACGATCACACAATTTCGGACAGGCGCTTCGACTAGAAAACAACTGCAAATACAATCAAATAAATAAAAAATATATATTTATTTATAACCAACTTACATTAGCAACTACATATAATACATAACAAAAATGGCTATGCCACAAATAAGCGTGGCCGACCAGGCAAAATTGCAGCTGATGCAAGAAATGGAAATTGAAATGATGTCGGATTTATATAACCGCATGACTAACGCCTGTCACAAGAAGTGCATCCCGCCGCGCTACGGCGAGTCAGAATTGGGTGAGCTTTAATTCATAGGAATGCATTTCCAGTTCTTATTATAATAATCAACAAATTTGCTGTTTGTAGGCAAAGGCGAAATGGTTTGCATCGACAGATGCGTTGCAAAATATTTGGACATACATGAAAAGATTGGCAAGAAGCTAACGGCCATGTCCATGCAGGACGAGGAGCTGATCAAAAAAATGTCTAGTTAAATTTTAAGTTTCTAGGATTTGGTCACATTGACCCGAGCCAAAGCGCATTTCAATTGTTACGTTTTACACACACCACGACAGGCACACACACACACACACACAAACACAAATAAACATAGTACGCAACAACTCTATTTGAATTATCTTAAAATGTTGTCACAAAACGAGACATTTCAGGCAGCATAACGCTTAAATCCTCAATGGTATTCTCCAAGTTGCTTTCATCCGAACTATCCAATTGGCTGGTGCGTGCGCTATTAGCCCAATCCGACGAGGACTCCTGCTCCTGCTGCGCATTTGGTTCTTCCTCTAAATTGGCACTTAACCCGTTCGCCGTGACTCCAGCTTCGGGCAGCAGCTCAATCACCGACTCCACATAGATGTTTGTCTGGTTCTGCAAATCACAAATTATTCGTATGTAACAGATCAAGACTAACTTTTGTTTAACATAATGTCAGTATCTGAGCGGGATTTGCCCAATTGTAAAACTCACCTGCGCCAGTTGCTGCAGCGCAGGTAGCGTGCTAATTGGATTCTTTGATAAATTGAGCATACGCAAAAAGGTCAGTTGCTCCAGCTCAGCGCGATCGGGAATTAGTTCAATGCGATTTTCATTGAGGAACACGAATTTCAAATTGGGCATGGTAATTAACATGCATGGCAGACGATTCAGACGATTGCCCTTCAGATTCAAATGTATTAGATTTTGCAGTAATCCAAATGTTTCTGGTAGCTCGTCAAGCTCATTGCTCTCCGCCGTAAACCAGCGCAGCTCTGCCAGTTTGCCCAGTGCATCGGGTAGCTTGCGCAAACGATTTCCACGTACACCCAGCGTTTGCAGGCGCTCGCAATTGGATATTTCAGTTGGCAGCCTGCGCAGTCCCGTATTATTGCACCAGAATGTTTCCAGAGCCGTGAGGTGTCCCAGTTCCGGCGGCAAACGGCATATATTGTTGCAACTGACATTCAGGAATTTCAATCTGACCAATTGACAGATGCACGCAGGAAACTCATCGAGCTTGTTGTAGTCCAGCGCCAAGACTTGCAATCGCATCAAGTTGCCTAGACTGGATGGCACCTGTTTAGTTTATAAGCAGATATATTAACTGTGTACACACATCTCTGTACCATTGTCCTACCTTGGTTAGTTTATTCTGATTTAGAAATAGCTTCATCAGCGTTTCACAATGCTCGATAATATCTGGTAGCTCGGCCATTTGGTAATGCGATAGATTTAAGGAAAACGCTTTCTTGCATATCACATCCTCACAGTTGGCCAATATATAATTGGTGCGAAAAAAATGGCAAACTGCGTCCATCTGTGACTTTTCGTTTTTTCTCCTCAGTACTCGAGAATTATCTCTGACAGTTACAATTTAGACCGAATATTTTCCAAATCTATAATACATTTTCGAAGCACAGGCTGGGCGACAAACTAAAATGCCAGTACAAATAATTTTGTCTAGTCATCTATATATATGTATATATATCTATATAGAATCTATAGTGTAGAACCCTCTGGCATTTGCATATACAACACAGTCCTGGGTTTCTAAATTTAAAATTGCGTTGCTCGCCAAATAAAATTGCAATAACAACGCAAATTTTATGGCACCGAATCTAATATACCCTCACCATATAGGTGAACAAATAATTAATAGCCATAGAGACTGCTCAGATTTCATCATTAATTTAGAGTTGAAATCAATGTCAGCTACAATTTAAAGATCATTTAGCAACCTGGATCAATGTGCCGGGCTATCTATCAAATTATTTGCTGGCAAACAAATGAGGGGCACACAACCAAAAGTATTATGCAACGGGCGTGTTCTTCTTTTAACCTGAACCCATTAAAAATGGGTATAAGGGTATATTGAATTTGTGCAAAATCCAAATGTATGTAACAGGCAGAAGAAGGCATCTCCGAATCCATAAAGTATATATATGCTTGATCAGCATCAATAGCCGAGACGATCTAGCCATGTCCGTCCGTATGTATGAACGTAAGGATCTCAGAACCTATAAGAGCTAGAGAGTCGCGACTAGAACCTCTTGTTTAATAATTAGTTCAAGTATAACCAAATATATATCTGAGCATGCACTCAATTTGAGTTAGCTCAGCTATAAAATTTTCCTATCCGGCTTTTCCCAATGACAATGATTGGTAAGCGGTAAGAAAATGCTTTATTTGGGGTCTAAAACTTATGTGAGGGTTAAACTTTGCATGAAAACATTCAATTTTTTTTATTATTAAACTTTCACTTTAAAGAAAATTGAAAAAAATATGTTACAAACTCTAAAATTGACAAAGAAACGTATGTATTTTAGTGCCACCTGCACAACGCCGGGTAACTTTTTGGTGACTACAAATTACTTAGCATTAATGTACATATCATTATCGGCATAATAGAGTTCAAGACACACTCGTTCGATCTCGACTAAATATTCGCTTGACTTAATTATTTTGCCATCTTCAGCGATTTGGACGGATTCACTTGAGTGCTTTGTTCCAGGCTTTTCCAAATCGAAACACTCTCGTTCGGAGTGAGCGGAGCCAGAGCCGAAATTAGGCTGGGGTATCGCAGCACCGTGACTCACAACTACGCTGCGAGTGCCCCTATAAGCCCGGACTGTGGGATCACGATCGTGCCGGGTAGCTGAGGGTATGGATATGGTATTCACAAATGGTATTCATGCTGATCATGGGATTCACCTGATTTGACGGCGCCATTCTTATTATGCACGTAGATGTTGCCCTGCTCGTCAGTATAGCTGTGCAATCCACTTGCAGGCATGTTCTGGAACGTGCCAGCCACACCAGGCACCTGGTAGCTGCCTTCATTTGGACCGCGTATTAAAACCGGCTGGCTAGGTGCACTGAGCACGTGCGGACCATTGCTTCCATCGTAAGTGCTTTGTGCATCAACTGCTGGAGGCGAAATCGAAAGCTGATGTAAATTAAAAAAGCAAGAATGCAAATCAGTTTAGTTACCGATACAAAGCCAGCTCAATCCAAGTATAGCTCGTAATTCCATGTTGCCTATTCCGCAAATGATCTGACCGGAAAGCTCTTTCAGCATTTATACCAAGAATCTGAGCGCGCGCCAATCGGGAGCGTAATTCCAGATCTCAGACGACGACACTCGGCTTGATCGGGCTCGGGAAATCGGGAAAATCCCCATTCAATCCAAACTAGTCTTTATGCTGACAACTTTCATATATTTCATTTACACATGTACATTAATTTTCATCACCTCTCACCTGTGACTTTTTCTAGCTATCTGCTAAATTTGACATGCAACAAAAAAAACTGAAAAATAACACTATTTAACGCGACTTTACAGGCGCTTACTTAACGATTTGATAGATTTAAAAAAAACATGCATATAGTATACGAATGAACTTAGCTTCGGCTCAGAATTGCACAGAATGAAAGAATAACTTTATTCAATATACGACAGGTCATGTTAATTGGTTCTCAGAAAACACTATATGTATTGTTTTTAGTTAAATACAAATCTTGCTTGTAAAGTTAACAATAAATACCAGCAGCCTTCACCTAACATGAAATGCAAAAGTTCTACAACAAGTATTGATTATTTACAAGACCGCAAACTGGTTTTGACCCGGCTTAAGTCTGAACTAGAGGGTAGCTTTTTAAATAATTAATTCAATTATAAAAACAGAATATAGGTCGTTATTTACTTATTTATTTGATTTAGGAGTTAACTAAGCAATAATAATTACTGCCCTATTTTATACATTTGATTTTTACGATTGTTTCTCCATCTAGGATTAACCGGAATACTGCAAAGAATAAAATTATTCAATGTTTTCTATTTGTTATCTATGTTATGTATCACTTACGCGTTGTGGACCACGTCCATTGGGGCTGCCTGAGGTGATGACGTTGCCATTGCTGTCAATGCTAACTGTGCGTCCGTCCGGGCGCTTCCAAACAGAGACACCATCGTTCCAGACTCCAGCTTGATCATCGCGTGCCACAAAGTTTTCACCTTGGACACGAGCGCGTCTTTGACGGGAGTGGGCGACAGTGCGGCCATCGTGGCCATTGACAATGAAGCCGCCTTCGCCATAGCTAACAGAGCGTCCATCCGGACGGCTCACGTGCCCAGACTGGGGGCTGCGGCGCGCTCGTTGTATTACAAAGTCACCGCCAGGGCCGCCATAGTCGACGGTGCGATCCGGGCGAGCAACATGAATGTCGCGACTACTGCGGCCAACGTAAACTTGACCGCCGCCGCTGGCGACAACACGATCCGGACGGCTCACGAGCACAGACTGTGGGCTACGACGGCCTCGTTGTATAACAAAATCACCGCCAGGGCCGCCATAGTCGACCGTGCGATCCGGGCGAGCAACGTGAATGTCGCGACTACTGCGACCAGCGTAGTGTTGACCACCGCTGCTGACGACAACACGATCCGGACGGCTCACTACGACGCCTCGGCGACCACGATATGCATTCGCTGCCGGTCCGCGCTGGGCCACTAAACTCGGTCCACTTATGCTGTGGGTAGCTAAGGGTACGGCTTTGTAGCCATTAATGAGGTTGAGGCTGATAAAGGAATTTACCTGGTTGGCCGGGGCCATTCTTATTATGCACATAGGTGTTGCCCTGCTCGTCTGTATAGCTGTGCGATCCACTTCCAGGCGAGTTCTGGAACGTGCCAGCCACACCAGGCACCTGGTAGCTGCCTTCATTTGGACCGCGTATTAAAACCGGCTGGCTAGGTGCACTGAGCACGTGCGGACCATTGCTTCCATCGTAAGTGCTTTGTGCATCAACTGCTGGAGGCGAAATCGAAAGCTGATGTAAATTAAAAAAGCAAGAATGCAAATCAGTTTAGTTACCGATACAAAGCCAGCTCAATCCAAGTATAGCTCGTAATTCCATGTTGCCTATTCCGCAAATGATCTGACCGGAAAGCTCTTTCAGCATTTATACCAAGAATCTGAGCGCGCGCCAATCGGGAGCGTAATTCCAGATCTCAGACGACGACACTCGGCTTGATCGGGCTCGGGAAATCGGGAAAATCCCCATTCAATCCAAACTAGTCTTTATGCTGACAACTTTCATATATTTCATTTACACATGTACATTAATTTTCATCACCTCTCACCTGTGACTTTTTCTAGCTATCTGCTAAATTTGACATGCAACAAAAAAAACTGAAAAATAACACTATTTAACGCGACTTTACAGGCGCTTACTTAACGATTTGATAGATTTAAAAAAAACATGCATATAGTATACGAATGAACTTAGCTTCGGCTCAGAATTGCACAGAATGAAAGAATAACTTTATTCAATATACGACAGGTCATGTTAATTGGTTCTCAGAAAACACTATATGTATTGTTTTTAGTTAAATACAAATCTTGCTTGTAAAGTTAACAATAAATACCAGCAGCCTTCACCTAACATGAAATGCAAAAGTTCTACAACAAGTATTGATTATTTACAAGACCGCAAACTGGTTTTGACCCGGCTTAAGTCTGAACTAGAGGGTAGCTTTTTAAATAATTAATTCAATTATAAAAACAGAATATAGGTCGTTATTTACTTATTTATTTGATTTAGGAGTTAACTAAGCAATAATAATTACTGCCCTATTTTATACATTTGATTTTTACGATTGTTTCTCCATCTAGGATTAACCGGAATACTGCAAAGAATAAAATTATTCAATGTTTTCTATTTGTTATCTATGTTATGTATCACTTACGCGTTGTGGACCACGTCCATTGGGGCTGCCTGAGGTGATGACGTTGCCATTGCTGTCAATGCTAACTGTGCGTCCGTCCGGGCGCTTCCAAACAGAGACACCATCGTTCCAGACTCCAGCTTGATCATCGCGTGCCACAAAGTTTTCACCTTGGACACGAGCGCGTCTTTGACGGGAGTGGGCGACAGTGCGGCCATCGTGGCCATTGACAATGAAGCCGCCTTCGCCATAGCTAACAGAGCGTCCATCCGGACGGCTCACGTGCCCAGACTGGGGGCTGCGGCGCGCTCGTTGTATTACAAAGTCACCGCCAGGGCCGCCATAGTCGACGGTGCGATCCGGGCGAGCAACATGAATGTCGCGACTACTGCGGCCAACGTAAACTTGACCGCCGCCGCTGGCGACAACACGATCCGGACGGCTCACGAGCACAGACTGTGGGCTACGACGGCCTCGTTGTATAACAAAATCACCGCCAGGGCCGCCATAGTCGACCGTGCGATCCGGGCGAGCAACGTGAATGTCGCGACTACTGCGACCAGCGTAGTGTTGACCACCGCTGCTGACGACAACACGATCCGGACGGCTCACTACGACGCCTCGGCGACCACGATATGCATTCGCTGCCGGTCCGCGCTGGGCCACTAAACTCGGTCCACTTATGCTGTGGGTAGCTAAGGGTACGGCTTTGTAGCCATTAATGAGGTTGAGGCTGATAAAGGAATTTACCTGGTTGGCCGGGGCCATTCTTATTATGCACATAGGTGTTGCCCTGCTCGTCTGTATAGCTGTGCGATCCACTTCCAGGCGAGTTCTGGAACGTGCCAGCCACACCAGGCACCTGGTAGCTGCCTTCATTTGGACCGCGTATTAAAACCGGCTGGCTAGGTGCACTGAGCACGTGCGGACCATTGCTTCCATCGTAAGTGCTTTGTGCATCAACTGCTGGAGGCGAAATCGAAAGCTGATGTAAATTAAAAAAGCAAGAATGCAAATCAGTTTAGTTACCGATACAAAGCCAGCTCAATCCAAGTATAGCTCGTAATTCCATGTTGCCTATTCCGCAAATGATCTGACCGGAAAGCTCTTTCAGCATTTATACCAAGAATCTGAGCGCGCGCCAATCGGGAGCGTAATTCCAGATCTCAGACGACGACACTCGGCTTGATCGGGCTCGGGAAATCGGGAAAATCCCCATTCAATCCAAACTAGTCTTTATGCTGACAACTTTCATATATTTCATTTACACATGTACATTAATTTTCATCACCTCTCACCTGTGACTTTTTCTAGCTATCTGCTAAATTTGACATGCAACAAAAAAAACTGAAAAATAACACTATTTAACGCGACTTTACAGGCGCTTACTTAACGATTTGATAGATTTAAAAAAAACATGCATATAGTATACGAATGAACTTAGCTTCGGCTCAGAATTGCACAGAATGAAAGAATAACTTTATTCAATATACGACAGGTCATGTTAATTGGTTCTCAGAAAACACTATATGTATTGTTTTTAGTTAAATACAAATCTTGCTTGTAAAGTTAACAATAAATACCAGCAGCCTTCACCTAACATGAAATGCAAAAGTTCTACAACAAGTATTGATTATTTACAAGACCGCAAACTGGTTTTGACCCGGCTTAAGTCTGAACTAGAGGGTAGCTTTTTAAATAATTAATTCAATTATAAAAACAGAATATAGGTCGTTATTTACTTATTTATTTGATTTAGGAGTTAACTAAGCAATAATAATTACTGCCCTATTTTATACATTTGATTTTTACGATTGTTTCTCCATCTAGGATTAACCGGAATACTGCAAAGAATAAAATTATTCAATGTTTTCTATTTGTTATCTATGTTATGTATCACTTACGCGTTGTGGACCACGTCCATTGGGGCTGCCTGAGGTGATGACGTTGCCATTGCTGTCAATGCTAACTGTGCGTCCGTCCGGGCGCTTCCAAACAGAGACACCATCGTTCCAGACTCCAGCTTGATCATCGCGTGCCACAAAGTTTTCACCTTGGACACGAGCGCGTCTTTGACGGGAGTGGGCGACAGTGCGGCCATCGTGGCCATTGACAATGAAGCCGCCTTCGCCATAGCTAACAGAGCGTCCATCCGGACGGCTCACGTGCCCAGACTGGGGGCTGCGGCGCGCTCGTTGTATTACAAAGTCACCGCCAGGGCCGCCATAGTCGACGGTGCGATCCGGGCGAGCAACATGAATGTCGCGACTACTGCGGCCAACGTAAACTTGACCGCCGCCGCTGGCGACAACACGATCCGGACGGCTCACGAGCACAGACTGTGGGCTACGACGGCCTCGTTGTATAACAAAATCACCGCCAGGGCCGCCATAGTCGACCGTGCGATCCGGGCGAGCAACGTGAATGTCGCGACTACTGCGACCAGCGTAGTGTTGACCACCGCTGCTGACGACAACACGATCCGGACGGCTCACTACGACGCCTCGGCGACCACGATATGCATTCGCTGCCGGTCCGCGCTGGGCCACTAAACTCGGTCCACTTATGCTGTGGGTAGCTAAGGGTACGGCTTTGTAGCCATTAATGAGGTTGAGGCTGATAAAGGAATTTACCTGGTTGGCCGGGGCCATTCTTATTATGCACATAGGTGTTGCCCTGCTCGTCTGTATAGCTGTGCGATCCACTTCCAGGCGAGTTCTGGAACGTGCCAGCCACACCAGGCACCTGGTAGCTGCCTTCATTTTGACCGCGTATATATACCTGCTGGCCAGGTGTTCCAAATACGTGCGGACCATTGCGTCCATCATATGTTTTTTGTGCGCTAACCGCTGAAGGCGAAATTCAATATAATGTCAATTTAAATGGAAAAAGCAAGCGCGTATATCAATTTAATTACCAGCACAAAGCAAAAGCAGGCAGCTCAATCCAAATATCGCTTGTGATCCCATGTTGCCTATGCCACAACTGATCTGATCTGAATGCTATAAGCACCGTGCTTCTCCAGTATTTATAGCAAGAGTCTCGGAAGGTGCTAATCGGCAGTAAATTTCCCCAGACGACGACATTCGGTTTGATAAGCACAGATCGGGCTCGGGAAATTCAGAGGCTGCCAGCAAGGCGCTAATAACATTTACTTGCCTTTGAGCTAACAAATCTCATATATTGCCACTTTGCATCTCTGACATTTCCAAGACATCCATCTGCCAGATTTGACCCCAGTAAAACGGATAAATATGACTATTTAACTGGCGCCCACCTTACGTTCTCATCTAACTCAGGCGCATATGCACATAGTACATGTTTATAATAAGATCACATTGTTTGTTTTCAATAGCTTTCAGTTCTGATTACACAGAATAATGGCCCGGGCAATACCCAACGAACGAACAAGTTGAATTAATCTACGCCAGATCAAATCGATTCAATGCACAGCATGCATATTAGTAAATACGCATATATGTATGCATATGTGTGTGTGCGTGTGTGTATTATAATTTAATTCCGAATCATGCTCGTAAAATAGGTAATAACAAAAAGTAACCTCCACTTAATAAGAATTACAAACGAGTTTAACAATAAGCTTCAATGTTTTTCTTGTATACGTTTTTTTATTTAAATCAGGGATGCAGAGTTTAAGCCGAACCGATGTGAACCTTGAATTCCAGGAACTTTGAAGTGAACCGAACTCTGAACCGAACCACTTGCGCAAGCAAGATTCCTGAAACAATTAAGAGTGCTCTAAACAAGAGTATTCGACTGGAAAATACCCTGTGTACTGTACATTAAGCTGCTGTACATCATACCCTCCAAAGGAATTCGCAATTTTTAATGTGGAATTGATTACATTTCAGGACTGGCAACATAATTTTTATAGATTTTTTGGGTATTAGGCACACCTTATGCATGTTTCAAGTCAATATACCCATTATTACCAACTAATGAGAACAGGGTATAACAAACTACGTACTGCTTGGTTTAAGACATAACACTGACTATTAATGAAAATATATATTAGATTTGATTTTATTGTGGGCATGTCTCTCCAGACGATATTGAACTTAAAACTAAATGGAATTCCTCTTTCAAATACAAAATAACATTTAAAAATTTGCAATCTAGGTGGCCGGTCTAGCATTTGTACTGGCTTCTATCTATCGTTAACCAGTGGATGGTACCAATAATTCTTAATCCTCCGGCACCTTCCACTGCAGCTGTTTACCACGATCGTATAGATTCTTCAATGCTAGCGTAAATTTCTTCTCCGCTTGCAATTGCAGATAATGTTTATATAGCTGAAGGGTTGTGCGAGCATCCTCAATGGAGTCATGCGTTTCAGATTGTATTTTTGTGCCTATCAAAATTGAATGTGAATAATGATTGGTAAAACCCTGTTAAATTGTGGAACTTACCCAAAAAATGCCAAGCCAAAAAGCGCAATGAAACCATGCGATGATGGGGAAGATGAAACAGGTGCACCGTGTCGATGATTTGATCGGATGGTACGTATATATTAATGACCCTTTAAAGGTAACAAATTCGATAAAATCTCACATGATATATATATATTAAAATTACATGTTATGTTTATTCAAATTACCTGAAATCATTCTTTAAGCCATGACCCACAAATATAACGCCAATATCGACAAGAAACTTTAATTTCTGATACGAGTACTTCAAGGCAGTCAAACGTTTATTACTAAAGTTTGCATCGAGGTCGCCGGGTTTAATGCCAGAAAATTGTGTAAGGTAATCGACAACCTTCTCTTGTGTCGAAATGTAATCATCTATGAATGGTACACCTTCATCAGGGCCTTGCCTAATATTAAATAAGGTATTAAGTAATTGATCCTCTTGGATGCTACGTACACAAACTTGCCCACGAATACAGGATATACGCGCCACACTCATATGACAGGGTTTTATGGTCGCCGTTTTGCCATCCGGCCGTATTTCGTTCTCCTCCGGGTTTAATGTTACAAATTCCGCATCCATGGCAATTAAGTCGCCTGCCTGTGGCATCTCATTTGATTGCAGTGGTCGCAAGGTTGCATCAGTGCCGGGTTTTTTTGATATCGGGTTTAAGATGTCCTACAAGCATTTTAAGAATTAATAAAATAGTGTTATCTAGTTTATTTGGTCAATACTCTTACTTGCAAGAATGGATTGGTTGGAGTATTGGTAGTTGAATCGTTGGTTTGTGTGGCTGTTACAGTAGCGGAGTCTCCCACGGTTGGAGTTGTGTCTGTTTCATCCTCTACACTGCGATAAAACAGCACACACGGCACCTTCCAATCCAATGTGAACCAAACAGATTCTTGTGGTGAAACAGGTGAAATGCTAAAATCATTGAAAATATACCACTGCGACTGCGTCTCATCAATTGCATCCGAGGTAGTCGCCTTCATAGTATGATATTTTTGGCGCACATTTATTAGGGACACCAAATTCTTTTGGGTGCCATCGTCAATTTGACAGACAACTGCATGGAGGGCATACATTCGTTGGATGTGATTCTTGGGCAGCGTTTGCTGTTGTTGCTGCTGCATTAGCTCCTCATCTTCCGACTCCTGTTCCGTTTTGGAAGCGTGTGTGGGTGATAACACGCTCAGCTCACCTGTCTCACTGATGCCCATGTTGAAGGCCAGTGGAAACCAGGATTTTTGACGCGCACTAGGTGAGCTGTTGACATTGCTTGGCTGATTTGTGTGAGAAGGAGATTTTCTATATAGGTAGAAAATATTAATTTATAAGTCTTTATACACAAAGAATAAATCACTCACCTATCCGGATGCATAAAATGGCAATCACTACGCGAACAGTTGATGCCATAACGGCACGGCTTGCTGGTACTTAAAGATGCTGCCTCAGCAGTTGGTCGATCGTTGGTACGATTAAGCTGGCGTTTCAAGAAGCTGATATCCTTTTCATTGTTTAGCCCACAGTTGATCGCCAATACTTGCGGCAGCGATGTAACCTAGTCGATAAATAAAAATTCAATTCAATGGCTTAATATAATATTTATATTAATCGATATGTTACCTTAACGCTCTGATTAGTTGGCGAAAACTTCTTACAGCTCTCACAAAACGCTTGAATATTTTTCTCAGAGCTCAAAGATCGCTTCAAAATGTTACCAAAATCAAAGTGCTGCTCATTGTCCTTTATATGCGTGGGGTATGATAAGTTGCAAGCCAGCAAAATATTTTCTTTTGATTTCTGTTAAAATGTTATTGATAGAATTAATTGTATTTTATAATTTTAATATTCACCTCTGCCTGACACTTGATACATCTGTTTATGCATATCTGTTTAGTTCCAAAAATTTTACTTATATCCGTTTCGGCGTTTATTTTACAACGTTCCCGTTCCTCCTCCTTTGTGCTTTCGTCTGTAAGATGAAAATGATTAAATTTGAACACAAAAGCATGCACGAGCTACACTTAATCTTAAAACTGTAAAAAGTATACATTGTTTTAGGGGACTTCTTAAGAGCAGTTACTGACCAGAGATTGATTCATATAACTCAGTAGCCGTGTTACTTTCTGTGCACATACTTTCTGCTAAAATATAACTTGGTGAGAACCCAATTATAATTGAAATACAAAGTAATTAACATTTACCGACAAATAATGCACTTTGAGGACAATTCAAGCCAGAGTTTTTGCCAGAATCCAGAATTTCATAATGCATTTGATGCAATATAAACCGATTCCAGTTCTGTAAATAAAAAAGTTCATAAGGCACACTTAATTTGCTATCCCGATGCCGATATAAATTTCAATACTTGCCTGAATTAGTGTAATTAGATTAACATTTGACGATCGATCAGATAAAATCAAACCTAAAGCAGATGCTTCAGGCACTGTGCGAAACGAGCGCAGAAAATTGCTGGCTTGGCAAGGAGTTGAAGCTAAAATAAGTTTTGCGTACATCATCTAATAGCCATTTACTTGTATGCGTACTAAAACCAACCAGTGCTTTTGTCCAGCATATGAAAGAGGAAACCCAGTTCGCAGGATAAGCAAAACTCCTTGGAGCACGTGTGTCCAATTAGCTTCATTCGTAAAGGTTCCGTAAAGTACAAGATCTAATGGGAAAGTAGGTTTAAATCAATTTTCTTGCCAGCAATTCAATTAAGGCTAGCTTACCTGTAGCATGGCATTGCAATAGGAATTGGGCAAGGTCGCTTCGAGTCCGGCAAAACAAGTTTGATTATGCTGTTCGAAATCAAAATCTTGCGTACCCAGTTTGCTATATTTCAATTCCACTTTACGATATCGCCTGGGTATGATTTTAACGCCGCTCTCGGTTTTTGTAGCCGTCGTGTTGCCATTTGCATTCGAGTTGCCGCCACCGCTCTGTCCCTGATCAATGAGGAAGTAGGGTATTTGATTTCGTCGTGCTGTTCGTGGGTTCGGTGAATATCCAATGGGTCCTTGCATTTTCATGCTAGTAAGCACATCTGGATCTATGGTCTTTGGGCGATGATACCCATAGCGCAACAGGTCCTCTGGCCAATCAGAGAACCAACGCGTGCCTGTCGTCAAATGCGGCAGCATAACCGATGACAGTGGAAAATTTGTGTCTGTAAATGGTACCATTGGCAATTGTGGCACAACGTCCGCGAACTCAGTGTTTCTCGAGAACGCATTAAACTGTGGCTGTGGCGTTTGTATGGAGGCAATAGTATTAATATGACCCGATTGATCGCCAAAGGCCATAGCTTGCGATGAGGAGCTGATGTCAAAACTCAAGCATTGGCTGCCATTCGTATTAATTTGGTACATGGATACGCGTGGCTCGCTCAGCTCCACAGTGTCAACCAGCTGAAATTGACCATAGCTGGACACGACAGCGAGACGGGATGTAAGCGATGGCAAAAACTTCAGCATTTGTGGATCAATCAGAACTTGTATGGGTGATATTAGTCGCAACATACGCAAATCGTAGACCATCAGAAATCGATCGATTGCCAAATTATTTTGCCTGCCACTATAACCACACGATATAAGATAATTGCCCTGCACATCGAAATCTGAGAGACTATTTGTATGCGTTTTGATTGTATGCTCCACGCTTAGGGTGTTCAAATCTCTTAATGTGACTGTGCCAAATTGGTCACCTGCAAATAGATACCGGGAGTTCTTTCGCAACACCGTGCATCCAGCGGATCCGACATGCTCCAACCGCGTCTCCTTCAGACTGCGCATATCGAAATCTATGAGCTCCTCCTGCAAGCCAGCCATAACTAAGCGATGCGGGGATAACTGCAGCATGCACACCATTTCCACCATGTTATTGGATCTGAATGGTAAAATATTTATACATAAGTGTTACAAAAGAACAGAACCGTTGTCTTCGGGTTGCCGAAGATTAAAGACCCTTGCATAAATTTGGTATACATATCGTTTTGCAAGGGTATGAAAACGAATTACGTTAAGCCCTCACTTGTGCGTAAACTTTGGCAATCCTCGACGTATCTGGTGTCGCAGTGAAGTCTGTGTTAATACTAGAACTCCCGAATCGATGGTAATTATTTGCCGCACTATATCGCTGGCGTGTACTTGGAAGGATGTGTACTTTTGCAGGGAGCTCGTGTAGTACGAGGTAACATGTCCCTGTAAAAAGTATATTAAAAGAAGTTTTTGATCAAAGCAGAGAGCAGACTTAAGTTTAAACGGATGCTGCTTACACCTTGATTTCCCATCCAAAGCAATTCTTCATAGTCATCGAAGGCTACCGTTGAAACGCCAAAATTTTCCCCGCCGTCAGCAAGAATCGGAATTGGGCTAGCGACGTAGTCGGCATCGCTGGAACCAATATTGAAGCCATTGAAACTTGGTGAATAATGCTCAGAGTTACGCGGGGGCCCTGTATCGTAAACACCTAAAGCAAATATAAAATATAATACATGTATATGTATATTTCAATAAAAATGGAGAAAGTTGGAAAAATACATGATACATATGCGTTGTACAGACAAATACAAATACAATTTTATGTGTATATTGGTTGACGTACTTAAAATGTCTTCGGACGCTCCGATTTGATCGGTGCCGCCACAATAAACGTAATCCATTTGCAATATGAACACTCTTTATCTATTGTTTATTATTATTATATTTAACAAGTTCTATTTGCATCAGTTGTTGTTGCGTATATATATTTATGCTCACGACTCATCATTGTTTAGTATCAAAAAGTTATCGATATGTCGTAGCAATATTAACATCGATATTTGGAATTCCAAAAAGCATTAATTTAATTTTAGGCAAATTATATACATTTTAAAGAGAACAGAGCTAATGAGATAACTACGTTTCGGGGCAATCCAAACTATTTATTCAAAATTTAGGGCAAACCAATATATTATTAAAATGATTTATTTAAATGTCAAATTATTTAGACGATGCAGCAGTGTTGGCAATTCAATTTTCTAGCCGAATTTGGTCAATTTTAGGACGATTTAGCTTTTTTTAGCATGTCGATGCCAAGTTCATATGAACCCATTTTATAGGCAAGTTGCGCTCAGAAAGCCGATTCAGCTATTTTAAGCTTTTTTTGCAGCGGTAGCTAGCAACACTGTTTTGCAGCCCTGGTTGTCTCAACAATGCTGCGTGCCACATGCAGAATCGCATTGAACCTAACTGGAGATCAGTTCAGAAAAAGCGTAAACATGGCTGCTTTTCAAAAAATTGTTGAAAATAATCAACGTGCCGAAATGCTGATTGACTCACTAAAGGAAGAGGTAAAGTAGATGAATGCACCCAAATACCAAAAACTTTACTGATTAACAACTTTAGATGGCGGCATTACAAAACGAGATTGTCCAGCGCAAAAAACAGGAGCTGATTAAAGAGAACGCTGTGCTGGCTAAGGAAATAGAAGCAGCTCTGGCGCAGCTAGTGGCGCTTGAAGTACGCAATGGCAAGAGGCAGATACCGGTGCCCGGCAACCGGGGCATTTGCACCACAACTGAAACATCCGATGCACCTGCGCCTGTTGCGAGTGAGTCCAAAGCATCCGCAGCTGCTGCTACTCCCAAAGAGAAAAAGGTCAAGGAGAAAAAACCCGCCGCTGCAAAACTAAGTGCTGTGGCGGAGGCTCCCGTGGATGTCGGACGCCTGGATATGCGCGTGGGTAAAATTGTTGAAGTCGGGCGCCATCCGGATGCGGACAGCTTATATCTTGAAAAGATCGATTGTGGCGAACCAGCGCCGCGTACTGTTGTCTCAGGGCTAGTTAAATTTGTACCGCTGGAGGAAATGCAGAATCGCATGGTCGTTGTACTGTGCAATCTAAAGCCGGCCAAGATGCGTGGCGTCACCTCTGAGGCAATGGTTATGTGCGCCTCAACACCCGAAAAGGTTGAGGTACTCAGTCCCCCAACTGGCGCCGTGGCCGGTGATTTAGTGCATTGTGATGGCTACGTACGCCAACCAGATGCGCAGCTCAACCCGAAGAAGAAAGTGTTTGAAACGTGTGCTCCAGATCTTATGACCAACTCAGAGCTGGTGGCTTGCTATAAGGGTGCACCGCTCCATGTGCCAGGCAAGGGTAATGTTGTGGCACAGTCTTTGAAAAATGTTTTGGTTAAATAATTGTTTCGCATAATGTTATTTGGCAATAAATGCGTTATGTTTCTGCAAGTTATTTATCATTCTTTGTTTATTTTGACATCTTGTTTAATTTTCACTAGGAATCCATAATATAACAATGTTAAAGCCCGGTTTCAGGAAACGATATCTTTCAAACATTCAAAAAACGGACTTAAGACTAAGTTCATAGGAGTAAAAGAGATATGAACTTTGTATGCTTGGAAAACATTTTTTTTACATTTCTTCTATTTACATCATAATAGGAAGAAAATATTTGTGTCCATCTGACAAACATGAACTCAGACATTTTATGGTTAACAAAAATTATAAAATAATTTGTTGTTTCTGCTATGCCACGGTCGTCTACATTTCTTTACAAGATTTGGCTTTATATATAGATGTGTGCCGCATCTTGTGTCTGACTACTGCTGATGTGGGCGTGGCACGGCGGGCGGCACAACAGGTGGAGCTGGATTTCGGTTTGACTCGACAACTATGGTCTTTGTTATAATGTCGTAGGCTGTGCGATTGTTCTTAAAGAAAACCATAACGACACAAATGGGAAAGAGTAGCGTCATGACCAGATTCTTGGCTAATGCGCGCATCAATGCCCTGAGGAAGCTAGGTGTCTCAGCGGGATAGAGCACAGCTCGCAACGGTTCGCGCTGAGCTTGGAAAACAAATTGAGGCATTATAGGTGGCTGCAGCGGCATTACGGCCTCCACATAGAGTATGCGAATCTTCATCAGCGATTTGCCAGGTGTTGCACCATTATAAAACACCGTCCAGAGGCATTCATAGCAGCATACCAACAATTTTGTCAGCAACTCGATTAGTATTAGATCCGACGATAGACTTATGAAGTCCATGGAGATGTCCAGAAAATTCACAAAGATATCGTCGTCCTCCAATGTCTTACGCATCACATCCTTGTCGAAATCCAGATCAAAAACGTGAAACAGTGAAAAGGTCACAATTATTTTCAATATGAATAATATGAAAATGTCTATGGCCTCCGCAAAGGCGCGTTTCCAAAACGGCGCCACAACCATCTCAGTGCCACCAACTCTTTGGATAATCTCTTGTTGCTGCACCTCGTCAAGCACCCGAAAGCGACTGAAGCTGGGCCTAACAGCTGGCGGTGCATTCGCCTGCGCTGACTGCTGCTGCGGCTGTTGGGTTTGGCGATTTGTCTGCAGCTGCTCAATGCCTGGCGGCGCTGCGTATGGCAATGGAGTTTGCAACAATTGTGGATAGCTATAATTGGCGAGCAGATAATTGGGAAACATTTGCATGAGCGCTGCCTGTTTCGCCCATTCTGCGAGGCTAGCAAAATATGCCTCCTTTGTTGACAGCTCCTTGTTTATGTCTGTGCACTTGCGCTCTCGGAGCTCATTTGAGCTTCCATCTGCCCCTTCGCTGCTCTCCATCTTACTTATTGTTTTGCAATCAATTATATATTATTTGATTTTTTCAAATTTTACTTTTATTTGATATACTTTGTTGTTGAAGTTGACGTGTTAAACAATAGACGGCGGCGGGGTGTGCAGAAATATCGGAGGTATTTATTTCATTTCAGGGTTGCATTAAAATACCCAGTGGGATAAAACGCAAGACACAGGCGTGCTACTTCTCATGCTTTTCACTGCTAAAAAGTTTATATGTAAGCAATGTAACGGCAACATTGAAAATGCATACATTTTAAATTTAATATTAATTCAGAGTACAAACCATGTACAAAAGTTTATGCGACCTTGAAATTATAGAAAGTTACTCAAGAACTTTAAAATAGTTTAAAATAAGTAAAAGCTGTAGTTAAATTATTTTATTATATAGTTAATGAATATTTATTTATTAAAATGGTATCCACTTATAAATAGAAGTACATACGTATTTCATACTGCGGATGCTCAATTAGGTATTGAATGACATACATACATAGTTCAGCTAAGGATATAATATAACTTACAAGTACACTTGCCAAAAATCTCACTTACTTCTTTCCAGTATTGGTGGAACGTACAATACGTATGGCTGGATGAACATAGTAGATAAGTACATAAACATGAACATCTACAGCTATGTGGTCAGAACTTATCAATTTGTTATCGTTAGTTACATGTATGTATGTTTTTTATGTATTATGTATGCATGTTCAATTCGGAAACATGTACGTACGTATATGAGAGTGCATATGCATACATATGCACATACCTACACATGCATTATCTGTGTATGTACAAACAGTTGTTACTTACATACAAGTACGTATGTATGCATATGCACCGACATAAAGACATATGTGTATGTAGTTCTTTTTGTTGACAATAATAGTTTTCTCTTTTGTACAACATCTTATAAACAAAAATAAACAGAAAGGGTTGGGCGGGGCGCAGAAAAATAAAATACAGAATTCATCTATTAATACAATTCAACACAAACACTGGCTTCGGCGGCAAGTAGGTACAAAAAGTTATACATTAACAATTATAACTTATTTCAGCTTATGGACCTTCGATAAAGGAATGCACAGGAGTCTTCATTTATTGCCAAACATTACCGATATTTAAATTGCCAAATTGCTGATTTAAGTTTGACGTCACGGACGAGGCGGTGGTACCAGTCGCAGCCGGATAACCAGTTGAAGGCAACCCACTCGACATAGGCTGCATCAAGTTCATCCCAATTCCCATTTGTTGTTGCTGCTGTTGTTGCTGTGTTGTCGCCTGCGGTGCTCCAGCGGCACCAAATAGCTGCATACCACTGAGCAGATTCTGATTTGTCTGCATCAAATTTGTTGCCGTGCCCTGGCCGGCCGCCAGACTGTTGCCCACCAAATACGGACTGGCGCTGACATTGGGAAACTGGCCACCGCCAAAGGCGACATTGCCCACCAGATTCATGGCGCCGCCAGTGGGCGCATTGCTGAACGCATTCGGTGCGGCCATGACGGGTGCATTGTACATGCTCACTGAATTGGGAGGTGTCATGAACTGATGATGATGATGTGCCTGTTGGGGCACCTGCTGCTGTTGCTGGTGATGCATGTAGCCGCCAGGTGCCATGCCCGTAAAATTACCAAAGCTCAATTGTGGATTGTGTGTGGTTGGTGCATTGCCATACAGCGCCAATATACTGTCCTTGGACATTTTGCCCGACTGATCCTTATCGCTGGCACCCCCTAGTGTGCCCTGATTGAAGAAGTCCTGCTCCTGTTGGGCTAAAGAGTTCGACTGCTGGCTGGGCATGTTCAGCGTAGTATGGTCGCCACTATTCCCATTTGTTTTTTCCGGAGTTGTTATGGCGCTCACATTACTGCTGGCACTCAGGAAGCTAGTGAAGCTATCATTCTGCAAGTCCTGTACTCCGCTGTGGGCGATTGGCTTTGTGGGCGAGGCGAGACCCAACAGATCACTTTCGGCAGCACTTTGGGTGCTATTGTTATGCACACGATGCGATGTCTTTGGACTACAGCCACCGACCTGATTGGGCTTGGGCTTGGGCAGTGGCGCCGGCAGTGGTGTAGTTTTCGCTGTTGCTGTCGCCGAAGGGCGTTTATCGACGGACCCGCTGTTGCTGCTAGTTATGTTGCTAATGCCGAGACCGGTTTGAGCCGATTTCTTTTTACGTTTCTGCCGCTCCAGCTCCTCATCTATCTCCTTGGCCCAATCGACCTTGGGTGGCGAGGGCGGAACCCATTCGCGCGCCAAATACTTTTTATGCTCGTACTTGGCCCGTATAAAGTTCTCCAGCGCCGTATCTGTTTGAGGGCGTCTGAAACCATCTGGCAGCTGCGCCTCATAGACGGCACGTGCCCGGGAATTGCCCATTTGTTGCAGCGATATCACCTGCTCTGGTGTCCATGCATCCAGATTGACGCTCTTCACGCGCGATATGTGTACGCCCAAGTTGCGATGGATGCCAGCGCAACGAATGCACAAAAACACACCCAGATTCCATGATGCCCAGCGGGGACCTGAAAATTTACAAGACCCAATGAGTAATTTGTATACACAGCAAATAAACAAAGCACCAATAACGAATTATCCATCATTTGTGCTTATCTGGAAGCCTTACTTATAAATACATGTATATGAGCGTTATAGAGGAGGCGGTTAGCCACAGAAGTGCTGCGTATTTAGCTATTTTCTGGCTAAACATCTATCTAACCAAGTCGTTTAAACAAATTTTGCCGTTTTTTTAGGGTCTTAATGCGAAGTTTTGTGCAATTTGTGCTCACAAAACTAATCCTGCCATGTGTTGCAGGATCCCTCGTACTCGATCCCTTTTGTATTTGAAAATAAAATCTTTTGTTTGCGAAAGGAAGGTTGGCTCACCCAAGGAAGCTGTCCGTCCGTAGACCTTTAAATGTATATTATGTACAGGACATTGCGTGGTTGTCTTAAGCTGACCCTGACCCTAATTAAAAAGGGAATACTCTCTAAACATACTGGTTGCGTGCGCCGACATTAATTAAATTATGCCTTATAATTAAATCAGATTAATAATAAATGTATGTATGAATGTGTGCATATGCTTGTACATAATGTGTTGTGTGTTGTATATGTACGTATGTACTTTTTGTGACAGTGTACTTACCCTTGGCGTCGCAATCCACACAATATTTATTGTCATCGTCGCGTAGCATTTGGGTTAACAGGGTTTGACATTTTTCCTGCATCAGTTTGGTGCGCTCCGTTTCCTTACGGCTTGCATTTGACGTGCTCATTTTCTTGCACTTGTCGTTGTGTACGCGCTGCACGAAATTCTATGTCTGAAATTGTGTTTCTAGTTTTCTAATAATGAGTCAAGCAGACTGTGAGACGTGGGCTTGAGTGTTTAAGTGATTGGCCGTTGTTTAGTTATTTTCGCATAGATCTTAGTCAATTTTTTTATTGGTTTAAGAATACTACAATTTTTGCTATCGAAAATAGTGTACGTCTGCGTCTGTACGTCAGACTCATTTTAAAAGTCTGGCAACAATAATGTCAAAATGCAAATGGCAGACAGTGCTGCCAGATGTTCAAATGGCAAGCCACTTTTTTAAAACCTTTGTAGTGTGTACTTTTCTTTTTATGTGCAACAAGTGAACTTTTAATTTCATATAAATATGCAACCATTGAGAGAGAAACTAGATGCTTGCCTACACATGCTAGATTGTGGTGGATCCACTAATAAGGGCGATATAAACTGGCTTAACGTAAACATAAACATTACCGGCGTCCTTTGCAGCTGTTTTTTTCTGTACATGAATTTATTCATTTCAGGATTTCTGTGCAAAATTTTTGGGTTTTGTGAGTACGCTGCAAAAGTGCTTAAGCAACCAGCTAGAACATGATTGTTTGGAAATAATTTGCCTATGCTTAACGCAAATTTTAATATGTATTCGGCACTTGGAGTACACAATCCAAACCGAAGCAGCAAGTGGCACAAGGATTCAGGTAGATTATCTAAAACCATTATTTGTGTCCCTGCATTATTAAAATCCTTTGATTTTAGGCTAGTCATCACCATTTTACTGACCGCATCACGGTTTGCCTTAAAAGACTGTGCGTCTGTCTGCTGCCTTCGACAGGACCTTCAGAGAACAGCGCTACGGAAGGCGTCTCATTTCTGAAACTACTGGATTCTGTGCTAGATTCCCTCTCAGAGTTCACCAGCGAGAATGTAGACAGAAGTCTTCTTATAGATTCACCGGCAAATGTGCTAGCCCTCAGCAAGCAAATAAAGTGCCACATAGATTTACTTCTAGGCCAAACATTGTCCTTTGCCAATGTGGCATTGCAACAGGATAAGAAAGCGTTAAGTGCGCTATGTCAGAAGGTATTTCCTTTTGGCCATATACGAAATTAACTTAAATTGATCCTACTATTAGCTAAAATAAACATTGATTATTTTATATTTAAAAATATTAGAAGGAAACCAACAAGTAAAGGCGCCAAAAATTGATCAGATTGTCTGTATTCCTATTGCAAACAACTTGTCCTCCTTTCGATGCTTTACCTTGTTGGGAATGTCCTGTGTCCATTTTGTGTCTGATTTACCCTCAGCCAGCAACCTGTTACCTATTATACATTTCTATTTATACTAAATATATCAATTGTAATATGTATAACTCTCTTTTCAGGTCATGCGCGATTGCAGTGCCTTCCAAGAGGAATGCCAACTGGCAGCCACCAACTATTCCATGCAAAAACTTAAAGCCATGAGCTTAGAGCAGGCTGTTTGCCAACTGGAGGACCACGTAAACGAGTCTCTATTGCGTTTGGTATTCACCTGTTTTCTGGACTTCCAAAGAATTTCAGTAGATAAAATACGCAATATATTGCGTAACTCAAGTACTGCGGACACCGATGCCACTGCTGATGAATTCATAGCCGATTTCGATGTAAATTTGGATCGCGCAACACAAATTGGCATTTTTGCAATTGCCTTTGCGCCAAACTTAAAAAGTATGTGTCTTTAATTCAAGTTTCTTATTGTTTACTAAAACTAATACGCTTTTTAGTAAAAACCATGGTACGCAGCTGTCTCGCCTCATTTGAATATTTGGATACCAGTTTAATACCATCGCTGCAGTCGAATGCCTCAGACTTGCACTCAGAACTGTTGGAACAGCACTTTAAAGAGGAAATGTCTAAATTTAAGCAGGCACTGCAAGAGATAATGGACAGCCGTGCTTTTGTCGGCTGCTATTTGCAAATTCTTACAACTGGCCTTAATGCGGCTGAGAAAAAGTTTGATAAAACTCAACTGGAAGACTTGGTCCAAATGGGCTTTTCAATACTCGAACACTTTCAGCTGGATACTAATCAAAAGGTTGTCTTACAGCCGGGTCACGAGCACTTGCAAAATTTTGTGCGAATCTTGCGGGAATGCAAAGCCATACTCATGTGTGCGTCCCAGGTTCAGCAAGAGCGTATTATTAAGAGATTCAAGATATTACGAACTATTCTGCGCAAGCTGCACAGCCAGATTACTGGAGATCAGAATAAACCTGCTGCATTTACAGAAAATATAAAGCATACCATAATGGAGTATTCAAATAACTGCACGGATGAAGGTAATCCGAAAGGCATACTGTGTTCGCCATCACGCAGTATACTTTACGCAACTCGTAAGGATCACAGTAAAGGAACCACTTGTATGCCAACAGATCTAAATGCTGAACAAATTCATTCGGAGTGTCTTAAGCCGAAGGCCCACAACTGTCTACGACGGAGTAAGTCATTGCATAGGATTATTCGAGTGCAATACTCTTTCGGAAGGTCTTAATATTTTGTCAGAAATGTATGAAACACAATCACCTTATAAAGTGCAATCAAGAGCCTGGTCTATATATCCATGTCCAATTGTCTGTCTGCTCTCAGCTCTGAAGGATAAAACTTGGTATAGATTTGCCTTTGTGCTTCACGATATAACCGATTTAGGGTACTATCCATCGAAAGTAGAGTTCTCATAGGAATTACTGATGGATTTTGTAGTTCCTACCAATTTTTGCAGTTATAAGCTAACACTTTACTTTGCTTTACTATGCTCCGCATAAGAGAGAAATCTTAAAACAGAGCAGATATATCGAGTGTCCTTAGGAATGCTAAAAAATCTTTGCTTTTTTAAGATATGTTTAACCATAATTACGAGCATTGGCATCTGTTCTTGAGATCTTAATCTGTTGAGATGTTACTTTAAGTTGCTAATTCTGACATTTAAAATTTTGCAGAGGACAGTCTTCGCACAACGATGTTCAAGCGCCAAACTGTTTTTGAGAGTCTCCAACTTCATACAACCAGCAATAGTCAATCCGCCAGTTTAGAAATCAGTGGTATGACTAATAACTGCAACAACTTTATAATTTATAAATAATATTTCTATTTTTTCATAGAAATACTCAACCAGCTAACATGCCTAACGTCCAGCTTCAGCAAGAGCCTGCAGGGAAAGTAGGTGCATTTTTTTTAAAATCTATTGTGAATGCCGACAAGACATTCGCACGCGCTGTAACTCGTATTCATATTCATACTCGTATTCGTAGTGGTAGTACGCGGTGTTTTTATTTTGCGAATCTTTAAAAGATTTAAAAAAATAATAAATAAATTATAATATTAGAAAATATTTTCGCTACAAATTGCAACAATAAAAATTGTTTTGGTAAAACAGCGAGATTAAGTACATAATTGTATTATGCCAAAAGTTCGACTATCGATTTTCCCAAGCGACTTGTAGATACATATTTGCGCGCATATGAAATATAGTTTCGTTATTTAAAGTTTTAACTGAACTGGGGTGGCAATGCAAAGGGAAACGAAAGATGAAAACTCCACAGTTGATAGAGTTAGGTTAAGCGATGAAAACCCAACTGAATGGAGCGACTGTCGGAACAACAATCATCATGTGGTCCCTATAGGCATTCTTATAGTGCTTGTCACAGTCTATCTCATGATCGCAGGAGTGCGCAATAATTACAATGGATATGTAAAACCAGGAGCTGTTGCTTTAAAGCTAAGCAAACCAAATACCAACATCAATGATAAAAATGTACACGCTTATCGAAAGGAGTTGGGTTTTGAAGAGCAGCCACTGTGCAGAAAAATTGAGGTTTTTTCCAAGGAATTGTTTACATTGAAGAAAGCCAATGAGTCCACAGGTCAACCCATAATGTCTAGCAATCTACTTATAAAACGACGCAAACAGATGAAGTCCACTAAGTCCAAGTCGGACTCTGCAAGGAAAAGGGACAACTCCAAGAAATCAAATACAGCTGAGCCCATTATTTATCTCTTTGCATTGGTGTTCATATATCTATTGCTAAAAGCAGCATCCGACATAAATCAACATTACAAAACGGTAACAATTGTTTAACCATCATTATAAAATGGTATATATATATTAATACATCTTTATTGTCAACAGCAGAACAAAGGAGATAAACGACTGCGTCGCTGTTCCCTCCAATCCTATGCCCAGAAGGAGCAAAGACACAATCATCAAGATCGACGTGCTTCAAAAGGTATTTCAACAAAAAGTTTGCCAAAATTTTAAAGAGGATCCACATAAATGTAACTGTATGCTTTTCAAATAGGGAACAAATCAAAACTTTAAGATAAAAAGTAGTTTTTATTGTCATATATGTGTTGTGAGCTAAAACTTGATTTTCTACTATATCGTTGTAAGACATATCCTATCTACTACTACTATTTTTACCCTCAAACTCCACTTTGAAGCTATTTCTGTATGTGAATGTACTTTGATTCCTATAAATATATATAACTTTAAGTGTTATTGACTTGTATGTTTATGTGCCTATATATATAACCTATATGAATCTGTGAAATGTATGTTAAAAATAAAACTCTTCTCTGCACTCCTGTGATGATTTTACAAAGTATTATCTTGCCACAATGCAAAAGCTTGCGTTTTATTTACCTTCCATTCTCAAATACTCTTTAAATCGTTCAAGTACTGATACCCATTTTATATTTTCAAGCCCACAATGCAGATTTGCCATTGCACACTAGACACAACATTTTTACAGAGGGCCGTTCCGTATCGCTGGATCGTTTTCGGCAAGAAAAGGTGCCCAAAGAGCTGCTGAGAAGCGTGCGCCACCAAACTTCAATTGATGACCATGCCAGGACTTACCCATTCAAGCCCATCCATCCAGCCGTAGGCAAGCATTTCACTAGCGATGCGCTTTTGGGTAATGGATCAAACTTCAACTCCATCAAAACAAAGATTTATCGGAGCTAAGTTTATGTTTTCCTATTCTAGAGCCACGTATGAGCCGCCGCTTATCGGTTCCGATCAGCATAAACTATCAGACTGTGCACGTCTCTCCGCTTGCGCATCCCGAAATGGCAAGACGCGGCTCAGTGGCAGACATGGTGATTCCAGGTCTGCCTCCGACAGTTCCGAGTGTCCTGCCAACACTGCAAACACCGGACAGCAAGCGTAGGGTCCGTATGATAAATCGCCACTAAGCGAAATCATTTTTAAAAAACGAATCAGAAAAAACTTTCAACGAATTTATATGCAATATCTAGGAGTACTCAGACTCATCCAAACGACTATTACAGATGTACCTATTTGATAAATATATATTAAAACTCAAATTGCAGGTTCAAACTAGGTTTGAACCATGGCTAAGGAGTAGCTATGCTAATCGACACAAATTTGAATCTTCCCCAACGACTGGAATTTGAAATCGAACACAAATCATAGAATATGATCTTAATGTTTTTGTTTTTTGCTTTTAATTAATAAGTGTAGTATTATTAAGGCATTTTAAACACAAAATATATTATAACTACGCCCATGCAATTATTAAGATATACAATATACACACATTTAATAAATTGCACAGATGAGCCGTATTACCAAAACGTCTATATGCTAATAATCTACTTAACGGCAAGATTTAAAACAATCTTAAGCTAAATTATTGTATTGTTTTGTTTTAGAATGGAATATCGAGTATCCATGGAAAAAAAGAGTTGATTTACAGTTCAATATGCATATGATTTGAATAAGTTGTCAAGTGTTCTCTTTATGTGTATTGCTTAGATTTTAGGTTGAGATGAATTAAAAAAGAGTCTATGCATGTTCTCAGAGTACAAAGAGTATCAGTACATTAAGTATGTGACAAATCTACAAAACGTTCTTGAATTTTGTGCTAGTTTTCTTCTATTCCTTTAAATACAAAAATAAATTACGTATTTTAATTGCATAAGGCTTGTGTGTGTGTGTGTTTTTTTGTGTGTTTGTGTGTGATTAAACATTATCTTTAACTAAGCTCATTGCCCTCGTACAGACTCTCGCAGCTCTCCAATAAACGCAGAACCGGCGATATATCATATGGGTAGAGCTGGCGCGACACCAGTCTGGATATTTGCAGTCGGAGGCGTATTAGTACTCCCATAGCTTCGTCGAGCATGGCATTGCCCATGCCAAAGCTATGGCAGCTGTGCACAAACATGGTCCAGTTCATGCGTATATATTTGAGCAGACGGAGCAAATACAAGAGGAAACAGGTCTCATTGCTGACGAGCAGATCCAGCAGCAGGTCTGAGCTATTCGATGTCATTTTGAGAAACTCAAGAAATGTATATACAGGATTCAACATAGCGACCAGCTCCGGAAATGCATTATTACGAAACGATATGCCAGAGGTGACATCCAGAGTGCAGACCATCGCCTCAATTAGATGATCGTCCTGATCATCGAAGAGATGTATCAATATTTTACTAAAATGACATTCCGGATGAAACTCCAGTGTTTGCTTAATGAACGTTTCCAGTTTACTAAGCACATCCCGTATGGAACGCTCGATAAGCTGTATATCCTGAAACGCGTCATAATCGGTTGAATCAATTGACGAATCTGATGAATCGCTGCGTATCTCCTTAACAGTCACCGCAATCGATTTCAGCACCAGAAGCACCATCTTTTGCAGCAATGTCTTATCCATTTCTATGAGGTCGACGCCGCCAACAGCTACAGCCGCTGCCTGTATCGAATTATGGAGCGTGCCTGAAACATAATTAACGGGCGCACCATTATAACCAATTAATCCGACAATGTTCTCGGGCTGGCGACGTGGCAGGGATTCTAGAATGCGCAGGCTACGCACATGGCATACAATCTGATGCGCCAGCTTGCACGTCTCCTCCGGCAGCATGTCCTGCAGCGCCAGCGTGGAGCCATAGCAAAGAGCCTCATTAAATAGGCACAGCATCTGTTTATAAACCGTGCAGGACAAATTGTGATTGAGCAAAAGCTCAAATTTATCCAGTTGCGCATAGAATGGTCGCGTTTCGTCTATCGAGAGATTCGCCTTGACCGATATAATGTTCTCCCACAGCTGCAAGAAATTGAGCACACAATGCTCCGCACTGTCCTGTTGTGCCGGCGTCATTAGCTCCGACATATTCTTCACAAGCGTTGGCCATTTGTGCTCCAATTTCTGTATGGTCACGCATTTCAGATGCGTTGTATCAAAGCTTTCAGAGTCGGTAAGGGCGACGACATGACAGCCATTAGGCGGCATATAATTAGCGGGTGTATTACTGTTAGCTGTAATATTGCTGTTATCATAAAGGTCCGCATCTGTCGGATCTGCGGTTGCATCACGAAACTGCAGCGCAAAGTAATTATTTGCCAGCGGCTGATCCTGCACCGGGAAATGCATAAAGCTAACGGACGCATCCGCTGTTACAGTGCTCGTGACCGTGCTTGCTGCCACCGTGTAGTCATCGTCCAGCGGATGTAGCTCCACATCCTTCCACTCAACAATGCGTTTGATTATATCTAAGCTAAAGTGTATTTTCTGCACGGCCGCCACATCCAGCTGCACATAGTTAAAGAGTTGGTCGACAATCTTTTGCAGCCACTCATCGTTCAGCTCCTGCTTGGCAATTACCAAAAATGCGGCCAGCACACGTGCCGCCAGAAATTGCACATACGAATTATTATAGCCGGCCAATACAATAATCTCATCGATCAACTTGTGATCGTTGCGTATCAACGCATCGCAAACGTCCATAATCCTTGTGCAGATGTAGCCCTTGGCGTTTTGCTTAAGGTAAATATCGAAGAGCAGCTGCAGATTGGACAGGAACTGCAATAGCTTATTGGTGGGCCATTCGCGCAGATACGCAATGCGCTTCTGGCCATTCGAGTCGTGTGAGTAGTGCGACTGAAAGGGCTTCCTCAATGTACGCTCCGAAACCCCGCACAGGCACTGCCGCGTCAGTGACTGCTCGAATTCCAGCATATCATCGATGCTAGAGCTGGAACAGCCAGTGTTCGTGGTTGTGCTGGTTGTGGTGGTGCGATCACTGCAATTCGTCTGTGACGCATCTTTTGTGGCAATTAACAGTTCGGTTAGCTGGGCAGCACGGTCCACTTCGTCCTTGGCGACGCTTTCACTATTTTGTGGCATGATATTGTTGACCAGCAGCTGCGCATAGGAAGCGGCACGCGAATTGCATGGCGTATTTGTGGGTGAATTGTTTGTGCTGCTGGACAAGGAATGTGTGGAGCATGAGGAGGACAGTGATGAGCATAAATGATGGCTCTGATTGTTGCCGTTGGCGTCCATAACATCCGCTTCAGCCAGTATATCCGGCGGCGATTTGCTGCTCACCAAACGTATTTGTTTATCGATTTTCTGCCGCTTTGTCTGCGGCTGTTCGTTGTGATGATTTGTGGAGATACCAGGACATCCCGTGCTGGACGCGGTACAGGGACAGCCAGCATTTCCGTTGCTTCCGCTGGTGCTGCTGCTTGAACTGCCGCTGCTGCAACTGCTGCCCGTAGTTGGGTCCATGTTGAGTTATACCTGACGTACCCGACGTCTTTTTGTTTAATTGTTTGCTCGCTGTTTATTTTGTGCGCTGCAAGTAAACGTAAACCAATAATTTTAATTGCACACCAAAAATACTCGAACCAAAGCCCAACCAAGCCATGCCACAGCTACTGCGAGTGCTACCGAATTACGCGTATTCACAAGGTTACGTGTGCAGTGTGGCTGCATTTAATTTTATGTATTATGGCAATACAGATATTTTTTAAATATTTACACCGTTTTCAAAATGTGTATTGTTCGTTTTTATAGCACAATTTATTGTATTGTTGTTTCTCAATATTTTTAATATTTGGCTACTTGTTGCTCATTTACCTTTGCAATGTTTGTATAAGTTTCACTTCACTCTTATTTTCCCAAGAAGCTTGCATTATGATATTGTAGTGCACTTTTTTTGCATGCAAGACTTGCATTATTTTGTTTACATTATTTATTTCATTCTATTTAAGGTTTGTGAAAAAAAAAACAACTGCCACTGTTAATTAACAAGTAGCGAGCGCGTCGCCATCTTTATAGTGTTGGGTTGTTCATATGCTGGCCACTGGGCCACACACGTTACGACTCAAACGGCCAGCGATGTAGGCGTGCGCCGCACACGTTACGACCATATGCATGTATGGTTATCATGTCATATATTGAATTTTTTTTACAAAAATTAATAACTTCAGCTATCGTAGTGTATTAAATGGAAAGGAAAATTCAAATGAATATCTAAATTTATAATTATCCTACAAATGTTAGCCTCATTATGGTAATACTAATTCGCCTTGTCTGGCACCTCTGTTACTCAGAGCTGCCACATTTTAAAATATGAAAAAATTAAAAATATTTTATGTTTTAAACAAAGCCACATGCGTATAAACACTTTTGACAATTGATAACACATTTTGCATTTAAAATTTTTGGAGACAAAATCATTTCTTTTATTTTGGTACGAACACAAATTGACAACGTGGCAACACCGCCACTTGTTTTTCATTTGACATTGAAGGTGAACACATTTCCAGCTGGTGGGTGGAAAAGGACTACCATTGCGGTACCATACAGGCAATTAGTATAACAACGGCGCTTTTGTGGAGCTACGCTGTGGGCCGAGCTGCCCAGTACCGATTATCAAAGAACTTATGCTCCACTGAGCCAAAAACAGTAATAATAACATTTAAGTAAAGTGTAAACTCTGTTGCGAGTGCAGTTCAATTTTGTCTTTGTTTGTGTCAACTTGTGTTAACGAAACCTTCAAAAGGAAAATGGCTGGTAATCTGCCTCCGCTGAATCAAGAGCCCATCTTTAAGAAACTCCAGGAGTACTATGACACTCACCACAAGGATCTGGTCATTAAGGATCTGTTTGTCAATGATCCAAAACGGTTTACCAAATATAGGTGAGTTTTCACGGTCATCTATGAACACTCGCACCTATGCGCACATGTATACCGATTCACCCACATTTTTACATGTGTGTGTATGTGTGTTATCATTGATATACATATTAATTTTAATGTATTGATTGAGCGCCCAAATCAAAGAGCATTAAATTAGGGAGTAAAAAAGTGTTGGTTAAGGCTTAGCAAAGAGATTAGGTAAAGGAATTTAATTGTATTCAGACAATAATATTTAATTTAGTAAAGTTATCGGATTATCTTTGTCCTTGCATAAGGTCAAAGCAACGACATTTATACTTTCACTGCGGGTATTTTGATAAGGTCATGAAATGTGTAACGCATAGGAGAAGCTATCTCGGATTCCAATAGATACAAATTTATATTTATTATTGATCATAATCAAGTTGGGTCTATATACTGTTTTATTTTTCTTTATATTTTTTGACAAGCGTATTTAATCGTCGGCTGGCCGTTCTTTCCATTTCATATGCCAATTTATACTTGATTAAGGTCAAATAAATTGATTTTTTATCAATAATCAATTAACTTTACTTTCAGCTTGCGTCTGCCAACGCCCTGCGATGGTGAAATACTGTTGGACTACTCAAAGAATCGTGTGAATGAAGATGTTTGGCCTCTGTTGTTGGAACTGGCAAAAGTGCGACGCGTGGAGGCGGCACGTGATGGCATGTTCTCCGGACAGCACATCAACATTACCGAGAATCGTGCCGTTCTGCATACGGCATTGCGTAATCGTGGCCTGGACCCGGTACTGCTGGATGGTAAGGATGTGATGCCCGATGTGCGTGCCGAACTGGCGCACATGAAAGAGTTCACCAACAAGGTCATTTCTGGCGTTTGGCGTGGCTGCACTGGCAAACAAATCACCGATGTGGTAAACATTGGCATTGGAGGCTCCGATTTGGGTCCACTCATGGTCACCGAAGCGTTGAAGCCTTACGGCAAGGGCCTGCATTCGCATTTCGTGTCCAACATCGATGGTACCCACATGGCCGAGGTCCTGAAAAAGGTCTCGTATGAGACAACGCTGTTCATCATCGCGTCGAAAACATTCACTACTCAGGAGACCATTACGAACGCCACATCGGCCAAGGCTTGGTTGCTGGAGCACGCCAAGGATGTAAGTGTACCGATTCGCGAGAGAGAGGCTGCATTTCGGATTTAATGTGATTCTTTTCTAGGAGGATTCGGTAGCTAAACATTTTGTGGCTCTGTCCACAAACAAGGAAAAGGTTACCGCCTTTGGCATTGACAGTGCCAACATGTTTGGTTTCTGGGATTGGGTGGGCGGACGTTACTCCCTGTGGTCGGCAATTGGACTCTCCATTTGCTTGTCCATTGGTTTCGAGAACTTTGAACAGTTGCTTGAGGGCGCCCATTTTATGGATACCCATTTTAAAACTGCACCACTGACCAAAAATGTGAGTGCATTTTTGAAAAATTTAAATGTTTCATTATAATATAATAATGCAAATGTAATTCCTTAGGCACCTGTTATTCTGGCACTACTTGGCATTTGGTATTCGAATTTTTATAACGCCGAGACACACGCTCTACTGCCATACGATCAGTATATGCATCGATTTGCGGCATATTTCCAACAGGGTGATATGGAGAGTAATGGCAAATTTGTCAGCAAATCGGGAAAGAAGGTTGGCTACAATACGGGTCCAATTGTTTGGGGTGAGCCGGGCACAAACGGTCAACATGCTTTCTATCAGCTGATACATCAGGGCACGCGTCTAATTCCTTGCGATTTTATCGCGCCTGCACAGACGCACAATCCCATTGCTGGTGGCAAGCACCATAAGATTTTGCTGTCGAATTTCCTAGCTCAAACCGAGGCACTAATGATGGGCAAGACCGCCGACCAGGCCAAAGAAGAGCTGTCCAAGGCGGGCTTGTGTGGCAACGAGCTGGACAACTTGTTGCCACACAAGGTGTTTGCCGGCAACAGGCCGACCAACTCGATTGTAGTCAAGAAGGTGTCACCATTCACTTTGGGTGCTTTGATTGGTAAGTGGACTGAAGCGGACCGATCCCGATTATCTCTGAAACATCTCAATTATCGTTTCCATTTTACAGCACTCTACGAACATAAGATCTTTGTTCAGGGCATCATTTGGGACATCAACTCGTTCGATCAATGGGGCGTCGAGTTGGGTAAACAACTGGCCAAGGCCATCGAACCAGAGCTTGATCATTGCGAAGAAGTCTCCGGACATGACAGTTCCACGAATGGCTTGATTAATTTCATTAAAGCCAATTGGAAATAAACCGTGCAGCCCAACAACATTGACAATTAGGTCTTTTACTTATTTATATACTCGCGCTACCAATCCTATTCTTGGTACAAAATTAATATATATGTAACCATATATACTTACACTATATTTGCATGCATATTGAAATTATACGTAAAGCATTTGTTTGCAAATTGGCAAAAATCTCACTATCGGTAGTTACACTATTACACAGATATATGTTGTTGTTTGGCAGTAGTTAATTACATGTAAAAAACAAAAAAAAAAACTAATGCATGAAATTTGAGGCATAAAATGTATTTGGAACAAAATTGATTAAAGTTGCATCTATTTTTGGGCAGGCGAGAAGGAAAATTCTTTTGTTCAACATTAAACTGAGACGGAAGAGATGAGTTAACCAGCAGATGCATCTGTGTCTGTAGTCTCTGCATCTTCGTCTTCATCTGATGAATTCTGTGTCATTATCAAATCCTCTTCATCGGCTGCTATATCGTCGTCGGCCTCCATTTTATCATCATCATCGAAAGCGTAGTTTGTGTTATCCTGCTCCTCCAAATCGCTCCAATTGTTTTCGGCCAGTTGCGTAGAATTTTCATCTGCTAAAAGTGTTTATTGTTTTTATAAATGATAACAATAGATAGTATATGCATTACCAGGATCCTCGTCCACATATAAAACATTGTTTTCATTTAAATGATTGTCCGTGTTACGCTTCATTTGATTTATAATCAAGTTAACACGTCCAGAAACTCTGAAATACACAAAAACAAGCGTTTAAAACAAAAGCAAAAAAAACTCAATGCGCAAATCATAATTATTTATACAAAATTTTCCATTCCCAAATCTGGTTGTAATAAATATTCTGCAAATGGCGCCAATAACCCATAAAGACTCTGCAACAGAAGCTGAAGGGAACGAACCAATTATAGTTGAAAACTTTGGGCTGCCATCCAGCGAGAAAGTCGATGGTGTGCATTTGCCAGAACTCGATTATCTGATTGAATCCGTAGCCAACTGTCAGAAGCCTTTGTGCGATGACGCTGATCTGGAGTGCGTCAGTAATATGGTCAATGCGACCATCTGTGAAGCGATCAAAATAATTGAGTCGGATCCGCGCGGACTGTTCTGCTACAAGTATCCGAAGACACTGTATAATGCCTCGGACGAATTTCAATATCCAGTGACACCCTCAATGGGCTTGAGTGACATTTCAAGTGATTTTGTCCAACAATGGTTAAAAATTGGCGAATTTGAGTACAACAATGTGCTGGCTGTGATTCGGGACTTTATTGGCAAATGGCAGCTGTCCCCAAAAACGAAATGCGTGGTGCTTACAAATACTCGACGACACGATGTGGCCCTAAAGGGCACCATTTACTTTGTCGATGCACACTTTTCACGACCCACACAACGTTGTCCCAATCCCTTGGCAGTTGCCAAGGTTCGTTTTATAATCACGGTTTCCAGTGTCATGCAAAAATATTATCCCGTGATGATAACGTACCGCTTCGAAGGATATCGCACACTATATTACGCTGTGGGTGATCGTGCGCTGACTTTGAATACATTTCAAAGATTTTATATTGATACCATACTACACACAAAACTGAGTTTCTACGCTGAGATCTGTGAGTGTCGCCATGGTACCGTCGACAAGCCCAAGAATAACGTTAAGTCTAAGAATGTTAAGAAAACGAATCAATAAACGAGGTGGGGCTCTAACAAAAACTCATACGGGAAAAGTTTGGTTGGGGCTTCAATTCGATCTTTCCAACTACGGCATATGTACTTTTTGAAGCAAGCAGAATGCTCTATGTCAAGAGTTCCTTAGCAATAGAGGGACATGTGGAAATAGAGATGAAGATAAAGCTGTATGTACACTTACTGCAGTGCTTCTGTAATACAATGCAGACGTTGCTCCGCAATGCCTAGGCAAATGCCTAGCTTGTCGCGCAATTCCTCCTTATCCTCTGACATCATGACACTCGTATGTGTTGTAGCTAAAATCTGCAGCCAGCGTAAGGCACAAATTACCCTTAACGAAAAGATAGATTTACTTGACATATACAAACATAAGATATATTAATAGTTGCTCACTTGGCCGCCTTTCCTTGCAGCAGCACCGATAGCTCATTGACCAGCGGGCTTATATACTCAAGTGGCAAACGATCCAATGTTAATTGTATTGTATTCTCATCGTTTGTGCCCAGCACGGCCTGTAACATGCTTTAAAGAGAACATGCAATGAGTATGATTCGATGGCCATAAGTTGAATATCTTACGTTTGGTTCTGGCTGTGTAGGGCTTGCATCAATAATTGCGTCTTACTCTGGCTTTGCAGCTTGCCACCTGGCAACTTGGTCGCCTGGATAGTCAAATTTTGCAGTCGTGCCTCCATGGGCACATCGTTCTTTATCTTCTTCTTGGACTTGGGCAAGGCGCTGTTGTATTCCACGTCATTGGGACGCACGACAGGTGTTTGCGACTTGAGCGCAGCTTCTGTGCTGTGCTCGATGCGCTGCTTCTTAGTGTACAATTTTTTTGGGTCGGTGCGCACAATGACGTTCAGCTTCTCAGCGTAATTGGGAGTGTATCGTTCGAACTGCAGCTGGCGGCGACTGCCATAGCCAAAGAGTATCTCGTGAGAGCGTTGGGCGTCATGCACAAAGTGTGCGGCGACAGCATAGATGGGTTCCACAGTGTCAGCTCCATCTGATGCAATTTGCAGTGAAACCTTAGGCTTAATATACTTTTCCGCTGACAGGCTGTAGAGTGTGACAGAATAATTAATTCGTACAAATATTATGTTAATTCTTGTCTTGTTACCTATCCGCATTGAGTAAGTATATGTGTATGTTGCCATTACGCGTCACACTTGCCACACGCAACTGTCCATCTTCGCGCACCTCGCACGCCAAACTATGGGCCACATCCTCCATTAAAAGCGTGCACACCGATGCCTTATTCCTGCCTTTTCTATCAATTTTCCAGAACGAGATGACCCGCTCCATTTTGGCCGTCGTGATAATGTATTCATTATTGTTGCATTGAAAGCGATTAATTGCATTTATTTCTCCCGAGTGTCCTGTGCATGTTTCCACCAACTCCTTTTTGTCCACATCAAATATTTTAATTTGGCGCGAGGCGACGGCCAGAGTGCGGCTCTTTGGCGAATAAGCAATATTCAGCGGCTTCTCGGGCCCAACTGGCCACTCGCCAGTGCAGCGTTCCTCGGCTAATGACCACACCAAGGCGCGGCAATCTGCGCCCACAGTGTACAGATGCCCATCGTTGTCATAGGCAATCGATGTGACAGGCCCGTCGTGGCTTTCATTTTCCAGTATGCGCTCAATCTGCAAAGCAAGAAATTGATTATTTTTTTTACAACATAAGGCATAGCCTGAGATAACAAATACCTTTCCCTCTGTCACTGAATAGAGAGCGACTGTTCCCTTAACCGTACCGAGTGCTAAATAAAGCTTGTCGTCGTCTGTGGAAGTCTTTTGTGGCTGGGATTTGCGCGACTTCTTTGGACGCTGAGCGCCAATTGTTACCCACGTGAGCGCTGTGCAGTGTGCAGCTAATTGAAGGTTCGGTGTAAATTCCTGTTTTAATGCATTCGTCTCGGTGTCCCATATTCGTAATGTGCCCTGCTCATCAATCAATGCAAATAGTTTTCCCCCATTTGAGGAGAATCCCAACACGTGCTTCTTGACCAGCGACATCTCTTCAAATCGGTTGGAACAAAAAACACCTTTTTTAGTGTTGGTTAACAAAGCAAATATAATGACCAAATGTTTTGGTAGTTTTCTTGGTATGCATTTTTTCATAAAGAGTAAAATGCCATGAAAATACTAAAAACCTTTTTCTAGCATATTAAATGCTTAACCATAACGTAAGTATTGTATAACCTAAATTTTAACGATTGTTGAGTAGTTGCAAAAAACTTTGTCAATTTAATGTCAATAGAAAACATCATTGTAGATATTTTTGAAATAATTTTGTTATCCGATTAACTTAACGAAACTACATTGGCAGTATTTTGTACAAAACAGAAGCAGTATTTTTTGCTAGCTACCAGTGTACAATCCAGAATTTTCGTTCGCCTCACTTTGAGGTTAAGTGCACTACCGACTGATTGCCTTGCTTTAGCTGCTCTTCGTTTGTTAAATATCTGTGCATTAAAATGGCTTTATCTGTTCCAAAAGCCCCGGGAATGGCCCAAATGCTCAAGGATGGCGCCAGGGTAAGTGAAATATATATGAAAATCAATAAATTACTAGTTTTTGGCATAGCTTTAATTGAAATTGTAAAAAAACCGGCGGTCCTCTACCGAAGCGCGTGATTAGTCATCGCATATGTTCATTTATAATGATTGGTTCCATCACATTCTAATTTTCTAGATGTATAGTGGTCTCGAGGAGGCGGTCTATCGTAACATCAGTGCCTGTAAGGAGTTCTCACAGACAATGCGTTCGGCCTACGGCCCAAACGGCATGAACAAAATGATAATCAATCACATTGAAAAGCAGTTTGTAACAAGCGATGCGGGCACCATAATCCGCGAATTGGATGTTGAGCATCCAGCGGCCAAGCTGATCGTAATGGCTAGTCAAATGCAAGATGCCGAGGTTGGTGATGGCACCAATTTTGTGGTCGTGCTGGCTGGTGCGCTGCTTGAATCAGCAGAGGAGCTGCTGCGCCTGGGCATCACCACAGCCGAAATAGCTGATGGATATGAGAAGGCATTGAACAAAGCGCTCGAGATTCTGCCAACTCTGGTGTGCCATAAGGTGGAAGATTATCGCGATGTCAACAAAGTCAAGGAAGTCCTACGCTCGGCCATCATGTCGAAGCAGTACGGCCAGGAGGATTTCCTTACGGAACTGGTGAGCAAGGCGTGCGTGTCCATATTGCCCGATGATGGCACCTTCAATGTGGACAACATCCGCATCTGCAAGATTCTGGGCAGTGGCATTTACAAGTCGGAAGTGGTGCGCGGCATGGTCTTCAAACGTTTTGTCGAGGGCGATGTTTCATACGCTGAAAAGGCAAAGATCGTTATATTCTCGTGCCCGGTCGATATCATACAGACGGAGACGAAAGGCACGGTGCTGATCAAGTCGGCGGATGAGCTGATGAACTTCTCCTCGGGTGAGGAGGGCTTGTTAGAGAACCAAATCAAAGCCATTGCCGATACGGGCGTGAAGGTTGTAGTAGCTGGTGGCAAAGTCGGAGACATGGCCCTGCATTTCCTGAACAAATACGGCCTGATGGCGGTTCGCTTGAACTCCAAATTCGATTTGCGTCGTTTGAGCCGTGCCGTAAATGGCACTGTGCTGCCGCGCATCACAACACCCAGCCAGGAAGAGTTGGGCTATTGCGACAAGGTCTGCATTGAGGAGCTGGGTGACACCGCAATCGTGGCGTTCAGGTGCGTACCAAAGCCTTACTGGTGACTTAATCAAATATAAATGTGTGCAATTTGATTTACAGAAATGAGGGCAAGGACTCACGCATTGCCACCATTGTGATTCGTGGTGCCACTGACAATTTCATGGATGACATCGAGCGCGCCATGGACGACGGTGTCAACAATTTCAAATCCCTGACTCGCGATGGTCGTTTTCTGCCCGGCGCAGGTGCTACTGAAATAGAGCTGGCTACACAGCTGTCTGCCTATGCAGACACTTTGCCCGGTTTGGACCAATACGCTGTGCGCAAATTCGCCAATGCACTCGAAGTCTTTCCCAAGGCTCTGGCCGAAAACTCTGGCTCCAATGGCACAGATATTGTCAATCAGCTGTACCTGGCACACAATTCGGAGAAGGGCAAGAATATTGGTTTTGACATTGAAGCAGAGAAAGCAACGACCCTCGACGCGGTTGAGGCGAAGCTATTTGATTTGTATCAAGCCAAATTCTGGGGTCTCAAATATGCCGTCAGTGCGGCTGCAACCATATTAAAAGTGGACCAGATTATCATGGCCAAGCGTGCCGGAGGGCCAAAACCGCGACAGGCGGCTGGCAGCGATGATGAGAGTTAAGCTTATCTAATATTAAACTAAACGATTCGATAAAATGTAAAGCTTAATTATTTTAGTTTCAAAGAATCCTTTACATGTATTTTCACATATTCTTTGTCACACATGGAAATTATAAATTTCATTAACACACACACACACACAACTCACATACACAGCTTTGTATTAATAAACTAAAACCTTAAAAAAAAAAACTAAATGCACTTCACGCCGTGTTTCATTGCCTGAAAGTGCAGTATCTAAGTGAATGGAAGCGACGTGTTTCGTGTCCATGCCTGTAAATTAAACGCAGAAGAAGAAAAGGCTTTTTGCGTCCGCTAGATAACTCATCTAAGCTTTTTATTTTTGGAATTCAAGCAAACAATTATTTGTTCATTTTGGAGTACATTACATTATTTCAAATGCGTATGCGCAGATACAATTCAATATTTGGTTCGAATAAAATACGATATCGTTGTCGTTTTCAAATTGAAGTTTAATAAAGTTCTTAAAGTGTTTTCTCATTCTTGGTATTCGGTGCTTTATATATCCATTATTTCGTGCATGCTTTAGTTAGTATAGTTGTAAATACGTATATCATTGAATTGATGTTTGTCTCTGAAAGCAATCGAAACTATCCGTGCTCCAGTGGATAGTTCGATTGTTTTCAGCACACTTCAATCTTTATAGATCCAATCAATTGAAGAACAAAAACTATAAATCAAAACGGGATATCTACATGAAACTTGCAGGAAATTGAAAATTGTGCCAAATATTGTTAGTCCACCGAAAATAGTTGCCTCGTAACCAACTGCAGTTTTGGTTGTTTTTGTTTTTTTTTGGAAGCGACCAGAAGAGTCTACTCTTAAGGTAGGAAATTTTCAATTTTGAACAATTTTCTGCTGAATGCTCACGACAGCAGAACAGAGTTCAAAATCTATCTGAATGTGTTGGAAAACAAATGCTTTCAGTAAATATGTGTGATTCCTTGTTCAAATAATTTACTTAAATGCAAGAATGGAAGAACCGATTCAATATTAAATGTTAACTAGCTGTGTCGACAAGGTAAATTGTGGGTTGTGGATTTGTTTTAGATGTGAATATGGAAATTTGAATGTTTCTCTCGATGGAAGAACCGTTTTGTTTCATTCCAATACCATACAATTTTTGCCCAATACCATGTTAGAGTGTAGAAAAATAACTCAGCTTTAATATATACTTTGCCACTCATGCCAAATACAATTTGGTTTGTTTATCCTTTACAAAAATATAGGCTCAACCGTGCACAAATCATTTGATAGATATGACATCATGTGCTGTCGTGATAACACCCGATTTACAATGTCAACATTAGCTTTAATAATATGCAAGTATTATGAGTGACTTATTTTTTTTTTCATTTCCTTTCTTAATATTTCGTTTACTTAGCACAGAATCACACATTGTTACAATTTGCTTTAGCCAGAAATTGAGAGACACAATTTTCAGTTTCGTGTCGAGTTTCATTGAGATCTAGAGATTTATAAAATAAATTATCGTTCATTTTAGCGAGATAATATATTAGCATGAACTGCCAGTTGATAATCAAAAAGACGAAAACTACTTTAGAGATACATATATATATACTAAATATATATTTGCATTTATATATTTTTGTCGCGTTACTGCAACGAGCTTTAATATTTTTCTAAGAAAAAACTTGATATTAAACACACTAAAGTTGAACTAGCTTGTTATGGCCGTATTTCTGCCTGCATTTAAAGCTTTTAAAGTAATCATATAGTTTGAATCCGCATAGCTGGGATTTATAAATGTATATAATAATATATTCTTGAATATGCATACTTCATAATTGAGTATGTTTAACAACGTGAACAGATTATTCTTGAAATAAGTAGGCAAAATAGGTGTTGTTTGTGTATGTTGTATTTATTTGTGTGTTTACTATGCTTTAATAAATATATTGGATTGATATATTAATGTAGATATAGATTTCATAGTTTTAGGTAGTTGTTGCTAGTCCGCACATTAATTGTCCTTTAAGTTGGGATATTCGTGTACACTGGTTGCTCTACTATATGCTGATATTACCCGAATAAATGCCAAAGGTTAAGAGTTTTTGAAGAATTTAAAATTTGCATTTGTCTGTTTCTATATTGTTATGTCTTTTCGTTCTAAGTATTTACGACTTGGTACACATTAGGCCCTTTTACGGATTTCTATTCGTTTTGTTTTTGTTTTGTAATAATATTGCTTTTTATAATTTGCGTTTATATATATATAGATATATGTATATATTTTTTGCACAATATTTAGCTGGTGGTGTTATTGTTCAGGTTTTTATTCATCATCTTTAATTGGGATTGGGTGCTTGATGTTTATAAAGAACTTAATAACGAAAAACAAATATATTATCCGATTCGAATCGGCTTAAAGAGCAGTGCACGAGGATTTCTCGCGGAAGGGATTTACCTTCTGGCTGGTGAAACCAGTCAATAGGTAATCCTCCTGCTCGTGCTCCGATATATATTTCTTCATTTTGTCGCAAGACACAGACACCGACTGCCGATCTATGGCCGCCTCCCGACGCAGCTGGTCAACGACAATGCGCTGCTGTTGCAGTGATGATGACATTACGTCCATTACGGCTGTCTCGGATAGGCCTATTGTTGAAAATTTACTCAGATACGATATGCAAATACAATAGTAAGTAGTAGTGCTGGTTGTGTGTTTAAAATGCTTTCAAAATAGTTTAAATTTCTTTTTGATTTTTTTTTTTTTTTTGGTAAGGTTTCTCGTTTTTGGATGAATCTGTATTCAGACGCGCGCGCTGTAAATGAAGTAAAAGAAAACAGAGCAAATGCCACAAAAATAATTGTTTAAAATATTTTTGAAAATTTCGCATACTGACACGGACAGTGGATACGACATCGAGTACATACACAGAAAGTTGGTACAGCTTGAAAGGAAGTATGTAAGTTCTAGACAAGATTGTGTTAGTTAGCTCTTAAGAAATGCTCTATACCGTTATAGCAACGGTACACTCATGTCCACCGATGCATGCATGTGTGTGAGTAAATACTAATGACGCGAAATATATTGTACGTATTATTGCCTAATTATAATGTAAATTTATTGCTCATAAATGATTCACTTTTTAACTCATGAAATCGAATGTTATTTATTTGCAGTTGACTGCAACTGTAATGTTTTACATTTAAAAATTGTAAATTAAAGGTTTTTCAATTCTAGCCAATTGATTTTATTCTCCCTTGACAAAATTTGTGGGCATGGGCGCACACATACATGCATACGAATGTCAACACGTACACGTTTATGTTTTGACTACACTAATAATTTTAAGTTAGTAGAACACACACAAGCACAACTACATATTAATAACGTTATGTGTACAAAATTTACCAGCTTTATGTTTAATATTTTGTTAATATTTCCGACAAATAAGTTCAGGTTCGCCTGACTTGAACAAAAAGATACACACCCAAACCAATGGAACGTGAAGTTGGCTGCGAATTGTGAGCGAAGTAATCGTTATCGGTTATCGGCATATTACATGCGGGTGTTTGTATGTGCTTCCATCCCTGAGTGTCCGACTCTAGTGCAATGATAATGGCGAAGGACGAATGGTCCGCGGAAGAGGAATTGCAGCTCTTTCATGCAATGGAAGGCTTACGACCTGTAGGCATAAATAAACATTTCTACATGTCCTGCATAGCGGAACGTCTCTCAAAATCGTTAAACCGCGAAATGCCCAGTGATCTAATCTGGAGGCACTTGAGCACAATGTACAAGCTAAAAGAGCTGGATGATCTTGAGGGGCTGCCATTTCCCAATGAGGAGCGAGAGTTTTGTTTGCCAGAACAGGACTACGCCACGTTCGTAAACAAAAAGACTGTTGGAGCCAACGCTAGCGAAGAAACAACAGATACACATTCTTCCCTTGTACCAGTAGTCGCCGCTCAAGCAACCGATAGCAACAATAAAGGTACACTATTAAGATTCCATCTATATTAAACACAATATTAATGCCCAATCTATAGGCACAAAGTTGGCAGTAGTGCAGGCGAGAGATAACGAAAAGAAGATGACAAAAGTTTTGGATATGCCAAAGAGACCAGCTAAACGAACTCGTGGTTCAATGTCAAATGAATCGATTAGCCCCTCCACCACACCACCCCCCTTGCAGAGCAGCAAACGCCGTCGTATTTAAAATGCATTGTTGGAAACACATCAATGCTTTAAGATCAAATAGTTATTTTTATTAGTTTTAGTTAAATTGTGACCAAAACTTTGATTTAAAAATTAAGTGTATATATAAATGTTTCAATCTTCGAAGTCGCTGCCCCCTGATTCGGTTTCAGTTGACTCATCCTGCGGTTCGATTGCGGATTGCATCGAATCCAGCAACGATTTCAACAAGCGTTTATTTAGGTGATCCGTTTGTGTTAGCTCGCGTACGGGCTGCCCCTGGTGTGGGTCGTCCGCTTCTGCCGTTGGAGCTGGTGGCGTGTTTACTGTCATGGCTTCAATGTTCTCTAGCAGTGGCATATTGGCTTTAATATTTAATTGTTCAAATTGTCGGCTTGTAGGTAACGCGTTTGTTTTTTTTTTTCTATGACACAGCTGCTAGGGCTACAGTAAATTTTATACATTTATTATTCAACGAGTCTCGCTTGTACACGGCCCTGGTTAATAGCAGCCCTGCTCGCTTGCGCAGTGCAATTTATGTCGCGCCCGAATTCAATTTCAATAAACAAATAGAAAATGTTTGAAACAGAAGATATGCTGCCGCGATCGGCTCCCAGGCCCAGCGCGCCAATACCGCTGGGACATACCGACGAGATAGTTAAGCCAACTGTCCCTGAAGTTTCCATATTGTTCGGGCAGGCCCCTCAGCAACAAGCTCAACTACAACAACAACAAGCGCCAGTTCAACGTCCGGCAAACAGTTTTGCCTCCTGGAAGAAACAAATACTTCCTCGTGTTAACTTTTCCCCAGTGCTAACAACAGAATTGGGCCCAGGCAACCCGACGTCTGCTACGCCCGGAGCAATCAGCACAGCCTCCGGTGGCAATGAATATAATTTTCTGCCGCGCACTCGCGCTTTTGATGAGCGCATAGCCCCCGCGCATTCGGTGGGTAGCAATGTGAATCTAGGATTTGCGGTGTCTGGACCTAACCAATACACACGCGAAGCATTCGCCACAGATGATTTAGTGCCAAAGCCGCGTTTGCCCCAATCAAATGCAACTGCAGCCGATGTGCTTACAATCTGTGCTAGCACCCAGACCGAACCAGAAACTATATCTGATTTAAAGGATGCCAGGCCTGAGCTGACCAATTTGGCAGATAAAAAGGATATTAGAGAGCTGTTAACTCTATTGGAAACAATGCGCCAGGAGCAAAAGCAATTAAAACGCCTATGCGAATCCCTGGCTCAGCAACAACTGCAAGCAAGCACCAAGACTTTTAAAGAAACGGCTTCCCAGTGCGCGATTCTAGTCCCAACTAAGGGTAAGTATTAAGTCAAATCATAAGTTTAGTTATCTAGAAAACCTTTGTATAATACGGACTGTAGGCAATGCTGCAGTTAAGCGAATTACGCCCATTGTTCACGATTATATAGTTGAAGAAGATGAGCTTGAACTACCAGCGAGACAACTACCACAATTCCAATCGCCACACGCTGCGCCACCCGTAGCACAATCCACTGGATATCGAGCCAACACGCCGCAGGGCAAGCAGTCGCCGGTGCCGCAACTGGCTGCATCCGCGCTGCCGAAGTCGAACACAGATAAAACTTTGGTAATGAATGAGCTGGCTCTGAAATATTTGCCGCAGCGGCAAATCAACGAACTAATGGAGGACCTGCATGTATCACCAAAAACAGGCAACGATGTGATGGTCAATGCGGGCTCCAATTCAACACCATTGCGTCAAATTGACAATTTCAGCCCGAGTCCCAGTAACATGTCAAACGCTTCATATAAATATCTCAAAAAATATCGATTGTTGCCCGAAGAGCAATTGGGCTATGATCATCATATATTATCCCCGCAGGCAGTGCATAAAATTCCACGTTCCGGATCACCTGCAGCCGCGCAGCACCAGGAGCCCATGCTGGACTTGGATAATATACGAAATCAGCCAAAGCTATTATAGCTGTTATTATAGCCAATGCTGTATATTTATGTATGTATAATTTTAGAAATCCTTTATAATAACTGCATCTAACAAAAAGCAGGAGTACACAAAATCAAATGGAACAAACATAAACGCGCTTTTGATTTAGACACACAAACCACAAATAATCGTAAACTAGCGCAAAACCAGGTGCAGCTCCGCTGCCGATTGAAGTAAAACTTTTAGGCCCTGCATGAAGCCCGCACACTGCGAAAAGTCCGTGCCAAATGCAATGCGTGTGTGCACCTCCAGGGCATTTGCATAGTCGGCTATTTGTATATACTGCACAATTTGATTCAGATGTTGCACAGTTGTGGCCGTTAGCTAATGTGACAATGGGAAAGATTTTATTAGGCTTTTTATATTATTTTAAAATTTCACTGTAAGCTTACCCGTCCGTCGCGCAAGCAATCGTAGAGATTTTCCAAGCGTTTCACCACATCCACAAATTTTCGTTTGGTGCGCTGTAAAAACAGTTTAAAATTTCAAATTGTATTATGTTTAACATGAATAATTTGTTCTCATTGTCTGCTTACCGGATCATTAGTTGCGCTCAAGCATTGATTTTTCAGTTCCTCCAAAACGGTTTGCAAGTAAATGTATTCCTCCGGGAGTGGGGGCTTCTCCTTGGGCGGCTCTGGTTGGCGCTGTTCTTGTATTGGTGCTGGCTGTTCGGTGTAGCCGAACGATTGCTGTTGTGGCTGACCCGGCCAGTATTGTTGCTGTTGTTGATTAGGCACCGCCGTTTGTTGGAAATTTATTTGCTGTTGTTGTTGAGGTGGAAAGGCCTGTGGATTATTATTGGCAGCTGGATTGTAGAAAGATGTGGCACCTGGCGGTGGAGCGCTCTGAAGAAAAAATTGGATTAGGCAATGAATAACAATCAGGCAAACATTTCTTATTAGTACAGGCTTTTCGAGCTTATGGTACCTGATATTGGTTGGGATCCATAAGGCTGTTCTGATTCTGATTGGGATCAACGCCGTATAGTGGATGAAGGATTGGTGCTGCAGTTGATTCCGCTGTTGGTCGTGGCTTTGGCTAAAAGTTGCATTAAGTCATTAAAAGGGAAATGGAAAAATGAATTCGTCAACACTTACCACACGTGAAGATTTCAAAGCTGGCGGATCATTCCAGCCAGGTGGTGGCGTAGGATTACGCTGTATATTCTGGAGAAGAGGTGGCGGTGCATTAGCCACTGGCATTGTCTCAATGGGTGCAGCACCCGACAAGTAGTTGCTTTGTGTGGCCCCAATGAATGGAACTGGGTTATATTGCTGAGCCGTGGATATGGGGTTGGTGTTGAAGACGTTGCTATTATAAGTCTGTGGTACACTGGCAGGCTGTGAGACAGGGGCGCCACCGAACGGAACTGCCGTTGGAGCTGCAACTGGGTTATATGCCATACCATATGCGCTGGTAGGCGCTGCCACAGAAGGATCTAAAACGTATTTAGAGCGCGAGTGGAGGCCAGATCCGGCTCCAGACCCAGTTGACGTAGCCACCGGGGGCCCGCCCGAGGAGCTAGCATTGCTGTGGGGTCGTGGCGGATGCGTTAAGGGTTCTGCTTTCATTTGAGGCGGATTGTAGATTTGTGTAGGTTGTTGAGCTGCCTGGAAAGGTACGTTCGGCAAAGGCACAGCTGGCGGTGCTGCTGCTTGCTGCCAGCTTCCATTTGTTGTGGCATTATAGGGGTTGTACGGCAGTGGATTGGCTGGCTTTGAGAAGGAACCACGCGGCTCCATTTGACGCATATAACCCATGGGAGCGGCAGCGGCTGCTGCTGGTTGTATAGGATCCACATTGACAGCATTGCTAATGCGTTCACGCAACTCATTCAGATCTTCGCTTTCCGCATTGGCTTTGCTTAGCGTTGTTATATATTGCAGAGCAGCGGTCAGCGCACCCTGCGAGGCCAACAGTCCACTATATTCAGATATAAATCTGGCAAAGCGTCCGGCCAAGTCGACAGCAATGCCTTGCTGCTCCAATGACTTGGTTAGCAGCATTACCACCTCGGCTAGCTCCTGCAGCTCCGTGGTGTTGAGCTTGTAGTTGTTATTCTGCTGCTCCAGTTGCTTTAACTGATACCAGGCGGTTACCAGCTTATCAATGCTGCCGGCACAGATATAGCATAGCATAGCATTGCGTGTCAGCTCGATGCTGTTGGCGGACTCATTCAACAGGCGATCGCCGAGCCTCTCACAAATGTCGTCCAATTTGCGCTCGCTGTGCTTGAGCGCAGCTACTAGAGCCTCTTTCCAGGAGTCGACGGTGCAGCGATTGACAAAGTCCAGCCAATCGCGCGTTACCAATGCCGATATGACATTGGACAGCTCGTTTTTTTGCTGCAGCAAATAACGGGTCTGAGTGCGTGTTAGCGTCTCTATGCCCGCTGTTGAAGCTATGATCAGTGCCTCCGGTATGCGCTGCGCCTCCAGGCACAGTTCCACGGCAGCCTCAACATTGCCCGTGAGTATGGCTTCCGTAATTAAGCTGTCGGTGTCTGCAAAAAAATGAATTGAATTAGGAAATGCCATCAAATTCTGCAAAGGGTATAATCGGCCTTTCGAAGATAACACTTTTCTTTTCTACTTACGATCACCGTTTGGTATTTTGAACTGAGGTCTAACATAGTCGTTTTGCCGGTCAATTGAGGCGCCATCAAATGGGGTTTTGTTGTCATTCGTTTGCTGGAAATGGATTTATTTTAATTAACTCTTACAAAATAAATTAAAAGTTAGTTCGATTTCTTTGTCGCGAATGATTAATTGCATATACTTTTCGTTGGGCATCCAATTTCTTACCGAATTATCGGTGCTTGAGTTGGTGCTTTGGTCGCATTCAACCTCAGATGAGTCGCTCTATTTAGAGCAAATGTTAGGCAAGCATGAAAAATTGTTATCAGAAGAATATACAAGGAAAGATGAACAAACTGAAGCAATGCTTAATATTGATAACATGTTGTAGCATACACATATGTTATTTCTGTTCTTAGAGATAAGAGCTGGACCGAGCTGAACAAATAGAAAGCCCATAGCGGAAACTCACATGTGTAAGAGTTGATATGCGGGTCGTGAGCGTATCTACGTCAGACTGCGAGTTGCTCTCGGCCTCTTTGATGAACTTTGTAAATTTTCCATCAATGTCGTCCTTGTTGTAACCTTAAATAAAAAACCTTTAAAGTGATCGCTTTGAAAATGAGCTCTTGGCGCTTACCCAAAAGGTTGAGCATTTCTTCTTTGGGATTCAGTTCAAAGTTTGCCTTAATGAAATACCAAATGTAGCGACCGTGCTGATCCGTTGATTTATCTGCACGCTGTCGACAATAATCTGCATAGTTGGCCTCGGCCAGAGACAACTCTAATGCATTCGCACGCTCCACAAGACCTGGCTCGGTTGTTAGCTGGGATACCTTCACAGTTTTCGATGTTGCGTTGAAACTAACCAGCTTGCCGCCGAACTGTTAATGAAATTGTAATTAATTGGGCACAGTTCTACGTGGATTTTCTTTAAAATACTAACACCAAACGCCACGCCACAGGGACGCTTCATCCATTTGGGAGCATGCGTCAGATCGTGATAGACAACTTGAGTGGCTTGCTGAGGCAGTGGCGCCTGGGCAAATTGATCCATTCCTGGAAAGGAGTCGGCTATTTTCTCGGATGTTTGCACCAAATGGTGCGTGCCGCCATTCAGCGAGTATATCGAAACAGCTCCCTCTAAGCTGGCGCTAGCAATCAGTGCAGGATTGCGCGGACAGAACTGCACATCCGAATACCAAGAGGCCGTGGTGGCTACCTCTGAAAGTATTTCGCCTTCGGGTATTTTGGTATTCGGATTCCAGCAGTAGATGCGATTATCCTTGCCACATGAGACCATCAGATCCGTATCCTGCAAGCACCACGACATGCCAAGCACTCCACGATCGTGTATCTGATATGTTTTTGCCGGTGCGGTGGCGTAACGCAAATCCCAGAGCTGCACAACCGGTGCCTGATCATCCTCCGATGCCAGCCATACCTGTGTGGCCACCTCAGGATGCCATTCAATGGCATGCCATCTAACGCGCGACTGCGTGTCTGACAATTTGATAATCTGCTGACTCTTGCGCAAGTCCCAAATAACACAGCGTGTGCTGAACACAGATGCCAATATGTGCTGAACTTGCCGGTTCCAAGCGACATTCTTGACATCCTCCAGCGGCTGTGTCTTTGCGCCTGGATTCAGAGGACTGACCGGGTTGTTTAGATCCCAGATATAAATCTCCGATTCAGAAGCACATGACGCAAGCAGGTTGTTTAGAAACGGATTAAAGTCCAAGCCGCTAACTGCGCCGGTATGCTTGTCCTGACGCGCTAGCAGCGACTCCTCGTTAGCTAGAAGCTTCGCAGCCGAATAGACATTGATATGACCAGCCTCACAGCCGCCGACAATCAATCCATTTGCATGCGTGCCATTTGCACCGTGCGGACTCCAAATGAGTTTCTGAAATCTATCAAATTACGTTTATCTATAAGTTCTTACTCAAATAAGGCTCTAACTCACTTAAAATCGCTCGGAACGCTGGCCTTAAGCTCCAAATCGTAGCTGGCATCGCCAATGCTTGGTGAATATATCTCCAATGTGGCACTTGCATTTGAATCGAACTGCTGGGCCGCTGTGCCGGCGGCCAGCAGTATTTGTTGCTGCTGCGCTGGCGACCAGGCAATGTTTACAGTCTTCTGTAGCTCTTTAATTTTCATTTTTTCGCCCTGCAAATTCAATTAGATTATTAGCTTATGGCTCTGGCCAAATGGAATTTAAACGAAATTGTGGCACGTCCAATTGGAGCGCGCCCCGTCATCACTTTTTTTTCTCAGTCGCTACAGCATTGGCGTGGCCGGAAAATGCTGCACCTTATGTTTTGTCATGTTGTAATTACTCTTAAACTGTACTTACACGCAATTAATTTGTGTTTATTGCTTGAACAGTATGTTTAAATTAATTAAAAATATATATAAATACGTTTTTTAATATTTTTATAAGAACTAAAAGCTGTCGCAGAATCGATGATACTATCGAAGGCAGCGACACTACGGTTGCCAAACATTAAAATATCGATGAATCGATAATTAACTTGTGCAAGGCATCGGTATTTTTATGTTGCATACAAATACATACTGTATGTATTAAAAGCAAGAACTCGCGCCATATTTGAAATTTTATATAGGGTATGCTGTCTGGAACGGACACCAGTGTAAATACATTTTCATATAAAGTACATATGGAAATTCCAAGCGTTTGCTTTATTGATACAAATAAATATTTTCATTCATAATTGGTATAATTCTAGTCATGTGTGCTAGACATTTTAAATATCCTGCCCAATTTACTTAGCGCTGGTTATGGCCGCAACACGCTGTTCAACTTTAGCCATTTTCGTGTTGATCGTTTCCAGATTTTGGGCAAAAGTCTCCTGAACTGAATGAAGAAGTTCCTTGTTGTTTACCAGGCTGGTCGTAATGGTGCCCTGTTTTTGTTCGATTTCTGCAATGATCTTGGCAAAATTGTTTGCTGAAAGGAAAGAACCTGGCGTTATCTAATCACTAAGAAAGGAAATCACTGATTCCTACCATATTTATGCAAAGCCTCCAGTGCCTGCATGCGTTCAATGACATGTGGCAGCATTTCGACAACTGGTTCGGTACGTTTTGCAATATCATAGAGCTCGGTCACCTTTTGGTCACGTTTAGCATCCTGTGTGCTGCCGCTGGACTTCTCGGCAATGGCATCCATTTTGCCAGCCAAAGAAGTCAAACGCTGCTCAATGGCGTCCAGTTTTTCTGGCTGGAGTAGGGCCGCCTTGGTGCTCAGATGTCGCACAGCCTCAAGCACGTTGGACGTGTTGGTGACCGCTGTCAAGCGACTTAGTTTCTCTGGGTGCGCCCCGACAGCCTTTTCCAGTTGATGCAAACGTTGTTCGAGATTCGCGACACGTGCTGTGGACGCCAAATCCGTGCCTGGCGTCGGCAGAGCTGTCAGCACACCAGACTGCTTAAATTCCTCCACTTGGGCGACAAGTGCTTTGACCTGCTTATCATTGGGCGTTTGCTCCTTGCCAAGTACTTGCTCTAGCTTCAAGGTATCCAGCACTCTCTTGGCCGTGCTAATCACAGTGGCAACCGCATCATAAGATTGTTTCTCTTCTTCGGCGATTTTTCGATCCACTTGCAGGGCTGCAACTTCATTGAGCAGCTCATTCATCTCAATTTGCAGGCGCTGACACTTTTGCACCGGAGTTTCCTTTTCACCCTGGCAAACCAGCTCGTATTCCCCGCCGCGCACATCGTAGCCGCGGCACACGCGACGTCCAATGCGATCCGTGAAATCAACGTTGCCCTCGAGAGTTGAATTACTAAAGCGTTTGTGTGCTGCGCTGGGCGAAATGTGCATTCGCTCAATGGCTTCGTTTTCCGGCTCCTCTTCGTAATAGTCGGACGTATCAGGCTCCGGATCGTCGGGAGTCTCAAAAACATCCGGCTGGTCATAAGCCTAGGCAAGAAATGAGTGTACATGTTGAAAATATGAAAGTTTGTATGCTTACAATGCCGGGCAAGTTTTGAAATTTCGGATCTGCCATAATGTTGGGCACTGCGAGTTATGTATTTCGACAGCGTTTTGATGTTGTAGATTATTTTCTAATTGCAGAAATTTGCAAAAAGTTTTGCAAAACAAAAATGGACAGCAAAGCTAAAACTGATGTCATAGACAAAGTGTGACCGTCGAAATAAAGCAAATTCTACTAAAGCATAAAATCAGCTGTGCCTATAAAATACTGACTTGCCTTTTTGTACAAATAATTTACTAAGTATTGTAAATTAATTTAATCTCTCTTGCCTTTTGAATTTTATCAAGAAACGATTTTTTATGTAGCTAACTTCAGTATTTGCTTAACACAGTGCGGGTTAACAACAAAACGTCTATTAGGCATGCTTCAAATTACATCTAGGAATACCATTATTATTATGAGGCAATGGTATTTTTCAGTATACCCAATACGGTCGCACTGCTTAATAGTTATAGTTAGCTTAGTATTGCGGTAGTTGGACTATAATTAGGTAAGATATTCGGTGTTGGGATCGTTGAAATAAATTGAGAATGTCGTCCTCGGACTATTACCCATACAGCTATAGTGAGCTACCGTTAGAGGTATGTATACGTTGGTTAATAGCAAGTTTTCCACTCGTGACCTCAAGTCAGCTGACAATAATTGAATATACGATTCTTACACACAGATAGTGCTGCATATATACAAGTATCTGGGCTATTCCGATCTATTGGCAGCTGGCACCACCTGCCACCGTTGGAGAAGCGCCCTATATCAAACTGAATTTATAGCCCGAACACGCGTACGTTTCTCAAAAGTTGTGCTATCGGATCAGCATAGTCCCGCTGTTGATTTGATGAGATGCGAAAGACGCTTTCGTCACTTTCTGTTCGAGGATGTGACCCTCGGCCAGGTACCTGAGCTGATGGCATTCATAGGACAATCGGCGCATTCGTTAAGTCTGGACAATGTCGATCTGAATGATAAGCAGTTCTATGGCATTCTACGCCTGCTGCCACACTTACAAGTCCTGGCCGTGACACGTTGTTTGCCCCTGTTCATGTCGGCTACCTTCTTGGATTCAAATGCTTGCGATTTGAATGAGATCTCGGCACATCTCTCCAGCATACGGGAGTTGACTATATGCAAGAATCAGTATCTCACCGATGCCATACTGTTGCGCCTGACTGCGCTGATGCCCAAGCTGGAGCTGCTCAATATGTCCGGGTGCCAGATCTCGTTTCATAATGCCATACATCGACGTTTCTATCCCCAGGAGCCGAGCATGCCAAGTGAATCGGTGCTGACATTCAAATACATCTTGAACGTGCTCACCCAGCAGCGTCGGATGCTGCACACACTCGACTTTAGTCACACGCTAATCGGACATTCGCTGCTGGCACTGTGCGAGCTCAGCCAGGCGGATGAGAATGGCCAGCCAGGCTTGCAATTGCGCCGTTTATATTTAGCCGGCTGTAGGCAGTTGAATGCAGCTACCATTAAAAGCTTTCTCAGCACGCAACGGCAATTAACTGTGTTGGATTTATCGGCCACGATGTGTCTAAACGATGAGTGCCTGGCGGCGATTGTACAGGCAAATCCACAATTGCAGGATCTCAAGATAAACGCTTGCTCCGGCATCACAAACTTGGGTGCCGCGAAGCTGCGGCATTTACCGCGCTTACGTCTCTTGGACATTTCCAATTGCGACGGCATTAGCAGCAATGGCATTATGGAGGGCGTGGCACGCGAAGAGAACACCGTGCTGCTGGAGCTGAACGTCTCATATTTGACTATCTGTGAGGAGTCCATTAAGTCGATAGCTAGAAATCTGCGCGCTCTGCGCTCCCTTCACTTGAACCACTGCGTCAACGCCGTCACGGACGAGGTTATGCAGCTTATCATAAGCCAGTTGTGTTGGCTCCGTGAGCTATCGCTGGAGAGTTGTTGCCGGGTGAGTCAGAAAAGTCAACATATAGCTTCCTTTGACATAAACTGATTCGTAATATAATGATGAGTTTGCATACTTAGACGGTATATATTGTTTACTAAGATCCGTGTTTTATACTATCGAAAACCGCTTTCAGAATGAATATGGGGGGCAAAGATTGAGTTGCAACTCATCTTAACTTTTTTCGATTGGCTAAAAACTTATATATTATAATTTTGTTTGAGAGTTGTGAGCCAGAGCAGCAAGTCCACATCTCTAGTTGAAAATGGGGTGAAAGGATTAAGCTTAACGCGACGAAAGTAACCTTTGCCTAGAGAAATGAATCTTATGTTCGTTTGTTTTTGTAGCTAACTGACGCTGCGCTTACTGGCATTAATATAGCCAAGCTGGAACTGAACCGAGCCTCCTCCATTGGAAATGCGTGCCCACCGTCAGATAGTTTTACCGGCTCATTGCAGTCCATTAAGATATCTTTGCGCAGCAAAGCAGAAGAGGAGATTGTACGTGATGCCAAACGCAAGCAGGCAATGTTTGCGGCCTACGAAATGAATCTAATCAATGACGAGGATTTCGAGGGTCATAATATACAGGAGCTCCGAGGATTGCGCTCTTTAAATTTGCGCGGCTGCAATAAAATAAGCGACGTCTCCTTAAAATATGGCCTAAAACATTTGGAGCTGAATAGGCTGTTGCTCTCCAATTGCCAACAGATATCATTATTGGGCATGGAAGCGCTAGTTAACAACTGCCCAGCCATAGAGATGCTAGATCTGTCCGATTGCTACAACATTAGCGATCAGGGCATCAAGATTATCACCGAGAAGCTACAACGACTGCGTTCCCTGGACATCAGCGGCTGCAGCCAGCTGACGGATCACACAATCGATGCAATTATTGTGAACTGTGCCTGCCTGGAGACCCTCTCGATTTATCGCTGTCGTCGAATGTACACGGATATCGAGGATCGGATGTCAGATGTGCGCACTTTACGCAATTTATATATGGATAACATCAATAGCATTGACAATGCCGAGTTCTTTCGCTTAAAGAAGCGACTCGATTGCTGATATTTTGCGGCAATTTTCGTTGTATTTATCCTATATTATTTTCAATTGTACAATTTTCGCTAGTCAAAGAAACAAAAAAATACCTAGAATATATTTATATGACAGCCTATGAGGCAACTAAGAATTATTTTATAACCAATTGTTAAATTTATTCATATCATGACTGCAAATTCCAATAAAATTGGAAACTGGCTCGAATCAATGCCCGGTTGACCAGCATATCTTGCAATTCCGGATTCGAATCGAATCGAATTTGCAGCCATGATATATATATATATATATATATATATATATATAGGCTATCTATGTGAACACTTGTATATATAGCGCACAAATATGAATGTGAAAAATATGCTCGATAAATGTCCACCAAGAAATTAACATAATTTTTAAGTTAGCCAAATTATAGAAATTAGAATAAATTAGTAGCTGTGATTTATGGAAAATTTAAAAAAAAAAGAAAAGAAAAACAATTTATGTGTATTGCGTGTTATGTGATTTGTGGTTTTACACTATAAGTATATATTTATAAATGTTATCAATGTGTCCTTAATAAAAGAAAATAACAATACCTTCGGTATAAATGAATCGATTTATTTATTTGAGTTAGGAGCATTCTAACTGTACATGCTAGAATCATCAACATCCATCCGTCCAAATATATGCAAAATATTCATACATATAAGTACTTAGATTATATTAAAATTATAGACATAGCAAAAAAAGAATTCAAACAAGCATCATTATCATATCGATATCAACCATTATAAATTGTTTTCAATTAAAAATGAGAGAATCTAGACTATGGGCAGCTAGCCGCCACCACCACCGCCGCCAGAAAGCTCATCCTCGTATTGCTTGCGGAAACAGTCGCCGACCGGGAAGAAGTCCCAGCTGCGCTGTTGGTACATATTCCAGACGTATGTCTCCTGGCCGGTATACTCCGTGTCCGGTTTATTAATCAAATGCATCAGGAAGAACATATAGTTGGCCAGATTGTGCTCTTTCTGAACATGGGTATCAAAGCCGTGCGGCACTATATCAAAGAAGTCCTTGCCCATGCCGCATATAAAGCAATTAGACTCCATGTTGTCTTTGACCGACTCCAATTGATCACGCAGCTCGCCAAATGCGTCGATAATCAAACCCTGAATGATGGCCAACAGGATAACAATAACGAAGAAGAAGAATGTGATGTCGAAGATAATGCGATAAACCTCATAATCATCCCCATCCGGATCACCGATTTCATCACCAATGCCACCGCCTGCTCGCACGCCCTTATACAAATGAAACACGAAGCAGGTCAACATGTCATGACACTTTTTGTCCACTTCCTCGTCCTCCTCTTGTATGTAGAACTTGCGGAAGAAGTTGAACGCAATTACCGTATATATATACACTATAATCGTGAGGAGCATGACTGTCAGTACCAGCTGTTTGCCATTGTGGGTGACAGATTGTAGAATAGTGCGCAGGGTCTTAAAGCCGACAGCCACATCGAGCAAATGGGCCGCAAAGAAAAAGTTGTTAAAGTTGCCCATCACCGAGAAGCTAAAGTACCACAAGGAGTAGAGGAAAGCGTTGTCGGTGAAGGTAACGCCGGCTTTCCACACTTGGTAGCGCCAGTCGATGTTCATGATGTACCTTAAGATGCCCGTCTCCTCGCTCTCCTGTGCGGTAAATGCGCTCTTTTCCATACCCAGCAAGTTGGAGATTGAATCGAAATCATAGGTTTCACTGTACTTTTGGCGCACCTTCTTTTTCACAAACTTGTCCCAATAGTTGACCGGAAAGCTTTTGGCCGAGATGACCAGCTTGTCCCAATGCGACTTGAAATCATCATCCTCCGGCTGTTCGGCAATGAATAGACCATCAAATTCCAAACGTCGTGCGATTTCCTTCTCCCGCTTGAATATGGCCAGCGGTACCTTCAAATGGTAATAGGCGATCAGCATGGCCAATGAGACAAGGGAGTGGAGCAATGCGGCTATTCGTAAAACGTGCTCCATGTAGAAGAAGTCCTCATCCACATGCACAAGTTCCGGTATATCGTCCTCATCAAAATCGCCATCGCCAGAGCCACCATCACCCGAACCACCCAGGCCAGAGCCAGCTACGTCTGCACCACCACCCGAGCCCGATCCTAGAATAAGTTCATCCTCACCAGATCCTTCGGATTCCTCGGGGTACGAGGTAACCTTATAGAAGAGTAACATAAAATTGATGCTGAAGGCCAAGACCAGGGCAACATATTTTAAATTGTAAAAGTTTCGAGCCAAAAAGCTGACAGCGCGGTGCGTATATTGGGAGAAGTCGATCTGGTGCACAGCTGGTGTCTCCTGTGGTGCCGCCGATGACTTCTTAGCCTCCGCCTCGATGGAGGCCATGGCCGCCTCTTGGGCCTTCTGTGCCTCCTGACGCTCCTGAGCCGCTTTCTTAGCGGCCTCGCCGCCCAGCAGATCAACTATTGAAATGGGCTCCTGATATGGTTCGCCTTCAATAAATTCGGCAGTAGCAGCTGCGCCATCTTCTGGACTGGATTCGCCGCCCTCTTCAACAGAAGAGCCCGCTGGAGACTCGTGCACCACCACCTTATACATGCCGTTTTCTTCCTTGTTTATGTCCAGGCCAAAGGCCTGAACAGTGCCCGGCGGCTCTTCCAATGGCAACGGTGGCAGTGCACGTCCAAATGTTTCCTCTTCAACAACAGCTTCTTCCTCCTCCTGCTCAGGCGCGGGACCGCGCATCAAATTCAATAGAATACCAAAGATATAGCGGACTACACAGTAATGTGCATAGCCCGTGTAGTAGAACATATAGAATATGATCTTGAAGAATCCAACAATCAGCTCAGGTATAGATTTGGTTTGCATAACTCCGATTTGATGCTTGATGTTCGATGGACTCAGCATGTGCACTCCGAACTTAAGACCCTCCTTTACTGCGGTAATTGTGCGTCTGATGGGATCGCGAGCGGCACGCTCCTCCTCCTCTTCACTCATATAGGAACTATAAGCGGTATCACGCTTCACATTGCTGCCACCATCGTCCGTAGCCATCAGGCCGGAGGCATGTGTCATTTCAAAGATTGCGTCCTCACAGAAGTTAACAAACGCTTCTAGTTTCTCCTTATCGCCTCCCTCTGTGACAATGGAATAGAAGAAGGCTCGTTTTGATTCGCGAATCTGCGGCTTCTCCCATTGTTCGATATTGGAGTCTTTGATTTCAAAGTAGACACGTTCAATACGCTTTGAGCTGCCCAATATCTCGATGCGACCCAGGAAGGGCTCAAAGTAGTTCAGCACAGAGCCGGCCGTCTCTAGGAAGCGCGCCAGACGCGGCTCATTGGGCATGTGTTCGCTTAGGTTGGTCAGTAGCACAGCCAGGTTGAAACCGATCTCCTTTGATGGCTCGTGGAAACGTTCGACAAAGGCTCTATAATCAATTTTACCTTCGTGATTGCGTTCACAGCAGGCCAAAAGGAAATCCATTTCTTCCCTAAATGCGGTTAATTTAAAAACACCGTAAGAAACTGGCTGTAAACAATCTGTTTTTTACTTACGGTGTGTAGTTCTTGGATTGCTCCATTTTCTCTCTGAAATCTTTGGGTATAACCCAGCCTTCGTTCTTCATATCAATCTCATGGAAACTGGGCGACTCAATCAAGTCCGCCAATTTTAGGAACATGTCGAAATACTTAAGAATCAGTTCAACATTGCCCGCAGACTCAACAAGGGTATCCACCATCTGCTTGCCAATAGTGCCTGAAAGGAAAAATAGTAATTAAAGACTTTTGTATTATATTGGTTACAAGAAATTTAAGGAAATACCATTTACTACATTGCCTTCCAGCATGGACAACATCATGGTGATCATATCCTTTTGCAGATTAAGCAGCTCTTTTAGCAAGTCCACCTGACTCGAATGCTTGGAGAGTTTGTCCTGCATGTGAGAAAACAGAAATAGGAATCCACCAACAGCATCCCATAATCTGGAATGGGCCAAGGCTTGCTGATTCAAAGTACATGGACCCTGTATGACTTCAGTGAGGGTATTAAACACTTGACTGGCCACTCCGATGGCCTTGAAAAAGTTCGCTTTGCCAGCAGGATCAATGATTTCCTTACTGGAATAGTGCCAGTAAAAGTCCATAATCGACTCCTGTAGACGCAGCAAATAATCCACAGTGCAAATTACCACATTGACCGTGGTCGTGTTTCCCGCTTGTGTGCGCAAATAGTTCTGCCATTCTATGAGAAATTAAATATGAGTACATGCACATGTCAACTTGCTTGATTTATTGTCACCTACCCAAATTGTGTCCCTCACAGGTGAGTTGAATGAACCGGAAGAGAGCACATGTGAACTCGGCATCGTGCATATTCTTCTCACCGGCAGCGCCCTCCGAGCCGACACCAAGACCTGCACCCGCACTTGGAATATACTCTTTGTTGTGTTGCAAAAATGTTGCATTGGGATTTACAACGATAGCGGGGATCAAGTACATATACGGGATTGGTGGTGGTGATGGCATGCAAGTATGTTGGGTGATTGGGACAGTAGTCGGAAGGAGAGACCAAATTAATAATTGAACTCAGAATAAATGCAGGAGACGGTGGTGCACGATGATGCCACAATAACAATAATCATAAGTAAAGAGGGCAGCAAATTAAAAGCGGGATATTCACGATTCAGGTTGTCATTTCCCGAAATTGGGAGGCACACTAACTTACCCTCGGCCTTCGTGTTGCGCTCAAACGCGTCCAAGTCCAGCACGCTGCACGAGTTCATCAGCCCGGCAATGGATGTAAAGAAGCCCACATCCTTCTTCTCCTTCAAATGATTCAGCATGCCCATCTGTATATCAATGTTTCCGCCACGCAATATGGCGATGCCCAAATTGAGTGTCGTCATGACCATCTCCGAAGGTATACCTTTGGAGGCGGATATGTGCAACAGCACCATTTCGGCAACGCCACGATTCGAAAGACGCGCTTGATGGAAGAGCAACTTCTGTTTCTCCATTTCTTGTTCCTAACGATAATTTAGAGCATTTGATTATTAGCACATAGGTTCATATATAGAAAAGTGCAACGTTAATGGGCTTTGTTATTAAAGTTAGCTCAAATAGTTACCATTAAATGGGACATGCGACACTTGCAATCAAATTTGATTGATTTGAAAGCATAATTGGGTTACGTTTGATTAGTTCTGCATTTGGGACTTAATTATCGCTTAGCTTACATGAATACTTGTGCCTTCGCCCTCCTCGCCGCCTTCGCCGGCTTCGCCGTCCTCACCGCCCTCCTCTTCTTCTTCGCCGCAGGATTTTGCCGCTATTTGCGCATACGACATATACAGCAAATCCTCTTGTAGGGCACCACTGCGCTCCGTCATGGCACCGCGGCAGAAGGTGGTCACCAGCTGGGTCAAGGGATCCGGCTTACCGTCAGCTTCTTCTTCATCTTTTTTGGACTTTTCCGACTCTTCGAATGTCTGAGTCAGATCCTCAATCATCACCTCCTGGCCGACGTTTTCCTCCTGCAGCCATTGCTCGTAGTAGGTGCGTGCAAAGATATTGCAGGCACGATGTCTGTAGGCAATAAGAGATCACGATTAGAAATATTTGAATTTATCAACCGTCAATGTTAATGGGCATGCGTTTAGTATTTAAATTTAAAAGCTAAACATACTACGAAAATAAAGCTAATCGGTTCGCCGAACGTTAAATATTACCCTTGCAGGGTTTTTTGATTATTGTCATAAATAATATAAAATATGGAAATAAACGAAATAAGATCGATAAATTCTTTACAATTTCACAATAAGTAATAAGAGAGACCATACATTAAAAATATGATAAATACACGATTCTGCAAGGAGTTAAATACTAAAAAATAACTGAAATCAGTTAAGCGATCACTTGCACATACTTATATACATGTGTATAAGAGTTTTTTTTTTTTTTTGTATACATTTGAATACTACTCGTGTGTGTATAAGATATTAGTATTTTATGTGGCTACCACCTGCTGAAACGATATAGATGCTTGGCGCGTAAGCTTGAAATAACTGCCTGGCGTCGAGCGACCGAAATTTTCGAAGTCCAATGTTTTGTTTTGTTCTTGGCGCCGGTTGCCTATATGGAGCGTACAATAGCAAGAGCAAGAGCATAAAAATATACATATAATACAACAATGGGTGTAGAGCACTATGGTCACACTAAGTGGTATTGCGCGTTAGTACAATTTTGTTAGTTGAAATACATATGTAAGTGGAAAATGAAAACAAATAAAAAAAACATAAGTGCGGAATGTGATAGAAATTATAAATAATAACAGATCAAATAGGTATAAAGGCCTATCGCTTGGTCCCAAGTATTAGCTGAGTATAAGTAAAATGTCTTGTTCTAGCAACTAAATATCTTATTTGTTAGCATCGTTTTCGCAGAGTACCGTTACAGTGCATACATATGTACATATTATATCATATGTATGTATGTATGTTAGCTTGCAGTAGTTAATAAGTTGGTAATAACCTGGGTAGAGAATGTAGCGATGTCTGACGGAAACATGCAATGACGGCACGTTTCCTTTGGATCGATACAACGCTCCTGTAGACATTTTTGCTCTGCTGTTGTGGATGGTCGATCTGTAATTGTTTGGTTCACGATTTGGTCAGCATATTAAACCGTTGAAATTTAATTGTTGTTTAGCGGTACGTTATATAGTTGTTTTTTTTTGGGTATCGTATCGAAAAGAAAATTAGAAATGTGCAAAGTTCAAAAAGTATAAGTAAGTAATATCAATTGGCATTGAAAAATAATATTGTACATAAGTGAAAAGAGATAGATACTTGTATACGAGTACATGTATTTGCAATACCATATATAGGTTTGTATTACAAACATTGTCATAAGTCCGTCCGTACTTACCATATGCAGGCCAAATAACACCTTTGCCATGGCCACAATGCGATCGACGGTCTCTGTTGTCTTGTCTTTACCCTTCTCATTTGAATTGGTGTTAACCTTCTCCAGTGCCTGCTCATCGACAGTCTCTTCGGTTTTGCCCAGTTTCGAGTATAGATAGTGCTGCCAGGACATCTCATCCGAGGGATCCAGTTTGTCGGGTAGCGTTAGTTGATTGCGTGCAAATTCTATGACATCATATTCGGGCATTTTTTTCAAATATCTGTCCTTGCAGTGCTGGACCAGCTCTTGTTCTCGTCCCGCGAATAGATTAAGTCCAACGGGCAGTAAACGCTTCAGACAGGCAACCATAAGACTTGCCTGCACCTCCTTGTCCTTGTCGCGTTTCTTATCCCTGTTCTTTTTCTTCTTTTTCACCTTACCGCCCACTGCTGGCACGCCCTCCGAAATGGCCGAGCGTCGTGTGGCCGTGGGCATTATTAGGGCCATGTTGTCAATTTCATTAGCTGATATAAAGTTCTGTTCCTCCTTCAAGAAGTATTGGCTCTTCGACCAGATATTAAAGATTTCTGCAACGTGATTGTAAAGCTCTTCGGCTTCTGGAATGTTATCCTTTAGCCAATGGTTGCGCTGCAAGTCCACGTACTTGATGAGTAGCGGATAGAACGAGTATATATCGCGGACTAGCAGATTCCAATCTTCTTGAAGCTGCGTCTCAACTTGTGAAGTATCATCGGTAGCTGACTTGATAAAGCCCCGCATGCTTTCCTCCTTGTGAAGCATATTTTCGGTACGCTTCTTGACGCGCTCGGCCAGCGGCAGAAATGGATCCTTCAGTAGTTCCTCAGATGTATTGATGATTATCTGCTGCGTGTAGGCCGCAATGCGCGTCATCCAGGGCGCATTATCGTTGCCAATATTTTTCTTGATCATTTTGAGCACATTGCGCAACAGCGAATTCATGTGATCCGCTGTGACCATGGTCACATGGTTGCCACTAGTTGGACTCACGTTGTCGGGGCCCTGGGACCACCAGAAGGGCAGATAGGCGCATAACAGCGGAAGTATGACATCAATAATATGCGGCGCATCATTGTAAGTCTTATCCGACTCGACGAATTGGTCCACTTCACTCAGTATCGCCTCCAAATTGGGCATACAGCTTTCCATTTTAACCATAATGTCCTGTGCCTCCAGCGAATGATCAGCAATGCGATTCAGCAGGGAGTACTGATTGTGCTTATTGAGATGCGGCTCCAGATAGGCGACCGGAAAGCACGAGCTGTAAGCGCCCAGACACGAGCCCAAAGCAGGTCGATGTCGCTCGATTTCGGTTTTAAGATACTTCCGATCATGCGTTAAGGTGGCATCGGTGCCCAAATGGTATAGAGCAGCCAAGATCTTGTAAGAAGCCACCTGAATTTCGTCCAGCAGCAGATCACTGCCATAATCACAGGCGGCCAAGTGGTCAAACATGGCTGTTAGCACTGGCAGCACAACCTGGTTGACGTAGCCCAGCGATGTGGAGGTCTTCAGGTGTGTGCCACGCAGGTGACTATACTTGCCGTCCTGTAGATTCATAATGGTGTTGCCCAGATCATCGGACGTTTGATTGAAAAATGTTAGCATAGATGTGCGAATAAATTCGGGACAATTTTTGGTCAATGTCTTGGCGTCAATGCCCTTGACAAGCACCTGCAGGCAGCGCACAGTGATGCGTACATCCGGTCCAAAAGCGCTTAAACGATTGCGCAACAATGCGGCTAGCTTACAGAAGATAGACGCAACCATTTCTTTCTCCTTCAGCGAAGCGGCGCCTATGTTGTTTGTGGCAGTGGCAATGGCAATAAAGTAATTGCGATGGGTTGAGAAGTACTTTTCCATCAGAGGCAGCACCACCTTTGAGAAAAACTTGATGTCTCGCGATGCCGTCTTAAATGAGGTTCGTCGACTAAACGTGGTCGATGGCTTCAGCAGCTTCATGTTGATGGTCGCACGATCCAGATATTGGATGAGCTTCTCCAGCAGCGAATAGGAGAAGCGCAGCTCAACGGCAGCCTGTGTGGCACCTCCTTCCTCAACAGCGCCACCCTTGGAGGGTCTATAAATAACAGGAAGACAGGGGTTTTCAGTAAGGATGTTTAGTTTAGTTACTACTCGTTACTATTTACTTGTGCAATTTGTATCCCTGATACTGCATATATTTGAGGAACTCTTGCGAGCGCTCGCGATCCTTTTTCTTTTCCTTGTCCGTGAGCAAATCATAGGGAACCAACTGTGGATGTATGACACCGCCGCAACCGTCCAGCTCTTCGTTCTTCTTCTTTGCCCATATGTCGTGTGAGTTCTCAGCCAGACGTTCGGCCATGTTCTGCATTTCTCTGCTTAGTGTCAAGTTGCTCATGTCCACAGGATGTGGATTATAGTTGAAGGGGCTGCCTTCATTCTGAAAATCATGCTATTTGTTTAAGCGCCAGCAGTGTGAAAGCAAGCGTGTGTTTTCAAGGTTTTCAAGTACAAGTGGTTTGGCCAATTGTGTTAGGGGTATTCCATTGCAGGCGGAAGAAATTTTTCAAGAGGCGTTAGAGAAATATTGGGAAATATATATTAGTCAATAGTGTTGGGATACATACAATTGTAGGCTTCGATTGACGACGTGTAGAGCCGCGATGATTGAGTGGTAAATCCATTTCAGAATGCTCAACGGTCCAGCCAATGGCCAAGAGACCCTTAAGGCATTCACGCACTGGATCACGGTAGCGCTCACGTTCCTGAAAAGATCAGTTAAAAATATTAGATAAATGGTTCTCAATATTCTTAGAGACACATGTAGAAGATGCATATGATTGCAATTAACGATGAGTATGGCCATTAGAACGAGTTGCTCAATATATAGATACTACGTACATATTCGCTAAGCATATTGTAGGGTTTGAGGCGTGGATGTTTGCGATCGTTATCGGACCGAACTTCGCCATATGTCCAGCCACCTTCCAATCGGCGACTGGCCCAAGCATCGTGATAATGTTCGCTGAACTTTTGAACCAACGAATTCAAATCATTGTCCAAATGTACATTGTTGGTATCGATTGGATTTGGCACATATTGTGGTTGATCGGGTGCGCCCATTTGTCTGCCATAGTAATCCTCGTCGGTATTTTTCGATAGACTGTAATCTGGTGGCAGGGCACAACCGATGGCTATTAGACAGGGCAGGGCTTTACCGAACAGTTCCGGGTCATAGTCCATGTTGCTCAGCGAGTCAAAAATGTTCGAGAACAGAAGCATTGTTAAACGCTTCTCCTCATCTGACGAAGCCCCATATGAGCCCTGGCCTTGAGTCGAGCCATAGTACTTGGCGCAGCGATCGAAGTGCAGTGTGAGCAGCTGTAGAAAGGAATCAGTTTATTAGTCGACTAGTGATTAGGCTTTCCCCGCAATAATATATATGTGGGTATAATACTTACCCTGAGTGCGACCGTCGTGTATTCCGATAGCTTGGACACATCAACAGTCAACTTGCGCAATAGCTTGAGAAGCATGGCAGGTTGCATTTGCGATGTCAACGCCACTAGGAAATCGGATACTGCCTCACGTTGCCCCTTGGTTAGCATACGGTTCTTGGATAACCTATAGACCGTGTGCAGTGTGGCATCCAAGAGGCTGGCATAGTTTTCAGCCTCGTTATAGAACTTTGAGTGCTTGATGAGCAATGGCAAAATGGAGTTGCCTATATAGCGATTCATGGCCAAGGCCATGTCGCTTTCGGAACCATCACTCTTATCCAAAATAGTGGCAGTACGCAGATCCGGCAAAAATGCATCTTCCAACAGGCGATAGAAAAGATCTTGCGTTTCGATGCCGTATACACGTTCCAAAAATAACACTATGCTCTGCTTGTTATTGGGTAAGAGGCCTGAGGGCATATCCGATTTCGGACGCTCCTCACCGGGAGCAGTTTGTGTGAGCGTAAACTTTAAGCTGAGCACACCCTGAAGGTCTTCCAGTGGCACAAGAGATCTCAAAATAGCTCTAGCTCTCAGTGATTCGTTCTTGCCTTGCTCGATGACAGACACGTCTGGAGCGCATCTTCCCAGAAGGTCAACAAGCGTACAATAGAAGTTCAATATGGCGGCACCGGTATCGATGTAATCCTCGTCTTCATCGCCTTCCGGCAACGGATGCGTAAAATTAAGTCCGGCTATGGTGCCTTCGGCTTCGTCTTGCATTTTACAACGATCTGATATGCGCTCCGACATACGATTGGCCTCGACGATTGCCCGGAAGAGACCTTCTCCTTCTCCTCTTAGAGCCGGTCCCAAACATTCTGGACGACGGATAAGAAGACGAATGACAAGGTTAGCATTCTCCTCGACACTCTCGCCGTTGACCCAAACGCAATAACGCAAAAAGTCCAGATATCGTTCACCCTCGACTGGATCCCAGCCCAAATCGGGGTAGCCCTTTTCAACAAGCTCCGAATTGCTTTGCAGGCCACATCTGGATAGATAAACGGCAATTTTCTCCAAATAGTGCTCCCTAAGTGCCAGAGCTAATTCTGTGTTCTCCATTAAACTCGAATATGCCACATCCAATGGTGTGGAACCACGCAGACTGGGTCTGGCTAACAATATATTCGCATTGTCCAGCAAAAAGTCAAAATGATCGAACATGGCCTTTTGGTTTTGACGGCCGGTACGGCAAAAGTAACATAGGAAGCGGCAGCAGGCCACGACCATTTCGTGTGATGTGTCTTTCTCCTTGGAGGGTACACCCTCGGCCCCCTCGGTCTGGGTGGGGGCATCACTCTGGGCTTGAGCACGGCGGCCTAGAGTATTCATCATGACGGCCATTACGTTTTCATGAACACGCAGAATGCGTATCAAATCTGGATGCTGGAAGAATGTGGCATTGTTGACCAATTTCCAGAGACGCTTACGCATAAGCTCCTCCTCTTCCTGGCTCATTTGGACGGGCAGCAATGCACGAATCTGGCTCAAGCCAACCCACATCTCAGCGACATCATCTCGTGCTCGGTTGTTGATCACATAGGTCTTCTCCAGAGCTCTTACCAGCTCACCGACCGTATCGTATTGCCGTACTAGTAAACTGAACATCTCGCGCACTAACTTTGGATTCTCTATTTGCGATTCTTCAGCCCAGCTGACGATGGTTTTGATTAGGACTTTGCGGAAAATCTCTTCAGGTGTCTTTTTCTCAGGCTCCTCCACTTCTTTGGGTCCCTCTTCTAATTCCTTGACGGTATTGATAAAATTATAGATTTTTGTTATGGGGCCAGTTTTGATTTCTTCGATTGCATTGCTCTCGGTACCATCAGGCTCCTGCAGCGCATTCAGCGACACCTTTTGCATTAGACAGTCGTGGAATTCGCTTAGGCGACTGCGCAACTCAAGACCACAGGTGCAGTTGTCCTGATCGTCAACCTCAAGATTCTTAAAGCACAGAATCTGGTTCATTTGTTCTCGGGGTGGACAACGGAATTCCTTAGTCTTTTTGGCCGCAACAGCACTTGGCAAATCGGATTGTTTAATCTCGATATAACGGCGCAACTGATCGGTTTGTAGATCGCCCACAAAATCGTGCGAGAACGCAATTATGCTCTCCACCCGATGCCGAAGTTGAGTATCATACAGATGGTGCAACAAATAGCACATTTGTAGCTTTGCTCCCTCGGCCATTTTCATGGTAAGCAGGCCTTTGCGGTGCTCGTCTTTCCCCTCTGCAAAAAGGTAATTTAACGGATTAGATAGGACTTTAACAAATGGTGTTGATTTTTTTTTAAAGCTTCTTGTATAAGTTTCCATTAGTCATTTCCCACCTTTCTCGAAAGTGGCATCCCAAGTCTCTGGGTCCACCATTACCAATAGTTTCTGAACGTCCTCATCAGTAAGGACGCCCACTAACAGTAGGCGATCCGTAAGCTTAATAAGTGGTCTAAAATTAAATTCGTAAATCGTTTATAAAATATAAATACACGATTATGCATCTGCATACTTACAAAAATAGGTTCTCATTCGTCCAACCGATGGGATCACGGTTGTGCACTTGATTTATTTCCACAGCATCCTTTAAAGCTTCCATTACAAATTCTCTGACTACTTCTAATGGGAACTTCGGGGAGTACAACTGATCGATGTTGGGTATCGGTTCGCTAGAAACACTTGGCATAATAGATGTTGCAATCACAGGGGGTCTGAACGGTGGGAGTTGTTGTTGTTGTTGTTGTTGTTGTGATCGGTATCGGTATCGATTGGTGGTGCATAGAGTGTTGGATCAGTGCAGGTGTTTTGATTGAAAGTATTGGAAATAAAATGGGTTATGAGCAAACCACAGATGCAATATGGATAATGGGCCACAGAAAAGAGAACCTTTCATACTTATGCCTGTCGTTAAAATGTACAAGTATGTAAATGTGGTCTACTACTGTGTGATAATGCAAGGAAGTAATCTTAGGAGCCGCAGCTAATCTAACACGATTGCACTTACGTGATTTCCGTCATGCGCAGCTGTGGGCGCACAGACTCCGTGACTAGCGAACGGAGCGAGTGACGCATTTCATCTTCAGCGTACAGTTCCTTCAGTTCAACACCCAAGGGTGTAATATACTCATTTTTGCATACCTCCATTGTGGTGGCATGCGACTCCAGATGCAGGGCTATGAGTAGATCATAGAAACCCTGACGCAGCGGTCCACTCATGTACTCCGAGCGTATGGCATAAAGCAGCTGCTTCTGATCGACATGCTGGCAAAGTGCATGTGCGGCTCGATAGTTTGACTGATAGCAGAGCGCGGCATAGAGTGTGAGCGTGTGCGCATGAAAGGAGAGCAGCTTATCCATTTCGATAAGCTCCAATATGTCGATGCAACGATCCTCCTCGGGTATGTGTAGTGCCAGCATTGAGATTGGATCTTCACAGAGCATCGACCAGCCACGTATGTCAGAGAGCTTAAGCGCATGCACCTGTAGCGATGTGTTGGGAACACGTGCCCACTGATGTGGCCGCAGGCACTGCACCTTCAATCGAGGTGGCGATTGTGGATTAATGTGTTTGTCGCTGGTGGGCAACACGGCCGCCGACAGGGGAAGTGTGGTTGGTGTTCGACCGAGCTCAATTTGTAGGATTTCCTTGCTGGTGGCTTCAACGAAAATGGCTGGAAATAGTTTCGTATCTGGTTCCATCATCCAGCGATGTGAGGTATCCTTGCCCTCGCAAGTGAAACGTATTATGCCTGTTGCTGTGTCCACAAAACAGCCCACAAACATGCCCTGCGATGCGCCTTTGCCCGAAGCATCTTGCGTTACCTCGTTGAAGAGCTCATCCGCGCGTACTACGTAGCAGCTCTGACGATCAATGCGCTCGATGGGCACTTCATAGTAATCTTCAATGTATACCGAGCCCCGTCGCACCTTGCTCTTGTTGAACTCGCGACTGTGCAGATGATACTGGGTGGTCACCCAGCCCACGTAAACATGTGTGGGATCCTGACCGGGGAAAATGCGCACACCGTAAAAGTATTCGTTGATCAGCTTAAGGCACTCGGCATCGAACATTTCATTTCCAGATGATTCGACGGGCGGCTGGCCCAAGTTCGATGAGCTCAACTGCTTCGGACCCTGAGGCACTGGGCTGGGTGGTATTTCGGCCTGAAAAAGGTTTATGCATAAACGGCTTTAATAGAATACGAATCTTTTCTACTCACATTATTTAGTCGTAGCGTTGGTGTTCGTGTTGTCATCTGCTGGTTAACCACATTCCTGCCATGGGCCACTGTGTTTCTGCGTTCTAGCGACGCATCTGCAGTCCTTGCTCCATTTTTCTCGCGGCTCTGATCACGGGATTTCTTCGAAAAGAACTTAAATGGACTACGACCACGTTTCTTTTTGTCATCCAAGTCGTCACCTAAGCCATTTATATCCAACACCGAAGACGAGCGCTGCATTTCATCTAATGCAGCCGTCATATCGGACTCAAAGGTTATATTACGCGTCAAGGAGCCTTTGCGTGATGGTCTCGAGGGCACACGCATCATATGCTCTGCCTCTGCCTCGGCGTGGTCATCGAAATTGCGTGTCAAGCCCTTGATGTCGTTCATGTTGAAGCCGCCTTTGAGCATGTGATCCATATGTGCCACTGTTTGGGTTTGCATTTGTGCTGCCGCCTCTTGTGCTTCTCGCATTAAGCGGTATTGGCGAATTTTGATTTCTTCCCAGCGCCTCGCCTTCTCCTGTTCGCTGATGAAGTCACTCATGCAGGTAACAGGCAGGGAGAGACGCAGGAATTCCCAGTTCGCCTTTTCCATTGTCTCAAATGTATTATGCGAGATTTTCAAATGAGGCGGAGTATCGGCACCACCAGGAATACGCGTCACATCGATGCGGCAATCGGGCATTTCCTCAGTGTTCTCAAATATTGGCTGATCTTTTGTGTACCAATGCGTAACTGGGCGTCGCATATTGCTGCAAATGGGACGATTAATATTTTAAATTCGATCATGTTTCTCATTTCGAATACTTACACACAGAATGGCTCGTAACCTTCCTGTAGACCACACGTGGTGAAGAACTTTAGGGAGTCCACATCTTGACCGTAAATTAAACGCGCCTTCTGACCCACGCCCAAGGTGCAGGCGGGCACAAAGCCCACGCCCTCGGCAGTGACATCGGCAAATGTTGTCTCGCCACCCAGGGCATCCATGAGCAATTCTCCGTTCAATGAGAAGCCTGTATAAGGTTTTGAATTTGGTTTAGTTCTTAATCAGCAGAATTTGTACGTATGTTATGCATAAACGTATCTAAGCGAAGCCGCTTTGAAATAAATTAAGAATTCTAATCAGGCCGTAATCTGCACTGGATCACAAAATGTGCTTACTAATCGATCCGTAATGCCTTGACTTTCTAAATAGAAATCAAAATTCACCAAAAAGTCACATCGCACTAGAAAAACAAAATAAATTCCTATACAAAATGCGTGCGTGTTAAATTGCTGGCAGTTCACTTTGCAGTTCTTGGTTTAGTTGCCACAAAAGAAAAGCGGATTAAACAGATTCAACTGTTAGCTATCATGCCAAATTGTTATATAATATTTTGGTGGGCTGATTGAAATCGTAACCGAAATTTGACTTAGCCATTATGAAACCAGTTTCGATTTCATTCTTTAATTAGTCAATATTGAAACTTAATACTATGGATGTAGTTACAGGCAATAATTAGGTAATAAGCATTTTAGATGAGCTGATGTGTCACCTTTTGCTCAGGTAGTCCTTCGATATTATGCAATAGTTAGGCTTTGTGTTCAAAGTAACAAAAATCAGGTGTTAGGGCATGGGACATTTATTGGACTTATTAAAAAAAAAAAAATAGCAATATTTATAATGGACTACAAAATGTTTCTATAAATGCATTTTTTTTTTTGTATATTTAACATTATCCGATTTGTATGTGGTTCGAAATATGATGCCCTGCTTCGAATGTCGACTATATAGTATATTTAATTTTTTTTTTTTCTATTTCACAGTACATTTTTGTTTTGTCGGTCGTTGAGTCTATGTTGACAGCGTTTATGTGATTCACTGAATATGCATATGTATTGTACTTAGCTGTCGTATAGCAGGGACCTTGACATTTAGTAGATATCAAAAGCACGGATGTACATATCTTGTTTGGGGGTACATTACAACAAACGAGCATGTAGAGGAAATTCTTACTAATTGTATGATCGGCTAGATCTAAAAAGACTCCGACTATATCCCCGGGTCCACACTGTTTACCAAAGGATTCACTGTTGCCACCGTAGACTTTCTCTTCCTAAAAAGTTGTAATATTATGTTTAATGTACAGATTGATCTTGTGATCTTTCAAAGCCCCAATTATACACATGTATCTATGTTGGTTTTGGTTAATGATCAGATGTGAAAGAGTATCGCTAAATTAACAAAAAAGTATTGATTAGAAAACAAATTATTGAATGATAAAAAGTTGAGAGAGTTAAACAAAATGCGTTCGATCATAACGAAATTTCAATAAGTAAAACAACGTTAAAACGTTGACAGTGCAGCTAGAATCCTTACTGATGGTTTGCTCCTTAACATCGATGAAACAACCAATGACGTCACCAGCCTCGTAGCGAACACCAAAGTGCTCGATCGTTCCGGCATGCATTTTTGTAACCTATAATCATGTTTGGGTTTTGAGTTGATCTTGATCATTAAAGTCTAACCTATCGATGTAAACTGGACATCACGCTACCCCCCGGAGGGCAGGCACAATGGAACCTTCGTTCAATACATGAATCGTTGGGTATAACGTAGACAGATCCTACAGAACAACCCTGGAAACTTGCATACTCACATTGTGACCATCGAACGCCCAGCTGGTGTCCTCACTGCCCAGCATCGCTCCCGGATAGCAATCGGCGCGAGCCCAGCCAACGCGCATTGGACCCGCCGTCAGAACCTCAAATTCAAAATACCATTTGCCAGAGGTTACAGCATAATTGCGCTCCACTCGATACGTCCGGAATGCGGCGAATTTCAGGCGTTGTGCCTCGGCCAGCAGCGCTTCAGTGCCCTCGCCAGTGGGTGGATCCAGGACATAGCCATAGACCAACAGAGTACGCACCGTCTCGGAGGCAGTATCGCGATTTGCCTTCTTGATGGCCTCATCGACCTTGGCATACGGCACCAGATGGGGACTACGATGATTCTCGGAGTCTTCGTTCAGACCATAGGTCCAACCCTGTTGGATGCGTTCTCGTGCCCACAAATTGTGCGTATTCTCAGCCAACTGATCCACAAGCTCCTCCAGCTTTGGCGTCAGCGTCACGGCGCTCAAGTCAAGCGGTGCCGGCTTGTAGCCATTGGCTTGCATGAATATCTCGTTGGGCAGGCGGACGGGACGTATGCGTGCCGGCGGCTTATCCATGGTTATATAGTAGCCCAACGAAATAATGGTTCTGCAAAGCGGGAGCAGAACGTTCAAATTAGAAAAGTATTCGAGAGCATTTAATTGTGCTTACTTTAATGTTTGGACCGCTAGTTGATTGTCATAGCGCTTCTCAGCAGCTGGCAGTTTCTCGAACTGGGTGAGGCAGGGGTGTATGCGATGATAATCGTCTCGATGTTCGCCCCAGGTCCAGCCAGCATCGATTTTATTTAAGGCCCACATTTCATGTATATTCTCTGCAAGCTTCTCCTTAATTTGGTCCACAGAGCTTGGCAGGGAAACGCCTGTCGTATCCACGGGCTTAGGCACAAACGGTGTATCATCCTCGATGAGCCAGGGTCCGGCCAATACGTTTTTGCTTAGATTGCCAAAGTAGAAGCAAGGATCCAGGCTTAAAATCTGATGCGGCATCAGGCACTGTACGAGCGCCGAAAAGCCCATAGGTGGTGCATACTTCAAGCGACCATGATCACCACCAAACAGAAAGCGGCAACTCAGTTTGGATGAGCAACTCATCACCGGGAAGAACATGCCATCCAGATTGAAATCCCTGAAGCAGCCGCGCACCTTGGCGCCATTGAAGGTGAACGTTATGACCGGAACTGACAGATCTATGGCCACGCCAATGACATCGCCCTTCCTGATGAATGGTTCTTCGGGCAGTGCATCCACGACAAGCGATTTGCGTCCGCCAGTCCACAGGTGGGCGCCATCGAAGCCAAATGAGTAGAGGTCATCGCCGACGCCATTGCCGCCCCATTTTTTACCGCCGCCGGGATAGGGCACATAGCCAGACGTATTGGCCCATCCGATGCGTAGATGGGGCATTATGTGCGTTGTTTGCTCAATGTGATCCATGGTCACCTCGAAGTACCACTTCTGGTACATGGACGAGCCGTCGACACGACCAACAAAGATATTGGGCCGTATACTCGCCACATGATCCACCAGCAATGTTTGCAGCAGTAGATTCTTGCCGGGCAGCAAAAAATCGCATATGTTATTCTGCGAAGAGCGCACTGCAACTCCGTTACCCACACATAGAGAGCAGAGGACATCGAGAACTTTGGGGTCACGTCCGTGCTTTTCCAGCAGCGATATAATCACTTTGATGTGCTCATCGCGCATCATGTTCAGCGCCTCCGGAGAGTCGATGAGCACACAGTGTAGCACATCTAACATGCCGGATCCTTCACTGGACGCCTGTGAGCCCAAGCGAGAGAAGAGCCAGTTAAGGCGATTGCTGTTTGCAAACTGGGCGCAGTTCGTGTGGTTGCCCTTGATGATGGCGGCCAGCAGTTGGTACAGGTACGTGGAGATTAAATCCCAACTCTGGCCGGTCTCGTCGCCGGCCAGAAAACTGGCTAAAAAGCCTTGCGAGGTTATAATGTTTATCTTGTCAATGGCTTCCAGTATGAGATTGAGCACGCCCTCTTCCTGGAACAGATCCTGGCGATTGCGCAAGGCACGAAAACGGTTTTGTTTCTCCTCGTGTTCTAAATTGTTTTTACAAAAAAGGAAGACAGTCTTTAATATACTTTAAGCTACTTAAGCTACTATTGAAGCATACCCATATCATCTTCTGGCTGCGAGAAGTAGTTGATTAAATCTTCCAGGCACATGACCATCTCATTCAGGTTAACTTTTTGGAAAAAAACTGAATGCCGACGATTGGACTGCAAAGTTTCCAAGGCGCTGCAAGTTGCAAGAAATTGCTTAAGTTATAACCACCACATTCTTTTCTTTCTACGAGAATAGGGAGAAGATAGAGCTTACGTTATGAACTGAGTGAAGAGGCTGCTACATTTTCGGATGACGCGTGCCGTCTTCGATTCCTCCTCCTGCGAGCGCGAAAAGTCCAGGCAATCGTCCATTTTGCCTTCCTCGTGTAAAATGGCCTGTTTCTCCTCCACCTTGCCGACACCCTTCTTTTTTGTCTCGTAACTCTTGTAACTGAGCCACAGGCTGGATTCACAATGCTGTACAATGACCGTGGTGTCACCATATTTGATGATCGGCGAGCCGATTATTTCTAAGTCTTTGTCCTCGAGTACTTTCTTTTCGTCGTCTTTTTCTTGCCTCAGGCAGAAAGTCGTCGTTGCAATCGATGCCTCCTCCTTTTTGACCAGGATAAGCTCGTTGCTATCGTTGACGCCCAAATAGCGTCCCGTTGTTATATGACGTATACGCATGGGATGGTACCAGTTTATGAAGCCGCCCGTCCACTTGGTGCGCGCCAACTCCAGACGCCACAGAGAACGCGCTTGTGCCATGACCACGCCGCCCTCGTATATGACAATGCTGGTAGTTAATGATACCTGTTAGTTTTACCTCAACTTCGATGAAGATTGCATTTAGATGCGACTTACTTTTGACCTGCTTCACGGCCCCACGTGCTGGGTATGGTCAGGCACTCGTCGCCGCCGTGGAAGAAACGCAAGACATCTCCACCAAACACATAGCCGACATATTTCATGCGTGATATGCCAGTGCCGTATGGCTGCACGGACCAGTGGGTCACATGGAAGCTGGCATTCACAATGGACTGCTCGTTCTCCTTCGTTGTGTGCAGATACCGTTCGGTGGCAACAGATACCAGAATTAAATCATCGCCGACACGAACCTTTTCACCTTCTGAACGCTGTTTGCTGGCCGGATGGACGGTCCACCAACAGGCCTCACCCTGGCTATGCTCCTGCAGGCCCACATCGAAGGAGAGCTTATCATTCGACGATGAGGTTGACAAGCAGGCGAGGTACTGCAAGGATATAAATATAATCAATTGGAAATATCTATTATCAAAACTTTCAAAAGTCCAGCTTACCATATCGCTGTTGTGATGCCTGAGAAGTATGGCATTGCCATAGAGTAGTGTTCTATGGCCAGATCCAGTGCCTTTACCCTGAAGATTTGAAAATTAATAAGTAAGCAGCCACAAAATGATGTTCGAAGAGTATAAGGGGAATTGCTTGGGTTTCTTCAGCTACTACAATCAGTGTATAGTAAGAAAAAAAGGATGAGAATGAACAACTTGTGTATGTGAATGCGCACTGAGAGAAATATAACGTTTTATATTTTAGCATATATTTAGGTAGAAAAGAATTGAAATATGTTAAATAAGCGTTGTTGTCAAAGCGAGTACAAAATCTGCTAGATTGAAAAAATTAGATATGTCTGGTATTTAAAATTGTTGGTACGAAATATTTCTTTAAACTAACATTCGCTTATTTCGAATATTGACAATTAAACAAGATTCTTGTATTTTTCTCTGAGTGGTGCATCCCAAAGTGTTGATAATTAGCATTGTGTAGTTGAGAGTTTTGCACTTGAAGTTAATTGAGAATGCCAGGTTAAGTTGAATGATGCTTTTGTGGGTAGAACCGAGGCAAAATTCACTCTAGATGAGTAAGTCAATGAAGTTGTTAAATGCGGTAAGAGCAGTCGATTTGTGTTTTAAAACTGAATCCACGGTCTGGTTTTTCACAAATCATAGAAAAACATATACAGAAAGAGACAGACTGACAGAGAGAGAGAGAGAGAGAGAGTTACACATATTAAAATGCTAATAGATTAAACTAGCTGAAGCCCGCTGGACGAGACAGAGAAGCAAATGTAGCGGCAATAGCAATATAATAATTATAACAATAATAATAGCAATTATAATAAGAACAACGACTACATTAGACTGGCAGAGTGAAATAGAGAAAGAATAGATACAGTAATAGTTATAGATTAAGATAAAAAAGAGAAAGAAGCGCGATTTTAAAGTCAAAATACGAGTAAAGAACGTTCTTTATACTTACAACTTGACTATCCTGTTGTGTATTTAGAAAAATTTTGAAAAATAACGAGAAATTTATAGGTTACAATTTGTGTAAAAACAGAAATGGAAATTATAGTGAGGTCATGCAGTAGGAGAGGATTTGTAGATACGTTTTTTTTAAAGATGAATATATGTGAACTTCTATTTAAGAAGGAATTTAATACATGGACTACATGTCCACATGGAGGTGGAAAGAGGAAACAACGGAAGTAGCATACGACATAATCGGGAAGAAGGTAGAAGTGGTTCTTATTTTGTCAGACTAATCTCATGCTGATAAGTTACTGTCTTATAATCGATATAATAAGATAATCAATTGTTAATGGACTTACGGTCTCTGATCCAGCTGCTGTCACCAGCTCTTGAAGCGCACGCACGGATAGGGCTTGCTCAATGACAAAAACGCATTGGGACAAGTCGGGCGGTACATTTTTATCGGCAATATTTTCGAGAAAACAATGCCGGTTACCGAATCCCTCAGCGGCCAAGCAGACACGTTCTCCAGTTGCTGTGCAGGAAAGCGTGACCATATCTTCCTGTAAATTGACAGATCATAATATTAATCACAGTGTTTATGGTAACTCACAAGCGACAGTTTATTTCAATTGCACCGAAAGTGCGTTACGTTTGCCCCTCTTTTGGGCGACGAGACAGCATGCATGTCATCCAAATACCAATTGCCAATTGCCAATTGGTTTACCCAAGCGCCCTGAATGACCAGTCAACCAAAAGCTAAGCACCCGCAAAATAAGCCTGACTGAGGACATGAATCGATGCAAAGGCTACGCCTGCGAGCGTGTTGCCGAATTTGAGGCATCCTCATCTACGACCACAGCGCCCAACCCTAGCACTTGACCAAGTCAGATGGGTGTGTGGCCAGAATTATTGTGTGTAGTCGAAGTTAAATGAACGGTAATGGATTTCAAATCGAGCAATTTACATATTTTAAATGGGAATGAATTGCCAAACGCAACATCCTAGTCATTTGGCTGGGACAATGAGCTTAAAATTACAATCTAGGTGCAAACATTTGGAAGGAAGGTTTCGGTTCTGCTCGCGTTGCTGTTGCTCGTTATAATTCACAACGAGTTTAAGCTATAGTCGATGCCAAAGCGAAAGATTCTTAAAGTTTTTAATACTCATTTTACTCATTTGTATTCCATTCTACTAGGTCAGACATCCTTTGGGAAGCTATTGCTATAAATTTGAAAGAATTATCGTTAAGTCTAATTTGACGGCAAACAACTAAAAAGAAAAACCCAAGAAAATTTCTCCCCTGGCGTAGTTGTCTTGGAAAAACAACAACGCCCCCCAGCATTTCCTGGCCACAGAACACACAATATAAAAAATGGTCAAAGTAGAAAAACACTTACTGTGTTTCAGCCTATATTTGGAGCATATTTATTGAATTTGAGCATCGGCAAAGCCGGCGGGCAGCAAAGTAATAGATACGCTTACAAAGCATAGGAGAATGTTTATTTATTGCAGGCAGGTGCCCAGGCTGACCTCCTTGGCCCCTAGGGGAACCGCCAAGGTTTACGGGCAACACACTGACCAAGGGCTATTTATTTACAGACAGATTTAACTATACATATTTACACATAATGACTGTCATTTTCGGCGCCAGGTGTAGCCTTTGATACAGGCAGGTGTACGCAATATACGACTTTATATATTAAAAACTATTTGTCCTGACTAACTGACTAACTAATTGGTGATCAAATCACAGTATAAACCGTAGTTACTTTAATTTTATTTTGAATTAAATAATTTATATTTTGGAATATCTTTGTTGAAAATCCATTTGTCATTGTTGGGAATGGGGTCAAAGATTTGGTGTGTAAGTTTTTGGCTTCAATAATAGTTCCAAAGATTTTTATGAAAATTCATTTAAGACTTGTTTCAGCCTAGCCTGTTTGGTTGAAATGTATGTATTTGAATACATTTATTTATATGTGTGCGTATATTAAGCTGAGCTAAAGATGACCCAAACATTAATTCATAAATACTGCTCTATTGCGCGATTCTTACTATATTAAACGATATCTCTACTTTTTCTGTTCTTTCAGTGATTTGTTTATACAAGTTTGACGATAAGATGATTATGCGTGTGAATTTACAGGTAAGTAAATATGAAATATATATTTTTGTATAAATACGAAAACATATTTTACATTTATGGATAGAGCCGAATCCAAAGAACGGGGTATAAATACTAAGTTAAATATAACAAGTAAGAGGTTCTAGTCGGGAGCTCCCGACAAGGGGATACCCTGAACCCCCTTCTTCCAACATCAAATGCATATATACTTATATTCTATTTTAGAAGCTATATGTCAAGTTTGGTGACTAGCTCTTATTATTTACCAAAATTGCCCAAAAAACAGGATATCGATATTGATTTGTTTATCGATTGCTTCGAAACTGGGTAAATTATCGATTATCGGAAACAAACTCGACCTGCGCAGGCACTAGGAGCACCTACATCTAAAATTTCAATTCTTGCATTCATACATAGGGAAGGACGGACGGACTAACCGACGGACATGGCTAGATCGACTCGGCTATTGATGCTGATCAAGAATAGATATACTTTATGCGGTCGGAGATACTTCCTTCTGCCTGTTACATACATTTGGATTTTGCACAAATACAATATACCCTTATACCCATTTTTAATGGGTTCAGGGTATAACTAGAAAAGCGCACCCTTAAGTTAAGTTAAGTGTGCACTATTTACATATATATATGTCCAGGTGCATTTGTCAGATGATGTGTTCATTTCCCATTCCCCACCTCGCTGCTGTTTATGTAAATTGAGCCAACAAATCTGGCGAAAGCCTTAAACTGCTGTGATTGAAAGTGTGGACCTGACTTTTGTATTTATTGACAGCCATAAAGAAAGTTGGGGCTGTGTGTCTGAAGACATAAATAAATAGGATTCGTATATCCTTTATGGAGTCCCATCAGCGCCCCTGTCTAGCACGTGTGTGTGTGTGTGCTTTATGACATCAATTGTGTGAAATCCTCGTGATGTTTTATTGACTGAACGTAATTGATTTTAGATGTGCTCTCAATGTGTTTTCTTGTATTTTATTTATTTATTTGTTTTTATTTTTTTTTTTGTACTCACCGTTCTCAGGAATGAGACATCATCCTGCTCGGAGCCACCTTCCGCTTCAGCCATTTTGCCGGTTTAAGCAACGACTGCAGCGTCCAATCCAAGTTTTATGCAATTGTGTGTAGTATTTCGTTTATTTGCCCAGGTAACTCTCAAACAGGTCTCTAAGAGCAATTAAAAAAATGGTTCGAACTAATTTTGATTGCAAATATAATAACAAACATATTCTTTGGTCATGCCTAAACAACAATTTTCTATAATGCGAAAAACTACACTATTTAGTCATGTTTGACCTTGCATGAAGAGATTTACTCTCGCGAGAGAGAACTTTCCATCTCTCTCTCTCTCCCTCTCTCTCTCTCTGTTGCCCTCTCGCTCTCTGTCCCAAGTTAGCGTGGTGGGCTCGTCGGCTTTTACAAGTTTGTCATATGCTTTTGCTTGCCAAGTTCGCACAGCTGTTCTGCCGGTTTTTCCAATTTGTTTTCCCAACTTTTCCTAGTCGCATTTCTGCGTCATTTGTCATTTTGTTTTGCGGCGCCTTCGCGTGCTTTTCAGCATGTTATGTGCGCCTCATTCAGATGTTGTGTATATAATATGGTTAATTGTATAAATAGGTGGATTCTATTTAATATATTTTGGGGCTATGCCAAATTTACTGTGGACTTTTAGCCGCGAATATTTAAATGTTACGTAGACGAACATATGCATCTGAGCATGCCCAACATATTTAAATTAGGGAAACGCAAGGGGACGCTAGCATGACAATAAGAATATGTTAATAATTATATTTTTGTTATATTCCACTCATATCTGTGCAAAGTATAAAGACATTTGATTTGGCATCAGGATTTCACTAGGACGCTCCCACTGCGGCCATCAGTAATCCAGGGTCCGATGGCACGCACGATGGACGCAGCGTCTAATATAATATATATCCGGCACTGGCACCCACATCGATATTTCATTATATCTCTTATATATATAGATATAAGTGTGATACTTCTTTCAATCTAGCCAGAAGACAATTTGGCAGTTTGCAGCACTGTCGTGTGTTTATTTTTGGGTTTTTTCGCCGCACGAACGCGCCCGAAGAGTAAACGAGCGCTTCAGACATCCAGTCCAAAAATATCACACGCAAAGCCCTGGGCAGCACAAAAAACTAGCACAGAATTTGAAAATTTCTTTCAAAATTGTTCATATTTTGAACTTAGATTTAATTGCATTTCTTATGCAATTGCTTATTGGAAAAGCACACGCGCGGCAACTGATTTGTACGCATGGATTTTCCACGTTTTCCACGCAGTTCCATCACATGTAGAACTATGTAAATGGTTATATGCGAACACACTTATAAATTCTATACTCGATTTAGCTGCTGTGGGCCAACGGACAGGGACCCACAGGCCAACTTACTTTTCGTGTCGATATTACTCTCTAGACTGACGAGCACGGTTGAACGGCGGCTGGGAAAATGCCGATTGCCGAATGCCGCCGAGCGGCGAGCGCCGAGCGCCAAATACTGCGGCACGCAGCATACGGCAGCAGCGGCAACCAAAAAGTATCTCAGTGCACAGTGGTTCAAGTATACGCAATGTGCAGCGCACAACAAATTCTTAAGCATTCGCCTACATCAAAGGCTTGGAGACTGAATCGTTGTGAATTCGCAATTTAAAGCTGATTTTATACCCTGAACCCATTGAAAATGCTTGAGGGTATAATGTATTTGTTCAAATGTATGTAACAGCCAGAAGGAATCGTCTCCGACTCCGTGAAATATATATATTCTTGGTCAATAGCCAAGCTGACCTAGCCATGCCTGTCCGTCCGTCTGTCTCTCCGTATGTATGAACACGTGGATCGATAACTTGTTCTGTTTCCAAGCAATCGATAAAAATCAAATTTGGTTATTCTTTTTATACCCTGAACCCATTAAAAATGGGTATAAGGGTATATTGTATTTGTGCAAAATCCAAATGTATGTAACAGGCAGAAGGAAGTATCTCCGACCGCATAAAGTATATATATTCTTGATCAGCATCAATGGCCGAGTCGATCTAGCCATGTCCGTCTGTCTGTCCGTCTGTCCGACCGTATGTATGAACGCAAGGATCTCAGAACCTATAGGAGCTAGAGACTTGCGACTTTAGATTTAGGTGCTCCTAGTGCCTGCGCAGATCGAGTTTGTTTCCGATAATCGATCACTTACTCCGTTTCCAAGCAATCGATAAAAATCGATATCAATATCCAGTTTTTTGGGCAATTTTTGTAAATAAGAGCTAGAGTCACCAAACTTGACATATAGCTTCTAAAATAGAATATAAGTATGTATGCATTTGATGTTGGAAGAAGAGGGTTCAGGGTATCCCCATGTCGGGAGCTCTTGACTAGAACCTCTTGTTTTTTTTCTGTTCTTAATATTTTGGAAAATGTATGAGCCAAAATCCGGCAACATTGTAGTGGAAACGGTTCGGCACACTGTTGCACGAAGGCAATAAGGTCTGCGCTCTGACTAAGGAAAGTGGGCGTGGCGCGATATTGGGCGGCTGGCGGCAGCTTGTTGCTTGTTAGTTTCGCTCTCTCTCTCTCTCTCTCTCTGCGTCTCTCTCTTTTTCGTAGTATGTAGGTTCTAGGCGCACAGAGTTCTCTGCTTGGCCAAGTATTTGGAACAGCTGTTCGAGCTGACTTCGTCTAGATTAAACAAAAATAAAATAAACATTGCGTTAAATTGTTTTCTTGCATAAACTTATTTATAAGTAGTCTCTCGCTGCCAAGACTGAGTACCCAAAATACATATATGTAGGCATATAATATACGAATTTGTAATAGACATGGTAAAAATAACAAATATATATATATATGTATATACCCAGGCATTTCATTCAACTTGAACTTGCCAAAAATCATCTTTTAATGAATGAATGAATCACAAATCCTAGGGTCGTCCCATAAGTAAATGACTTAGTCAGCAGCCGGCTTGGGATATATGGCATATAGAAGTATTCAGTTGGAACAGCTTGATATAAGTTTCTTTCAACTTGTAAGTTTCATTCTGATGCGCAGGATGCGTAATGTGAATTATTGTGCATTTCATTGCAAATCCTTACACCCATACCTCCCCTTCGAGGAGGATAAACAGTGAGCCAACTTTGAGCATAAATTAGCCATGTATGTGAGTCCTTGGGTGGGTGTTTGGTCGTGGGTGGTGGGGCGTGATGGGGCGTGGCGCTCACCACTGCAGTGCAGCGATAAAGTGCTGCATATTAAAATCTTCTATGCCTCGAAATGAATTTTGCGAAATAACCAAACAAAAGCCTCACTTGCAGAGTGGGAAAAGGATACTCTTTCTCTGTTTGGTATAGAAGGCTTACCCACTATGAAGGATTTTGCCATGCGTGTTTGTTTTGGTTTTCCATGGCTGCCGGAATGAATGCGTAACTCCAGTTTCCAGTTGGCTAATGCCCATATACATCTCATAAGTATAACAAATTGTTTATGCATGCGAAACGTGATTTCGTTTCATATGACTGGAGATGTGGGTGAGGCTGCTGATCCTATATTCTTAAAACCATCTCAAAGGCTCTTTAACTATTAAATATAATCATCTTTGTATTAAATAACAAATTGTAGTAGAACTTTTCAGCAGGTTGTGTGTATTGTAATTGTCACAGTACAGCCGAGTCCTTGGAGAGGCTTGCGATTCCTGTGTCGATCAATCCATTAAATAAAGGCTTTCAGTCAAAGAACGACTAGATCATCTTTCCCGCTTAGCCGCCTGGTTAATACTTGACACACTCCTGGCCTTTACCTCCATATATAAAACTGTTTGTCCTGACTGACTGACTGATTGGTGGTCAATACACAACCCAAACCGTAAGAGCTAGGAAGCTGAAATTTTCACTGTAGTTAAGAAGGTGATGAAGGTGTACGTTAAGACGATGTTTCGGGAAATTCCTCCTGCAAGTGTGAAAAAATCGAGGAAAACGTTTTTATTAAACTTTTTTGTTTACCACCCAGCTGGCTGCAAATTCATATTTAAAGATCATTGTTCAAATTTATTTTCATTCGAAGCAATGCACGCTTCCTTGGTGGAAATGGGGGTTAGAGATTTGGCAGGTGAAGTTCCGCGTTCAAATTAATTTCAAAGCATTTATGCGAAAAACTTATTTGCATGCGTGTTAGCGATTTGGGAAATTTCACCCGCAACAGTGATAAATTGGTGGAAAACGGTTGCATAAAAGTTTTTTGCCGATCGTTTTTACCATGGTTTTACCATACGATGGTTTATACCATCCGATTGGCTTCAATATCAATATATTTGTGAGAATTTATTTAATACGGTAAACGAAAGAATATATTTCAGCACCAAAATTTGCATCACAAGAATAACATTGGCAGAAACCGATGATGCCAGCACTTGGTTCTATATGCGATGCACTTTAAACATACTTGAAAATAGAAGTGGAGATCAGGATGGGTATACTTAGTGGAAAGGTAATATCTACAATTCTAAGAACAAAAAGTTCCACTAGCCAGGCCGGAAAATACCCGCTACTCTATTATATATAATAATACTTACATTCATTCCCGTCAATAGAAGCTACTTCTTCTATTCAAGATTATTTTTAACCAGTTGGGAGCGTTTCATCTGTCGATCTATGCGTGTTCAGGTTAGTTGCCTTTATAGGATCTGACCTTACTTGTCCGAGCTGTATACCTTAATGTCTGGGCGTGGGCAATGCGACTGATAACTTGCAAATTTGCGCGTCAATGGCCGTGACAATGATTATCCCCCGCACAAAAACTTTTCGACCGCCATGGCAAATACTTTTGTTTCGTGGCCTACCATCATTTTGACCAGCTGCAACGAATCTTCCGGCGTTTTCTTTTCAGTTTGCTGTTGGTTTTTTTTTTCTGTTTTTACTTGCTGGATAAAGTTTTGGCCAAGGTGGCGTACTAACAAAACTTTTCCATTTACTCAAACAGATGAACTGGCTGCGCTAGGAGGTTGTTGAGAGTGTTCTTTTGGGTGTGTTAATCCTTTTAGAACTGCGAGAGTCGCGATTTACAAATAGCAACGTTTTTGGCTCGTGAAAGGATTCGAGCTACGGACTAACAAAAGGCTAGCGAATCTTTGCATTTTATTCAGCCAGCTATTTATTGAAAGAGCCACAAAAGCGAATTCCCTCACCTCAGCTCCCTTTATCGATGTTGAGGCTGAGAACGCAGCCTGCGGGTTGGAGGCGTGGCTGTAAAAGTATTTACACACGAAATTGTGTGCGTGTGTAAAGGAGAGCTTTATTTGGCAGTTTGGCGGAACTAATTAACTTCAATTTAAATGAAATACGAGCTGCGATTTGGCCACATCAAGAACGGGCATCATAAAGTCAGTGAGAGTAAAAATAATGGTGCGAGCAGCCGGAGAAATACGCACATCACATGTCCAATGGGCCGTATACGCAATTGGAAGCCACCGCCCCAACTGGCTAGGATGCAGAGCTGTTAAATTAATGCCTGCTCGTAAGTTTTACAAGGAATTCAATTTTTTGCGCCACACCAAGTAAGACGAATAGTGGATACTTTCTTGGGCGTCGACCGCCCACACCTACAACTGCCCCAACTCCAGTTCGCCGTTCGCAGTTCCCAGCTCTGGTTCCAGCTCCAGCTTCCGCTTCGGCTGCCGTGCACACACACACGTTTGGCATTCTCCCAACGTTCTTTCCCTTCTTTGTTTCACAGCTCTTGTAGTTTTATTTAGCTGGCTTGGCTTTCGCTGAAAATTGATTGGAAAGTTTTACCATTAAATTGTCCTTTGCCGTAATCTACCATTTTACGTCACTCACATCGAGATTTCTGTTGCCCAGCCACGCAGTGCCCCGCCCGCTATGTGTGACATAAATTAAACAAAAAAAAATCATTGTATTGAATATTGTTTTTATTCATATATTAACAGATTTCTTAAAAATGCAATAAGTTTCATATGCATTATTTTCATTCCTTCAAATTAATTTATACAATTTTTGACTGCGTTTTCATTTAGCAAATAAACTTATATATAGTTTGTTTTTCATTATTTTGTTTTCTGCCTCTTCTTTCATTATTGTTTCACTTTTATCTCTGGCTTCTGTACACCGCTTTGCTGCTTTTATGCTGCATTTAGAGTTCTAATAAGTAGATGCTACATAGAAGTAAACCCAATTCATCAAAAAAACATTCACAATTTGTCGAATCTGCTTAGATGCCTTCATTTTTTACAGGGCATATAAGGTCTATGCGTACCTGTTGGTATTCTATTTACGTTGCTTGAGATTGAATTACATTTAAACTAAGTTCAGTATTCAAGTCTTGTCTGCCGGCCTTTTCGCTCCTTTGCCTATTATTAACATATTACATATGCGTATTAACAAGAGATTTTCTTAAGAATTGTGTTGTGATTCGAGATGAAATCATAAAAGGCAATTGAGAACAAACATTTGAATGCTGTAAATAATCATATTCTTTGTTAACAAATCTCTTTGGCCATGCTTTAACTACACATTAGCATAATAATAATAATAATAATAGTTATAATAATTATAATAATGTTATAACTTATATTATTTTATATTAAAATTTAACATAATTAAACTTTAGTCTTATTTAGTTTCCCCCATTTCATATGTTAGCATTACAAACTAAATAAATACATACTCGTACCATATCTGTGTATGAAAATTATAACTAATTAAATTTAATTTTTATGTGTACTTATCATAATTAAAACACGCTTTGTTTGTACCCAACAAAAAGTATTCTCTATTATGCGGGGAAGACATTTTAGTTTTTTTTTTTTCCTTTTTTTTCCTGTATAAAACTGTATGTTTTTCATATTCTCAATTATTTCACATTCAAACAATTATTCAGTTTTAATCGAGATATTTATAAAGTGCGGTAGTTATATTTAAAAAACAGCAAGATAGTGTATATGTAGTATATGCGGGAGACGCACTGATAGACTCTAGTGTTCCGAGCGATTGAATCATTCACACAAATTATTCACTCTTGGTGAGTAGCCGTCAAAGAGCGCCAAAGAGGGTCCTCTACGGCTCAAAGATAATTCATACACTCACGGGTTTCTGACAGCTTTATAGGGAGTGTCACTTAAGTGTAAGAAACACAGTTCTACAAGTACGAGATGCGAAATTTATTCTACTTTTAATAGCTATTTATGCATGTTTCCAATTTAATTAATATTTTCATTTTATGTTATTTCTTGTATGACTGTCTCTTTTTTTATATATACCTGCATTTGTCCTTTTACATAATTAATATCGTTCTTAGTTTTTCCTGTTAACCTTTTATTGTACAAATTAAATTTGGCATATTGATTGAGTAGGTCGAAATACGCTTCTTTTCTTTATCCCAGTTTATTGATTTATTGGTAGTACTTTTTCTCTCACTAGAGGTTTAATTAGTTCGCTTAGCTACTTACGTCAAGAATTTAATTTTAAATGCCTTTAATGCAATTTTGGCAGCCCTATGTGAGTTATAAGCTTTACATATATGTTAATTGGTGTGAATACACTCGATCCTAGACGTGTACCTTCAAGCACATTCGCAGTATGATTTCAATTGAAAGAATAATATGACTATAACTGCCTCTCTTCTCTCACGTTTTATCAACTGTTGATGATAAGTGTATTAGCTAGTCTTTGTCTTCTTTTCTTAATAGTCTTGTAGTTTTCCAAACGTTTTCAATTTATTGTCTGTCGGAACAATGGAAATCTTTTGCAAATATGAGAGCATTTGAGCTGAATCAGTTAGTCTGCTATTTATTGATGAATGAAGTTTAAATTTTCGTTGGTAAATAATCTGCATTCGTGCACTCAGAGAAAAACGACACATAAAGTTATTAAATGAATAGCAAAGAATTAATATTATGTTTTCGTAAAACTGAAATCTCTTTGGGTAATCCTTTTAAGTAATGTTCTTCCGAAGATAAGTTTAAGAAATGTTTAACTAGGACGAATATGAAAAATGTTTGCTTTGAACAAAACAAGCTCTACTTTTTCTCTGAGTGTATATGTTGTACGTGCATAAAGAGAACTATGTGCTGCTGGCCTCTTGTGGCATTAAGCTCCATTATAATTTTCCTTATTTTCCTGCTCATTTAACTTTTATCTCCGAACAGCAATCACAATTATTCAATAGCGGAAATCCCAGCGAAGACCTCACACAAAGCAGGGCCTGGCGCAACAATGTGCGGGCGTGAGGGGAGGCTTGCAAGAAGCTGCAAGGCCTTTAAAATTGATAAACACATATATATACATATATACATATATATATATATCTGTATTGTGTGCAAGGATATGTGGCTTATCCTTAATTTTACTTTCTGTTTGCCAAAGCATCGCTTCGTTCCCTGCATTGCCTTTGTTCCAGGCTTTGGCTTTGTCTGTACGTTCGTTAATTTCGAATATATATATTTAATTTAATTCTTAATTACTTTCAGTCAGAGAAACATTCTGGCAGCAGCGACAAATGCTCATTTTTTATTGATGCTCAGATAGAGGCATGCAGTTGAGATTATCTGCGACTGCATTAGAGAGTGGCAGGGGGCGGGTGGGGAGAATAGAAGCAGGGTCTTGCTTTGGTAATTACAGCTCGATGAATATTAATTAACACACCCACACACCCACATCCACATATTTCGTATATATATATGTGGGTTGGGTAAATGCTGTATACCCAAATCCCACTGTGCACAACCAACAGCACAAGAATCCCTAGACAACGAACACGCTAAAAGACGAACGACGAATACACGACGCGTAACAACGAGCAAAGAAGACGGCGAATTCGCAGACGGCGAGTTATCCAAAAACGACGATCAACGAGGACAGTGCAAAGCCACGAGGGCAACGTACTGGACGTAGAGCAGAAGATGTTTGCTCGTTAAGACGAAAAGTTCAACGCTGGACCTGTGTGGTATGAAGGCTGAGAACAAAACGACGAAACGACGTGTTACTTTGATTCGAATGATAATCATCCTAAGCAATACAATTTGTTAAATCAACAATACACTTGTTTATAATAAACTTTTAATATAAAACCCCACATTTTGGGCGCTCGTCCGAGATTGAGCAAGATTGAGCGAGATTGAGCAAGTGTGAGCAAGATTGAGCGAGATTGAGCAAGTGTGAGCAAAAGTGAGCGAGATTGTGCAAGATTGAACAGGAGTGAATAAAGTTGAAAACGATCTTACGTTACAACAACAATTGTGCAAAACAAAAAAAAAAAAAAAAACTATTCAAAAAAAAAAATGTCGTGCCTTAATGATTTAATAAGTGCTAGCTTACGCTCAAGCAAAAAAGGGAGCATAACTGCGTTGCACAAGTTCATCTTTGAAAATGAGGGAGACAGAAATAATCGCAAACGTCTACGCGAATTTTCTGGCTTCGAGTATACAGAAAATGACGCAGAGTATAGTGCGAAGAAGGAATACGCATTGAACAATTTAACGCAGGCTGACCTTGTATCAATATGCAACATTCTAGGTATAGAATATGTTCACGCAGATTTGCATGGACACATTTTTCGTAATCTGATGAAAAACAATTTGATGGAATTCAACGAAGTAGACGAAGAAGCAACTGACGACGAAAATGAAATAGAAGAGGAAGCAGACAACGCTTCATTCCAGACCGCTGACCTTCGAAATAGGGAAAACTCGAAAACTAGGAGAATTGCTGAAAATTACGAAATTGCTCCTCGCTTTGCGATCAGCTTTCGCGACGTGGAAGAGAGCATTCGTTGTTTTGACGGCACAAACACTATTCCAGTAGAAGTGTGGATAGAAGAATATGAAGAGCAGGCAACACTCACGCATTGGAACGATTTCCAGAAGTTTCTGTTCGCAAAAAAGGCACTTAAAGGAATAGCGAAACTCTTCGTATTGAGTGAGAGAGGTTTAAGCACTTGGAACTCTCTCAAACGAGCACTCTTGGCAGAATTCAGTTCAAGTGTAAGCAGCAAAGAAATTCACGAACAGCTCGCGCAGACGAAACGCAGCAACAACGAGTGTGTATTCGAATTCTTTTATAGAATGAAAGACATTGCTTCTCGAGGTAAAATTGCAGATGACGCTTTCATACAGTATTTAATTGACGGAATAGATGAGAGAGGTGGAAACAAATCCATATTATACGGTGCGAAAAATTTAAATCAATTCAAAGAAAAGTTGAAATATTATAAAACAATGATTGAAAAAGAGTGTCGAGTCGAAAAGGAAAAAACAAAGCGTAACGATTGCAGTGTTAAAGAAAGAGACAAAAAAGCTTTCAACGTAAGCAAAGATGCAAAAAAAGATGTGAAATGCTTTAACTGTGGTGAAAAAGGGCATACGTCTAATTATTGTCAAAATAAAAATAAAGGAAAAAAATGTTTCAGATGCAATCAATACGGTCACATCTCGAAAGATTGTGAACAAATTGAGAAAAGTGAGGCCGTAATATCAAATACACGCAGTTTGCAAGCCAAAAACGATTTATCCTGTAAAGAAGTATGTTTCTCAAATAAGAAATGTGTAGCGTTATTTGATACTGGCAGCAAATTCAATATCATCCGTGAAGACTTTTATTGTGAAATTGGCAAGCCGAAGCTAGAAATCTGCAATGTTTTTCTTATTGGATTCGGCAGTGAGCGCAGTGAGAATAAAATAAAACCAACTGGACATTTTAAACATCTAATTCTTATTGACGATGAAGAGTTTATACTTGATTTTTACGTGGTTCCAATTAAATGTATTGATGTCAAAGTTATTCTTGGCGAAGAACTATGTTTACAGGCTGAGATTGTATTTAGTCGTAACGGTTTACAAGTTCGCAAAATGTCAAACAGTGAAGAGATAAATATACTAAGAATTTGCCCTGAAGACTTCGACTGCGTATACGACATAGAAGACACAGCAAGTGAGTATGCTAAACAAGAAGTTCGAGAACTTATTTCGAACTATGAACCAAATAAGACGAAGACAACAAATGTAGAGATGCGCATTGTAGTAAAAGATGAGGCACCAATATTTTCACGGCCGCGCAGATTGGCGTTTACGGAAATGAGTATTGTCGATGAGCAAATTGATGAGTGGCTTGAAAATGGCATAATTGAAGAATCTACATCCGAGTTTACTAGCCCGATAGTACTTGTTAAAAAGCGCAATGGTTCAACCCGGCTATGCATAGATTATAGAAGAATCAACAAGGTAATTGTTAAAGACCATTTTCCTTTACCACTAATCGAGGATCAGCTGGATCGATTACAAGAAGCGAATATTTTTAGTACAATTGATCTAAAAAATGGATTTTTTCACGTACCAGTGGCAGAATCAAGTAGAAAATATACTTCGTTTGTAACACATCGAGGACAATATCAATTTCTGAGAGTGCCGTTCGGATTTTCAAACTCACCAGGTGTTTTTCAACGCCATGTTAACGCGATATTTCGTCACCTGTCACGCAGAGGAATTGCTTTGCCATATGTAGATGATATTATCATACCAGCCAAAAACGAGCTAGAAGCGGTGCAACATTTAAAGGAAGTTATTGGCACATGCAAGGAGTATGGGTTGGAGCTTAACATTAAAAAATGCAATTTTTTAAAGAAACGTATTCAATTTCTTGGTCATGTGATCTGTAATAAAAAGATATTCCCATCACCAGAAAAAATTGAAGCTGTATCTAAGTTTAAGATGCCACAAACAATAAAGCAGGTAGAAAGTTTCTTAGGCCTGACAGGCTATTTTAGAAAATTTATACCAAATTATGCTACAATAGCTAGACCTTTAACGGAGATGACCAAGAATAAAGCGAAATTTAGAATTGAAATAGCAGAAGAGAATTCGGTTAACTTATTGAAAAAGCTTCTTACTGAAAACCCTGTGTTAAGTATTTACAATCAAACGTGTGAGACAGAGGTACACACAGACGCATCGATTGATGGCTTTGGAGCAGTTTTATTGCAGAAAAGCCCCGAAGATTGTCAACTGCATCCAGTTTACTTTATGTCAAAAAAGACTACAGATGCCCAACGTAAATACAGCAGCTATGAGTTAGAAATTTTGGCAGTCATAGAAGCATTGACGAAGTTTAGAGTGTATCTTCTAGGTATTCATTTTAAACTTGTAACAGACTGTAATGCATTTGCAAAAACTCTAGAGAAACAAAGTTTATGCACCAGGGTGGCACGCTGGATTATGTTCCTACAAGAATACGATTATACAGTAGAACATAGAGCTGGCACAAGAATGAAGCACGTCGACGCTTTAAGCAGATACCCAGTAATGATAATCAACGAAGATAGTATCAGTATTGCTATGAAAGATGCACAAGCCCGAGACGAAAAGATAAAAGCAATTAAGGAAGTTTTAACCGATAAAAATAAAGCATACGACGACTACTTCATAAAATCAGGTATTCTATACAAACTTATAAAAGATGATGAGTTAATAGTAGTACCCAGTGACATGCAAAAAAGAATTATTGGCTATGCTCATGACAAAGGCCATTTTGCAGCAAAAAAGACCAAAGAGTTAATTTGCCGAGAATACTTTATTCCTAACCTCGAAGAGAAGATAAAAAAGTATATAGATTGTTGCGTTCCCTGCATTTTAACAAATCGCAAAAGAGGCAAACAAGAAGGGCTGCTACACCCACTACAGAAGGAAGACGTTCCCCTACACACTTACCACATCGATTTCTTGGGTCCACTTGAGTCAACGCATAAAGACTACAAACACATTTTGGCGATTATTGACTCATTTACCAAGTTTTGTTGGCTGTATCCAACGAAGTCTACTAATGCAAACGAGGTCATTACAAAGTTAACTAATCAAAGTATTGTATTTGGTAACCCAGCATTTATCATTACGGATAGGGGCTCTGCCTTTACTTCGCAAGATTTTGTTAAATACTGTGACGACGAAGGCATAAAACTAGTTAAGACAACTACAGGCCTACCAAGAGTGAACGGTCAAGTCGAGAGGCTGAATGCTATAATTATTTCAGTACTCTCAAAATTGAGCATTGATGACCCAACAAAATGGTACAGACACATCAACCAAGTACAGCAGGCAATTAATTCGACATTTTCCAGAAGTATTGATGCGACACCTTTTGAGCTTTTAGTTGGTGTAAAAATGAAAACAAAAGAAGATCGGAAGATTCGAGATATAATCAATAAAGAAACAATAGCTTTATTTAATGACGATCGAACCGAATTAAGAGCAAAGGCAAAAACACAAATTTTAAAAATTCAAAATGAAAATAGAAATACATACAATTTGAGACGAAAGCATGCAAGACGTTATAATGTTGGCGACCTTATTGCCATAAAACGCACACAGTTTGGTAGAGGCCTAAAATTAAAGCCTAAGTTTTTGGGGCCCTATCAAGTCGTTAAGATTAAGCATAACAACGCGTATGATGTCCAGAAAGTAGGTAATTGCGATGGGCCGAAGAATTCTGCAACGTGTGCCGAATATATGAAGCCATGGTCCATTGGCAGCGATGATGAAGATGACGAGGAAGCATTCGGGCCGAACGCTTAGTCAGAATGGCCGAATGTGGGTTGGGTAAATGCTGTATACCCAAATCCCACTGTGCACAACCAACAGCACAAGAATCCCTAGACAACGAACACGCTAAAAGACGAACGACGAATACACGACGCGTAACAACGAGCAAAGAAGACGGCGAATTCGCAGACGGCGAGTTATCCAAAAACGACGATCAACGAGGACAGTGCAAAGCCACGAGGGCAACGTACTGGACGTAGAGCAGAAGATGTTTGCTCGTTAAGACGAAAAGTTCAACGCTGGACCTGTGTGGTATGAAGGCTGAGAACAAAACGACGAAACGACGTGTTACTTTGATTCGAATGATAATCATCCTAAGCAATACAATTTGTTAAATCAACAATACACTTGTTTATAATAAACTTTTAATATAAAACCCCACATATATACATACAAAGCGAGATACGGCGCGGATATCTCCTTGGATATGTCTACTTTTGCCCTTGGCAAAAGGGTGGCAGTTGCAAGGCGCTGAGCGTAGGGGTTGGGGGGGGCTCTACACTGCATTCATGCTACATAATAGAATTGTCATGATGTGCTCCAGCGCGGCCAGCAGCATCAGCAGCACCAGCAGCATCAGCAGCAGCAGCAGCAGTAGCAGAAGTTAATGGCGTCCCCAAGATGAGGAGCATGTCACGCTCGCTGAGCTGCGACGAGCAGCAAATGTGCGGCAAGCACTTAAGACTGAGTCCGGATTGGGGGATGCGGTGGGGCGAGGTATCTGGGTTGGGGTATGGCAATGATACCTATAAGCACCCATAGATCGCAATCGGAGGCGGCAACAGAGCAATCGTAGCTGTGCGGAAGCCTTTGAATGTGGCAACTGCGGTGCCTGCACATAATGTGCCCGGCCATTGCTGGGCGTGGCATCAGCTGCTCCATTTGGTGCTTTGTGTTATTAGAGGAGCCACTAGCTATGTTTGTTTTGGTTATGCTCCGTGGGAGTGCCCCGTCCGGGAGTCTTCAATATGGCACACTAACTTTCAGCAACAGTTCAAGGAGTTGGGGTCAACTAATCGCTCGCTGTAACCTGCCGCTGCTGTTGCTGCCGCTGCTGTTGCTGTCAACTGTGTGTTTTTTTGTTCGTTTATTTGCTTGCCACGCCCAGTGCGCCCGGCGCAATCACGTGACCATCGACTTGAGGCCTGAGCACGCCCCGGGGAGCTGTCAAACGGCTGCGCGGCTGTTGTCTTCGTTCCACTGAACTAATTTCAAAAATTTTGACCGCCTTCCGCCTTTCCCCCGGAGCCACCCGCTCAAAGTTTTTCGTTATAGCTGTTGTTATTGCTGCTGCTGCCAAGCTAATTAGAAAAACGCAAATCCTCAAGCAGCAATCGGCGAAGTAACTGACGGAATGACGCACCGCCCGGCTGACCAGTCTCCTGGCAATGAGAACTCTGGGCTGGTTATCTGAATAAACACAGTCCAATGTTTTATGGGGAGTGAGTTTCGTTTTAAAAATTAACATAAACTAATTCTGTAGCTGATTTGAATAAGGTAATGGGGCACTCGTTGTTCTCATACCCTGTAGCCTTTCACTGTGGGGTGTGAATATTCTAGCCAATGTGTATAACGGGCAGAAGGAAGAACTTCGAGCCGTGTATATGAGAATCAACCTGATATCTCAACACATTTGAATAAAATTGATAAATATCGATGGTATGTAGACACAGTTTATGACCTCTCCCGCCACATTTCGGTTGCAGGGTATCTGTTAGTTGTTGTTGTTACTTGAAATTGCCTACAGTACACGTCTAGGATACATTCATACAGACTTCACGCTGGAGAGAGGGAAAGCTTCTAAACTAGCTACGAGTCGAGTGGAGTACATTTAGTTATATATATGTATATGTGAAGATGAAGCAAGAAGTTACCTCGTTCAATGGACAGAAAGACAGACAGACTAACAGGCCGACAAACACTCAGGTGCTGACGGCTGACGTCTTCTGTCTCCCCATCTGGGGGCTGGCTGCTCAGTACCGGGTTTCAGTGCTGGCCCCAGTCTCTGCCTATAGCTATACGAGATGTCCGTCCGCATCTGTGTAGGCTACCGGTACGCCGCCGGCACCGCTCGCATTGAAGCTGCTCAGCGAGGCGGGGTCGTAGGTGGCGCTGGTTGTCATCAGCAAGTTGTTGCCCAGCGCCGCGCTGGTCACGGGCAGATTTAGGATCTGGAGGCTGCCAACGGCCGCGGAGACGGGCACGCCCACCAGGCTGGCGTTAAGCAGCTGCTGCTGCTGCTGCTGCTGCTGTTGCTGCTGCTGCTGCTTGTTGCGATTAGGATCCTTGAGGATGCCGTGCGGCTGCCGAGGCAGCGTGGCCGTTGTCAATGGCAGGGCCGTCGTCATGCTGCCATTGAGCGTGGTGCTAGTTGTCAGCGTTGTTGCGCTCAGATTTACCGGATGCAGGTCGTGCATGATTTGCATGGATGGCGTGCCGCCGGCTGAGGTGTGATGCGTAACATCGGGCGGCGGCACGCCCACTACGCCGCGCAATATACCGCGGCGCAATGTGCCCGAACCGCCCACAGCGCTGCCATTGCCCATAAGCGTGGCACCTCCATTGCTCGCCAGCAGCGCCGCCTGTGAGGTCACCGTAATGGGCATCGGCTGCAGATGCGCCAGCGGCAGCGGCGGCCCACTGAAGTCCAGTGTTGCCGGGTATTCCTGAAATGAATAGAGTAGCATAGAAGTTGGCAATTAAAAAAGGTTCACATTGTAAAAGCCGCTGCCCTGGCCAAGGCCTGATTCATAATTATGCATAGCTTTCGCTCTGGCTTTAAGACGAATTTCGGTCTCAGTTTTCGTTTCGTCAAAAGTTTTCTCATTTGTGCATAAAGTGGGATGTGAGCCCAAGCCCAGCCTTTGTTATGCCTGCGTCTTACTCAAGAAGACTCCTTTGCCTTGCTACCTCATCGGGATAAAGAGAATTTATAGCTGTGAAATGGATAGTCCTATTTTGCTCTGGAGAAGGCCCTAAACTTTATTTGTATTATTCTATGAAACGATTAAAAATGAAAATATATTTTTAATGTGACAAGATGTGGTGTGAGTCGAGCTTTGCAGTTTTCAAGTGAGATCAACGCGAACCCTTGATGCGTTCTTTTAAAATTGGGAATTTATCTTTATTCTATCTGTCAGTTTTGTTGAGAAAGGACTGGCCGTCAGGAGTAACAATGTGATAATTGTAAATTGTGCGTTGGCTCGTTTGAAATGTCGCTACACAAATTGCAAACGTATTTGAACCCCCATTTTGGCGTTTTCTAGCTGCTTTTTGTTGCAATTGCTGTGCATTGAATATGTGTGAGTACATGTATAAAAGTTGTGGACAACTTGCAAGTTGCAAGTTGGTAAAAAATGTGCTGCATTTTTCGTTGGATGTGCTGCAAGTTGCCTTAGTTGGAAATATTATCTTCTACTTCGATTGACATGACACTTTGTGTCAGTTTGGAAATTGTTTCGCATGCTGGGGTCCAGTTGGGTCCGCGCAAAAGTATTTGCCGTAGTTAGACCGAAGTTTAACGCCCGGCACAAGGCACACGGAACACGGAGCTGTGTTAACTTTTAAGTTGCCTGCTACGAAAAACTTCAACTTGGGCGGTGACTTGCGTGCCTAATTGGAATATTGGAGACAGCACCAGCTTCTAAAGAATTGCTCTCTTTCTATCCGTTTTTTTTTTTTTAATCGAGAACAAATTATGTAAGGAATATGGGGCTGTGGCACATAAAGATGTATCGGGGTAACCTACACACACACAGACACACAGACACACAGACACACACACTGTGCCCGGCCCTGATTAACAGCGAAACTCTGAAGGTCTGGTAGTTTAGCCTAAAAGGACTTGAGTATACCAAGGCGAACATTTTGTATCAGTTTACAAAGTTAAATTGTCTTTAACGGAAACTTCGAGCTGAGCTTTGGGTGTTGGCCAGGACTGAGCCAGAGCCAGAGGCAGAGGGCCAGCAATTTGTTGCACTAGCTGAATCAGCATAGGCGGCGGTAAAGGGGTTTCTCTATAAAACTTTGGCGGCTTGTGCCACTTAAAGGTCTTTGTTGTATGTGGCAACTCGCGTGCGCTAATTCTGCTGGACGGGTTTGGGTTGGCCGGCTCATTATTGTCGTTATTGTTAAAGTTAAAGCCAAGGAGCGGCAAGGAGTTCATTTTGCGTAAATAGAATATCAAATGTATATGACTGCGCACCCCAAGGACTACGTAACCGAGGCGCTGCCACTTTTAGAGCCATCAAACTTTACACATTAAAACCGGCGAGTGCGGCAGGCGCCAGGGCTACGCGCCGTGCCTGCTCTGAAATTAAATTATGGACACTACTGTGTGTGTATTTGGTTATTTATTTAATCGACAACAGCTCTGCTCTGTGTGGGCCTTGAATTTTAAACACGACACAAACATACAGTGCGTATGCGGCATATACGAGAAACTGACTTTCGACCGGCTGTCTCCGACAGGCCAGACACGACTCGAAGAGATTCTAGCTAAGTGAGACAATGCCAAGTGCCCGAAGCCCGCACAAAACTAATTGAATTTCAAACTGTGCAAAACTCGCTAACAAAGTGAGCCATAGTTAAGTTGGACGACGCCACTCAGCACATGCACGTATCTGCTCCCAGATGGAGCTGGAATCCAGTCCAGAACCCAAACCTGCCATACGACGCCCACGCCCAGCTCGGACATGTGTGTGCCGCATATCTAAATGGGACAGCAGCTCACAGCCAGCATTTAACTTAGCAACTATATAGTTGGGCAGGGTCTAGATGTGGTCCAAACTTTATTTTTTGTTGCCTTCGTTGTTATTGTTGTCGTCATCAAACGGACATGCAGAACGCAATTGGCAATAAAATACAAATTGCCGCTTAAATAGTTACATGTGGGTCCAATGGCATCCAAACACGAACTTGGGCGTTGGCCAAAACTGGCATACGTAAGTATACCCTGTACTTTAACAAGCAATGCTTGTATTCAGACCACAGCGTTTTGAGCCTAAAATTGTATAGGTTTTTACCTTAGTTTAATTGGGGTAGAGTACAATATTTTTTTTGGTCTGAAATGGTGTCATTTGGACGCTAAACTTTTTATTGCCTGACCTTTTAGTGGACAACTTTGGTGTTAACAATTTGAAATAAACAAAGCGAAAATTGTATGAACTTAAAATTGAATTTTTTCATTTGCAATGGGCGAAAATAAAAATGCTGCAAGGCTCAAAGGAAAAACTGGGCTAGTTTAACAAGACTTTCCAGCTGTTAACCGTATTATTGCCTATGTTTTGGGTCTTTTGCAGCCGTTTCTATAATATTTGTGAGTGTTGGATGGCAGTAGAAACAATTCAACACTTTTTAATAAGCCGCGCTGTGCTTGCATATTGCGTATGCGCCGCATGGGCCACCTCGGCTTATAGCTGTGGCAATCAGTTAGCCACATTTGACCACGCATTGCCTGTCACTGCAAACGGGAGCATCGTGTGAATGTGAGTGAATCTTTTTGCTTGCTGTCAGGCATGCGATTGAAATTTAATTTGATTTACTACTATAAATTGTTTTTATTCATTTAGTTTTGTCTGAGAAGGGGATGGAGGGTTTGCGCAGACATCTGTGCACCGAAAAGTAATTTAGTGCTAGGGAAAATGTTTTAGAAAAACCGCAGCTGATACAAATGTTGTGCCTCTTCGTCTCTATTTCCTCTCTCTCTCTCTCCTTCTCTTTCTTTCTCTCTCTCTTTCTATCATTGTCTGTCTCTCTTTCTGGCTGATTTGTTGCCGCATGCCGAGTGCTCTATATATTTTGTAATTTTTCTAATGATGTTTATCAAATAATTCAATTTGGCTTCACAAAAAACATTTCTTATGTGTGGCAGAAAAGGCTCGCACGAGCATGTCCACACACACACACACAGTCAAGAGGAGCAAGAGGACCCTCATACACACGCACACACACACACACACACACACAATGCCATTGTTGGCCAACTAAACCGAAATTGAATTTTTCTCCCTCGTTGACTAAAAACCGCAAACAAAAGGTTTTGTGTCCCATGCTGAATGACTAACATGTGCAATGCCGCAGCGCGTTGGGCGCGTGAGGCGCAGGGGGCGTCGAAAGCCTGCAGCTCTCCTCTGCTCTCTGATATGGCTAGTGATATTTCCACTGGGCGACTCTTCATCATTTAACTGTTATCCAGAGTAAACAAACGCCCGTTGCCGGGACTGGAATTGGAATTGAGTAACTGGCCAAATCGCATAAAGCATAAAAGCCCATAAAAATGGTCAGCAGCTAGCATAAATATTATTACATTAGCCGCCATTAGGAGTGTATCTCAGTGTGTGTGTGTGTGTGTGTGTGTCCCTTGCAGCTGGCGACAGCCCTTTGGGGATCCACAAGAGTTGGCTGCTAACTGCATTTCGTTCGTATCTAATTTATACAATTATTGGCCTGGCAGCGCCATAAAATGCCAGCTGACAGTCGACAGCTGTGGGTGGACGGGCGGGTGTTGGCAATGCCAGGACAGCGGGACAAGAGTGTCAGCCGCATTGAGTGTCGTCTTAACTTGTCACATTTACACCCCTTTAGAAGCAGCAGTCGACAGCGGCAGCAGTGATAAAAAGAAACAACTAAGATTGGTCTAGTCGGACGTATATGACTAGCAAATACCCTGAACATTGCACCAAGTTTCCTTAACAAAAATTGCACACGAAAGCAAGCCCCTCCTCTCTTCTTTCCTGATTTATAATTAACTTTCAAGGCTTATTGCCTGATCTTTATGAACTTTGAGTCTACATGCTAACAGATAGATATGGCTAGATCTGCGCAGCTCCTCGTCCTGCTGAAGAATATGTGTACTTCGTGGAATCGAAGACGCCTTCCTCTGGCTGTTGCATACATTTACTCAAAATCATTATACCCTTTGTACCCATTTTCAGTGGGTTTAAGGAATAAAATATACATATACACATCCTCACCTAAAAAGGAACGATGGCAATAAATTTGGAAAATTGATTTTCCCATGTTTATTGTGAATTTGTGGAATTTATATTGGGTTAGCCTAATGCGACACAAAGACGCTGCTCTCTGGCATTTTTTTGGGGCAGTCGAGCCCGGTCAGAAGATCAATGCTGGCTGGCTGTGGCGTGCCACAAAATCTGGCAATAGTTTGAAATAAGGCATGCCGCATACATATTTGAAATGAAAATCATGCCCCAGTCAAGTTGGGCGGCAGCTCTTTATGAGTGATGCGGCGCAAAACTTTGTTGCATGTAATGAAGCGAGGCACACATAACAAGCGGCAGCTATGCAACATGACACAAGACAGCACATGGGATAAATTGTGAGTTACAATACGTGGAGGTTGTCTGTCCTCATAAACGTCGTACTTGCTGCTTCACACGCTGCGTATGCGTAATATTAAATTGTTGTCTTGAGAAAATAATGTTTACTTTTGCAAGTACAAACAGCAGCAGCAACAGCAGCAGCACAAACAACAACAATGACAACAAAGCAAATGTAGCATACAACTTCCCAGCTGCCCCAATATCCCACCTCCATTTTATATACCCCTCCTGCTGCCTGCAGCTTAATGCTTTTGAGTTTGTCATTTGTCTTTACAGCGTTGCATGCGGCACGCGGATTATAAAAGTCGAACCGAGTTAACTGGCAGCCATTCAGCTGCAGCGCACATTGGCAGCTGCCACATGGCAGTTTAGCTGCCGTCTCGCAAGCCTGATCGTATATATATATGTGCATATATGTAGATAGATTTGCTAGCGTATATAGTACACTTGAAAAAATAATCAGAACTAGGTCTAAGTCTTAGTATGCTGACCGAGTTCAACTTAGTGAACACTCTATTTAATACTCATCTTAAGCATATTCAAGAAATTAAATTTCAAGATCCCAAACTGTAAAGCATGTCTGTGTAACTAGACTATAAACTTGTTTTTTCTCTTAGTGTATGCATGTGCATAAGTATATGTGCATTGTCCCTCCGCTCATTGCCGGTCACAGAGCGATGCAAATGGAGTGGGATTTGCTTAGGGCTGACTGCCGGGCAGGGTGTGTAAGTGTGTGTGTGCGTTGTCCGGGCATCGTGCATAAAACTCCAACTAATTGCGCTAACTAATCCCTGGCCGTGACTAGCCATAAGCGGTGCAGCGGGTAGCGATATTAAGGATCAAGGCAGGCAATTAACATTGCATTGCAGCTGCAACTAATCCCGGCGAGTCTTAAAGAATCGCCGACGCGTGACGCGGCAACTCAGACGGAGATAAGGAAAAGAAACTCTCAGTTCTACTCACCATTGGCGGATACGACAAATATCTGTCGCTGTTCATGTTGTAATAGGAGCCATCCGTTGGCGGTGCTGGCGATGGGGACGGAATATAGACGCCCTTGCTGATGAGCATCTGATCGTCGCGCGTCATGTGGCCAGCGGCAGCGGCGGCGGCAAGCGCGGCTGCGTGCCCGTTGTTATGCCGCGGATGTGGTAGCGTGCAGGCGTTGACTGCAAGTGGAGAGAGAGATAGCTGTCAATTAGTATCGTGTAAGGTCAGCAGGTTACAGGTAGCGGGAGGCTTTGACCTTTGCATGAATCGAATTGAATTTTTAATATTTGCTGCGAACGCTTCCGTTGCCAAGGCCCGTTCCATTAATGTTGTTGTTGTTGTTGTTGCAACTACAAAAGCGCTTTTCAGCACAACTAAAGCCTGGCTAGCAGCACAATTTCAATTTGGGTGCTGCAAATGACACATTTACAGGGCCATTTGAAAAAAACCAAAAGGCAAAGACTTTGGCTGAAAGGGACACACACGCAAACACACATGCACACGCACACCACATTGAGCACTGGAAATGCACACACGTAGCCTCCATTCGGCATTGAGCTTCCCTTTTGGCAGGCATGCGTGGCGCCCCCACGTAGGTGCAACATTTTGCTGCTTTCTGGTTCATTTGGTGTGCAAACGTTTGGAAGTGAATAAAACGAGTGCCATTAATTGCAACGAATGGCCGAGACAGGTGATAAGAGGCAGGTGTTGCGGCGATAAGCCCAATGGGCAAATCGTTTCGATACACTTGCAACAAAGCCAGTTGCCCCAAAGCGTTAAAGTTTCGCCGCCGATTGCATAGTATTTATGGCATCTACTTATCACAAGACAAATTGTCTGGTATTTTTGGGGCTGCCACAATCACACACGCACACCACCCCCTCCAACTGCGAGCCCACATTCACAGCGCTTTAACCACTCAAAACTCGCCGAGTTCCAAAGAGGCTGTCATTCGAAAAGGCGTGAAAGCCACAAACGTAACAAATTTGTAATTTTGTAAAATAGACTTAGACAAAGAGCCACACTCGCACACACACACAGCGATACACAGCCGCACCCGCACTTATACACACGCACGCACACACACCTACTAGAATATACAAACGTGTAGCTCAAGTGCCAGCAACGCTCAAATGTAGGCAACAATAATTTTGTTAAGAAACTTGAGGAAGCTGCGGCTGTGGGAACAATCTACTCGAAGCAAGAACACGGAGACAAATCGAAGACGCCCGGGAGTCTGCCACACGCCGTCAAGGAAATGAAGCTCGAGCAGATGGAGAGGTAACTGGAGCAGGGGCAGGGGCAGGGGCAGGAGCTGGAGATGACGCTGGAGCTGTGGCTGAGCTGCTTACGGGCTCCCATGTTCATTTTGTGGCCTGTTTACTTTGCATATGCGTATTGAGTATGCGTGTATAATAGCAACATGGCGTAGGCTGGAGGGCACCTTCGAAAGGGGGGACGGGGGGTACTCATGAATTATTGATTTTTCGATCAGCAGCAGCAGCAGTCTTTCTCAGTTACAGCTAAATCAAAATCGGAGCACCGACAAAACAAAAAAATCATTATTGTACATGTATAAAGCGCGTTATTGGCCAGATCCTTGCAAGTGAACTATGCAGGCTCACACACATTCATACATCTGCACATATGTATATAAGTATATCTACATATATCTATATCCATATCTACATATCCACCCAGGTGGCATTCATTTGATATTAATAGCCTTGTTGAAAGGGAATTATTATGTCGAAAGCATTGCGCATGGTAAATAATAACAAAGTAAGGACAAGTTGCTTTTGGGTAGCCGAAGATTAAATACCCTTACAGCTGCATTCATATGTCAACTATTTGATCCGATGTTAAAGAGATTTTGCTTAAGCTGTGGGATAGGATCTATATCTTATATTAGTGCAATGCTAATAAGATTGGAGCATGGTAGAATATGTAACTGACCAGTCTAATTAACGTATCATCGAAGACAAAAAGTTTTGCTTTTAAAAACTTATTGACTTATTCTTTCTATGGCATATATATGATAATGGGGTTCCGATAGGCATATGTACAGTCTACATATTTCGCCTTTTATATTTCGCAAGGGTATACAAAATATATATTATATATATATTTTTATCCCAGGTCGGTTCTAAGCCGGCCAAGGCTATGGAAACTTGCTCAAAACTAGACTTTTCATTAAAAGTTGTATTTTTTTTTTGTGTTGTCGCATATTTGCACATTTGTAGTTCGGAAAATCGCCCGTAGATGGCCGGGAGCTTTTCCATGCGGCTGCTCATTAACAGGGTGGCGCGTTCTATGGTATCTCATTAAAAATGCGCTTCACAGTTTGCTTTTGGCTTAAATGCATTGGATGGGGATGCGAGGACGAGTTGTTCATCTATTATTTGATCTCAACTCAGTCAGCAGCAGGTGGCGACAACTAACAGCAACACAGATAGATGTATTTAGTATGTACGTACGTATGTATGTATGTATGTATGCATGTATGCATGCACATATATGTACAATTGTACATATGTATCCCGGCTGGGAGTCTGCCTCATGGCGCATTTTCGCCTGGGGCGCTTGTTTGAGCTTCAGCTTCCGGCAAGCATTTTAATTTTTATGCCACGAGGCATTTTTGTTTCACATCTTTTTCTTTCATTCCTTGTCGCTTGTCTTTGTGTTCCTGTTCGTGTTCGTGTTCGTGTTTTTGTGTGGCTTTGCTTGTTGTTGTTTGTGTTTTATGTGTTCCTTATTTTTTATTTTTTACCACGCAGCCGCATACATAATTACGCGCCATCTTCGTTTATCTGTGGCAAAGTCCTTGTCCCGGCGTCAAACGCTATCAAATATTGTTGGTCTTCTAATACCCTAACGAAGGGTATTTAAATTTGATCACGAAACGTGTAGCGCCTAATACCCGACTACTCAAAATATTTGTTAGACATCGACAATAATTTTCCATTAATCGCTCTCCTTTTTTTGTAGCTTGGTGCTTCTAATTCTCAACAAGTTTAGGCATCCAAACGGGAACAAGGCTTTGCCGTTCTAAAGTCGATAAAAAAAGTCTCTTAGCAATAGAACCGGGAGATTCTATACAACTAGCAGGAAGTACATATGCATATATATTTTTTATATAAAAAAATCACTTTTGAGGATTTAAAGGATATGCGACATATCCGCTGTCTGCAAGGGTATTTTGTGTTCGGCAATCGGAAGCTTATTGTTTTTTTTTCTGGTTCTTGTTCTTCTTGCTCTTCTTATTCAAGCTGCTGTTGTTGTAGTGGCTGCCACTTTTGAAGTATGCTCCACTTGGCGCCTTCACTTTCCAAATTCGTTGACATAAGGTAATTGTATTTTATTTCCAGCGCAGGCATGACGAAGAATTGACAAGGAGACGTGGGCACACCGGCGAGCAAGATGAAGAGCAAGAGGCAGAGAAGAAGCGAAGAGAAGCGAGCAAAAGTTTGAAGCTAATGTATTTTTATTATTTTTGCGCTTTGCATTTGAAATGCAGTTGCGATGCTTTCAGCAATGTCTCAAATGTTATTATAATACGACTATTGTTTTTCCTTTCTGCTTCTTCTTCTTTTACTCAGACATGCTGAGCATATTCCCCTCTCTGGTGGGGGGTATTAATATTATTATTATTCTTTCATTTTCATGCGCCTTGATAAACGATATTCTTAAATTCTGACGCACTCTTAAATTAGCGCAGAGCCCGGAACGTGATTTGGTTTCTAGTGTTGAACTCAGCCGGAGGCAGCACACATTTGCACGCACACACACACACACACACACACACACTCACGACTCAATTGAAAATCAAGACTGGCAAAAACTTTGCTGCTCAATTACAATTAAGATGGAGATGTTGCACTCAAATTGAATTTTCAGCTGGCGCGTACTTAGTTGCTCTGTGGATTTTGCCGATATCTGTTTTTACATCGCTTTTATTTTTATTTTAAGCTTTGATTGCAATCATGGCATAAAAAAAAAATCAGGCAACAACTGCAGCTGAGAGTTGGGGCAGCGCAGACTGGGCCAGAACGGACGTTGACGTGCTGACAGCGCGTGCAACTCTGAACTTGGTTTGTTGTTTTGGTCAAAAGTTAATTATCTAAAATGCTTTTTATGTGCTCTTCTTTCATTTTATTATTTTTTTTTTTTTTTGTATTCTGTTTGCAGTCTGGACATTCATTATGCTGCAGCTGATATCTGGTCAGCTAGATCTTGACTTACCCATATTATTTGGATATAATGCTGGCAGTGTGCCATCCTTTTGGTATCTGGGTGGTGGCATGTCCGTGCTCTCAACCAGATATGTCGATGCCGCCTTCTTGCGTGCTTCGTCCTGCATGGGGTAAAAAAAGAGCGACACGAAAACAATCAATGAAAATGCAAGCGCCAGGAGTTTTCCCAGACTCAGACTCAGACTCAGACTCTGACACCTGATCCTTTGGCTGCACCTGGGTAATTACGCCCCGCTTAAGCTTTTGTTTTGGGAGGCGTTGAAAGTCATTTGCGCACAATTGACAGCGGCAATGACAGCGACGACATTGACGACACCTTCTCGGAGGGGTGCACGTTGCGTATACGCAACGTTGATTTATGGCACGCCCCGTAGGCAGGCAGACTGTTAACAGTCAACATTAGGCAGCAGTTTTTGTGGTTTACTGCGCCACAGCAAGATTACGCGGGTAATAAATGATTTTAATAATTTGAAACGATTTGTTTGCCGTTGTCCCCGCTCGCTTGAGTTGTGTTTGGGTTCAGTTTGGTATGGTTTGGTTTTGGACTCGCGCTCATCATTATCATCAGCAGGGCGCAATTAATCATGACGTCTTAGCCGGCTGCTGCTTCCGGCTTGCTCACTGGTTGTCAGCCAGTTCCGGCGACCTCGATGTCAACAGTCCCAAACCCGAGACCAGTTCCGGCCTTGAGTTGTAATTTCAAGCGCCTGGCAATAACTTAAGACAGCCCATAATTTTTTAACGCAGTGCCTGCCTAAATGCTGGCCACAGTTCCTCAGTTCCAACATCAGGCGACATTTTGCCCATTGTACTCTCATTCGCGTTCACAAATTGCATATTCATGCACAATCCCCCCCCCAAAAAAAAAAACCTAATAAGAATGCTGCAGTCGGGTGTAACCAACTGGGAGCAACCCTCCACCAAACAGCTTTAAAGCATTCTGACTGTAAAAAAACTGGAAAATTCTAGATCTGAGTGTGCTCTACGAGAATCTATGCTCTTAGTTTGGTGGAAAAATCTACCCTACTTAATTCTCGGACGAATAATGTCTTCTTTTGGCTGTTACCTATGATTGCCTAAAACGATTATACCCGTTTTCAATGAGCACAGGGTAGACAAAATAGTTTGGTATAAAAAGTGGACCTAAAAACTGAGTTCACAAACGGATAAGTGTGGTGGTAGTTTGTGTGTGTGTGTGTGTGTGTGTGTGTAGTATACTCACAATATATTCCGGTTGACTGCCCTCATTGGAGTAGGACTCGCTCTTCTCCGACACGCTGGACAGTGTCTCGCCGGTGACGGTGTCATTGTACGAACTGGGCGCGTACATTTCGATGGTCGCCGTTTTGCCTGGTTGATTTGTAGTTTCCGCCACTGGATGCGACAATGCAGAGAGAGAGAGAGTGAGAGAGGATGACAGAGGTACAGCATCCAGCCAGTTTGGGCATCCAGCAAAAAAAAGGTAGAAAGTATGCGGCGCAAATATTGAAAAGGTGTAATTGGCAGTGACATGCCGAAAATTGATTGGGCGGCGGCGGCGGCGGTGCGCAGTGCGCCAGTCATTTGGAACACCGCACGGGCGGAGCATCGGAGACCCGGATATGGTGGGTTTGTTGTAATGCCATGGGCGTGCGAGTGGGCGTGGGCGTGTGCATGGGCGTCAGTGTGGGCGTGTGCATGGGCATAGTTTCAGGCAATGCAAATCAAATGCAAATAGCAAAGATTGTCAAAGTGCAGAGCAAGCAAATGTTGCCCATCGGGCAGAGGGAGTGGGCGGTTGATGGTCACGGTGATGGTGTGGGTAAGGTGGCAGGCATTGTGTTAAATTATTCACATTTGGTGCAGAGTAGCGTGGAGTCAACAACAACAACAACGCCGGTCGTCCATTTGGGATGCCAACGCATTTTTGTTTGGCCGTGGTCAAGGGTTAAAATCAATGCACGATGTTCAGTTCGGCGATGCGTGGCAAGGCAAGGCATGGCAGCGCGAGGGGGCGCGGGGAACGGTCGAAGAGTAAAAATGCAATTAAATTTGTATATAAAATGCCATTAAATGATTCATGGCACATTTTCACAAATGGCAACGACGAAAATGACCGCGCCACATGGTTAACACGTGTTTTCCACAAAGTCAATGTGCGTGTGCGTGTGTGTGTGTGTGTGTGTGTGTGTGTGTGTGTGTGAGTACGTTGAGTGCATTTGTAGTTTCCATATTTACACGAAAGCAGCATTTCGATGAGTGATACGTTCAGGTTTCATGTCAAGGAAAAATATAAAAATCGAAAATATTATGTTAGATTATTTAAAAATATTTAAAAATTATTTTATGAATTTATAACAATACAATATTATATGTGTTGTTGTTATTGCAGAGCTTTGCTAATATATTGACTAAATTCTGACTTTTTATAGATTATTTTGCACACAGCTTTCAACCCCTAACCATTTTCACTTTAAATGGTTTTTTTATGTTAATAAGAATATAAAATGCTTTTAATTGCGAGTCGTCAATTTGTGAAGCACTCTGCCGACAGGCCGTCACGTATTTATTGCGGCAGTCGTTAATAAAATATGTTGCCCGGGGTCAGCTACTCGGGGAAGTAGCTTCACTAACAAATATGCGATTGCATTTATAGTTTAGTGAATTAAAAAAATATTTTTTTTTAACCCATTTACATGCTTTATTTATGGTGACACGTGGCGGTTACAATAAAGCCAAAGCCTGCAACAGCACTACAATTGGCTTTAACAAGAATGAAATGGTATTTTTTTGGCTTGCCGATAATTAAATACCCTCGCTTCTAAAGGAGCTATAAAAAGTGCCATGCTGATTGGATTTAGCCAACAACAACATATGAACGGGCCGACAAAGCTGTATCGGACTTGGAATACCCTCTGCTGGGCTATAAGGTTGAATTCTTAAATAATGTCAAAACTGGAGGAATTGAAAGCAACATTTGAGACGTCCACTCGCACCCATTAGAAATCAATGCACAGATATAAATACGCATCGAACGGCAAAGGTAATCTCAACATTTGTGGGCTACTTGACTCTGTCAAATGTGTGGACAGTCAGAATTAAAGGTTACCGCACGGGCTTATCACTGTCAAAGCCTTCGGCCAATAACGTTCTGGCTGGGAGGCTTAATTCTGTATGCTGTATTACCTGTACCTACTACCAGCCTTACGTCAAATAAACCGACACAGAGATTACAAATTTTGCACTTATGCCACGACAGCCCGAAAAATCTGGTGCCGAGTGGACGGGCAGGACTAAAGGCGAGCGGATTTTGTCTGCTTTTTGCGCTGCCATATATACATATACATCCATATATATATATATTTATATATGTATAGATGTACATATATGACATGGCTTAGACAGCTTTTGCGGTCGTCAGGACAGTTAATGACGTCGCCGTCGACGGGTTCGTCTGCTTTGAAGGTTTTTCTCCTAATCTGCTGAACTGTTGGGGCCTAGGGTGAGCCGGGCAAAAAAAAAAAAAAAAATAACTGCCAGTTATGCTTTGACTTCTCTCAGTTTTTGTCAGCATAGCTTCTGTTCGAAAGTGTTGGGCAAACTTCTTGCCTAGCTGTGCAGTTTTTATACCCTGTACCCATTGAGAAAAGGTATATGCAGTTGTGCAGTATGAGTATGAATATTGTTGATAAAGCCGATAAGGGGATTTGAATTAGTCAACTAGCCTCTGATATTTCTAGCATGTATATGACATTTTAAGAGATAGATAAGACAAGCTATACACAGACTAAAAATATTTCACAGATGATTTCGTCAATTAAATACCCTGTTATACTCAATGGCAACGGATAATAAGCTCAGAAGTTAATGAAGAATGAATTGTCCATAAAGTAGAGCAAACAGCTCGGAGCGGTTTACAGGTTATCTGGAGTTGGTACAGAAAATTGCAAATACCAAATATTTAAGGCTCACCCAAATGTGTAGCATGTAGATAGCAATCCTTAGAAGGAAACTTTTAAAACTTTTGGACATCGGCAATGGCGCCGAATTGTTTGACAGGCTGTGTGCTTATCTCAACAGATTCGATGGACAGTTCCATACCCGCTGCCCACTGAGGCAGCGTAGTCAATTGTTTAAAGAGTGTCAAAGTCAAGTGGTTTCCGGAGGATTTCGTTTGTATTGAAGCGTTAGCGACATCGCTTATCGCCTCTGGCAACGTTCGCACAAAAGTTTTGCCTAGTGTTGCAGCCACAGTCTGACCCAGCTGCTCGCCTCTTGCTCTCTGTCATTGGTTATTGAAATTTCATCTTTTTCGAGTCTCAAATTAACGTTTGACTATTCCAAGTGCTAACCCAGGAGCACGACTACTCTTGTAATTTTCATTTTGTCTCAGTGGAACTGCCGCTTTGTCATTTCGCTCTACGCACTTCATATCTACGGGGCAGTCGACGAGAGGCAATAAACATTAGAAATGGCATTCTACAGGATGGCAAACTCATATGAGAATGATATATATATGTGTGTGTGTGTGTGTGTGTGTGGTTGTGTCCAATGTCCAGTCGAGTCCATTGACCCAAGATACAGCCGAAAAGCCGAACCGCCGACCAGCTGCCAACCGCAGACTTTTGGCATAGTTTATCGGGCAACAGCCCAGTGGAATAGTGAAAGCTTCTTGGCCATGTCCTAGTGTCAGTGCGGATGACTTCCTCTTGTGGCGGGTGAATTTCTTTGCCGTCATGCGGCATTTGGACACAAAAGCGCAAATGCACATTAAAAATGCATATCCAAGGGCCGAGCACAACAAACAAACAGCAGCCAGCAGCAGCCAGCCCACAAGTCAAGTTTCGCTAGCGAAAACATTGAAATATGCAGAGTTATCTTCGGGCTAAAAGCTGTCCACTACTCCCTCCTATATTCCTCGCATCCCTCGCTCGTCCCCGTTGTCATCCTGGGCAACGCACCAGTTTCCCTGACAACTCCTTTATGGTAAAAAAAAAAAAAAAAAAATGGAAAAAAATGCTTTTGGGCATTGTCAGTTATCGGCTTATGGGGGGTTCGGGAGCGGCTCCAAGCCGAACATTGTCATAAAAATGTTGTTGGAGTAGACAGTTTTTTTTTTCTTCTTTTTTTCGGGTAGCAAAAGGAGAAGGCTGCTGGCTCGCTTAACAGTTCTTGTAACAAGCGGCTGTTAAAACTGAAATATGAATTTCTTTTGTGCAGGGTATTCAAAAGGATGGCGGTGTTGGGCACTTGCATCCATATGCAAGCGCGTCATTTGTTCAAACCTAACTGTGCACTGGCAATAAGAGAGAAATTTCCAGGCGTCGTAGCTCTGCCCCTAACCCTATACCTACCGCTAGCTCAACTCGCATCCGTGTCCGTATAATAAAGCATGGCTGAATTCTAAGAAAAATATCTTATTTATGTCCTGCGGCTGTAGTTCATGCTCCGCTAGAGAGTCTAGAGCCTCGCGCTCATAATGTCAAAAATCTTGGCCTACATTTCACACAGACCGAATTCGAGAATGCAGACAAAAGCGGCAACTACAAAACCCGCTGAATAGGGGCTAGGGGCGTTCCCAAGGAGTCAAACTTCAGTTAATGAAGTACAAACCAAAAAATGAAGAGAAATAGAAATAACTAAAGCTGAAGTACTTAATAATAATTTGCAATTTACTAATACATGCTATAAATTATTTCATTTTCCTAGCAACGGTTACCCAGCTATCTTTGGGCCAAGTGATTATGCTATGTATTTAAGATATCACTTAAATTAAATTAATATATTAACCTCTCATTTATGTGCTTATTACCCTTGAGCTTTGATATAAATCTGTAAAGCGGAGTTGGAACTCGATGGAATACAAAATAAGAGAACAGTTTTCTGTGAAATTAGGATAGATCTCATGGGTTTTCAATCAATCACTCAATCATTCGGTTAGTAAAGTCAAGCAGTTGTGTATACATAAATGCCCAGCTAGTTAAAAACTTTATAAACTTTGTGCAGAAGATATCATCTATGCTACTTGGCCATGAATACAAAGCGAGCCATTAAGCCGTCAAAAGTTGAACTGGCGGGCAAAAAGTCGGAGAAGTTAACCAACTCATAAGTCAAATGTTTGGCAAAAGTATATGAGCATACATTACAACTGCAAATACCGAGTACATACTGAGAACTGCGAGTATATGCACAGTTGTACAAACTGTTGCGAACGACAACTGGCAGTCGGAATGCTGCCTCCGTTGCCTCTGCTGCCTCGGGGTATGGCATGTAGGAGCACATAATATTGTACCAGGCTCACGTACAAATGCGTATGCATTATTCTGGTACGGTGGTGCACAGGGACTGAGTCTGAGTCGGAGTCTGATTGAGAAGATGCTCTGGCTGCTGGTGCGGCTGCTGTGGAACTCTGCGTGTCAAACCACTAAATTTGGCTCAATGAAAAATAATTTGGTTAGCACGCCCGGCCAAACGTTGGCTCATCTCTGGCCATGAATTTTTGTGGTTCTGGCACTTGAAGCGTTCGAAATTTTTTTGCTTTTGTGCTAACACTTTCTGCACGTTCCAGCTTGGTTTGTCTTTGAGACCTGACTTGCCAAGAAATGTCTGCAATTTTCTCAACTCAACGGTCGGGTGGGTCGATGGGTCGGTGTGTGAAACGGGGGTCATATTTATATTTCGTTCGCTTGGCCTGTTGAAATATAATTCCATATTAATAAACAATCTCCAGCTTTAGCTGCAAATTGAGCGGCAGGCAGCCAGCGCAGGACTCAAACACTTGCCGGACACGTGCTCTCTATGCTATCTGGTGTCTGCTGTTCTGTCTAGTGTCCGTTGCCGGGTGTCTGGTGGCTAAGGATGGGGTAAAGCAATCTGATTTCCGAAAGATTGTGCGTTCAGCTAAGAAAACGATGCACATTTGTCTTCGCCAGCGGGCAAACGGGGGCAAGTGGGGCAACCGGGGCAAAAGGGGGCAACCGGACGAGGTGGCTGCCAACGTCGTTGTTCAATAAACAGTTGCACTTGGCATGGCCCCGAGTCGTCGCTGCTGTCCGCTGCCAGGATGCATCATTATTTTCTGTCATCATTATATTCTTGTTGACTGCTCAGAAAGCGGTTTGTTTTTCTTTTCGCATTTCGCATTTCGCTCTTCCCGTTCTCCCTTTTGACTTGGCTGTTTCCTTGCCATGCTCGGGCTCTGGTTTTCTCGCGGAAATTACAAGAAGCGCATATTGCGCATATACGATATCCAAGACCTATAGCCCGCCCCACCTTTATCTATCTTTATCTGTATCTGTGTGTATATCATCTATGTAGATGCAGGAAATTGTTTAGTGAGCATCATAAAGTGAGCAGCCACGTCCACTGGGAGCATCGGATGTTGCACAACGCGTTTGCTTCCTGTGGTGTCGCGGAAGTGGTGTAAGAGCCACGAAGTGGCTGCAGCCTGACTTAAGACTAAACGATTACGCCAAGAATAAGGGTGTTCATGAATTTAAAGTATAATTTGCATGGGTGAAAATGCCTGATGAATACGATTAGAGCTGAACTTTGAAACACGCAGTGACAACAAAAAATGAACATAAATAACAAGCCAGACACATAAAAGTACAATAATAAATATGTATGTTAAAGGAAATAAGATTAAATAAATAAAAACCATGTCAACGAACCTTTTTTACGCCGCTGATGTACAAAGAACCAAGCGACAAGCGCAGCATTGACCAAAAGAAATCCGAATGCCGCCAGAGAGATGCCAATTATGACCAGATTCGGCGTGTTGCTGGAATCCTCAGTTAACTCGGCTGGCATCATTTCAAGTCCTGGTCCATGACAATGTCGCGACATCGAGTCAAAATAAACCAAAGCCAACCGAAGCGAACCAAACGAAACCATGAAAAAAACAAAAAATATGCTTGCAAAAATAAAACAATAAATAAATTCGAAACGAAATGAGAAATTGTAATAAAAATGACGCAGCAGCGTTCCAGGGCAATGGGATGGATGCGAGCTGCTCGGGGGCCGGCTAGTCGGCGCTGGGAGTTCTGCGGTCGCGCCCCATTTCCAGCTAGAGCTGAATGTATCTGGTCCCGGTTAAGGAACCCATGCAAAAGTGACGCAAATCACGTAGCCATGGAGTCACAATGGCGCACGCGGAAACGCAGCCTGAACATGTGACGGGCAAATGAAATTAGCGCCGTCCGACGCCTGACCACACGGCACGTAGCAGAGGACCGTGGGTCCAACCGTGGGGCTGGATTATAAATTCAAATGATATGATGGTCATCCGCGACTAGCTGTGACAGCTAACAAGTATTGTTTTTCTTAAATTTAAAATCCCTTTATGTGAGGTTAGTCGAATGAACATTGTTGGATTTTCTGAAAAGTCTGAAATCGAAAGATCTTTTCAACAGGAGTTTAAGAATTGATCCGCAAAACAACGTCTCGGTGTTCGTAAACTCTAACATCAATCAGTCAGTCAATCAGCTGCATAATTTAGAACAAACAACAACAACAACAACAACAACAACCCCATACAATATTCCTTTTTGTGTCGACGGCGATAATATACCTCGCTTAAGACGCTTCTCGTTGCGCTTGTGAATACAGCAGCCGATGAGAAGCACGTTGAGCAGAACCAATGTGATTCCCGCCGCGATGCCGACTAGCAGTATGCCCGATGTGCCACCCAGCGGTGTCTGACTAGTGGTTGGCGGTCCACCGCCCAGCGAGGAAGCCGGTTGCGAGGGAGGCGGCGCTTCTGCGGTGCGGCCGTATCCAGCGTGTATTCATGTTTTAGGTCGAGGTTTGGCCGTGTTGTCGTTGTCGATGTCGTTGATGTTGTCGTGGACATTGTTGATGGCCATAATACAATTCCAATTAAGTGCAGCGTTGAAGTAGAGAGAGAGAGATCATTGAGTGAAGGAATCTCGTTGGGTGGAACAGTAAATGGCAGCAACTACCGCTGTGCCAATCTCAGGGGAAATGGACACTTCATTTTCTGGCACAGCAACTGAATGGACAGCGGATGACCATAAATGCCAACTGGCGGTTGGCGCATAAATCAATGTGGAGAGGCTGGTGCCAGGACGGGACAGGCACTTGGCTCCCGGCTAATTTGAATATTTTGCGCGACTTTAAGCCTTGCTTACCTTTGGTCTGGGCACGCGCCAAATCCGGCAGGTAGGAGCTCTGGCCCAAATCATTCCACGACATAACCGAAAACAGATACAGCGTATTCATCCGCAGCCCGCCGATGGTCAGCTTGTGGCTGTTGGGAAGCCCATCAATGTATTTGTACTGCTCGCGGTCGGCCATCCTGCAATCAGAGAGAGAGAGAGAGAGAGGGAAATGCAACGAGTTGAGGTAAGGCTTCTGGTCGAGCTGGCAATTTCATTAGTGCGCGTGACATTTGCAGTAATTGCAATGGAATGAACTTAAGGTTTGGAGAATGGGGTTTTCGAATTGAGAGGGTGGGATACATACCGATATCGGACGCGATAGGAGGCCTTCAGGCCGCCATCAAAACCTGGCGTCCAGGCTACGGTGACAGTGTCATGGGTAACATTCAGTATATTAAGACTGAGCGGTGGCTCTGGCTGGGAGGTAATGTCCAGACGAACCGTTTCGACATCCTCACCCAACTCATTGCGTGCCACGCACTCGTAGGCGCCATAGTCGGCGGGCGCCACCTTCTCCACAATCAGCGAGGACTCGTAGGTAAGCGAGTCGATTTTACGCTCTTCCAGCTCGTATTTGAATGTGTGATTGATGGGCAGATCTTTACCGTTCTGACGCCAAACGAACTGCGGCTTCGGAGAGGCCTGCGCTCGGCAGGGTAGTCGGCCCCGTTCCCCAGTTCCGCTCGCGGCACGCAGCAGCGTCGGCGACTTGGCGATCTCCGGCGCGACTGCAAATGAAAATTAGGAGTAGCAGACGCAAAAATGAGTAGCCGTTGAATCACTTACACTTGACTATAAGCAGCACATCTCTATTGGTGGGATTGGCCACGTGGTTGTCGGCCACGCACCGAAAGTTTCCGACATCTTCGCGTTGCGCGTTCTTAATGTGCAGATAGGCGGTGCCATTGGTAAAGGTTGTTGTGGTCTTTACTTTCATGTCGTAGCCCACTCGCTCCCATTTGACATGCTCGTCGGCGAGCGGTTTGCCCTCAACGGTGCAGGACAACATGGCATCCTCGCCCGGATTGACAATGATATTCTCCGAGACGGACTTAATGGCGGTGCCATCTGTGCATGAGCGGTTGCTTAATGGCGGACTTATATGGTCTCTTTGGGTACTTACATTCCACCACAACGGTTATATTGATGCTGGCCTTGCCCTGGGAGTTGCTGGCCGTGCAGGAGTAGATGCCGGAATCTTCGCGATGCAATTTGGTAAAGTTGAGGACAGCGCCATCCGCAAAGATGCGATGCTCGCCGGCGGAGACGCTGCCGCTGGTGTCTTGCGGTATGGGTGTGCCGTTCTTTGTCCAAGTGTAGCTTATTAGGGCAGGGTTTGCATTGGCCTGCAGCGGTACCTGCAAGGACTCTCCCTCTAGGCCAACTGACGTCGACGAGGGCGGCGGCACAAACTTGGGACGATCTATGCATGTGTGTATTTGTGTGTGGGGGGTGATGGAAAAGGAGAAGCATTTAAATTCCAATTGCAATTTCAATTCCAATTTAAATTGAGATTCAGATTCAGATGAAGTCTAATTGCTCAATTAGGTATCCAGACGGACTACTTACACAGCACATTCAGGCTGATTGCCTCGTGGACGCTGCGCTGCAACGCCTCGTTGGCGCTTTGGCAAGTGTAGACCACACCGTTCATTTCCTGGGTGATGTTTAGCCTGAATTCGAGCGTGGAGACCGTGCCGCCCCAGAGGCCTGGCTTGGACGTGTTATTAATGCCTGCGAAGCAGCAGCAGGAGCAGCAGGAGGAAAAAAACAAAATGGGCGTGATTTTACTTTACTGACTGAACTGGACGTTGGCTGGGCTGGGCCAGTTGACTGGCTGGCAACCAGACCGGATGTTGTCGTGGAAACGCCTTTAAAAATGCAACGGCGGCATCAGCTCTTCGGAGGACGCAGCAGCAGCAGCTGCTGCCATTTTGACAACGGCGCCGCCAAGTCCACACCATGCCATGCCATGCCCTGCCGCATGGGCAAACTTCCAAAATCTTTGGCGCTTACGTACCTTCAATGGAAATCCCATCCTTCCACCAGGACAGCTTTGCCGGTGGATTGCTCGAGCTCGAGTCGCAAATGATGGTCGCCTCCATGCCAGGTCGCAGCTCTTCCGGTTCAATGCGTATTTTTACCGTCTCTGGCGCAACTGTAAGCACAGCCAGCGGATAATAATGGCATGAGCTGTCTTCAACGACTTTTCTGTGCGGCAACAACAACTACTTACAGTGAACACTCAGCGTCGTAGACTCAAAAAGTGGTATCTCCGTGGCGCTGTTCGAGGCCTCGCAACGGTATTGCGCCTGGTTGTCGGTGACGTTGGCCAAAATAGTTATTTCGGCCGAAACGGATTTGTCTGCGGCCCGAATGACGGAGTTGATCTGGAAAGCAACAGCAAAGGTAAATTGCGTCAGTTGGCATAATGTATGTACATTTGCCGTTGGCTAAAAAATAAACATGCACCTCCCCAAAACAGGGCAAGAAAAACTCAGCGTGTTCTAGTCGAGAGTACCCAACGTTGAGATACCGTGTTCCCGGACAGGCTTTTACACATTCTAGTAGACTTTACTATAAAATATGCATTCTTATATAACTTCCTTCTTTACGGTCCGATAGGTTTACGATTTACAGAATTAAAAATTGCATTTATGTTTAAGGATTTGCCAAAATCCAGGAAGCAAAGTTATCTAATAAACGAATATCTATACACCAAAAGGGGTCTCTATGATCTCTCTCAATATTTGTATATGTGCTAAATATCTGCCTTCTTTTGCTTGTTACAAACATTTGCCTAGCTGCACTAACCATTGCCAATGTCGAGAGGGTATATAAAGAAAAAAAAAACACACACATACTGATAAAAAAAAGTGGGCGCGAAGTGAGCTAAAAGCAAAACAACTCGCGGCAATGTGCTGCATATGCAAAGAGACAGACAGTGGCAGCTGGCGGAGCAGCTGGCGGGCGAAGCCGAGAGCTAGCGTAAAACACAGCGCATTTTAATTTTGTTGATAAAATATCATTTAATCTGCGCGCCCAGATGAGCAGCGGCACCAGCGAAAAGCCCCAGGCAGCGCCTTTCGACTGGGATAGATACCAAACCGCAATGGTGATAAAGATGGCGAGAGCTGGGCGTGCAGCAGTTGCTTGTTTCCGTTGCTGTGACAGCAGTGAGCAGAAGGCAGCTGGCGGTGGCCACTTGCCATTTGTTGTATATCAACGTTACAGCTGCTGCAGCGGCAGTGGCTGGGACAGTGGCAGGAAGTTGCCCCCATAAGTATGCAACAGCAGCTGTGCCAGCTTGTGGCCACTTCCGTTGAGGCCCAGCCCAGCTAAAGATTTAATTTTTCAGCTAGACCAAGGCAACGTTAATTGCCCGATAGCGCATCAAAGTGCAGGTGTAAAAAGAGCCAGAGAATATATCTGGATATATAAGTATAAAACGGTCCTCGGCCTGCTAACGCCTTATTAGCACTTTCAGCCCATAAAGCGGAAGCGGAAATGGTCAACAAAAGCGTCATTATTGTTTGGCGCATGTTTGTTGTCTGCTGTTGATAGCATAACGAGTCCAACTGTGTGTGTGTGTGTGTGTGTTTCTATCTCTGTTGCTCTAGTTAACGTTTTGTACCCTGTACCCATTGAAATAAGGAAAATAAGGTATACCAGCTAGCAAATCTATGCTATACAAAGAATGCATATTGTTCATCATGATTTGTCATGCCTGTCTAGAAACCAATATAGCTACAATTTCTTTTGATCGAATTCTTATTCTATTCCCAAATTGATTCGATTGAAGAATATAGCCAAACATGATATGTAGATATGGAATAAGCTAATTATGTAAATGAAACTAAGATATATTTTACATGGTAATTCATAGTCGGGCACTCCTATTTGTATGTTTTGCCTGTGTGCTGCAAATGCTGTGCTGCATATGCAAAAACAAAAAACAGCAACAAAAACTTACCCGCTTGTCGTTTTTATACCACGTTAACGTTGCCAGCGGATTGCCGCCCGATGAGACACAGAGCAGTTTTTGCACCGACCCGGCTGGTATAATTTGTCCCTCCATATAGCCCGAAATTAATGGCGGCGCGGGCGGATCTGCGAAAAAGATAGAGAAAAACGTCAGCATAAAGGACCTGGCAAAAACAAAGAGAGCGAGCTCCCAAAAACTTGGCCAGCAAATTATGGCCTACTAAGAGTCGGAGCCAAACCAACCCAAGAGCAGGACCAACCGCTGTGACGTCGCAACGGGCCGAAACAATAAAAATTAAAATTATTTAATTTGCCGCGCATAAAGTACAAAAATCTGGAGGGCCTCCCCGAGGGCCACCGCATATCCACATAAGACACAGCGGCCCGGCCTTGAATATTTCTAAATTCCCGTGCAGCTGGAGAGGGAGGAGGAGAATGAAACAAATTCTATGCCCCATCCAACTGGCAGCTGCAACGTCTCAGCACAAAGCGGTTGCTGGACACTGGGCAGATGGGTTTTAGAGGGGTTTATGGGGATCTCATTACCCCAGGCCCTGAATATGGGTAATAAATGTAAATCTCACAGTCGGGCTACGGCTTCGGCCTCGCCCCGCTGATGGTGGGCAGAAAAATTAATTAGCGCTGCAGGAGCTGCACAAAGAGGATCCATGGAGTGGAGTAAGGCCTTCCAAGTGCCCACACAGAGCTGGCTTTGTTTACAGTTGTTGCCACTGGCGTTGACTAAGTCAAAGCTGAAACTAGGAAGTCGGCGCAATTATTAATAAGCCTTGTGTCCTGGACCATGTTACCAAGTTGGCATCTTGTTATCGAGAAGTGACTGCTGGTTGGTGGTTTGGTGGTTGGACTGTCAGCTCTTTTTCTCTTTCGCCCCCCTCTCGTTGATTTTCGTGTTCGTTGTGTTCGTTGTTTTGCGCTTTTCCTCACGCTGTCCACTTATAATTGAGGCAAATGAAGAGTGACGTCGAACATGGCATAATGGAGTTTAAGACACCTGCGTTTGTAACGTGGCAAATAGAGATGAGATGTGACTGGACATGGTTGTAGCAGGAGCAGCAACTAGAGAGAACCATGTCGGTCATAAAGGGAGAATGTCGGGGGCTGAACAGATTGACAAGCGTTGACGTAGCGCTGGCAACTAATTGGACTTTTATGTGGCAAGTGTGCATGTTAATGACAGTCTGTGCGAGAAACCCGGGGTAGTCGTAGCCGCAGTCGTATTCTCCCAACCCAACAACAGAAAGTAAGAGTCGTGTAGGAGTTTTCGAAAGTTGTAAAAAGTTAACTTTAAATTTGGTTATGTTCACATAAAATTTATAGCACACCACAGGCCGTGAAGATAATGCTGCGGCTAAGCTTGCCGTTCTTGGTGCCATAGCTTTGGAGGCAATCCAGAATCTTTGTGCCCTTCACAACTTTACCGAAGCCAACGCGGGAACCGTTCACCACGCCGAGTGGCTTGAACGAAATTGAAAAGGACATATAAGTTCGAAAGCCTTGTAAATGTTCCTTGCTAAAGGACAGCACATAACTGGAGGCACCGTGATCAATTATCTTGGCATCGTACTCCATGGGCTGATTCAGGTCCCCATTTCCATTGTCCCACAGTTCGACATCAAGCCAGAGATTTGGAAACAGTCGCCTAATAATCAGACTGTTGTGCCTGTTGCACATGCAGGCACGCACTAACTGCAGCACTACCACGGGAGCCGCCTCCGTGTACAGTTGGACGACGATGCGGCCGAGCGGACGCGAGCCCTTTAAATAGATGTCTAGGTAAATTTGCGGACGCAAGAGATGCCAGCATTCCAGGTCCGTTTTGGGCATGTTAATGTTGTAGCCCTTGTACTTTTCCAGGCTTTTTTCGGGCATAACAAACGGCTGCAAGAGTCGATTACTTTTTTTGGGCCGTTTGTCTTTCGCTGGTAGACCGGTATCGATCTCGCTGACTACATCCATAATGCGCTTGGCAATGTCCTGATTCTCTTGGTCAATTCGAGTCATTATCTTTAAGGTCATTGGCAGCGAGGACGTGGTATATAAACGCTCATGGCGAAATGGGTTTATAACACCATGGGTTCGCATTGTTTTTGATATCTCTACCAGCATCTGAATGTTCGTCTTGGTACGAGCATTGTAGGACTCTGCATTTTGCCGCAAACCCATTACGCCGGTCAAACGGGCCGCTTGGAAGCCGGGTGGTTTCGTATCTAGCTCACTCACAACATTGAGCACTCGATGACGATGCTCTAGCCATGCCTCCCTGTGGCACGTATGGCCCACTTTAACTTTGGGCTTCTTTTTCTTAAAAGTCGTCACTTCTTTACTTTTTGGCTGTACACGCGATTGAGCCTCTCGAACCGGATTTTCTTCAAGTGAAACGAAAGAAACTTCTGAGACACATTTCGGCAACTCTGGCATGGCTGTTTAATCAAAAATTGGTACGCGTTATCAAAACTTAATACAATAAAAATAAGTCATACAAATTCTATTATTTTTTTTTTCATTCTACACGGAAAGTCTATTTAAAAGTACTAAACCAAAAGTCAGAACCTACTTAGGTCACTGAGTTAGAAATGTAAGTTTGGCGTTCTATTTGAAAAAAATCCGATTCTCTGGCACTTCGAAAAATTAACGTCCCTATACATATCAGACTAAGAGTGTAACCTGTGCTTGGACGACGGCACCATCCAACAGAAGCCCTCCTTGGATAAGATAAAGCATCTGATCAAAGCGCCATTCCCTTCATCAGGAAAGTCAAGTAACACAATAGACATTCTCAGTTTTTTTTTTTGATTCCCACCCATTCGGTAATCAGTAAATCAGACGCTGCTTAATTATACACTGGTTTACTGGCAATACATCGAATTTTGTCAAGTTTAGTGGGCGGACTAAAGTACGCCACAGCTGGTACAGATAATGCCGCGGCTGAGGGTGCCGTTCTTGGTGCCATAGCTCTGGAGGCACTCAAAGATTTTGCTGCCCTTAATGACGCGACCGAAACCGACGCGCGAGCCATTCACAACTTGGAGGGGCTTGAAGGAAATGGAAAAGGACAGATTGTCGCGAAAACCCTGCAGGTGTGTCTTGCTAAAGGAAAGCACATAGTTGGAGACACCATGATCAATAATCTTGCCATCATACTCCAAGGGTCGATGCAGGGCCGCATTGTTGTCCGTGGGGAGCTCCACGTCCAGCCAGAGACCGGGAAATAGCCGCTTGATGAGAAACTTATTGTGCATGTTGCACATGCAGGCGCGCACCAGTTGCAGCACCACCACTGGGGCCGCCTCCGTGTACAGTTGGACGACAAAGCGACCCAGTGGGCGCGCTTCCTTCAGATAGATATCAAAGTAGATGCGTGGACGAAAGAGCTGCCAGCGCTCTTTATCTGTGCTGGGCAGCTTGATGTTGAAAGGCTTGTACTTGGCCAGCGCCTGATCGGGCATGGTGAACGGCTGTGTAGGTTCTTTGTTGGTATTGCCATCGGGTTTTAAGCCCGAGTCAACCTCGCTGACCACTTCCAAGATGCGCCTGCCGAGATCATGGTTATCCTGCTCCATTTGCTCCAGATTGTTAATTATTGCTGGCACTGCAGACATCACATTGGGACTCTCGTAGCGGAAGGGCTTAATGGCGCCGTGGGTGCGCATAGTCTGCGACAAACCCAACAGCATATGTATGTTCTCTTTGGTGCGTTGCATGTAGTTAACCGCTTGGTCGCGCAGTTTATTTACACCGGTTAGTCGCACCGCTTGGAACGAGGGCGGCTCCCTGTCCAGATCGCTCACCACATCTTGTAGGCGGTGCCGATGCTCGCGCCACATCTCGTAGCGTGCCGCCTCCAGCACAGTCATGACCCTCTTTTTCTTGGCCACATTTTTCTTGGGGGTCTTTACCTTTGGCAGCTTAAACTTTATCTCTGATTTAGACGGATTCTCCTCAGAAGAATTATTGTCCCGCTCCTCGGGTGACACACATCGCGGAAACTCATACATTACAAAAGTTTAAAAAGTAATGCACACACGTTATTACACAAACCCAATGATATTAAATATGCTTAAATCGATGATTTTCAACTTATCTGCTAAGACTTTGAAAACAAACTGAGTTAAATTTCAAATACCCTAGCCGGATCCTGATAATTGCAACTAGTTTGATTTGTCGGACAAGCCCTTGCGACCACAACTCTTTTGTCGAAGAAAAAGTTTGCGAAAATTTAATTATGGCTTCCGGGTAGGCGACAGACTGCACGATGCGGCAATTTGTGAGCAATTAAATAGGATGAAAATCTGTCTTTGCAATCTAAATAAAACTGTATTACAGATTATTTGACTGAGTGATTGAATTGGACTATTCGCAGCAGTTGAATTTTGGGGAGCATATCGAAAAACAAATCATATTAGAATGCTGCTTAGTACTTACATAGAACGTTAATCGTGTGCGTGGAGACAACATTCTCGGTGAGCTGCATGTTGAGGCCATGACAGATGACCACCAGGGAACGCTTATTGGGCTCCACGATGGTCGTGATGTTCGAGCTGGTTGTCCAGCCGCCTGAAATGGATAGATTTCAAGATGATTAGTGAATTAATAAAGTGTGCTCAGGCTAACATATTGCTGTACATCTAGTTTGCACTCACCCTCGGCACTGACGGCAGTCTTCGATGTGGCATTGCGTATCTGGCGGCCACCAACCATCCACTTGATCTCGGCGGGCGGATTCGATGGCGCTGTAGCGCACGTCAAGGGCACAACGTCGCCGACGCGTGCTTCTGTCGGACCCGTCACCGTCACTTGCGAAGGTGCGACTGTCGGTTGTATTGGAGCAGATGGAAGTAGAAGGAGAATTTTAGTTAAAACGAGCCGGAGTCAGAGTAGAAGCATTAATATTTAATAAGCCCGCGTCAATGTGAGACGCTGTCTTGCTTGTGGCATGCCGCACGGCTTCACATACTGCGTATCGCACGCTCTTTGCCGCGTGTGGGGCAGAGCCTGGCTAGAGACTGGCTCACTGCATGCAAATGATGACTGAGTGACTGACTGACAGGCGACTGTGCTGTGCCGAGCTATTACCTAATTCCAGGAACGAGCAGAAGCTGCAGCTGGCTTCTGTCAGCTATTTGCCTTGATGGATAAGTGCAGGCAGCCAGTCAGCCAGCCAGCAGTAGCAGTAGCAGTAGCCGTAGCAGCAGCAGCAGCTGTGCATATATTACGCATACGCTATAGTGGACCGATTGGGTCTGCAACCGGGGAATACAAAACTTCGTCTCGATATGTTTCGCATATAAATAAACATTATGAATTCTTAACTTCTCGCATATTTCGCCATACATCTTCATTCCGCACACACACACACGCACATCGTCTGAGGGTGGGGCAGGGCTCAATGTGTATTCCTGCTACGTCTTCATTTTTGTGCCACATTTCTTTATACATAAATAATGCGTGCTGCTTGCCAAGAGCGAGCGCAGCTGAAGTCAATGTAGATGCGTGTGTACGTGTGTGCGGGCGTGTGTGTGTTTGTGTGTTTGTGTGTGCGAGTGGCCACTCACTATGGCATATTTTGGGGGCTAAACAAGGTAAACAAGGAAAGCTTTTTGGGGCTAAACAAGAGCCAATTTGATTGGAAATCGCCAGCAACTGGACAAGCCCTGGCCACGTCCGAGTAGTTGCGGGATTGGCTGGGCCACGTGCCAACAGGTTCGCCTAAAGCCTTTCATACTATGCAAACATGCTGCCAGGTAAAGCAAGCGCTAAACAGCGACAATTCAGCTGGGCGAGTGGCTCGCCGCTTCAAATTTAAATATCACGCATACGCGACGTACGCCCTCAAGTCAAAGCCCATTTGCATGTTAGACACAAGAGTGTGGGGTGGGGAAGACTGCATGCAAATGCCGAAGACTAACGACGTTTTGGACAGACGTCGCATACTTTTTAGGTTGCTGCGCCTCGGCCTGATTGCAATTGTTGTAAAGAGGCGTGGCTGAAAGGATGCTAAGGGAAGAGGGAAGAAGTGAGCGGGGGGCAATGGTGCTATTTGGCACTTGAAAAGAATTTGCATTGCTTGATTTGACAAAGCTAAGTGGGGTGCGGGTGCAAAGTGCAAGCTTAAGCTTAATTGCAAAAGAAAGCAACAGCCAGAGAGCGAGATAGAGAGGGAGAGGGAGAGAGAGAAAGAGAATGTTGTCAGGCTTATTTTCGCTTTGTGTCGCGTGCCAAGTGGCAGGCTCTGTGGAATGCAGCGAATATGCAAAGGACGACTGTTGACACAAACCAGCAACGGAATCTGAGTGTTGGCATAAGTGTGTGTGTGTGTGTGTGTGCGTGCGAGTGTGTGTAAATATGAAAATTAACGAAATACAATTAGGCAAACAAGCAAAGAAGTCACAGGCGTTGCAGTAGTAGGCAATTGTCAGCGTCTGCATAACGAGCACCAGGGTCTGGCTCTGGACAGGCGAGAATCGGTAGGCAAGAGATTCAAGTGCCACCAAAGGCTCACTTTGATGACGATGAGGCTGCAGCTCTAGAGTGGTCGGGTGGCTGGCTGGTTGGTTGGTTGGTTGGGTGGTTGCACTTACACAGAACAGTCAAATCCACTTCCGCCTTGAGCGGTGTCTGGGACATCACATTGCTCGCCTCACATCGGAAGCGCGCCTTGTTGTCGCCCGCCTCGGCGGTAAATGTGTAAATGTTTTCCGACAGCCGGCCCGAGGTTCTGCAAGTAGTTAGATGGATTAAGGGCATGATGGTGAGCTGCAACCAGCTGCCCACTTAGTAGCCACTTACCTGTAGGCCATACGTATCTGCGAGTTGTTTTTATACCAAATGAGCTGCGCGGGCGGATTGCCGCCGCGACTGCGACAAATCAGCTCCACCGTCTGGCCGCGTCGCAGTGTCTCGCTGGGCGAATAGCCCTCGATATAGGGTGGTCCGGGTGGATCTGTGGTTGGCATAGAAAAGAGAGCAAACACAATAGTAAAACAGTGCGACGTGTTTATAAGCCCCTCTATATAAAGTTGGATAATGGATAATGGAAATAGCAGTAGCAAAAACCCGTGTGTGTCTGTGTTTTTTGCGTGCATATTTAATTGTAGTGGCTGCCACAAATAAATTCAATTTACACTAAAACAAATGTGGCCAGTTGGACAGTCGAACAGTTGGCCATGCGGCATGCCACCAGGCCGGGCAGACATGGACTGGCGGGCATATGAGGCAGAATTTGTGCGCGATTTTTAATTGAAGTGTTTGCATGCAAATCGTTTATGTGGTCAAACGCATTATTTTCCGATTTCCCTTTTCCTCTTTATATTGTTTATTTATTATTATTATTATTTTTTTGCAATTTGCACTTAGGGCGGGGCCCTGTTAAAATGTGTGTGCAACTGCATTGCATTTGTTTAAAACGCAACGAAATGTTGTCTGTAATTTTCCATGTTTGTGGGCGGTTTAATAACATTTTAAATGCCACAGACAATAAACAATGCGACTTGTTAAAAGCGGCCTTTAAACGCTTCCCAATTGATGTGCAGGTCAAATTTAAAAAAATTAAATAAAATTTAGATTGTTTCCCCTTGTCTAGCTGCTAAAGGTGCGTATACGTAATGTGTGTGTGCACTTAAAAGAGGAACGAGGTGTGCTGTAATGTATGCCGCACACACATACGCACACATACGCAGAACCGGCACAAAATTAAATTAATATCACTTAAAATATTGTGCGAGTATCGGTTGCCTCGGCGCTTGCCCATGAATATACATACATATAGAGCCCAGCATGTGGCCAACTGAATCCGATTACACCATGGCCAGTTCTTGCAAATGACAGGACGAAGGGTGTGGGCTACGGGTAACGGGCCACGGGTGCAATAATAGCGCATAATTGAGCACGGGTGTATATGAGTATGGCCCAACTGCACGGCAATGTGCATGTCCCAGAGATACGCGTAAGTGTAGCCGCAATTAAGATATATAAATATTTATAACTAGCACACACTCAGACACGCACGTCGGATATACATATGTGTGTGTGTGTGTGTGTGTGCCTGTTATCGATAAAAACACATCCATCACATGTCCGTATTTCATATATCAGCTGCCATGCATCAAATTGGGCCAATTGAAAAGAAAGAGCATGCGAAGACCCATGTCGACTGTTTGCTCCAAAACTAAATGAATAGTAGTCCGATATTGATAAGATTTTGGCCATAGCTGGGGAGCATAGTAAGAATCAAACTTTCCGCTATCTTAAAGAGGTCCTTATACCTGTACTCAACGCTCGATTGATTTTTCCAGGAACTGAATTCAACAAAATAACTAGCCGAGATATTTGTAAGCGAGATGGTTTGCGTAGCAACAGATGACAGGCATACAGACTTGACTAAGTCATCTTGGCTGTTGATATATAGATGAGGAGTACATTGACTTCATTGAAGACGTTAATGTCTGCTACTAAGTATACAAAGAGTGTGTTCGGTTGCTTGGCTGCTTTGACAATTGAAATCTATTAGGTCAACGGGCAGGCTTTTGGCCAAATAGCACGAAATGGCTGAATGAATGGCGCCGTCAATAATAGCCTCGTGGCCAGCTTCAGCCTGGCGGTCATAGGCAGCAGCCTATGCATAAATAACAAACATAATTAATTTGAATATGGCGCACGTAATGTGTGCTGGGGGCAGCTGCAGAGCTGGGCTGCATGGCCAGGTGTGTTGGCTACCTGAAGAGCCAGTGCCGGTAATCAATAACGGAAATACGCAAATGCGACGCACCGGGCACAGAATTGTTGTGACCCGCCGTGCCGCTTCACATTGCCAAACACACATCACACAATGCCCCCTGACCCGTGCCCAGTGCCCCGTGCCCCTTGGCGCATGAAGCATGCAGCAGCTGGGCATCGCATTAGAATTTAAAAACTAATTAATACGCGCGCCAATTGCGCAATTAGCGGCCGCGGAGGCCATCAGAGCGACCGGCTGTGGCCATCGGTAGCCATCTATCGGCCGGCAGGCGGCTGGCCGTGTTTTGCGGGTCAGCATTGGCTGGCACCTCGTTGCGGCCCGAGCCGGGGCTTGGGTGAGCTGGGCACTTGGCACTTGGCATAAACGCGCGCGGCTAGCATTTCAATTGTATTGCAAACTTGGCCATTTGAGCTGGCTAATGAGGTCGGCATTTGGCATTTCGCAGTTCGCATATATTTGACATGCCGTACAAAAGGCATCCCAGTCGGCATCCCAGGCCTCGCAATTGCAATTGCAATTGGAATGGGCGGCAGAATCTATAACTCTACTCACACAACACGGACAGTTGCACGGTGGCACGCATGGGCATATCCGGCGATAGAGCCTTGTGCTTCGCTTGGCAGGTGTATTCCGTATAGTCATCGTTCGCGCCGGGCTTCAGCTTCAGGCTGGACGTTGTTGTATAGCGTTTCGGTGTCGATTCCTCCACCTTATCGTCGCGTTTATCTGTGGAGTTGAAAGAAACAATCGACAGAAATTATAATTTATTCAGACCATAGCTCAATGTAATTATATTCTATAAAAGGTATTGCCAGGCATTGCGCGGCCAATCTACTTTTTTAATGCATTTTATTTTAAGCTTGACTCCGATAGAGGTTACGAACATTTACAAATTTTACACGCTTACATCAAAGACGCGCCGTGGTCTTTAATTACACATCAAAGCTAAGCTTCTTCTTAACGCTTTGCATGCTGATAGTCTGTCAGTCAGTCAGTCAGTCAGTCAGTCAGTCAATCAGACAGTTAGTCAGTCAGAGCACAAAAACAGTTTTGCATGAATAGATACATGAATTCTATAGTTTATTTGCCTGTCGTCTGCAGTTGCTGCTAATGTGTGGATAGGGGGGTCGGGTTAGGACTTGCATTGCCATAAATAATGACGCAACAAGCGAACTTCCAAAAATGCAGCTGAGCTTGTGTGTGTGAGTGTGTGTGTGTGTGTGGGTGTGTGTTGTGTGTGTGCGTGTGTTATAAATTCTTGTGCGCTGCGTTAAATGTCTGCGATTTATCATAATAACAACAACAAAACATCAACAGCAGCACTCGGTGGAGCTCTACACAAAGAAAATTAAAATGGCGGGTGTATGTGTGCGTGTGTATGTGTGCGTGTGAGTGTGAGTGTGTGATGGTGTGAAGGGCGTTTCCCCTCTGACTGGGTATTGCAAAATTTGCACGCCATTTTCGCGTACGTGCAGCCCCTCTGCCCCGCTACCCCACCCGCACCGCGTCTAAGTCGTTGTCATAAAGTTTAACGCATATTTTATGAAGTTTTCTCGCACCCCGCCCGTGATTCTGTTGCCCCTCTTGCCCTGACCCACGACCCATGGAATTCATTTGTAGGCGCATATTTTGTGTAATATTTGCTACGCGCACATTTTGTGACATAATTTTTGGTCATAAATTGTCAATGGCTCGTTGTATCTGAAGTATCTGCAGTGAGTCTCTGGCTCTCTCTCTCTCTCTCTCTCTCTCTCTCTCCATCTCGCTTTTTTTCTGTCTTTCTGTAGGCTGGTTGTAGCATACGATTTGGCTTTAAATGAAGCTGCCTCAACTATCCACGAGTTGAGCATGTACACGAGGGTGGGCTGAAAAGTAATCGGCCAAAAAGGCATTGTTCACAATGATCAATTGGTAATGGGCTTTATTTAGATACAGAATATCTTTATCTTTTGGATAGATGGCAGGAGATTATGTTGAGAAATAATATATTTCCAAAAACAAATTGTAACTTTTCCCTTCCAGATCGAATACTTTTCAGGCTGCCCTCTTGAACCGTATTTAACATGGCAGCAGGATAATGAGCAGGCTGCTCGGCCTGTGCCTTGAACTGGCATTAACCGTCATTTACGCGACCGCCACACACATATTGGGACGACCCTGAGCCACTGGGCCAGAGTCAGAGTCAGAGTCGAGTCAGCTTCACTGACAGCTTGCAAATGATGCTACAGGCTGCAGACCCGCTGCTGCTGCCCATTGTCGTAAAGTCTTGTTTTTTGGGAGAGGCGGTGGGAGGGGGGCGGCAACATGCCCACCAGCCAGTCCGGCCGCAACATATTGTGTCGTAAACATAATTCATCATGCAGCTACGTCCAGCACTTCCTGGCCCCTGTGCTGCCCGCATTTCCTTGCGGATTTTCCTACATTTTACGCCGTTTTGCGAAATTTTCTTATTTTGTTTTTCCTCGCTTTTCTTTTTGTGTGTGTGTGTGTTGTTTTTTTTATGTTTGCCCAAAAATTTCCATCATCATCGTCGCTGTGCGTTTCACATTTTAAGCATTTTTAACGCGCCAGTTGTGTTAAAATGATTTCGTTAGCCGCCAAATGACAGCCGGAGACGACACCCACCCACCCACACACACACACCCATGCACACACCCACTGCTCGACAACACCTATATGTATGCCGCATATCATAATCATTATGAAAATTAAATGTCGTGAAGGCGACTAAGCGACTAAGCGCCGTATGATGCCCATGCCCATGCCCATGTCCTGGTTAGCCTGGCCATCCTTTGCCGATGCCTTTATACATTTGCATTTTTCCATATTTTCCGCAACGTCCACGCTCCGGTTTTCCAATTTGGCTGACTGCCGGGCAGCGGGCCACAATGACAAGGCACAAACAGAGGCCAACAGATAAGGAAAACGTCAGCATCGGCAGCTAAAAGAGACCGTTTTGTTAGGGTATAAAATTATTATTTAAGCACCGTCATCAAGCAGAAAGTCAACGGGCGGGCCTCATATGTGCCCCGGCAAACTGGTTGACAGCCAAAGGGCTACCCCTGCCCCCTTGCCCTGCTACCTTGTACCCCATCTCCCGCGCCAAAACCCATTTACACTTTTCTCTCTTTGTTTTTTTTTTTTTGGCCAGAGTGGATCAGCCCGTCGCGGTAGCCCAAGCGGGGGCTGCCTAAAAGCGCTCATCGTGTCGATGCAGGAACGGGAAGTGGGAAAGGGGCTGCAAAAGGGGGGGTATGCCATTAGAAGACACATGCGTTGGAGGCTGGATGTTGCTGTGTAAGTGGACATTAAATTTGATGGCTTAGTGTTGTGACACTTGTCACGAGCTGCGTCTGTGTGTGCGTGTGTGTGTGTGGGCTTGATGTTGATGTTGATGTTGCGCTTGCCTTCTATTACATTAGTGCCTTATGTACGAATACATAGAAGTATCTATATACATATATACTATTGAATCTTTTAGCCGACTGATGGATCGGCTGATCTGATGTAAGTGAATATTCAGTCGGGCAACGCCGAGTAATCCTTGCTAGTTGTTATAATACATATTTCTGTTTACCAACCTGGCTTATATTCGACGTTTCCACGATACCAAACGATTTGTGCTTCCGGCTTCGCGTTGGCCACGATGCATTTGAGCGTAAGGTCCTGGTTCTCGCGCACTTCCACTTTGGAGTTGTGGCTGTAGCCTTTGATCTCGATCGATGAGGGTGGCGCTATAGAAAGAGAAAGACAGAGAGTGAGAGAGAGAGAGAGAGAGAGAGAGAGTGTGTGAGTGAGTGAGAGCGAGAATAAGTGATTAGACGAATGTTACTTCAAATGCTCGAATTCAACAACTGTAGCAAATAATGCAACCGTCATGGAAGTGGGCGTGCCTGAAGGCGGAATAAAACAATGGCAGAGCAAAACAACGCTCGCTCATTATGCGACAATGCAGCACGTTGGCCAGCTGCTTGGCTGTGTGGGTTAGGACGTAGGCGTGGCAGCCATTGTAGACGACATTGTTGTGCTGTTGTGTGTGTGTGTGTGTGTGTGTGTATGGGTGTGTGCGGCGGTTGCATTCGCAGGTTGAATGGCCGCCAAAGTAGTGGATGGCCTGCAGGCTGACGTCTGCCACCAGCTCCCGTTAATGTGCTCAAGTATGAGTCTCAATATTTGTGCAGCACACGGCCAAAGGAGCGGGAGATGGGCGGTAGCCTAACAATGGGAGCATTGCAGCAGAGTTGCAAACACATACACTCACACACACACTCACACACAAGCAAACAAACAGTCGTGGATAAAGTTAAGTGCACGTGTGCATTATTTTAATGCCACCTGAAGGAGTAGGCAGCCATAGCCATTGCGTCTTGTGTGGCAGCCGCAGACGGTCGGTCTGAGGAAAATGCGCTCGAAGCTGCAACACATGTAGAGAAGTTAAAGTGAAATGCGGATGGCAGCTGGGGCATAGGGTGTGTGTATTTGACATGCAACATATGTTGCCTGCTGTAGAAGTTGTTGCATGCAAAATGAATGCTCAAAGCCGTGGCAAGGCTGCCCAAGCATATTGCCAGGGGAACGCTGGCAGACGCTGCCACCGCCTAAGCCGTTCCGTTGAGGTAATTGCTTTTGCTGCTGCTCCAAATGAAATCAACACCGTCCGAGCGCCCCATTGATAGCCTCGGCAAAGCACTGATGCCTCGAGGCTGGCGTGTTGTTTGTGAATTTTATTTGCCTGGCTCGAGGCGCATTACATTATTATGCACAAATCAAATATACAAAACACAAAATCCCGCGACACACAACAGAAACACAGCATTACACAAAAGGTGCGACCCTGACATGTGTGTGTGTGTGTGTGTGTGTGTGTGTGCCTGCAGCATTAAATATTCCCGCTTCTCCAGCCTCTAATTTGGCTGCACATTGAATATACATAATTTCGGCGCTTACTCCTGAAAGCAGGCAACGCTTCCACACAAAAGTTACCTTCTATAATACAGAAATAATATAAAATATCCCATGTTACCTTTACATTCAAAAATATTCAGAACAGCCTTTGGATTTACTGCATTTAACTTCTTATTCAACTCGCTTCTCGCTCATATGTTAAACGCCTCCATACAAAAGTTGTCTCCGATTTTATAGAAATAATAACAAATATTTCCCATAGTTAACTTTACATTCAAATTATTTTACTGCAGCTAACTTCTTATTCAACTCGCTTCTCTCTCATCTGTTAAACGGTATTTTCGATTTGGTCTTCCAAAAGAGATATTCCTAAACCTATCTACGTGGCAGCGTCAGCCTTAAGTGAAGGCGTTTGTGTGCAAATTGGTGTCGCAAGGACGCCCCAAGGAGCATTACGGCTGTGCGGCATATCCGCGGCAAGGGCGGCGCTTTGCATTGGAAATTCATAATATTCGGCATATTGCAGCAGCAGCAACGCAGCGTCACGATGCAGCGCGTGTTGCATATTTAACAGGAAAGAGAAACTGGGACATATAGAAGTTTAAATACTCTTCTAAATATACAATTATTTAACCTTAACCCAAACTCAAGGAAACAAAAATACGAATTAAGTACCTTTACAACACATGGATGGAAAATGTAATTTGGAGCCGAACCCCATTTTAATTCTAAACGTTTACAATGAATACGCCATATAAATGAAGATTAGGTAGAAATTTGAAAAATATACCAGAAGTATTGCAAAAGTGGTTAGAAAAGTGGGAAAAGAATTAGATTTTCTAAAGGTGTTCGAATGTACCCGTTTTATTTTCTGAAATTTCGCAAAGTCAAAAGTTGGGGTAATAATAATAATACCCTACCCTACATTTTATGATTCTGTTCAGTTTTGCACAAAGTCGTGGCAAATGCAGTTCGATTTGTAACAAGTAAATCCTGGGGCGACTTCGACCTGCAAGCACCTACATATGAGGGGATTGAGGCGAAGCTGCAAGCACACACATTCGAGGGGGTTGAGTAGGATGTGTGCATTGTTGATTGGTATGCAAATTGTATTTGATTATTGACATGTGCGAGGCGCATTCACGACAATCGATCAGTGTAGCCGACGGGCCCAGATTGGCAGAAGAATGGGAATGGGTTGTCGTTTTGTGCTCAGTTGTTGTCGTCACAATTGGCGTTACATGCGATTATGAACGAGCTTAGAAGGTGCCATGCTGCAGGTGCAGGAGCAGGAGCCGAAGCACCAGCAGCTCCATTGTGCGCTCGACCCTACTCCATTGAACCCTAAACATACGAGAGTTGCAGCGATTCGTTGATTAAATTTTATGCACTAGCCCAGCAGGGGTAGGGGATGCTGCTAGGGGGCGAGGCGGTGGTTGCAAATAATTTATGCAGCCATTGTTGGGCTGCAGCAGCAGCAGCAGCTGCCTGGTCAGAAGGGTGTACAATGTGCAATTTGCCATGAATTCAGGCTGGAGCTCAGCCCGCTGCTAACCCACTAATAGTACGCCTCATAAAAGTTTTATGCGCTGAAATATTTCTCGACTCTTTTCGCTCGTTCTTATTTTTTTTTTTGCTGTGTAAGAAAAGCAAGAATTGGCAATTTTTCCATTTGACGTCAACTGTTTTGCTGGGTTCTGGAGACAGCCTCTGGGTGAGTGAGTGCCGAGCCTTGGGTTCGAGACCGCGTCCGAGTCGCTGTCGTCCCAGGCACACTCCAAATTGCTCACATCTCTGACATGCGCTCCCTGAGGGACTGGGCTGGAATGGTGACTTTAAGGTCGCAAAACAAATGTTTGGCCATATTTCAGAGCCTCTCACTGGGTGGTCTTAGCTGGGGATTCGAACTTTGATCATTTGCACTACAATTACGATGCGATTACTCGAATCAAATGAGCGGAAATTGGAAAAATTCTTGACCATTTAAAAATCATTAAAGCACATTTATTGGCTGCCAGCCTCAGTCGAGCCGAGACTGAGTCGGAGTCTGAGGCTGAGTCTGCGGCTTGGGGGTTGTTGCTCCAACCGTTCGCCAAACTTCCATCCATACACCCTACTACTGCCATTCGCATTTTCCCATCTGGACTGCATTGCATAACGGAAAAAAATGCTTCCTTCTTTTTTTTTCTTTCAATTTTTGCAATGCTGCTTTGTATTCAAAATTTATAAAGGCAGCTCTGCTTTTTGGCCGTGCATGCCTGGAATTCCATTGTGCCTGCCCCGAAGCAGCTGAATCGCCATTGCCCAGGCCCAGGCCCAGGCACAGGCACAGGCACAGGCTCAGGTTGAGGTTCTGACTCTGGTCGTGGGTCCCTATGCGTTGGCAGCAAAAACTTTTGGACCCGGTTGGTCGGTCGGTCGGTCGGTCGGTCGGTCGCCTTGCGGCATATGTGTTTTTTGGCTGCGTTTTTAAAAATTAATGGCATGCGAACATTTTCTAAATTTCCATAAATTTGCACGTGGACTTTTGTGTGCAAAAGTTCTTTACTATGCCAACTTATAATCTAATTGCGCCCTCACGTGTGTATGAGTATGTATGTAGATGTGTGTGTGCGTGTGTGCGTGTGTGCGTGCAGTTGGGTCCATGAAACTTTTAGCTAAGCGGCCAGCGTACGTTGAAATTAGTTCAAAAGGAACTTTGCATCTCGCTCATTGGAGTGTTTCAAATTTAATTTGCGAATGACAAAGGTTCGTTCATTAGGTTTCTGCGTTGCATATGCTATTTTATTAGAGAAACACAATGAGACGCACACACAGACGAACACAAAAAAGCATTTAAGAGGGCTACAATCGATTCCGCAATGTTCGGTTCAGTTTGACAACAGGTCGCGAATTGCCTTCGGTCTAATTCTGGCAACTGGGAATGAATGAAATATACATTTTTGGCATCTATAATCAATATGTTTTCCCCTTTTTCTAGCTGGAATGGTCTAACTTCAAAAATGAGCCAATATACCCCGCTTGGTGTGCTTAATGTAATATGAGATCAATAGAGAAATTACAGTATCCTCTGCCAAGCGAAACTTGGCTGGCAAACAATGCAAAAGCAGGCATCCATCAATATCAGGTAAGGGGTGGGGAGGGGGGGGGGGGGTAAATTAGCTTAATAAATAAATCAAATAAATGTTACTTGAACTTAATTGAATTATTACACATTTGTCTACATTTTGCCGGGCTAATTGCTGCAATAATGTCGCACGTGTTTTCATGGATGCCTAAGGGACATACCTATGTATGTGAACACACACACACACATTTACACACGCACACACACACACACTCATAGCCACATATTTTAGTCCGTCAGTGAAACGTAGTAGATGCCATTAGAGAACAAAAGAGAGAATGGCACCTAGTGGGCGTAAGCGAGAGGGACAAGGCACAAGTACCGACAATTATGACAAACATTTCTTCATGGGCTTCTGTGTTGGGACACAACAAGAAGAAGAACAAGACGAAGGCAATGGCGCCGCCGGACGACCTTTTGCCGCAGCAACAACAATGAAAACAACAACAGCAATAACTAACGAGCTTATACGAATCCAACCCATACACACGCAAGCTCATACATATACACTGAGAGAAAAAAAAACCATAATTAATCTTTTGTTGAAAATTAAATTAATTTATAAACTTTTTGAATGCACTTATTCCTGACTGATAAATGATGTTCTCCTTTTGAGAAAGTTTTGGACTTATCAACTTATATTTTCTGGCTAATCCAATTAAACTTTTAAATCGCGAATATTTAATCGCCAATTAAAAAACATAATTCTAATAAATGCAACAGAAATATTTAGGCCGTGCCTGCAATTTAGAACATCATAGATTTCTCTGAGTGTACAAAGGAACTGGCGAGAGATTTTTTTCTTCTTTGAGTTTTTTCAAGGCTCCTCGGCACACATCATCATTGTCACAGCTCATGGCGCGTAATTAACTAAACAAACGTCATTAGGCATGCGCATATATGTGTGTGCGAGATGGTGTGCGGGGGTGTGTATATTGGTGTGTGCTTGTGTGCATGTGTGAGCCTTGGGCAAGACGGCAGCATCGCAGTCGTTGTCGTTGTCGTTGTCGTTGTTGTTGCCATGGACCATCATAGAAGTGGGCTGGAGTGGGATACTCGTTGCGGAATCTCTACAAGAATAGAAGGCAGCCAAACGAAGCAAAGGAAATGAAAATCGCTGTCATCAAATGTAGCGCAATTTCTTGAGTGATTACAACAACAGCAGCGGGAACAGCAGCAACAGGAGTACACACACATTCAAAGTGATTACACGACAGCAGGAATAACAATGCAACGACACCATCACACACACACACACACACACACACACACTCAAATACACTCTTACTCGCCCACACACACCCAACACTAAAAACAAAAATAAATTCATTTCGCTTCAATTTGAAAATGCTTGCTTTCCTTTCACATCCCTCTTCCCCTATCCCGTCTAGCACTCCTGCTGCCCTAACTTGGTCCTGACAGTGTCAGCTCAGACTGTGACTCCTTGGAGCAATAAACTGCGCTAAATTCAGCTCAGCTCGCACAATGTTGTTGTTGTTGTTGTTGTTGTTCCAGTTGCTGTTGCTTTGCAAATTGCTGACAATAAATGTTGGCAGCGACAACCAACAGCCGCCCCGCCCCGCCCCGCCATGCCATGCCATGCCGCCCAATTTGGGCACCCGCATGCGGAGTCTCCAGCATTTAAATATGCAAGTGCAAATGCTATAGGTGCAATGAGCAAGAAACTAAGGGAATGTGGGGGGGCTTTACGAATTGTATTTATTACTGGGATTAATTGATGCTGCCTTCAACCAGAGCCTGGACTGATAACTCTAGTTAGGAATCGACCACAAATGAATGTCGTGCACGCCAAGCAGCTTGAACTGAACCTTAAACTCTAATATTAATTATCTTTTCCTATGAATTGAAGTCTTTGCTCAAAAATGAAACTAATTTAAACTACAAACGGAACATAGGGTATCACAGGAACTGCCTTGAGCTGAAATAATTTTAGCTGATTCGATTGAAGCCATTTTGGTAGCCGTAAACCGAACTACTGACAACTTCTTTTAGTTTCTAAGACATTTAAGGTATATAAAAATAAAATATGCATGCAAGTCTTGGGTTTACTTACATATGACGGTCAGCTTGGCATTCGCCCGTATGGCCGAGTTGAGGCGCGCTGGCCCCACCTGGCACTGATACTCGGCATCATCATTGATGGACGCATTGGATATGCGCAGATTGTAGACACCCTGTTTGCGATCACCCAGCACGGAGTACCGCGGAAAGCCGGGTATCACAGCTGAGAAGCCCAGGGCGAAGCCATCTTTGGTCCACTGCACGGCGCCGGCTACGTTGGCCACCTCGCAGCGCATCATCGCCTCGGCGCCCTCCAGCACCTGCAGATCGTGCGGCGTTGTGCGAAACTTTTGCTGCTGGGCGTGGCCAGGTAGGGGCAAGAGTAGCGCCCATAGAACTGCAAAAAAAGAATAGGCAAAAAGAAAATTGGAAAAAGATCTTTGGCAAAATGCAAGATTAATTGTCAGGCCGTTTGTTATCCTTGGCCAGGCTCTCGCGTCTCATGGGATTTCATTTCCATTGGATACGTGACTTTCCATTACGGCTGAATTATGAAATGTGTATTTAGCCAGCCGGCAAAAAACAATGAGCACCGCCCGGAGTCACAAAGAGACAATGGAGCCGCGCACAGAGACTTCTCTAAATAGCAAATCCTGCCCGCAATAAAACAGGACATGCCGCTGTCAGAGCAGGAGTCGCCGCAGCAGCAGCCGCAGCCGAAGCCGCAGCCTTTACCCGCCGCTAAGCTGCCGCAGAGCTGCATTTGGGAGTGTGTCTAGGGGAGGGGGCTGGAGTCGGAGCCGAACTTTGACCGCTCAAAATGAAAAGTTTTTTAATGAAAAACAAACACATTTCCCCTTGCTGCCCGCAATCCAGCTTACAAAAGCCAATTGTGGGCGTGTCCGGCATCCGGCACGGCGACTGTTTGCCAAGACTTATTGCGGACTGCATTCGCAGTCGCAGTCGCCAGCAGTTTATTTCTTGTCCGTGCCACCGCCGCCAAAACTATTAAATTGTGTAAAAAAAAAAAATGAAAAAGATGGAAGAGGCGCGACCAGAGCCGAGGCCAGAATCAACAAAAGCATTTAACGCGGCCATCAGGCAGCTACAGTTGTTTTAGTGCCAGTGCCCATGTCCGTATCCGTGTCCGTGTCCGTGTCCGTGCTCAGTGCACTTTATCCGTGGAACGAGGCTTTCATAAATTCCAAACGGATCTGAAGGTGGGTCGGTCCACGGTTCATGGTATGCGGAATATGCGGAGCATATGGCCAAAAAGCGGAGGAGCTGTTTATTTATTAGCGCCGAAATGCAGTTTTAAATACCACAACGAACGAGCTAGTCGCGAATGGCAGATGAAATTCCAAACTTGAAACCAAAAAAAAAAAAAAAAACTATAAAGAGTGTGCTAGTCGGAAGTGCTCGACTTGCAGATACCCTTAGACCAGCGTAATGCTGTCGTAATGCGGATAAACATGAGGCTCGACGCTTAAATGCGAGCGGGCAGCAGACGGGAACTTCCTAGCCAATATACTCGCTTTCACTTTGTAAGCAGAATATAAAAAAAAAAAAAACGCTAAAACTTGCCCAAAAATGCCGAGGCCATGATTAATATGGCCACTATTTGCATACACACGATGTCTGAGCGAAACTGAAATGAATTTTAAATACAATCCCTGCCATGCGGGACTTGTCGGGGTTCTTGTCAGGGGTCTTGTCAGGGGTTGTGCCTTGGATCGGTTGTGCCTGCCAACTCTTTACGATTTCATTATTTTGCTCTTTCGTACATAATTTGCGTTTTCGAGCCGAAGAATGCGATACGAAAAGTTGCTCCGGCTCCGCTCCATGTTGTTGTTCTTGTCAATGTTGTCGCGCAATTTAGCATAGAACTTGTTGTTGTTGCTGTTGTTGTTGTCTTTGTTCTGGGCAGAGCGGCAGCAGCCAGCATTACTGTCAATTTATATAAATTTTCAGATGCCTTGCCCCCAACCTCGCTTTATCTGAATGAAACTGTCAAGCGCAGGCGAGTCATGGCCCTAGCCCGAACCCGAACCCGAGCCTGCGTTGGGAACCCTTGCCAGCAGCAGCAGCAGCAGGCGCGGCTATAACCTTTGCCCCTCGAGGGGCACGGTCTACGCAAATTCGAGCCTATTTCACAGACATCACACACACTCGCATTGGTTGGGCTTTGGCGAGAGTTCATAGTTGAGTAAATTTTTACCTCGTTCATGATGGGGCGCATCATTGAGCGACATGTGTGTGCGTGAGGGTGTGGGTGTGTGCGTGTGTGTGTGTGTGGGCTGGCGGGTGTGTGTGCGTGGATTTTCAACAAATTTGCCTAGCTTGTTGTTTTGTGCTCATTGCCATTGTTGTTGTCCCATATTTTTGAAGCGAAAAATTTTAATAAAGTAAATTCCTATTTTACGGCCCGAGAGGAAATGGGCTTCCATTTTGGCCGATGGGTGTATTAGGCACGGCTCATCCTTGGGCGCACATTGTATTGCGAAAGCGTCATCAAACTGAAATTGAAGCATGACAAGCAGTTCACCCATCCACACCCACATACGCAGACGCGACTCGCTCGCACACATAGACACTTCATATGTCATACGTGTCACACGTATTGCGGCCGGAAATAGTCGATGGAAAAACACGCAACAAGCGGAGACAGCGACAAGCAAAGTGCGAAAAGGATTTAAATGCTTCTGGTGTCGCCTTTTGACCGCGCCCGAGCTCCAGCCATTGGATGGCTAAGATTGAGAGCGGAGCAGGGCGCCCCCCTCAACCCCAAGGGCCATTGTCAAATTTGTGCACTTGGAGAAAAATGGTATTCTCGCATTCAACTAGAGACTAAAACTAAAAATTCAATTGTGATGTGAACTTGAAATAAGTAAATTGCAACTAAGATTGAATACAAGAGTTGAGTGTTATTTTAAGGGATTTCAGAATAGAGAAACAAATTCTTGTGCTCAGCTTAAGAAATATTGACATTAACTGGATTTTTGTTACAAAGTTCATGATTCTTTCTTTGAGTGTGTGTGTGTGTGTGTGTGTGTGTGTGTCTGTGCTGTGTGCTCAGAGTGTGATGCTTTTCCTGTCGCGCGTGCTTTCTTGATTGTTTTTGAAGCTGGAAATGGAACGGCAGAGACACACACACATACACAGACATACAAGCACGCAGAGACATGAGGACATTCGCACACAAATCCCGGCCGCAGTGCCCCGACATTGCGGCAGTGGGCAAAAAGGGTTTTATTTTACGAGCGGGACTATCAGTGTTATTGTTATGACTGAAATTTGATGGCCTCAAACGCTTCTGGCTGAAACTGAAACTGAAGCTAAAAGTGGAACGGGAGAGGGAGAGGGAGAGGGAGCAGGAGTGCGTGCTGGAGAACTAGCCAAGTGACGAATGTGTGAAGTGATGGCGTGCCCATGGCTCGTTCCTTGCGTTGGTCCTTTATGGCGCTGACGCAGTCAAACGATGATGACTCCTGCTCCCGCCCAGCCCCAGTTAGTTATCTGTCACGGCCTGGCCGCTGATTAAGCAGCCCTTTCATTTGGCGCAGATTGCCTTAACGAGGGTCGGGAGCGCATAAAGGCTACCCTACCCGCCCAACGCCCGACCGCCCGCTCGCATCAGTTGACACCTGAGTGGCCTTAGCGTAGCCATACGATCCCTGCCAATCTCTGACACGATATATATATAAATGTATATACATATACCTCTTTCTACACATGGCGGCACTTAAGTTTTATTCGCATTGCTTTAAATGCTCACGTAGTATTTGTGGCCCGCATCGTTCTCCCAAGCACCAATTTGAGCCTGGCGAATTTGGTGTTTCGTGCGCGGCGCGCGTTAATTTGATGATTATGATTTTCACACTGGCGAATCGTGAACATCTTTAACGGGTTTGCCTTTGCTATAGCCAAAGTAGGCTCTGCAGCAGCTAACTGTCGCAGTTTGGCATGTGGCATGCGGCATGCGGCATGAGGCATGTCAATTGTGCCACCTTGCGGCATGCCTTGGCCATGCCACGCTGTCAACAACGTGCTTTGCATGCCTAACTCAACGAATTCGTTATAAAATATTGTTAGTCCAATTCAGCGTCGCCTACTGCTACCGCTGCTGCAAATGCAATATAACAATAGCTGCGGGACCTTTCCGTCTAACGGTGCATAGCTCTATCCCAGTTGCCCCTCTACCTTAGCGCGCGCGTACGTGCAACTGCAGCATATGCTCCACTCGATTGGACACATGGCCTCGAGCTTGAATCCTTTTTGGCTCCTAGCCTCTGGCAACGGCCAGAACTTATGTATAAACATTGCGGCTGCTGACTAAACGGAGCCTGGCAAAGCATCTCCTGTCAGTTCCAGCCTTTTCGTGTGATGGCAGCTGGCCCAAAAAATATGTTGAACGCAAGGGGCATGGTCGGGGAGTATGGGCCAATTAATCGCATGCATTTGCTGAAGTTGGCATCATTATTGTCCATTTTGGCTGACTGCAGCTGTCACTGTCTTCACTTTATTGGCTAAACACATGCTGAATGCACTTAGAGAAAAAATCGAGTTGTTTTTACTCGAAAAGAAAATCTTTCTTCGTTTTATGTTGATCTCAAGAATGCAAATTCTTTCAATAAGTATTTTTTACTTAATTCATTTCATTTTGTTATATCAGGAAAAATGTCTTTGAATAAGAGTATTTTTTACTTAATTTATTGGCTTTATTTTGCAATCAGTTTTAAACTCAAGAATAGCATCAATTAGCCTTAAAGGAAATAAGGAATATTGAAGGACGAAAGAAACAATCGCTTTGTATTCCTAGGTCATGCTAAAGCTTACAACCGGATTCCTGGAGGGGTCGTTTCAAGGATTCTCATATTCCACCTAAGCAGCATCAGGCAAGCATTTTGCCTCACCTGCGGCAAAGGGAAGGGCCACATAATCACCAACAACATTATTAGCATCAACATTGCCATTATGGCGCCGGGATGAGGCCATAGTGCAGCACAGCTTGCCAAACCCTCCTGCTCGGTTATCCACAGTCTTGAGACTTTTTCCGTGCCAACATAGAAAAAATTGCGAAAATGCGGCAGACAACTTGCAACCTGCAACCTGCAACCGGCAACTAGGTAACTCACGCTTAAAATGCTGCAACAACTAATTTTATTTATGCATTAACTATGAATATTTGCGGCGCCAAGCGACCGCAGCGAGTCGCGAGCCTTTGCCAATTTTTCGCAGGGCTAAATTAAGAGACCATGAACTATCTAATAAATATAAAAATGGGAGCACGAATGAACCGAGTTATCCACAGACTGCCTAGTGATAAATGACCTACCTTCATCGAATACCCTTGCTAGCTGCTTAAAGTTTCAACTAAATAATTCAAATAAATATTTA